TAAAATCCGCTTCAAACTCCCACCCCATCAAACCACTTCGCCTTCAAACGTCCCCAAAACTACCCCTTTTAAATCACCACCAGATCCAAAAACGTCGAAACCCCTGGCAGCCAGCCAAAAGCCGCTAAGAGCCGTCCTAGGCACCGCCCAGGCACCGCTTCTGCAAAACCAATTTTCCAAAATCCCACCACACCTTCCCTACGCTTTCCACCACACCCTTCTTTCCACCACCTTATACTCGTCAAGCTCAAGCGGCACGGCCATTTTCGAAAACCCCTTCCGAAACGGTGGCCTGAGAAAGCAACAAAACTGCCGTCGACGCCGGGACCTACATTGCCTACAAGCATAGCCGTCTGAGCGCATCAAGCATCGTGAGCAAAAGCAGCAGAAGCGCTTCTAACCTGCCAGGGCATCCCGGCGGCAGCCGAATTTAGTGTTTTGGCGACTTTTTCATTTTTCTTTGGCTTTTGTTTTTTGGATTTGCAAAATGTCCCCGGCGGCTTGGTGCTCCGGAATGGAATGACAAGCTGGGAATTGTCCAGAAAGTGGCTGTCTTTTAGCCCTGACGCAGGCGCCCGGTGGGTTTCGTCTCGCTACGGCATCGCTTATGCTGAATTTAGAAGCAGCGGTTTGGAGAACAAGAAAAGCGGGAGGAATAAAAAAGAGGAGTGGGTAGCTGCCATGGAGGCTTGAGTGACGATCGTCGGGAGGTTTCGGGACGCCGTTGACTGGTGCAAAAATTACTAAAGGAGTTTTGTTGAATGTCGGGCGCTTTTGATTTTTGCTTCGTTTCTGCTTCGTTTGGTTTGGTTTGGTTGGTTTGGTTTGGTTGGTTTGGCGGCTGGTAGTTCCAGAGGATTGACGCTGTTGTGCTGAAACGCAACGATTGGCGGTTTTCCCGTTTAAAACAAACAATACGGGTCACCGTCGCCTAACGTTTCGTGCGTTGGTGATCCAGTTGGTGATCCTCAGATCCGATCAGCTCAGGCTTTAGACGCCGTCAACTGAAATCAATGGACGCTGTTTCGGTGATTCGCTGTTGCTGTTGAGCTGTTGCTGATTACGCTGATGCTGTTTTGGTGATGCTGATTACGCTGATTACGCTGTTTACGCTGATTACGCTGTTTGGGGATTTACCTGGTTTTGGCATTGACCTTCTGTCGACTTTCTGTCGACTTTCTGTTTGCTTTCGGCTTCTTGACTCCCGCCGTTTTCCCTTCAATTGCTGCCAATCAAAGCGCCCAGCCATTTCAACCCATTGAAAAGCGCCCAATAATCCCAAACAGCCGTCCGGCGCCGGCTGTAGCATCAAGGCTCAAACGCTACAGATGCAGCTCGACAGACCCTGAGGCAATCGCAACAAACGGCAGCGCAAAACGCCAGAAATGACAAAGAATTACGTTTCTGTGCAAGGCCGTTTAAAACTCGCCTCTGTCTGCCCAGTGCACGGTGTTTTAAACGCTTGAACCGAGGGTAGCAGGGCCACAGCGCTTCAACAAACGTCAAAAAAAAACAAACATCAAAAACAAAAAACTTCAAAAATGCAAATCTTCAAAAGACAAAGAGATTTTCCCAGCAGGCCAGCCGCTAAGTCCGCCTTATCTCCCGGCGATTTTGTGCTATCTTCCAGAACCACCCTCTCTGTTTCCCACTGTGTAGGCCCAAAAAATACAACCACGGTTCCACGGCTCCAGGCCCCACGGGCTTCAAACAATCAAAGGTGTCCCAAAAAAGCGTCTTCTACGGCTGGAAGCAACTCCCGCCAGACGTCGCCAGACCCGCCCGGCTCGAAAAAGCACATTTAGCACCCGCCGCATGTAGACGAGAAGCACAAACCCAAAACACCTTCTCCAAACCGGCCCACAAAGACGTTAGAGCGAACGTCGACGGAACCTTCTTATCTGTACGGCGCCTGTGTGGTTGCTGCAGCGCTTCTAACACCTGAAACCTGGGATAATGATCCGAGGCGCCGCCAGCGGGCTTTTCATTGGCTGCTGGGGTTCTGGTCCATCTACGCTTGCAGCGTTTATGTTTTGACGGCGTCGGGCGCTACTATCGTTTAGAGCTGCTTCGGCAGCGTTTAGAGGTGCTTGTGCGTTTACTAGGCCAGGGGCCGGTGTTGCCGGGTGTTGTCGGGTTTTGGAAAAAAACAAAAAAAAAAAACCAAAAAAAAGGGTTTTATGCTCCAGAGTGGTTGATGCTTTGCTGTGCAAGGAAGTGTCTTGCGGCTGGCTAGACGAAAGGGCGATCCCGAGCAAAAGTCAGTAAAAGAAACAAAATCAGTAAAACAAACAAGATCAGTAGAACAGACAAAATCAGATAAACAAACAAAATCAAAAACAAATTCATCAGTCCTGTAAAATATCCTCTGAATACGTATATTCCTGAAATCTCTTCCCTACAATCCATCAGACTTCAATGCTCCACCGTATTTTGAAATCCCTTCCCTACAATCTATCTTTAGACTTGAACCTCAGTGGCCGCCATGCCTCAGCGTTTACGCTATTGTCTATCGGTTCCCGTCCCTGGAAGATTTACAACGCTTTCGACAGTGCCACAAAGAACCCCAGCGTGACCAGCTCATAACCAAAACAACCTTGTCATCTTTTTTTTTGTTCTTCTACTGCACTACTGCTTTCGGACATTCTGGAAAAGCTTCCATATACTGCAAGAAGCTTCGCCTGGCTTAGATGCCCCACAAAATGCTCAGGGTGCCGTTATGGAAGCACAGAATATGCCGAATTCACAGGCTCTTCGGGTCCCCTCTGTGAATGACAGGCTTCCATGCCTCCACAGCCTCTTTTTTCTGAAATGCCCGTATGCCCCGTTTCCAGGGGGCTCATTTAGAGCCTTGCTGTTTTCGGATGACCGTAACTTGATCAGAATCGAGTGACGTGCTGCAAGTGATGAAACAAACAATAGACTTATTTTTTTATTTGTCCTCTACGGCAAGCGCAACACGGGCCTAGGGGCGGTGCCTGCAGGACGCACACCTAGCCGCCTACACCGTCCCACAGCACGCCGCCCTTGCGGGCCCTGGCCGTGTGCAGAGAGGTGCATTTTCGGTTTTAAAATAGCCCTCTTTGCGTCGGGCATGAAGAAGATAATAAAACAAAATGCACAGTCTCTCACACCTCTAACCTGGGCTGGTCGATCCGCAACGGGCATGCGCATGAATGCTTCTTGTGCCCCTCGCCGATCAGATTTGTGCCTCTCGACTTATCGTGATCTACCGGGTGCTTTCCCCGGTGGCTAGCGGTACTACACACAGCCAGGAGCATTACGCAGGCGCAAGGCTTAGTACTGTGCCTAAGCCTGCCTGCCCTGCTGGCCGTGCATGCTTCTGTCGCAGGCAGCCCTGGGCCGCTCGACGCACTGCACACACACTCGAAGACCGTGCATATGCGGTACGTTTACTACGCAAACGCGGGTAAAGAATAAAATCTGCAGCCGCAATGCCCTCTCCCACCGGCTATTGTCTTCCACGCATGATTTTCCCACACTATGTGATAATCATCGTGGCAGAGAAAAATTATATTAATTATAGCTATTGTTGCAGATTGCGGTATTAACATTCTTTTCTAGAATATCGCTTCCCGCCTAAACGCCTCCTCCTCCTTCCTACATCCCAAATATATAAGGACCCTGTGCCCTCCCTCCACTTCATCCCTTTTACCTGCTTGAACCCGTCAACCCACCCCCCCATATCCTTTTTCCATTTACCATCCTTCCATTGCATTCCTCGGCTCCAAGCCCTTCACCGTAAATCACCATCTCAGGGCTCTGCCTTTACCTCCTGTCATTGCTATAAGGAAAGCCCAATTCCGGCAAGTCCAACTCGGTGTCATCCGTACCTGAAGATACATAAGTCCAAGTTTCATAGCAGGTTTTACAGCGAATTCCATAACTGGTGAGTACCCTGCTACGTCTAGACAATTCCCCTCCAAAACAGTCGTCGTCTAGAGAGTCTAGAAGCGTACAGACTATCCAATCCTTGAAGCATTGCCCAGTACTAGCCGGGCGCCATTTTCATAGACTGCTGAGTTTTTGTCATTTGACGTTTTTCATCAGCAGACGGACATTGTTGAATTCCGTATCCAAGGAATCAGCCTGACCACGGAATCCATCGCATATTCTAGAAGCAGACACAAACCCGCTGGTCTCGCAAACAAGCTGGTTTCACAAACGAGATTGGCGAGTCAGAATACCCATTACGGCTTTCTTCGTTGCTAACCAAGTGGCAGAGAAGGATCCATCGCTACAAGGCACAAAGCTAAGGCAAGGTATCAACGGTCAGCAAAGTATCAACGGTCAGTTACAGCAGAGAATCACTGAAGGCCACAACTGAAGGTTAATCAACACACCCTTCACTACACTTCGCTTCAGCTTTAACGGCTTCAGCTTTAACGGCTTCAGCTTCAAACGGCTTCAGCTTTAACGGCTTCAGCTTCAAACGGCTTCAGCTTCAAACGACTTCAGCTTCAAACGGCTTCAGCTTAAACGGCCTCAGCTTAAACGGCTTCAGCTTAAACGGCCTCAGCTTAAACGGCTTCAGCTTAAACGGCCTCAGCTTAAACGGCTTCAGCTTAAACGGCTTCAGCTTAAACGGCTTCAGCTTAAACGGCTTCAGCTTAAACGGCTTCAATCGGCACAGCTCAGCTTCGGCTTACGCCTAAGCTTCGATTAATCACAAACAGGTCGACACAGCTCAGCTTCGGCTACGCCTCAGCTTCGACTAATTAGTTGCCAGCTCCGCTAGCTCACAAACTTCCAACTTCACAAACTTCGGCTTCGCCTCAGTTTGCTCAGTTGTCAGTTTGCTCAGTTGTCAGTTTGCTCGCAATGACCTCCATCATGACCCACTCACCCAGCCCAAAGGCCCTGATACCCCTGATCCTCAACAAACCAGAATCCCTGCCCCCGTGCTACCCCTACCCTCGCTTCACAACCAACCAAACAACCAGCACGACCGCCTACCGGGTCCTCACACCCTCCAGCCCATGCACCCGGCCTACCACTATGTTCTTCCACAGCAGGTTCCTCGAGGCGCCCTGATGCCCGAAATGCCCGTGCCACAAGAATTCGCCTACTACCAGGCTCCTCAAGCCCAGGGCTACATGGTTCCTGCTCCAGTTGTTCCAATGCTGGCGCCAGTGCCGTACCCGGTGTATCCCGTCACCCAGCATTCCCATCCCCAGCATCCCCAGCATCCACATGCCCAGCATCAACATCAACATCCTCAAGCCCAGCATCCCAATCCACCACCCCAAAAACACCGCCGTTTCCGCAGACGCTACTACCAGATTGTGCGTAAGTACAAGTGCACGTATCCGGGCTGCACCAAGCGGTACGGCCTGTTGAACCACCTCAACACACACATTGTCACGAAGAAACACGGTCTGCGCAAGTCCAAGGCGGACTTCAAGGATGTGGATTTGGACGAGAAGGAAAAGACGCCGACACCGCCGGAAACGGCACCGCTGGCGCCGCTGGCGCCGGAACCGGCGCCGGAACCGGCGCCCCAGGGCCTGCTTCCTACGCCGCCGGTTTGTTCGTCGACGGTTTCGGAAAACACTGACAAGAAGGAGGAGCCTGAAAGCAAGACGTTGCCTCGCATCTCGGACATACTAGACGGGCCGGTGAAGCTTCCGCTGCTTCCGTCGGTGGTGGGCTACCAAAAGTGATTTTGCCACATGTGCCTACTTTATCAAATTTGGCAGAAATCACTAGCAAGTTGGTAGGGCAGCATCGTATACCGGCAGGCCGGTTTAGCTGTTGATGCTAGCAGCCGGGCGCGCACGTGCGGAAGGTCACGTGAAGACGACGACGCTCCTTTTGGTTCCTTTTTAGTTGCCGCCGCCTCCCTCCCTATGTTTAGCTTTTAATGAAACGCCACGAAAACGCCTCGGTAGTGCTCTTACCCAACTCTGTTTGTCGTCACACGACGCAACGCCACGCCGGCCAAGTCACGTGCGATAGCACGTGACGACATGTGATGGGTCACGTGGCGCGGCACGTGCTTACCGTCTCAGCACACGGATCAACACTCCTCAACTACTACAACACCCAAAATGGCAGAAAACGACGCCGTGGCTGTCGAGCCAGAAGCCGTGGACAACCCTGACACCAGTGCTACCATGCAGGACACCTCTGTGGAAAGCACGCCAGAGCCTGTTGCCCCTGTTTCCCAGGACGATCAGCCCAAGAAGCCCAAGAGGCTAACGCTTCAAGAAAGGCTAGCGATGGCGGCGAAAAAGAAGAAAAAAGCTGCTGTCGAAGAGGGTTCCGCTCCCCGAGCCCGAAACCGGCCGAGCCAGCGCCAATTGAGCCACTGCCGCCGGCCGAAACGGACGAAATGGCCGAAATCAGAAAAGAACTTGAAAAAGTGAAGCTTCACAGCCAGGAGCTCCAGGAACAAAACCGGCGGCTTGTCGCTGAAAGCAAGAAAACGGCTACAAGCGATGCCGACAAAAAATTGGCGGAAAAAGACGCCCTAATCCAGCAATTGATGGAGGAAGGCCAGGCGCTTTCCGGCAAGGAGATCAAGCTCCACGAGAAAATCAGGGCCATGGCGGCCACGAACGCCAAACTAGAACACTCTCTCAAGGACTACGCGTCGAAAAACGAGGATGCGCTTCTCCGGCTTGAGGAGGTCGAGAGCATCATGAAAACACACAAGCTCAAGTCTGTGGACCAGCTTTTGGAGCTTTTGGAGACGAACGGGCGCAAGCTTGCCGAGGCCACAGGCGCTTTGGAGGCGGAAAAATCGAAAAATTGGGAGGCCAAGTACAAGGAGCAGCAGCGGCAGTATGAGGCCGAGCTCCAGGAGAAACGCAATGCACAGAAGGAGCTTGACGACGCCAGGCTAAAGCTCCAAATGACCGAGCAGCAGCAGTCGCTAGATGTTAGGCTGAAGGAGGATACGATTTCGTACTTGAAGGACGAGGTCAGCCGCTTGAAGGAAGAGAGCAGTCTTGAGATTTCCCGTCTCGAGGCCAAGGTCGAGGCGCTCCGGCTGGAAAACGAAGGATTCATGAAAACACTGGTCACGGAGGCCACACCAACGGAGGCTGAGGCGAAACACATTGCGTACTCGGAATATGCCAAGTTGTCTGAGGCTCACAAAAACCTTCATCAGCAGTACGTTTCGTCTCAGGAAAACTGGAAGTTGATTGAGCTGCAGCTTCTCAGCAAGGCCGATGCGCTTCTGGAGCTGCTGAATGCGTTGAAAAAGGCCAAGGTGAAGGCCCAGGGCGAAATCAGAAAACTCGGTGGGCAGGTGACCATGGCCAAGGAGGAATTGGCCCAGGCTGTAGAGCAGCGGAAAGAGCTGGAAAAAGCACTCAAGGATCTTCAGTTCCAGGTGTCGGTGAAGGAGGACGATTACAAGGAGTTGGAGGCGAAGAAGGACGAGCTTCAGGCGATTTTCAACACCGATAGGCACAACTGGGAGCTCCAGGAGCAGAAGTTGAAGCAGAATATTGAAAAGCTTGAGGAGACGGTCCAAGAGCTTCGAGAACTGAATATGGGCGGCTCAAATGTGGATTCGTTTGCACAACTGCAGTCCAGAAAGCTTCGTGATCTGGGGCTCCATATCAACATGAATGAGGAACCACATACTCCCGGTTTGACGCCTGGACTTGGTCAGTTGAGCCAGCCATCTTTCAACAATCTGTTTGAAGCGAACATGCTGGCTGTTTCACTCACGGATCTTGATCTGTTTGAGGCTACCGAGGGCCCAGTACCTGACGATGCCCTGGTGTACTGGAAAAATCTGGCTGATAGATCGGGTGTTCCCGCTGCTCAAGGAGGAAAGAATATACAGCTTCTCAGCAAAATGAGTGCCAACATCCGTCGTCTAGAATTGGAGCTTTTGGCACTCAAAGAGGAGAATGAGATGCTTTCTTCCCAAAAAGACGAAGCCCAGCAGGAAATTGTTGCCCAGCAGAACCTTAGTACGAAATTGGCTCTGCTAGAAGAGGAAATTGAACGGTTGCAAAAAGAGATTGAAAAGAAGCTGGAGAGAGAGGCGACGCTCCTTGACGTCATTGGCGAGAAATCCATGCTTGTGGAGGAACTCCGGGCCGATGTAGAGGATCTCAAAAATATTTGCCACCAACAGGTGGAGCAAATGATTGGAATGGCGGAGAAGAAATAAGGTTGCACCCGTGCCGCATGCGAGGTTTTTCTGGAGATGTTTCATGATGTTGCAGTACCCGCACCCGCACCCATACACCAGGGGCAATTGTATGGACAATCTTCCCCACTGCCTTGAAGCCCGAACCATCAAGAAAAGCTACTCAATCCACACATGGCCCGAGAGACGCTGGGTTCAGACAAACAGCAGCGCTTAGCCGTGCCCGTCCCAATTAGGCAGTTGGGAGCGAAACACCCCAATCACTCGGGTGACGCCGACAAAGGTCCGAATCGTCAGTCCGCCGTTCTCACGCCTAACACGGAATTGAACATCCAAAAGCGCAGAAGACCTTCCTATGGGACCATTGAGACGGATAGAGAAGCATTCTACAACTTGGATTACCCAGAGGATGATGCTGAGCTTCAGAAGCACCAATTGGATCCAAACCACCGGTTCTACTCCAGATCAAGACCAAGATCCCTCAATTTGCCCGGATTGCTCCCTTACAAGCCCGAAAACCCTCGTGATAGAGCCAAATTCCTCAGTCATATAGTTGCACATCTATATATCGCAGTAAAGAGCTTGGACATTCAGGGCTCTGTCTCCATCACCGCCAAAGACTTGGCCTCGCTTAGAAACGTGGCAGGGCTTTCTGACATTGATCTCGCGCTAGAAACAAACCTTTTCGAGATTGGCAATGATAATACCCGTGTGGCAGAAGACGAAGAAACGAATACATTTTTCTCACAGGAAGACTTAGATGTGGGCGGAGAGGACGACGATGAGTATGAGGACGATTCCGAGATGGAAGAGGACGATGACGACATCAAGGAAAGCGTCGATGATTTCGATTCCGGAGAAACCTCCCAGCACAAGAAGTCGCCCAAATCGGCTGCAGTGGTGTCCACCAAGATCTGGACCCACGAGCTTCTAGTCTGGCTCAAAATGAAATACGACATGCCCTTGCTGCTCAGGATGGCGCTAGCTCGTGTATACTACGCCATCTGCTGTTGCAGAGGCCAGCATTTGAACCTCCGAATCTACATCAAGATCTTTGAGCTCCTCACGAAAGATGTTGAACTCTTGCAGAGCGTCGGGTTCGAGCTTCCATGGAAGCCAGTTTTCCTTGAACTTGTGAACCACTTCCCTGGTGTTGATGCCTCATTCGAGCCTTTCGAGAAGAAGGACATGAACTACATGCTCAAGGTTGCCGAACGTGCCTCCAGCTTTTACCCCGCAGAGGCATTGCCAGAGATCTTTCAGCACTTGGGCAGTCGATTCTCCATTCCCAACGCCTCTTTGGTATTATCCACCATGTGCATGCTCCCATTGACATTCCAAGATGACCCTACCAGCGAATACGATATCCGTCACTACGTTCCTGCTTTGTTCGTGATGTGGTCTAAACTCAGCCGTTCTCATGGCGTTGATTCTCATCTCACAGCCCGTTTGGGAACAATTGCCATGTCCTACCTCACAAAGCTTGCCAAAAGCCCTTCAATTGCGAGTAACCAGAGCCGTTTTGGTGTTTTCAACGAGCTGCAATTCTTGTACTTGATCAACACCCTTATAAACAGCTTGAGTATTAATTATGAGAAGTATGGCTCGCTCAAAACGAGATTCTTCCATGGTTTCTCAAGTGCAATTGTATTCTCCATTGACGCCGAAAACAGTTTGGGTGAGGACGGAATCATGGGCCATATCGAGACCCTTTTGAATGCAATCGAGAGTTACGTGCATCCTTCTAACAGCGGAGAATGGTCGAGACCAATCTCTAAGTTCGTATTGAGCTTGATCTATCAGTTCCAAAAGAGGTATAATCTCGAACGGCAACCAACTGCCACCCTCTACACATTGGACGAGAAACACAAGTTGTCGACAGAAGTTGTCTCACGTTTTGTCAAGGATCTCTTGCCGATTGTTAAAACAGGTATGCAATCGAAGAAAGCCAGTGCGGTTGACGATTACCTCGTTTGTATGAATCTCCTTGCATCAATGGACCCTGACCAGGTTTTGTCGGGAATTCTCATTGACTTATATGAGTCCCTAGAAGGTGTGATTTCGACGCATAGAGTCGTCACTGCGCTCCGTTGTCTCGATGAATGTGTCAGATACTTTGCCAGCACTCCAGTATACAGAGTTCATTTGACTCGTTTGTTCACGTTGGCATTACCGGGTATCGACTCTAATGACTTGACGAAAACCATGCATACCCTTGAAGCTTTTGCGGCAATGGCCAGTTTTGTTCCTATTCATGATCTCACGGATGGCTGTGGCGATTCCAATTTGGCGATTCAATTCACCTCTTCTCAGATGGACCACCTTCAGTCTAAATTATACAACAAAGAGTCTGACTTCCCCTTTGACATCACTCCCGAGTTGGAAGAAGAAGCTGTCAAGTCAGCATCCACAGCATTCAAATTGCTCATGAAGACATTCCTCGAACGTGTGTTCTTGCTTCTAAGAAATATCCCAGACCCTCCAAGAGTAACGGAATAGAGAAGGACCTTTGTGACTGTCTTCCAAAATTCCTTTTCATTATGATAGAGTCCATGTCAGACGACATCTTCAAGAGTTTCCGTGAGCAGGTGTTCAGCTTCGTTTACGATAACTCGATTCACTCTATCGCAGATGTGGTTGGTGAGATTTGTGGTGGCGTCATTAAGAGAGACCCCAAATACTTCAAGCAAGTCGCACCTATCCTAATTGACCGAGTCATGGAGGAGGTTTCCGAGAATGGCGCTGGAAAAGTAAGAACTGGTATTGATATCGAACCACTTGACGAGGCACTCTTTTGGAATTTGATAATTCTCAACGAATGTATCGGCAATGCGGGTGAGATGGTAGTCACTGTTGGCCCAAAGCTCAATAAGCTTTCTTACTTTTTGATGGATAATGTGAAGGGGTCAGTTGTTTTTGCTAGCACATACATGCTAAATCAAATGCTTCAAGCTGTCACGAAGATGAGAATCAATGAGACCAGACTCATCAACCCTTCTTATGCCGAGAAACACGGCGTCGATGCTAGGTGTTGGGGTGGATTCCAGTTTAACGATTATAGGTTTTCGAAAGAGAACCTTACTTTTGACTGGTTCATCCCTGACGAGAAATGCGTTCGCTTTGCCGTGGACACCTTTAAAGCCCATATCTCAAAAGCTCTTCAGAACATTCTGAGAGTTCTCAAGGAAATCATCAAAACGAAGGATTCAACCTCGCAGATCGCTCTTGAGTTATCTGACGAACTCAGAGTTAATTTGCTTTACTTAGGCTATGGTGTTAGTGGTTCGTCTTATCTTTTTGATCCTTCGTTCGAGGAGGACATTCCCCGTTTGAACGAACACAAGAACGAGTCCTTACAGCACAGGCTCCTTCTTCTCAAGCAACTTCGTGATCTTAAAGGTTGCAAATTCAGCACCAAGGACGAGGCACGGATTGAGAATGTACAAGAAAACTTGCAAAAGATTGTGGATGATATCGAGGGCAAGGATATCATTGATTTCACCGATGAGCTCGAGAAGACCTTCGATATCGACATGTCTCAATTTGTGGACTCCCAGAAAAATGACTCCAATGAGAGCCTCAATGAGAAGCAACCGATCTTCAGAAGACCTGCCGACGCAGGAGCCGAAACTAGCTCATTAAGTCAATCGAAGTCGCCCGTCAGCGAGTCTGCAAGAGCAACCCCAATGCTCGGCGGAGTCGATCTCACAACGTTAAACCCAGCAATCACATTCCGTGAGCGCAAAATCTACACAAGTAGATACTACTTTGGAGATGATATCGAGCAGCGCAGAGCCAATGAGATGTACCTTGAAATCCACAGAACAAGGCATTTGGTTGGTAAGAGTTTGCACATCATCTTCAAATTCATGACCACCCACCTTTACGACAATATTCGCATTTTTAAACATTTACTTTACGTGCTTGATATATGGTTTGCTGACGTTGGTCGCGAGAGAAACTTGGATTACAGTCACTCTAGAATCTCTTTCAGATATTTGAGCGACATTCAAGAGCTCAACAGGATCAGGAAGCCATTCACAAGATTAACATTTGGAAGCAGAATCGAGTCATACCATCAAATGCGTGTGGCATTACACGCAACCTCAAGAAATATGTCTGACCTCGATCGCATTTTAATCGAGGACTTGTCAAGAGCTTCTTGTTCAACTTACCTGGCTATCGCCGACCGTGCACAGGCAACTTTGCTTGATGCTATGAAGCGTGTGAATAACTCCTACAATGTGATCATCAAGACGACTTTCAAGATCTTATCTAAGGCTTTAGATGAAGACAACCACAAGAAGATCGAGAGTGGATTGAGTATCTTTGAGCTTAAGCGCATCAAATCTAAGATGCAAGGAGACTTTACCTACCTTGGTAAGTACATCGATATTTTGCATCGTTCTATGCTCGTGGATCGTGTGGAAGTCAGCGATTTGGCACAAAAGTTGTTTCACAATCTATGCGGTGCCATTTCTTTACCAAGCAGGGTTTGCTTGATTGATGATGCCTTGGTCGACAGTATCAGACCTCCCGACGAATTCATTGATTTGGAAATTAAGGCAGTTACACTTGCGAAAGAGAAGAAGAGAGATGTATACTCCGACAAGCTCAGCAAAATAGAGGATGGGCTCATTGTTAATGAGAAGCAGAATAGTCACTGGAAACTAAGCTCCCTTAATTTGCTGTGCTTGATCGAGATCCAAGTCGAGTATGGTTCACCAACGAGAAATGATGTCTTCCAGGTATTGACCAAAGCTTCTTCAAGCGACCATCCACTAGTCTCACGCTTGGCTTTGAAAGGAATCAGCAAGTTGCTTAATAAGCTATTTTTGTTAGGATCTTTCGATTACAGCTTGGAGAATGCCTACGACTTGACTCATGTGATGAGGGACTACAAGGTCGTCGATACACTGCCAAAGAATGATGTATCATATTCTGAAACCTGGAAGAAAGAGCTCCGTAATGAAAGCAACCCTGATTACTTCATCGACCAAAAAGCCAATTGTGGTTGGCTCTTCTGGGATGACTCTATGGTTGCAGCTAGGCCAGAGCCGTTGATAGATCTCAATTTGAATGAGCAGGATCAACAAGTGCTCTCTGGCTTTGCGTCATGTGTAACACCAAAATGGTTCCGTAACATCGTGAACTTGTGGGTGACCGATAATGAAGCTAATGCTGCATTCCAAGGTACCGATGTTTTCGCAACCGCTGGCATTGTATCTTTGATTGCTACCGGGACAATTCAAAACTTCCTGTTTGAGGAGTTCTTGGAAATCGTGAGAGAGGTTTACGTTCCAGATGACAAGGGCTCACATATTGTTATTTGTGAATTGATCTCGGGTATGCTCATTGCATCGAAGAGCACTACACACGAAATGGCACAAAAGAGAGACGACTTTTTGGTTCCATTCTTGACCAATATCTTCGAAAAGGATTTGACATCTGAAACGAAGAATATCTGGACCATTTTCTCCTGGTGGGTGCCATCACACATTGACTGCAAGCGGTTCCCTAGAGTTACTAAGGTCTTGGTTGACTTCAAGCTCACAGATGATTCCGATTCCGCCTTGACAAAGGCCACTCGTTTGAGCTACCTTCGTTCTGTGGTTGTCTCCATGACTTGGGCGTTCCCTAATCCAGATGATATTCTTCAGTTGTGTTTCAGCAATCTTAACAACAAATACCAAGCTGTTAGAGAACAGATTGGCTCTTTGATTGCAGTGACGTCCTTTTCCTTTTACGGTGAATCGATGAAGGACAGTGCAACATTTGTCGATGCTTGCAATACCGAGCCAGAGTTGATGTACAAAAGAAGCATGAACCATCTTCTTTTCGAGAAGCTCCCGTCAATTTTCGACCAAATTGAGGTGTGGAGAAATGAAGTGAAGGACTTGCCAGCTCATGAAATCTTGAATTCCAACTACATTTGTGCCGCAACAACAGTCCTCAGCTGGTTGACTCAAGCCCTCAACACAAGTATTGCCATCCAGTACCAGGACTTTGTTAGCAAGTACATTGCCCCCTTCCTTTTGCATTTGACGGCCATGAAGGATGTGTGTCAGTTGGGAAACATTGAACCCATCTCAGCATTCAAAAAAGTTTCACAGATTCCTTTCGAACCTCATTGCTTGGAAGATGTGGTAACAATGCTTGAAGGGTACAGCAAGGACGGCTTGAACCACGTTCAGTACTTCATTCTTGGGGAATTCACAGAAACCATCTATTTCAAGAATCTTTTCTTCTTGACCAGGTCTCAGAGAGAGCGTATCTTTGAGTTGACTGTGACCTTGATGTACCACAAGAATGTTGAAATTCGTGAGGCCGCATCGTCGACCTTTTCTGGTTTGGTTCATACCTCGCCACCAGGAATTGTTGATGAGATTGTTGAGAACTACAAGAAGCGTTTTGTTACAGACTTGGACCGAGTCAGAAAGCAGCATCGGAAATCAGGATTCAAAAATGTCACAAACGCAGAAACCATTTCCATGCATGGAGCTACTCTCGGCCTAGGTGCCCTTGTTCATGCATTTTCATTCCATTCTCCACCGCCACCTTGGATTCCAGAGCTTTTGACACTCTTGTCCAACAAGGCATCGGGTGTTGTTGGAGTAGTTGGAAGAACAGCTAAGGATGCGTTGGGCAAATTCAAGAAAACCCGACAGGATACATGGCATGTCGATAGCAAGGTATTTTCCGAATCACAAATGCAAGACTTGGAAGGCGTTTTATGGAAGAGCTACTTCATTTGATTCACTGCATATCCTCCATTGGCCATGCCCATATATTATAATACACAAAAGATCACTTGACCGTTTGTAAAACATCAACGATGACTTGCTTGTTCGAATCAGAAAGTCCATCGAAGATCATGCTATGCAACTGAGGATTTTGGGATTGGAGAGACGAGTAAAACTCCTTCAAGGAATCAAACGGATTCAAAGAGTCCAATGGCGTAGTAGCCAAAGGATCCTCGTAAGCAGGCTCGTCCTCTTCAGCAAAACCAGATTGAGTCAACTTGTTGTTTTCCTGTTGCAAGAAATTAAGATACTCGTCAGTGGAAGCGTCGTTGGCTCCTGGAACATTCTCCTCATCGTCCAAGTCCTCGAACTCCTCCTCCACATTGCCGTAATGTCTATCGTACAACTCCTGAACATCTTCGGGTTGTTCGCTGAAATTGACTCTCTTTGTTTCAAATGCCTTGATGGCACCCGGCAAGGCTTTGTACAAAGTAGCCAAACTGGAGCCAATGTGTGGAGCTAGATTTGGAATGCTCAGAATGGCTTCGTTATTGTTCGATAACGAGATCAAGCCAAGGATGGACGCCTTGATATCGTAGACTCTCTTCAACATCGGAATGAGAGCAAACCAGAGCTCCATGAAGATGTTGAGATACTGACTTTGCTGTAAAGCAGCAAGAGTAGACGAGGAGTCGTAGATCAAGCACGAAACAATGAAATCGACCTTACCCACCGTCATGGCATTGTTCTTGATGTGTTTGGGGTCGTGCTTCTCCTTGACAATAACTGGGAAGACAGTTTCAAACAATTTGGGAAGGTAGCCGATAGAGTTACCTTGCAATGAAAGCACAAATGTCTGAGCCAAATCAAGGGCAAGAACAATGTCGTTGTAGCTCATATCCTCTTCACCCAGGATGATGATGGAGATGATGTTGAGCAAATGGCCAGCAATCTCGGGGTTTTCAGCAATGTCCTGGGGACCAAAAACCATGTAGTTGCGCAAACACTGGAACAACTCCTCGGTGTACATGAGGGCAATACCCTCGTCAAAAGACTTGACCAAAAGGCCAAAGTGGTTCCACATGACCGGGCTCACAGAGCGCAAAAGGAAGATGGAGTTTTCAATCAACTCGCCAATCTCCGCAAGGAAGTCGTCCAAGTTGTTTGCAAGAACGTACTCAATGACAGGCAGGAAGGTTTCCTCAAGACGAATGCAGATTTCCTTAGAGTTTTCAAACGACAAAAGCACTGTGATCATTGTGTTCAAAAGCCCGATGGCCGCCATGATCTTGTCTGAAGAGTCCATATAGTCACCGTCAAATTCATCCACATCGACATTAGCAGCGTCGTTCACCTCCACTGCCAACCGCATGAACTGGTTGACCAAATTCTGCATCAACTCCACGCCAAATGGCTGGAGCTGTTCGCTAAAGTTCTCAACACACTCTTGCATCACCATAGAAATCGCATCGTTGTCGATTTCCTTCGTGAGCTCAAGCAACTTGGACATGGTGGGAAGAATCAACTGAGAAAGCACGTTCCGGAACTTTGGAATGTACATGTACGCCTGGATGGCAAGAGCACTCTCCAACATCACAGCCAAGTTGACATCGCCTGCATCAGAACTGAAAGGTTTGAGGATTCCATGGAACAACGCCAGCAACATTTCAGCATCTGTGAAGTTGAGATCGGCAAACTTCGAAAAAACATCAAGCGTACGGGCCTGGAGAAATTCGTGCTGCGACGTTATGTTGGGCAAGACCAAGCCCTTCAAGAAACTCTCCATCTGGGTGTGGTAAGGCAGTTTTGGCGTCGTCAAGTAGTGGGAAACGCCTCCTATGAGACGCAAAGCACCCTCCTTCTTCTTGGCCACCTCCACGGTCTCCTGCTGCTCCTGCAAAGAAGAAAGCTCTCTGTAGACAAACTGCAACACCGGCTCCAAAGTCAGCTTTCTGCGTTTGCTGACCAAAGTCGCCAACAAGCCCAAAGCGGCGATATCGGGAGCCACCTCGTCGAAAGCGTCGAGCTTCAGGTTGATGTAGTCGTTGGGGTCCTCCTCAAACAATTCAAGGGTCTCGTCGGAAGGACACAAAAGTGGGTATATGAGATGAGACACAATGGTCTCGAAGTACGGCTTGACCAAGCTCCAAGATTCCTTCTGTGTCACACTGTGACTCAAAAACTCCAACAAATGGTATAAGGCGGTGCCAGGAAGCCAGCGGGCGCCTGAACACCACTGCTCCACGAGCGATAAATAGATGGACATGAGGTGAGGCACAAACTCCGAGACAAAAAGTGTCCGGAACCCGTCGTACTTCATTTTCGACAGCAAGTCACGCAGGCCGTAGCGGCGGAAAAGACGCTCCATATTGGCAATGGACCATTTGTAGCACTTGGACACCTCCAACTGGTTGCGTTCTCTTTCCAGATTGGCGTTTTTCACATACTCAGGAGTGGCCATTTTGATCACGTCACAGTGGAACTGGCCCCACGACGCAAGCGTCTCCTGGGTCTGAAGCACCTTGGGAAGATCGTAGTAGGTGACGAACTTGTACGTCTTGAGAATGAGCTTCAAGATTTCGGCATACTCTTCCGTGAGCTCCAGCGCCAAAAGAGCGTTTCCCACGTCAAGCAAGTGTGGGAACGCCTGCACGATCATGGGGTCCAAGTCCTGCTCCCGCTCCTTGTTGGAGATCCAGCGGTAGTATCTTGTGATTTCTGAAAAACACAAGACTCCCACGTAAAGCGACACCGGCGAGTCGTGCCGCTGCAAGGCCTCGGCCGTCTGGGGAAGAAGCTCGGGCCAGGCCGCTGGAAACTCGAAACTCACCAAAACACGCAAAACAGGCACCAATTGCTGCCTCAGCTGGTGGTCGATCTTGTGCATGGTGGGGATGATTCTGTCCTTGATGACGGGTTTTTCGCCGTCGTCGATACGGCTCGTTGGATGGTTCCAGTAACGCACCACCTGGTTCTTAAAGTAAACCGCCGCTGCCTGGCGTAAACCGGCATTGGAGGCGGATCCGATCACATCAAGACAGGCTCCGAGAAAACCGGGGTTTTTCAGAATGTACTTCAAGTTTTCTTCTGCCTTTTGGCGCACCGCCAGCGACGCCTGCAAAGTATCGGCAAAAAGCGCCTCGAGCTGTTGCGGGTCCATTGTGGGGGTGTTGATCTGGGAAGAAAGGGAAGCCGATTGGAAAAAAGCTTGATGGTGTAGTCCTGTGCGCAGGTCAGCACATGTCAGGTCCACGGATGAAGGGAGGCGTGGGGAGAAAGAAAGTGATGATTTTACGTTTTGAAGTTTGAGAAGAAGAAGAAAGAGTAGCTGGTTTTTTGTTTTTGTGATTTGGTGGTGGACTGGTTGGGTGGTGGACTGGTGGTGGTATGGCTGCGAAAGAGGGATGGACCCTAGTGCGATGGATGGTCCCTGGCCGATGGATGGAGGAGGTGGGGGATTTGATCGTAAAAGTGATATTATGTTTTGGAGTGTGGTTTTCAAAAAGATTCAAAGAGAAAACTGTTTTTCTTGTGGAAGTTTGAAAATTTCCCGCAAAGTATTGGGGAGAGTGGAAGGTGAATTTGGGGGCGGTATGTGCACGGTCCAACAGCTAAAAACATATAGGTTGTGTTCTAGCCTTCAGCTTTTTACTTCTGACGTATTTTCCTGGGGATTCTGATTTTTTAAAGTTTGGCAAAGTTTATGGGGTACTCGGGTATTGGCAGAATGGCTGCAAATGATCCGAACCGAGGGAGTAGTCAGATGATGGGATTTTTGAAAATGGCTACGAACCCTTGGTGTGTGAGATTTTCCTTTTGATTTCAAAGTCTATATTGTGACTTTTGGGGGACTTGCTTGTGGCAGCGGGCCTTATCCATGAGGTGTAGTTCAAATTGCACACGATCAAGGGCCACAGGGTGCTCTTTGCAGAACCGCCGGATTTGATGATCTGCGTGACAATAGACCTTGATGCTAGCAAGTAATTGCCTTAGTTACCCCACTGAGAGGCTCTACTTTCAAAGTCACTGGACATCTCGGCCTCCGGGTATAGGAGCACTGGGACTCGACGACAAGAACGCAGCCAATGACCCTGGAATCACTCAATCGCTTGTTTGAACCTGTTCCTCAGACCAGTCACTTGGTCCAAATCACTGACATTACCAAGCACGGTAACACCTCCAACTGACAGCTCCATCTAGCCCCCAACTAGCTCAACCCAGCACCCTAATAGTTTCCCTGCTTCTTGGCAGCCTCCGTGTGCTCGTCAATGTCAATGGCATCCCACGGATAAGCAATCCACACATCGTCAACATCCGTGCCGGCAATGTACCTGCCCTTCTCCCTGAACTCCTCAGGAAGCTCTGCTCTCTTCTCCTTGCGCTTGTTGTGAAGCACAAACACAGAGAACTTCGTCGTGCCCTGCTTCCCCGTCTTCTCCTCGATCTCTCTCACATCCCTCTCCAACTCGGTCACCGCATAGTGCAACGTGGTTCTGGTATCATCCACCTCATCGACAATAATCACATTCTTGCCAATAAGCATATCCATGTGCTGGCCCAAGCTGCCGAAATCCAACCACTGTGTTCTCACCACCTCCTTGCCGATCTTCTCCTCGTCGCCCATCTGCTCGTACAACGAAAGCCCGATGGCCTGGATGGGGATGTTCTTCTTGCCTTCTTCTTTCAAGAAGGAACGGAGGATTCTGGCTGGGATGAAACCGCCGCCTCCAATTGCCACAATGAGGTCCACCAGCTGGCCCAAAGCTTTGATTTCCTGCGCCGCCTGCTGGCAGAGTTTGTGCACGATGTTGTAGGAGATGTAGAGTTTTGACATGTAGTTGATGTGCGATGGATGCGATGGTGAGGTGATAAGGGTGTGGAGGGGTGGGGTGGAAAAAAGGGAGGATTGGCGGATTTGGTGGTTGAGTTAAGTTGAATTGAGTTTTGTGGATTGGGGAAATTGGGTATGTTTTTTCGGGTGGGGGTTTTGGTGAATCGTGGTTGGAACGTCTGATGGTGGGGTGATGCTTAATGGGGGTAAGTGATCAGTGGTTAGTGAAGTTTTTGTGATTTATCGAAGAATGTATTTTGGAAGGGAGGAGGTAAAAGTCTTTACAACAATTGAGTCTACTTCTTTTGAAATAATTCAAATTGAATAGTGAAGTTGATCGGATGGCATGGTTGTGAGGTCCAGGAGTGAAAATTCTGAAAGGCGATCAAAAAGTGATTCTTTGAAAGGACGAGGTTTTGCTCATTGCAAGAATTATGTGTATTTCTTGAGAAATAAATCAAAAGGAATTGTGGAGTAGCTGGTTGGTTGTCATGGCGTGGAGGTATCATAGACGTTCACCAGGAGGTGAAGAAGACTAAAAAGGACAGACATTAATTTTTAGCATTATCTTCTTTCACTAATTTAGATAAATTGCTTCAGCTTTTACAACTGAAGTCAAAAAGGCCATGTAGTTCAATCGTGCTATTCACATTGCCCTGATTCTGCCTCCTCCAACTTACCAGTGCACTGGAAATATACCAGAGACATCAAAATCTGCTCAAGAGCTGCTTCTGTGCAAATTCGGATATCATACATTAATTGCAGCCCAAAAGAACCACAATCGGAAGTCATTCTTGGTTGTTCTTCGTGGCTGCAAAATCCTCAATCAAGAGTCATATTCATCACACCACCAGTATATCCCGCCAATTACACTCGGCCACCTACACCGTTGCTTCATGCGTCTTCATTAGTCTATCTATTCCTCGTCAAAACTGACGAACTCGTCCTCGGAGCCCTCGGCAGCAAAGCTCTCCTCGATATTATCAACGCTGTCAAAGTCGTCGTTCTCTCCGTTGGCATACACAATCAGCTCCTCCACGTTGGACTCGGCAGCATCGTCGTCAGCGTCAAACTCATCGTCACTTCCGTCTTCGGAAACCTCAGCCTCAGCCACCTGGGTTCTGAATTCAGCATGCGATTTGAGCAAGTGCAAACGGCCTTGAAGCGCCAATAACCTCAGCATCATTGTCATGCCGTCCTCGAAGCTGCGCTGGAGCTTCTTGAGATTGTCCCGTAGCAGATCCTGCTTCAGAATGTAGCCACCGTGGGTAAGCAAAATCCACTTGAGCCAGAGGGAAAGCAGACTTTTGCTCAGAGGGTCAGATGCCACTTTGGTGCTGACGATGCTGAACAAATTCTTCACAAGCACCTCTCTGTCGTCGCTTTGCGAGAAAAGCCTGAATGTCTCTTTTATGCTTTCCTCGTCGTCGTTGCTGGAACAAAGACGCACCACTTTGGTCTTCAGCACTTTTTTAGCAGTCAAGAGACCGGAAAGGCTGCTGTAGAGCTCCAGCGGAGGAAGATTGTCAATCTCAACGGGGCGGACGCTATCTAGAGTGACGTCTGGCGAAGCTTCCTTTTTGGTTTTCTTCTTTTTCGGTGTGGCCTGGATTTGAATGTCCTTGGTGAGCTCCGAGATGGCCTCGAACTCGGGCTGGTTTCTATCGTACAAGACGGCCACGTAGGCCGATTTTTGGGAAAAGAGGTTTTCCACAGCACCGTGCACGGTGGAGGTGAGCTCCAAGCCGGTGTATATTTCGGTGACGTTGGCTGAAACCACCGCAACCTGGTTTTCGCTGATTCTGTTGATTTTGGCGATTTCACCGGCACTTTCAAGGGTGCCAATGTGCTCGTTATTTTTGCTCAAATCGTAAACTTCCACGTTATTGCTGGCTTCTGTAGCCACATATAAGTACAGTCCAGCTTGTTGAAGCGCTGAGACCGGGCCGTCAGTCTGGATCTTTCCAGAAAGCGACTTTTTCACAGGATCGTAAAAATTCACAGCCAGGCCGCCAAGAGCAACAAGCTCTCGAGAACCAGCAAGGTGCTGGATGCAAGTGTATGAAGATTTGGGCACCTTGATGGTGGTGGATATGCTTTGCGAGGAAATGCTGTATTCTATGAGGGCGCTGGGAAGGTGGGCCCAGAAGGATCCTGGGGTTCTGGAGCCAGCCACAAGCTGTACTTTTTTCAATTCTGTGATTCTGTGCAACGGCGTTTCTGAGTATGGTGAAAGCACCAAGACTTCTGAAGAATCGAGAACCACGGCCAAGAGGCCCTGGGGGCCCGTGGGAACTTCTTTTTCCAGCAGGCCGTTCGATTCCGCTTGTCTCTTTTTCAGCTTCTTTTTTGTTCCCGCCTCCACGTCGTTGAACCACGAAACACTGGTGATTTCTGCCAGGGCATCGAGGTCGAATCTCTGGACCAACTCATCGGAGACCTGGCCGTTTTCGCCCGGGAAAACACGGATCTGGACCTCGTTACGGGCCTTTTTCACAATCACACTCGCCACAAACAGGCCGCTGGCGTCGGCGGTGCTGAAGGCAGTCATGGTTAGAAAGGTAGGTTTGGAAAAAAATAAGAGCCGCGATGCCCTCATGCACAGGATCCCATGGTAGTAGGATGGAGGGAGGAGGATTGGGTTTTGGGGAGATGAAGAAAATTAAAAATGTAATTTTTATGAATTTTATGAATTGAATTGGTTTGATCTGATTTTCAGGCTTTCAGAGGAGCATTTTGTGTGGAATTGGTGGGTGCTTCATTGGCTGCGAAATCGAGGAAAGTAGTGATGAATGGATAGAGGACATGAAAATGTAAGAATTTGTAAAAAGCTTGATAGAAACATTTTTGTTTTTGATTTCAAGTATGGTGCCTTTCATCTCCACAGTTTGAGTTCGTGTGATTCTGGATGCTGGTTCTGGAATGGTGTATAACAAATAGATATGGGTCAAGCAGTCCAGCTGATTCCACGAAGGAGGTATAGATTGGTTGATTTTCCAAGAGCCTAGATGTTACTCACAATGCTCGAAGCAGGAGTCCTATGTTGAAGTTGAAGTTTGAATTCGGAGAGCTGTTACTGTTGGAGATATGGATGCTAGCCTAATGGCAGTGAACGGTCCACTCTAAGAGAACATAGCGAGAAATTCGTGTTTTTTCTTCAATTGGTAAAGCTTTTAAAAATGCTGGTTTCAACGATCTGTTACTACTGGAATGTAGAAGAGTTCAGCTGAACTGCCAGGAAAGTACCGCTGAGCATAAGCCCATCGCAGCCTCATCGGGCACTGGGAGGTGCAACGAAATTAGCAATTATCAAAAGAATGGCAAAATTCGCTTTTAATGAATTAAACGGCTGAACCCATGTTATAGAACCTGCCTGAGCGGAAGCTTATGTGTTGGTCTTCATGCACTTCAGCTACCGATTTAGGAATATACCATTCCGAGGAACATCCAACTTTTGAAGCATAGTGGAAAAGTGAATCTCGTATCTACATTTACAAAAGAAGTCAAAGAATAATACCCTAACTGAAGCAGTCAGAGGAGCCCAAGCACCAATTTTGCAGCCATGCTGAATATAAGCAAAGACTTTTCAAAAAATTCCCCGCAATTGAAACATAAACGTGACAATTTGGGAGCGAGAGGAAGTGCTTTCAATGTGTGTGAATATATTTTTCAAAACATCAATTTAGTTACCACAGGAGGACCCTTGTGGTTTGCGGCATGACAATACCCTGCGCTATGAGTGGGCCGACGTCACACCCGTGCACCACCGAAGAACACCTTCATTTTTGGCATCTGTGGCTATTGAAAGCATTTTGAAGTTCTAGAATAAAAAACGAGAGCCGTGTAGAGGAAAAAGTCAATAAATTCATGGCTGAAGCACGGTTTTTGAAAGTTTTTCATCGAGACCACGTGATACTACCTGGCTCGTTAGCCGGCCACCAGTGCCCAATTTGTACCTTCTGAAGCATCAATTAAAGTCCATTTTTACCAACCCTCTAGAAATAATACAAGCATTGGCTCCCCTGACACTGGGACTCCCTGGACAAATTGGGCATCTCTTGGTCACGTGACCACAGACACACTACCTCTCAAACCCGCCACCTCTTCCCCCAAACGCTTCTCAACTTTCTACGAAATTGATCTCGTAATTGCATTGAGCTAAATCACCGTTGCCTGAATGTATGCCACCCCGGGAACCCCCGTTTCTTTAAGGTTCGATCGACTTCGGCCTGCACACACTGCCCCACCGTCTCATCGACACTTTTTTTCGCAACGAACCAAGACCTCACTCTCGAAACCTTTTTCTTCTAGAAACCATGTCTGCTGTTTCCGCCTCGAAAGCCAAAAGAGAAGCCAAGCGTGCCGAAAAAGAAGCCGCCAAGGCCGCCGCAGGAAAGTCGACCAAAAAAACGAAAAAGCAGGCCCAGAAGGATGCTGAGGACAAGGATGTCGATGACGCTGCTGCTCAGATTGCCAAGTTGAAGATGCAAACCGACGAGCACGGCTTGTCTGACCGTGTCACCACCGGTGTTTTGGACTCCTTGGAGACCTCGCGTGATATCAAGATCTCGTCTCTCTCGCTTTTGTTCCACGGTAAGGTGCTTATCCAGGACTCCACTATGGAGTTGAACTACGGTAGAAGATACGGATTGTTGGGTGAAAACGGATGTGGTAAGTCCACTCTTTTGAAGTCGCTCGCCGCCAGAGAGTACCCCGTGCCTGAACACATTGACGTGTACCTTTTGAACGAACCTGCTGAGCCTTCGGAGCACTCCGCTTTGAACTATGTGGTCAGAGAAGCTGAGGCCGAGCTCAAGCGTATGGAGGACCTCGTGGAGGACATCATCGTGAAGGACGGCCCCGAGAACCCAGCGTTGGAAGGTTTGTACGAGAAGATCGACTCCATGGACCCTTCCACTTTCGAGTCTCGTGCGGCTGTGATCTTGACCGGTTTGGGCTTCACCCCAATCACCATCAACAAGAAGACCAAGGACATGTCGGGTGGATGGAAGATGCGTGTGGCTCTTGCCAAGGCGCTTTTCGTCAAGCCCACGCTTTTGCTTCTTGACGACCCTACTGCCCATTTGGACTTGGCTGCCTGTGTGTGGTTGGAAGAGTACTTGAAGAGATGGGAGTCCACCTTGATTCTTGTTTCCCACTCCCAGGATTTCTTGAACGGTGTCTGTACCAACATGATCGACATGAGATTGAAGGTGCTTACCCAGTACGGTGGTAACTACGACTCTTACGTCAAGACCAGACAGGAGTTGGAGACCAACCAGATGAAGCAGTACCACAAGCAGCAGGAGGAAATCCAGCACATCAAGAAGTTTATCGCTTCCGCCGGTACCTACGCCAACTTGGTCAGACAGGCCAAGTCCAGACAGAAGATCTTGGACAAGATGGAGGCCGATGGTTTGATCCAGCCTGTGGTTCCCGACAAGGTTTTCACTTTCCGTTTCCCCGACGTCGAGAAATTGCCTCCTCCAGTGCTTGCGTTCGACAACATGTCCTTCTCGTACTCTGGCAAGGACGAGGACAACTTGTACGAAGGCTTGGACATTGGTATCGATATGGACTCCCGTGTGGCTCTTGTGGGTCCCAACGGTGTGGGTAAGTCCACCTTGTTGAACTTGTTCCAGGGCAAGTTGACCCCTCAGAAGGGTAGAGTCATTCAGCATACACACATCAAGTTGGGTGTCTACTCTCAGCACTCTCAGGACCAGTTGGACTTGACCAAGACGCCTTTGGAGTTTGTGAGAGACAGATTCTCCCACATCTCTCAGGACTTCCAGTACTGGAGACAGCAGTTGGGCCGTTTCGGTTTGACTGGTGAGGGCCAGACCTCTCAGATGGCCACCTTGTCGGAGGGCCAGAGATCCAGAGTTGTGTTTGCTCTTTTAGCCATTGAGTCGCCCAACTTGATTTTGTTGGATGAGCCCACTAACGGTTTGGACTTGTCCACCATCGACTCCTTGGCTGACGCCATCAACGGTTTCAACGGTGGTGTTGTTGTCGTGTCCCACGATTTCAGATTGTTGGACAAGGTTGCCAAGGACATTTTCGTCATTGAGAACAAGACTGCCACCAAATGGGAGGGCTCTATCTTGGACTACAAGAAGAAGTTGGCCGCTGAGGTGGTTCTCTAAATTTAACGGTTTGTATTTAATGGTATGCGGGTCAAACACGAGTTTGTTGGTGTAGTTTTGGGATTTTCTGAAATGGTTGCAAAAATGTCGTCCCTCATGACGAGTTGCCAGTGGGACGCAAGTGTAGTAAATAAGTTCGAGAATTGGGAATGGCTGCAAAAAATGTCGCACTTCATGGGGTGAGCCGTTTAAGGGCCTGTTTTCAGAGCGATTTAGTCGTCGAAGGAACGCTATCGTCGAATAGTTCAAAAATTAGAGGATTCATCAAAAAAAATGGACGAGTCCGGATTCGAACCGGAGACCTTTCGCATGCTAAGCGAACGCGCTACCAACTACGCCACACGCCCTGAGAGAAGTGGTCCCTAGCAGGATCGAACTGCTGATCTTGGCGTTATTAGCACCACGCCTTAACCAACTGGGCCAAGGGACCGACTTGTTTTGATGTAAGACGCAGGTTATTTATGTCGTTTATATAAAAACGCTATTTCCGCACCTATAATTTTGGATATATACCCATATAATGAAATACTTAGTCAAGTTTGACTGGTATTGTTAAAACCTCAGTTTTCGGCTGTTTAAGCCGTCTTTTTGCCGTTTTTTGATTTTCAAGCTGTATAAAGCCATACAGAGACTTATGGTGGAATTTTATAAATACTGGAACTCCATATTTTTGGTTATATTAATGCACCCATGGGTTTTCGATACTTCCTCATTACTTATGGATGTGTTTCGATGAATTTGCTGAATGAGGCCGTCAAATGGCTACCAGTGCTCATTCAAGTTGTTTGATAGTTTCCGGCTTCACTAGAAACAATGGGAGTGTGTTTGAAACCACTGAGTTAGCATTGACCTAATCGACGATACTCCAGCTCAATCATGAATCAACCCAGTCCATCTCCACCAACTCCAACTACAAAAACCGAAATAAACCTCCATCTACACGCCATTTCCAAAATCACATCAAAAGCGCTCCTCCCCAACCAATTTCATCCATACGGCCTGCATTGTCTATGTATACTTGTCTAAAGTTTTGGGCCCGTTGAGAATCGACTCCTCGTAGTTATCGAGGTCAATGTCCCTGTAATGCGGAAGGTGTCTGGGCACGTTTTCAGGGGCCAAATCTGGGTACTCCTTTCTGATGAGCTTGATCAAAGCATCATAGAAGACCTCGTAGGCCCGAGCTGAGTAGTGGACACCGTCAAACAAGTACTCGCTCAAATCAGGGCTGCCCAGCAAGAGCTCGTCGGAAGACCAGCCTCCGTTTTTCTGGAAAAGATACCACAAGTCGAGAAATGGCAACTTGTGGGCCAAGGCAACCTCCCATGCTGCGTCCGCATACTCCCTGGTGTTTTTCGAGCTGGAGAACGGCCCATCAAGCGGTCTGCCTTTCGCCTCACAGGCATCAATGAAAAGCTTCTGGCCGTGAAGAGCCGGGCCCACAATCACAAGCTTGATGTCCCTCTCCAATGCCAACTTGACCATCGTCTCCAAGTTCAGCTTGTACTCCTCAATCGGCACGCCCTGGAAACCGAAAGAAGCATCATTGGTGCCGAGGAAAATGTATGCTAGGCGGATTTTGCCCGGTCCCTCCAGCTCCGCGTCCAAAACCTGCTTGAATATAGGGAGTGTCCAGCGTGTGTTGTAACCTGAGAAACCTCGCTTGACAATGTCCAATTTTCGGGTGTAATCGTCGGCCAACTTGGCAGCTAGCGAAAACCCGCCCTGGTAATGGGAGAACTCGGTGATTGAGTCGCCAAAAAGTAGAAACTTGTCGAATCTAAGTGCCATGGGTTTGTTTTGTTGTGGTGGGTGCAAATAGTTGGGGGTGCAATTTATGCCGGCCGACCGAGGCAGTATAGGTACGACTGTGGCACGGGAGTTTCGACAATGGCCAAGTTGACTTGTGACATTGGGCACTTTGAAGATTAGACGAGGGAAAAGTGCTACTTAAATTGGCATTGGGAGGGTCTTGTTAATTTTGTATTTTTTCTTGGAGATGTGGTGGGGTAGACCGAGGGGTGTGCCGGTATGGCAGCCAGGGCTTATTTTGACGTTAGCGGGACCAAAATTGTGTTTAGGCTTTTTTAAGCGAGGTTTTGATGGGAAGGAGGGGAACACTTGGAGAATAGCTTGGGGATAATGGAGGTTGGTCTGAGGACTCATATGGGCCATTGACGGGTTTTGCCTCCATTGTCGGACCGAGTATTTCCGAATATGCGATTGTGTTTTTGATTTCTACCGATTGAATCGAATTGATCCGTTTGGAGAAGAAGCATTGACGGCGGGTCTATTTTGGGGGTGTCCTGGCAGGTGAAACCACGAAGCCATGTCTCATGGAATGAAATGCGGCTCGATGCTCAAGTGCCACCGTTCAGGGCATGAATTGGTGCTATCAAAAAAATTGATTTTTCAGATGAAGTCCAATTATCAAAGCACGGCGGAAGATACAGCGGTCACTGATCTCTCGTCACAAACAGCACGAAGAAGTACCACACCAAAGGATAGAAGATCTGGGTTGCATCAACAATGGAAACCAAAGCATGGAGAAAGCTGCTACTTTCAAGTCCCTCGTATAGTGTGCCCTCTCATACTAGCGCAGGAAATAGCACGAATGTTGTCACAAACCACGATATCACCCTGACGAAGTGGAGGATGCAACTTCCAAAAAGTGGAATGTCGAGGTAGAACGTTTTATCGCCGAGTCTCCATCCCTGTGCAGCTGCTACTACAATCCAGGCATCAAAAAAGAATGAAACGGTGAAGAGGAATAACCGGAATATCCAGTCTGGCGGGAATTCCACACCCAAATGAAACTTCAACCCTTTGATGACATTCACGCTCAGCGAGTCAAATTCTTTTCTTTTCTCTCCAAATATCTGTTCGTGAAGTGTCTCCCTCTCCACCTCGGTTAAAGCTTCTACAAGCAGGTTCTTGAACCCGACAGTCCAGGTTTCCACGAAACCCTCCACATCATCCACATCCAGGATCTGTGCAACCAAAGAGCCCAAATCCCTCAAGAAAGCAACAAAAGGGAGGTCCTTCAGGAAACAAATCTTCTCGGTTTCCTCTGTTTCACGGCACAAGTTGGAAAAGTAGAAGTAGTATGTAGTTTTTCCGTGGGGCCATCGCAGAGATAGCATGGAAGCAGCATCACCTGTGGATCCTTCCTTGACATTTTCAAAAGCATTGATTGCGTTTTGCATCACATTGATCCATCCATTGGAATCACTATTCGAGATCTTCTGAAGCGCAATTGGGGCCAGTGTTCCGAGAAAAAAGTTGCTGAATATGACAAGATTTAGCAGGTACCAACTTATCATCACAAATGTGATCAAGACTTTGGAGATACTGAATTTTGGCTTGAAGTGTGGGGTTTCGGTTGGCTTGTTCGGGCTTGAAAGAAAGGACCTCATTTCGATCGAGTTGTCCTCGTCACTGGTCTTTTTGAAGGATGACATAACATGCTTCCCAAAGGCTGTCTAATGGTCAATTGACTTTAATTAGAAAGGTGTTGGCGGATTGGAATGTGTGCAAAAAGTTGAAGATCACCTACATCTGCATGGTTTTGAGCACCGCTAATCTATGAAATTAGCACCTCGTAAATTGATGGATTATCGGGAATGCAAAATCACAAGTTCTACAAAGTTGACTCAAAGGCATGAGCTGAACAAAAGCAAATCTCGTTCTACCAACGACTCAAGTGATATAGCTTGATGGCGGTGCTGATGAAAATGTTAGCACTCGATCAACTCATTCACTTGGAATTCTACCTCTCTTCCGTGCAAGTATAGAATGAAGCGAACAATAGAAGACTATCCAAAAGATGAGATAATATCCTTGCAAACCGTAGAATGTCTCGTTCACGCTATCGCAAAAAGAGCCATCGAGACTATCATACAACACAATCGGTAATATAGTAGTGCGACCCATGAGATATCCATAGATAAACCTGGTCAAGTGGACAATAATACCCACAATCGAGGGTAGGTTGAGCAAAAGAGATTCCTCGTCAACATCAGCCAAAAACGCTGCTGTCATCATGATATCGACAATGACTGAGACAATGAAAAGACCCAACTGGATCTTCCATGCTCTCCCGTAACCTGTGTGCTTTAAATGGCGCCTCAATATCTTCATCATATAGTCTTCCGCTTTATTTTCTCCGAAGACCTCATTTTGAATCTTTATTCTTTCTTGCTCTGTGAATGCATCTTCCACGAGATCCTTCAAGCGGTTCAGCCAATGTTGCTGGAAGCTCTCCACATCTTCTACTCCAAGATGCTGCGCAGTCAAGAACCCCATATCCTTTACAAAATCGTAAAACGGAGAAGCCCCTTCGTAACAGACTCTCTCCAATCCCTCTACCTCCCTGCACAAGCCCGAGCTATAGAGCGAGTATGTTGTTTTCCCATACGGCCAGTACAGGGGAATGACGGATGCTGCTGAACCTGGAGAACCTTTCTTCGCAGATTCAAAAAAGCGAACGGATGCCTTCATGACTTGAATCCATCCATCGGTATCTTTATTCCAGATCTTCTGAATTGGAATGGGAGCCAGAGTTCCAAGGAGGTAATTGCCAAATATGAATACATTAGCCGCATACCAGCAACACAGCTATTGATGATATAGCAAACCAAGTGATGCAATTGGGTATGATGTCGTTCTTTTCTGGCTCCTCGATACTTTCTGGAATATCCTTTGTATCCATGACACTTTTTTCGGCGAGATATGGGTTGTCAGACATGGTTTTGAGGTTTTTGATTGCAGTTGTGAGGGTCAATTTGATGAACAAAAGGGCAATTCGAGGGGCTCAGTTGCACATACAAGCACCGGTCAGGCTTCTGGATTTGGTGCGTCATAGCATGAAAAATATTCTTGAATAATTCCACGAACTGCCCGTTGTCTCGACCTTCCTTGAGCGCAGGTCATGGGTGAACGCAACCTCAGGAGTGAAAAGTTGATGATCCTGCCGCTGAAAGGTCTGATTCTCCTCCACATATAATCTATATTGCCATGAGTAGCTCTGAAAATGGCAGCCAAAAATAGACAGATGAGAGTCTGTCTCACCATCTAGGAAGGCCCATTGGGATCCATCAACTTCCGGCAATCCCAACCAACACCACGGCAGGTATACAAATTACCGAACCGAAAATATCATTCATGTCATTGGACAATTCAATGTCCTCGATCACCCCTGGTAATTCCTCAACGTATGCTGTTCTCCTTCCAGCCCAGACTCCTCGCCTGTTCTAGTAACCGGTCAAGCTCGGCCTCGGGATCAAACTCCTCCGCAACATCCTCTTCTTCCTCTTCCAGCTTCTTGTGCTTTCTTCTGGCCTTTTTCGTCCTGTTCTGCTTCACCATCCGCTCTCGTTTCGCCAACACAGCCGTTCTGCAGTTTTCCGGATCCTGCTGCTCCTCGAGCCAGAGTGCTAGAATCTCCCGGGCCCTTTTTCGGTTCTTCTCCTGTGACCGGGAGTACTGACACGTCACGACCTTCCCTGTGGGAATATGGGTGAGTTGCACCTTGGAGTTGGTTTTGTTGATCTTCTGGCCTCCGGGGCCGCGTCCGCCTTTTATGAATTCCTCATTGATTTCTTCTTCCTTTATAAGCCACAAGGGCCGAGGCGGTAGTTTAGTTTTTTTGGGGATTGCCGCTAGGCGGGTTAGGCTGGAGAAGTTTCGAATCATAGTGAGCGCTGCAGGTTTATCAGTATTGATGCGGGTGGGGTGGAATGGGTGCAAAATGGGGTATGGATTTGTGATTGGATGGATTGGTGATTTGGGATTTGGGGTTTGGGGGTTTTTGATTTTGAGAATTTCCGGGTTTTTGTTGTTTTAGTGGTCATTTGGTGAAATTAAGGGGACTTGGTTGTGAAAGGTGGGTCTGGAAGAATGGTGAATGAGTCCACAGTGAGACAGCTCAATAGTGGAAATAAGAGCTCATCGCCAGATGGACCAATTCTTCAAAAGACGATGTAAAAATCGCAGAAGCTCATAAAATCCTAGATCAATTGAAAGAAACTGCTGTGAAACGTATGGACGGGTTTGCAGTAGATTGGGTGACGTTGTTGGTTGAGGTGAGCTAGCATATGTGCTCAGATGTCTCACAAAAGAGCTGTTTGAAAGCTAAAAGTTCGTTTGAAGGGTTTTTACTTCAATCTCTACTTGAGTGCTCGAATGCCAGGTTTCTCGATGCTGGTGTTTCATACCTCAGATTCTGTACTACTTGATGAGCAGGACAGAGGCTGAGAGAAAGTTATTATGGACAATAAAGCTTTTTTTCGTGAATCTCACGGTTTTTCCAATTGCTAAATCATCTGGAGAGATCGACGATTACTTGATGCTGCCCAAGATCCTTGGGACGATCATCTAAACCCAATGGCAATGGCAATTGCACACTCACATAGGCAGACCGAACGACACTATGAAGACATCCAGGTATTCAATAAATTCATTAATAGTCCAATTTTTTTTCTTTTTTTTTTTTTTTTTTTTTTTTTGACTTATCACCCAGACTACCTCCACCTTGTTCACATACCATCACTGTGGCAATACTACCTCTTGCTCAGACCATCCGATCCATCCTCCATTCAAATAGCTCGATTGAAAAATTTTTCAAAAAACAAGATCTTCCAAGAATTGAAACAAAGGAATGCGATTACGGAGCTCCTTTCAGAGAAGACCCGAATTTCCCGAAATATAGCTCCATGGTCCATCCACCCACGCCCATACCAACGAATCCAACTCACACCGTAAACGCAGCTTCCCATTTTTGTTCAAGCACCACCGCTAAAAACACACTAGCCTATCGACGCCACCACTCGTATTTCCCAAAAAGGCATAATTCAGGCCGCCTTGCAGAAGCCACCATGCTTTGTGCTTCCTGGCTGCAAAAGCTGAACCCTGTCCATGAACTGAGTCAAGCAGCGATTAGTAATTGATGATAGTTGATATTCTATGGTTCAATTACCAGCAAAGCTTGACCAGCCAAAGCCTCTTAAGGCTACCCTAAGTCTACCTATCCCACCCTCTACTTCCAGAGTCCACCCCAGTGTTGAAACATGAGTTTCTGACAATATAGCCTACTGGGGAGTTCCTATCGTAGAAAGAACTTTGAAGATTCACTGAAGACCATCTAAAGTAGAAGTCATCTCTTTGGTTAAATAAACGTTTCGGTGTCTTACCTATGGGTGTCTACCCTTAACCCACCTCTAGAATCCACCTCTAAAACGCTTCTTCAAAACCCTCCTAAAAGCTAACTCAAAATCGTCGCCCTCGGCTCTCTCGGACTCCACGTATACTGCACTTCCGTGTGGGTGGTCCACAATCGCTTCTACACAATGGCTCATTCTCCACAATCCAATGCACAGCTCCACCTCCACTAAAAATCTGTACATCTAAAATGAAGCACGATTTCGAAACCATTGACCATGGACCAATCTTCTGTTCATGACTGACCAAAACTCCATTCATGTTTCTTCTCTTTCTTATCTCCTGCTTCGCTTGCCTTCTCTCCATGCAACGCTTACATAAACAATGTCTCAGGTCAGTTGGATGGGAGCGATTCCGTGAAGCGATTCCGTGAAGCGATTCCATGAAAAGACTTATTGTGAAACCTTCACGAAACCATTAGTCAGAATTAGTAAGCCAGTGTGGCAGTGAACGAGTCGTATAATGTCGCATTTGCACCCAATCCGGGCACTCCCAGATTCCCTTTTTTTTTAAAAATGTTAAAGCTTAAGCGAAAAAGATCAATCAAAAAAGACAGCGTTCAGCTGGATTTCACCAAAATCCACCCCCACTACAACCTGGAAATCCCCCACGAATCCCACTTCGCCCGATTGGGAAAATCAGCAGATATGCCGGCGCTTCGAGACCGCTGATTCGACACCTAGAGCTCTCGGCAGTTGCCACTGCCAAGCACAAACCGACAAGCGTAAAAATCCAGGTGTTACGGTGGAAAATATGGAAAATCCGATGTATGCGTTTCGGACGGAAGGGTCCCGATTTTCCACCACCTGTTCCAAAGTGGTGAGATGCACCTGGGCCTGCTTACAGACGATAAAGGCGGGGGATTTCCATGAAGGCGGGGGTTTCCCAGAACCATAAAAGCGGGGGTTTCCCAAAAATCAAAAAAAAAAAAAAAAAAAAAAAAAAAAAAAAACATTTTCTTTTTTCCCTCCTCTTCTCTACCGCCAAACTTAATTCTAAACCCTACCCGATCAAAGGCTTGGCCGTGCACCCTGACATCATACCCTAGCTCCAGGTGGTCGCACTAAACTTCACCGCCCTAATTATCGCACCAACTACTCACTCCACTTTCTTCCACAATGTCAAAACAGTACACCATTGTGATCAAGTTGGGCACGCTGTCCCTCGTGGACGAGGTGACTCGTGAACCCCGGATCGCCAATTTGTCGAATATCGTGGAAACCGTTGTCAAACTCAGAAGAGCAGGCCACCGGATCGTCGTGGTGCTGAGTGGCGCCATTGCCTTTGGCATGAAGAGGGTCAACACCCAGGACAGACCCAAGCAGTTGGCGGCGTTCCAGGCGTTGGCCTCGGTGGGCCAGGGCCGCTTAATTGGCCTTTTCGACGACTTGTTCAGACAGTTGAATCAGCCCATTGCCCAGATCTTGCTCACCCGAAACGACATCGTCGACTTTGCCCAGTACCGAAACGCCACCAACACCTTGAACGAGCTCTTGGCCATGGACGTGATCCCCATTGTCAACGAAAACGACACGTTGAGCGTGGCGGAAATCAAGTTTGGCGACAACGACACGCTTTCGGCCATCACCGCAGGCATGATCCACGCCGACTATCTCTTTTTGATGACCGACGTGGAGTGCTTGTACAGCGACAACCCGCGTCTGAATCCCGAGGCCGAGCCCATTGTGGTGGTGGACAAGATCGACGACATCACCGTTAGTACTGAGGAAGAGGCTGGCGGAAGCAAGGTCGGCACCGGCGGCATGACCACCAAGCTCATTGCCGCGGAATTGGCCACCAACGTGGGCGTAACCACCATCATCACCTTGTCCCTGCAGCCCCACTGCATCTTGGACATTGTGCTGAACATCCAGGACACAGACGAGAGCTGGACTCCGGCGCAGCAGGCCAAGTTCGTCGAGCAGGAAATCGACAACGGCAACATCCCCTTGCACACGCGGTTCTTGGGACTTCCTCGCGACCAGCAGATCAAGCTGGATAGACGTTTCTGGCTCTTGCACGGTCTCAAGACCAAGGGCACCATCTACATTGATCGCGGCTGTTTCCAGGCGCTCACCAGGAAAGACAGAGCTGGGCTTTTGCCTGTGGGCGTTGTGTCTGTCGAGGGCAATTTCAATGTCCACGACTGTGTGTCGATTGAGGTGTTGCCTACTCGCGAGAGCGATCCAAGCGAAGGCGTGGAGGTGGGCCACTGTAGAGTGAACTACTCGAGTGCCGAAATCGAGTTGATCAAGGGCCACCAGCTGGCGGACATCGAGAACATCTTGGGTTTCGCTGATTCCGAGTACATTGCCCACAGAGACAACTTGGCCTTCCCACCTTCGCTCCCCACGCCTGCCACCGAGTTGCAGGAGTTGACTTTGGACGACGACAACGAGAAGAAGTCCGAGAAGGCCGTTTCCGCCTAGCCATGCTGGGTCTGTGTATATGTCAGTGTAATTCTCGAGAGTTGAAGTGTAGAAGCCGTCGGACTTACTTTTTTGAAATAATTGGATTGGACAGACAGTCTGCTTGAATTAATATCATGCCGTAAAAACAGAGTTCGTTTATACCAATGGGCTGTTTGATTAGACATAAGGTTTGTTCAAACCACCTTTCAAACTGCACTCTTTGGATTGCTCCGCTCAATAGCAGTTGAAAAGAACCATGAATTCATAGTTGTACCAACTCTGCTTCTTGCTGGAATGCAATAGTTACTGATTCTGTGTGTATCACACAACGAGTTCAATGCCAGCTGAAGGCTGATGACTGTGATCAGTTGATATAGCAGACTTGACTTCACGATTTTCGAAACTTAGCTTCTATCTATAATCTTCCCAAATGAGACAACAAAACGTAAGTACAAGTTTCGAATTAGTAGCAATTGATGCAGGTAAGAGTTGCATCAAGCATGGCATAGACTGACACTAATGCTGATGGTCCCATCAACCAAATGACTGAAAAGCTATAAAATTTCGAGTTCATCAACGAAAAGTGATTGAATTGCATCCTTTGCTGCCTGACAGCTCGTAGCTCGTTCATAAGCCATATCCACATCTCACCAACCCGCATCAGATATCTCCAAGAAATGATTCCCAACTTCCATAAAACATCCGATTACCAGTCGAAGCTCAAGATTTAGCTCTTTCTTTCCCAGAAACAAGTCTGTAAGTTCCCAACAACCGTATTTCTTCCCTCTATAAATCACCGCACCGTAATGGCTGCAAACCAATATTTCACCCCACCAAAACCACCCATCCACCATCCACCCATTCCCACCAAAACGCCAAAACCAAGACACCAAACACATACTCAGACTCCTTCTCTTCGATCGTACCCCAAAAACCAACTCAAAAAAAAGCATCACCAAATCACTCCCCACCCCGGTACTTCCTCTAACCGGTCGCACCAACTACATCAACACTTACTCCTCCTAATTCCCAAAACCCCCACCCAATGGCTGCGCTACGGCCGCTTACTGCCAACCTGCGGCTCCGGCGTCTTCCGACAGACCTACCGCTCGGAGACAGCCGAATTTCCACCGTCGCTGCCCACAAACTGAACATATATATTGGCACCACGCTGGGGCTGATTCTCCATCTTCACTGTTTCGAGGATGCCGCCGAGTACATGCTTATTTTGAATTTGCGTGTCACCGAAAAGGACGCCGCTGTCACGAAAATCTTGCCGCTTCCGGACGTCGACTTGTGTTTGGTGGTGTGCAACAGAACCTTGTATGTGTATACGCTACCGGAGCTTCTGCCCTGCCATGTGGGCAAGATCAAGGATGTCAACGATGTGCTGACACTCAGCCAGGTGAAGAACCCGAAAACAAAGAACTTGTTGGACAAGGCGATCGTGTTCACGTCCACCAGGCTCCGTGTGGTCCAGTACGTTTCTCAGTCCGTGAAGCTCCTACGAGATATCCCCTACAACGGCGCCGTATTGGGCATTTCCTCGGCTGCAGGCACGCTGGCCAACTACAGCAATATCTGTTTGGTTGCCAATGGCGAAAACTACGACGTGGTCGATATGCAACAGACCCGCCGGATCTCGCTATTCGAGCATAACCCTGAAAAAGCCCCTGGCATCCGCCCGGCAATCCTCCCGTTTGATGCCGCTGGCGGCGAGGAGTACCTTCTACCGGTCCGTACCAACGAAAACATGTCTATGGCCATGTTCATCAACTCTGTGGGTGATGTCACTCGAGGAACCTTGACCTGGATCGATGTAGGGTACCCTACCAACGGCATGGCCGTGATTTGGCCTCACGTGTTGGGTCTTTTCAAGGACGGCGACGCTCTCAAGTTGACACTGAGCTCGTTGGAGACGCTTGAGGTTGTTGACTCGCAAAATATAGAGGAAGTGTTTGAGGAACTCGAATTGGGAAAGCCTGGAGACCTCCGCATCCAGCGCACGAACGAGCCGGTCTTGTTTGCCCATGAAGAGTTGCTGGAGTGGCTACCCAAGGTGAATATCGACGGCAATGGCGGTCCATACGTATCTTTACAGCCTGCGCATGTTGTGCTCCACAACGAAGACTCGCTATTTTACATGTACGAGGAAAGCTCGTTGTACTTGAAGTTGAAGGCTGTGCTTGATGGCTTGGAGGAGGAAACTGATTGGGAAAAGCAGATTGAGGAACTTGACGACGAAGCTGGTGTGCTCAGGCTTTTGTACGTCATTCTTTTGCTTGTGACGAAGTCCGATAAATTCACCGACGCTGCTCACAATTTCGATCCCCGAATCTTCCTTTACCTATTTGAAGATCTCGACAAAGATGTATACGATGGGCTAGTCTTGGAAAAAGTGGTGTGGCGAGTGCTAGAGCATTTTCGGCCTGTCGAGGTGGGTGACGACTTCAGATCGCTGTTTCTCAAATCTGTCTATTCTGAGAGTGACCGTGACCGGGCAGTTTTTGAAGCGTTGCGTCTCTTGATTTACCAAAGGTCCACAGTCAAGCTGACAATTGAGTTGGTGGATTCCGAAACTGATTTGTGGGTATCCGAACACCCTTCCAACGAAAAGCTTCTCGGTCTCTTTGACGAAAAAGGCTGGAATCTAGTCAGGCTCCATGTGTTGCTTTTGCAGCAGAAGCTGTTGGAGGAAGGAACGTCGGTGGATAACGGTGCCGAAGAAATCACTGCTCTTGCTTTCAAGCTTCTCGAGAAGCGAGTTGAAGAAGAAGGCCTCGTTATTCTGGAAGACGGCGTTGCCACCAAAGACGATTATTCCGTGGACTTGGTTGATGTGCTCATCACACAACTCAGGGACAAATTCGAAGACAGCGATCTGTACAACAAGCACCTTTTGGAGCTCCTCAAATTATTCCCAGACAAAGGGCTTAGGTTTCTTGAGGCCAACAAGCATGGAAAGCACAAAGCCACGCATAAACACATCCTTGAAGAATACTCCAAGCTTCACGACCTCGATGCTGGTTTTTCCTCTTTGAAAGTGGAGTTCATCGAACAATCATTCTCTGACAGTTTAAAGGAGAAAGGCGAGTTCGATACATCGCTAGCCAGAGAGCTTTTGGTGGAGCAACTCGAGTTTCTTCAACTGCAACATGACTCGCTTGCAGAGGAGTATGTCAATCTAGACATTCTACTCTCCACTTTCAAAGTCGAGCACGATCTCTCCAACGGTCATATACCTACCATCAATTGGATCGACTACTTGACAATTCATGGGTCTCGAAGTGAGTGCAAAGCTCTCGCCGCCATATACACCAAGATATACGAGCTCCTTCTATGCTTGTTGCTTTACGGCGAGCAACTCCCCAAAGTATCCTTCAAGGACAACGATGCAATGAACTACCTATCCACCTTGTTCTTTCAAACAAAAAGCGACGAACGAATTGTTGAATGTCTCCGCCATGGAGACCATAGAACTGCTGATTGGTTCGCAATCCATGATCAACCACCATTCCCTGTTGAACCCACATACGTCTCTCAGATAAAGCCCAGTCTTGAGGCCCGCTTCACCACTAGGCCTGAAGAAGACATCAAAAATAGCATGAAGCAGATCCTCGAGAGTTACTTGCTTTACGAGGACTCTCTTTCACGAAACGAAGGCGTGAAGCATTTGGTGGCAGTCTTTGGAGGGTACTTCACCTTACCAGAGCTTCTCCATCTCATGCCATCCGACTTGCCCCTTGCATTCCTTTACGACTACTTGACGGACGTATTGGTGAAGAACGAAGTCCAGAAGATTGACTCGGACATGATCAAGATCCTCCACCGGTTGGATCTGAAACTTACAGGAAAAGTTTACGACGATTTATATGCTAGCTATAAAGGCATTTTAGAAGAGGCCAACGAAAGTGGTGCCTAATTAATAGATCTCAAAGAATTCCAAGGAGCACCAAAAGGTAGTCGACGACCATGCCGGCCCAGAAGATGTAGCCAGTGACAATGTTACCGGTGAAAGTGGCCCAACAGCTCTTGGGGTCGTCCAAGTTGACCTCCTTGAGCTGTTTGAAAAGTCTCAGGAAACCCCATGCAGCCGAAAGGTAGAAGAAAGGTCCCATAGAGTTCATGAAACCAGCAGTCAAGAACGTAGCGGCTTGCAAAGCGCCCATCAGGTACATGATCGGCTTACTCTTGTCGCCCCAGGCCAAAGCTGTGGACTTGATACCGGCGTTAACATCGTAAACCTTGTCCTGGTGAGCGTAGACAGTGTCGTAAATCATACACCAGAGCCACTTGGAAGCGAACAAGGGACCGGCAACCCAGAGATTAAGTGGAGCGCCAACTGCAGGGAATCCAAGCAAGCAGCCCCATGCAAAAGTGATTGAAAGCACCGCCTGAGGGTAGTAGGTGTATCTCTTGAAAAGCGGATATGCTGCAACGAAAGGAAGGGAAAGAGCACCCAAGTAGAAGCAGTCAAACGGAAGAGAAAGCAACACTGCCAAACCAGCAAAACACTGCACGCCCAACCAGGCCACGGCCTGAGGTACAGACACTCTTCCACTTGCAATTGGTCTCTCCACCGTACGTGCAACCTGGTTGTCCAAGTCTCTATCCCAGATATCATTGATGGTGCACCCTGCACCTCTCATAACCAAAGCGCCGATGGTGAACAACGTAATTATCTTCACTGTCACCGCCAATGGAGCAGCAATTGAGTATGCACCCATGGTGATGGCCCAGAAACAAGGCGCTAGCAAAAGGAGCGTTCCAACTGGTTTCTCAAGACGCATGAGCTCAGCGTATGGAATCCATTTTTCAGGAAGCTTAGCGAGCCAGCCGAGATTAGCCAAACGAGCAAGACGTGCTGCTTCCAACTCCTCTGGTTTGAACACTTTTTTGGTCACTTGTTTTCTGTCCTCGCCATGGTCTTCTGGAGGCTCCGTGGGGTTCTTTGGAGGTGTTGATGGATCGGTGACGATCGGTTGTTCCTTGAAGGTGCCACGAATGAGTGGGGTGGTTATGAATGTTCTCCTAAGAGCGATCCTAGAAGAAGGAAGAACAGACCTTCTAAGCGCCAGCGAGAGCGGGGCGATCGTGAGTCTGAACATGCTGAATAGTGTGGTCTGAAAAAGTCGCTTCGCGCATTGTTTAGACCAATGGAGGTGGGACGTTTGGAGTTCCTAAACGATGATTTTGTGGAACAACGGGAAGTATGCATGTCCTGGTAGGCTCTTGGTCTCACAGAAGGAGAAATGGATATTGTAGTTGATTCTTGGAAATGTGGGGTAATTGTGGAGGTATGTCCACCAGAGTGGTTGCATCAGAGTAGTGGAAGAACGGTGGTTTCGAGGGACATTCTGATCCAGACGAGCTTCGCCGAGTAGAATCTAGATCCTGCTTGATGTTTTAGCTATGGTTGAGATCCTTAGCGTCCTTGATCCAAAGAATCAGGCCTGTGTTGTATCACATCTATACCTGATGCAATTCAATGACACCACACCATGGGAATAAAGTGGTCAATTCGGTCAACGCGGTTGAAGCACATTTTCGGCTGCCTTGACTTTAATTGGAGACCTCGGCCAGACACAATTGAACCAGCCCTATATCTCCAAGTCCTCTCCAACCCCAACCCACCCTCTCAAGCTTCCATCCCTCTTCCCCCAAAGACCTTTTCCATGTATCATCTTCTTCACCTCTCAATCCTCCGTCAGCTCCCGGGTCTCGTGCCGTTCAACAAGCACCCTCAAGTCCTCTAACGCCTGTTCGGTTCCCACACCCTCCACAGTCTGTGCCGTGAACGTCTGTCGACACATCGGGCACAACCCTCGGGACAGCTCCTGCTCGAGCCACTGGTGTATGCAATGTAGGTGGAAATTGTGGGTGCATCCTTTGCCTAGTACTAGGGGACAGTCGTCACCGGGATATTTACAGTTGGGGCAGGTTCCATCAAAAGGGACTCGGCAGATACCACAGAGCTCGTCGCCTCCGTCGCCATGTGCTGCTTTCCAGTGCCACGTGGCCACTCCGTGCCAGTTTCGTATGTGTACTTTCATTTGGGGTGTGGTGATTTAGTTTATGGGAGGTGGGTGTTGCTGGGTTTTATTAATTGAAGGTGGGATTATGATTAGGTGCACTTTATGGAGGGGATTTTGATATTTGCTGCTGTGGAATTGGCAGCGTTGTGGGCTTTAATCGAATGTGTTGAATTGAGTATCTGATCTGGGGTCTGTTGATGTCGCGTAGTTTCCAGTTTTTTTTGTGGTGAGGCTGTTTACTACAATTAGTGTGAAATGATTTGTAGTCATAAAAATCGAAATTAGCCGATTTTTCAGTTTTGAAAGACTTCACAGATTTTCAAAGCTTGAATTTTGCCCTGGTACGTTTTTAGGGCTTCAGATCCTGCGGTTGGTGATTGGCGAAGATGTAGGCTGGAGTACCTTGTGAGATACTGAAAAGCAACAAGCCAATTTTATGTATACCATGCTGAACATCCAAAATCCATAAAGGTAAGAAGCCGTAGAGAAAATGCATCGGAGAGCAGGCTAGGTATTCTGCCAGCTCCGTCCAATGAGGTTAGCTTTTATTCTCCAGAATCTACAAAGCATTCGAAACAAGCAAATCATAAGTCTATTCATTAACGTTTTTCTATATATTTGCATTCTTAATTTGCGTTGACCACATAAGCGTCTAGTTAACGGATTAAAGTGTCCCATGAATCTAAATCGTATACCTGAAGGTATTGTATGCCAGAAAATGTCATGGACCAGATCTAATAGCAAAGGCTTAAACATCTATAATCCCCCGTTCATCAGCAGCTATCAACCCCTCACCTCTTCTTGTAAACGAGCCCCTTGAAAATATCAAACGAGTTCCCGTCCGGCTGCAACTCCAACTTCTCGTGGTTTCTCATATCCTCCGCTATCAAGAGCCCATAGTCACTTGTGATTCCACGAATCACACAATCACGGACATTGCCGTCGCCAGCAGCATCCAAGACAACCCTCTGGTTCAGGTGGAACCATCTTTTGTAGTAAAGCGACAAAAATGGCTGCAAACCGGATCTCTGGAAAACGCTATAGAACTGCTCCATATTGAACACAATCTTTGCAAGGAGGGTTTCGTGCTCGTAGGGAGGAAGCTCAGGCAAGCCCTTGGCTGCTCGGAGCTCATTGAGTCTCGCGAGAACACGATTGAGCGAGGTGGTGGGTGCTTCATTGGACACATTGACACCACCGCCCCAGACAAGATGGAAACGGCCGTTCAAAAACTGAGAATTGATCAAAGATCCTGAGATTTTGGCCCATTTTTCGTCGTCACCTTCCACAGTGCTGCTCACATCGTCCTTATCACCAATCAGATTGTAGAACTCAGGCTTCAAGGCATACATGTCGTTGGGCCATTTGAGCTTCAACGGCATATCCTCGTATCCGGAGCCCTGGCCCTGGACAGGCAGGCCATAGCCCAAAATCGACTCTATAAGCGCAAGTGCACAGAGGTACTGGAGGGTGACGATGATGGAGCTGTTGGATTCGCCCTGGGGGAGTCTGAACAATATGGATGTGGCCATGACGCCCTTAGGGTTAATCCAGACGTTTCCGCCACGGCCCCTTCCGGCTATTTGCGTAGTTGCTGTGAACGTGAGTCCGTGAGGGAGGTGTTCGAGCCAGTTGGGGTTTTTGTCTAGAAGAGTGCTTGTGGAGGTGACGACCTCACCATATCCAAGAAGCTGGCCGATCTGCCCGATGGGCTGGTTGTTGGCGTCGTGAAGATGCTTCAATTCGTCAAAATACTTGGCCATGCTGAAGTACGGCGTCTGGGCGTGGCTGGGGAAAGCCTGTGAGGTGAAGAATTTGATGTGTTTTGGAGCAGAGACCACCTGGTCAAAGGACTGCTCACCGTCCGTTTCCGTGTCTTCAATAATATCCGAGTCCTTCTCGTCATGGAGCACAAACGTGTCGTTGACGTCCTCAAACGTATTTCCCGAAACAAACTCCATTTTGTCCTGGAGCGTGTTGAGCAAGTTTCTGGCGACACTAGGGTCCATCAGGGACGACAAGAAAATGGGCGTGAGCCGGGGCACGGCACCGTCGACGTTGCCGTTTGTCTTGAGCCCCATTTTGTCCAAAACCGCCCGCAAAAAGAGCTTTCTTTCATGGTCGTTCGCCTCAATCAGATCCACCACCAGCGCAAAGTGCTCGTCGTCGCCAGCCTTCATAAGCGGCGGCAGGAACTCAGGATGTGTGCCAAAAAGAACAGCACAGCCCTTGCCGACTTTGCAATAAACGCCAGCCGCCATATCTGTATCTTCAAGATCAGCCTGAGGAGCAGCGTATCGGGCCAAAACCTCCACGTTGCGCTGTTTCAGGGCATCCACGAAAAGCCCGCCTCCGTTGTAGTAAACAGTCACCTCCTTCGGGCTCAGGGGCAAAGCGGACGTGTTTACAGCCATGGTGACCGCCTTGCTGCCTTTATGAGACTCGTAGTCAAATCCCTTGTAGACACAGCCCCTGGCGATGCCGGGAAAGAAGCCTAGCTCTCTAGGACCACTGACCTCCATTTTCGGGTCGCCCTCCTCGAATTCACACCGTTTGGCAGCGTAGTATCCTCCAGCACAGAGCCCTAAGTACCTGCCGCCTTTTCTGACAAACTGCGTGATCTTCAGGTTGCCGGCGCCGTTCAAAACATCACAGTACGGCAAATCAGCGCCTCCTGGAACCACCAACATCAGCGTTTTGTACTGCCAGGGGTCACCCAAAAGCGATTGCTCAGAAACCGTCACCACAGCGTAATTCGGAGAAAGATGGAGTCTGAGCGACTCCACGGTGTGTTTGACCAGCTCGGGCGTGGTGCCTCGGCCCAGGTACACGAGCACGTTCATGGAAGAAAAACGGACTTTTGCGTTTGCAAAGTGGCGGAGACAGCGGGTATTTATACTCCGAAACACTTTCGTGGGGGTGATTCAGTGGAAAAAAAAGCCCATTGCGAGTCATCTGAGTCAAGTGCGACTCAGCTAAAAAAGCCTGAATCACTATAGTCAATGGACGCGATGGACCATGAAAAAAGCGTTGTTTTGGACCCGACAGGGGGTTTTGTGATAAAGACGAGGATTGTGGAGGGCGATGCCAAAAGGGCATACGCCACCAAGGTGTTCTTGAACGTTTGTCATGATCTCCAGGTTCCTAGACCTCCAGGTGAGTTCATCCCAGAACAGGTGTTTCCGCTAATTGTCAAGAACGAGTGGGAGATTCCGCTAATTGTGTCGCCAGAAAAGACAGAAAAGGACAAGAAGGGCGTGCCTTCGCTAGTGTACGACTGCTGCATCAACACGGACTGTTTTTCGTGGGTTCAGGTCAACAACGACCTCAAGCTCATATTGATCGAATGGTGCATTGAGTCCGTGGAGCTCATGTACGGGCTTGTGCTTGACCGAAGCTACAGCGTGCCGAAAATGCTCAGCAAGGGCGAGCTTCTGAAAACGGAGGTTTCGGAGGAAGAGCTCCAGGGAGGGCTTCACAAGAAGATGCAAGAGTTGAAGCAGAACGAGGTTCTCGGGCTTTTGGATGAGCTAGAGCCGGAACCGGAGTCGCAGGGGGAGCTTCCGGATTTGATGAACATTGATGGAAAGAAGAGCAGGCCGTTGATAGAGGAGGTAGGCGAGATGTCCTTGGAACCGAAGGTGGAGAAGACAAAGAGAGTTGAAGTGGTTGAAGCTGTTGGGGGCGTTCAGGCCATGGAGGTGGCTGTTTCGTCGAAAAAGCTCGATGACGGCGACTTTGTGCTTACGTTTAGGTCTCCCCAGCTTTCTCCAGAGGTGGATACGGATTTTCACGATGGGATGTTTGCACTCATTAATAAGAACCTGGCGGTAAAGCTAGGGAAAAACAATAGACTCGAGATTCCCCTTCCGGCGGGTTTCAGCCCGTATAGGGTGTTTTTCAGCACGAGCGAGTCGGCCTTGTACGTTTTTGCCCGGAGGTGAGCTACATTTTGGAATTGAGATTTCAAAAAATTACATTGAAATAAAAAATGGGTGGTTTAGTCATCAGCGGTGCATCAACCCATGGAGCAAGGAGCTCAGATCCTCCAACAAGACCAGCGGAGCATCAAACTCTCTGACCTGCCCGTCTTCCAAGCCCAAGATCTTGTCCAGATCCAACACCGTCTCGGTTCTGTGAGCTATTGTGATCACCGTCTTACCAGCACCTTTCTTGGCGATCACTTCCCGGACAAGCTTCTCCGTTCCGAGATCCACAGAAGCGGTGGCTTCATCCATAAGCACGATGCCAGAGTCCTTAAGAAGCGCTCTGGCCAAACACAAAAGCTGCTTCTGGCCTCCAGAGAAGTTGGACCCTGCCTCTCCAACCTTGCTGTTCAAACCACCGAGAGACTAAACTAATGACTTCAAATGGGAGTCTGCTAATGCCTCCCAAATAGCATCGTCCAGGTACTCGCCCAAAGGATCGATGTTCTCACGAATGCTGCCCACGAAAAGCAAGGAATCTTGTGGTATGATCCCAACCTGCTCTGAGATCCTGGAGCCGAACATCCTCTACATCAATACCACCAATGAGGAGTCTGCCTCCGGTAGGTTTGAGCATCCTGAAAAGAGCTAGAACGATACTGCTCTTTCCGGCTCCGGTTCTGCCAACGATGCCGATTTTCTCGCCTGCCTTGATGGTCAAGTTGAGGTTTTTAAGCACTGGCTGTTCGTCGTCCTCGTATGTTGCGGAGAAATTCTCGAAAACAATATCGCCCGAGGGCCAGTTAGATGGAATGTCCACTTTCTCCCTGCGGTTTTCTTCTGCTTCCAAATTGACAAACTCCAAACATCTTTCCACAGGAAGGAACTGGGAGCTCCAGCCGGAGTGAATCCCAAGTAGCAGTCTGAGACTGCCGGCTATCTGATTGGCATAGCCCAAAACAAATCCGACAAGGCCACCAGAAACAGTAGTTCCACCCCAAAGAACAAAGGACAAGGAGCAGGAAAGCACAATGGCCGAAGTAAAGAACAGAAGCCTCACAGAAAGCCAATTGTACAACAAATTCGACAACAAAGCGGTCTGAGCCTCGAAGTCACTAGCTGCATGTTGCCTCTGAGCAACATAGCCAATACTTCCGTAAGCTCTGGTGATGCATGGGTGTATTGGGTTTGGCAACATTTTTTTTTTATTAATAGAATGTATTAGCAGGACGCTTCTACAGAGGATCCCGCTCCATAAGAAACCAAAACTATATCACTATAGAAACACAACCTCACTTGCATCTCCGCTGCTCTCGCTGAATTAAGAGATTTCGAGAAGAAACTGCCCAGCTCAATGGCTACTCCAGATGTTATGGTGGAGCTTGACAATCCCTCGGAGCTCGATTGTCGGTTCCGTTGATACCAGCTTGTAGCCCCTCCTTGTATGAGTTTTCCGGCAATATTATAAGATGAGAAGGCCCGAGTGAAGAATTCACCAAGTCCATAGATTGTGCGTCTACATGGTCGAGAAATCAATGAAGCATAATCCGCAACGAATCACAGAACCGTGCGTCTATTCATTCACCCTTTTGATAGGGTTGAACGTAGTATCAAGATAATTTCTAAAAACATCGTTGTCAAACTTGTCCACTAGAAATCTTTCTCGATCATTCCTGTTCCTCGCCTCTTCCATCTACATTGCCCCATTCTCCTTCAAACTTCTCGCTTTCAGATGTGAGTTCTGAATTCCCATTTTGCTTGTCCTCATTTCTAGACCTTCTGGGGTCAATCACTTCCCCGTAATCATCGACGTTCTTTCGTTTGCAGCCAAGGGTCGGAAACACATCAAACGCTTCAAAAGCTCCACACCATGGCTGCAAATCCACACCACCCCCACAAATACACTTTTACACCTATCCAAAAAAGAGCTTCTCCACAAAAAAGCCCCCGTCGAATTCAACAAAATATAAAAAAACCACCCCTTCTGATACGTCAGTTGAAGAAGGCCGTAAGACAGATATGTCCTATGGGTCGATATCCACGGCGAGACGTTCGGGAAACTGACCTGAGTGTCTCGTGAAATTGAGAATAATTGATCTTATTGGAGGTTGTTTCTATAGAGATATAGTTTTTTTTACTCTAATAAAGAGAAATCAGTCAAAAAAAAAAAAAAAAAAAAAAAAAAAAAAAAAAACCTAAAACTTAGGACCCCACCATATTCCGTATTCCGTCGACCTGCGTTGGACCTGCCTTATACGGCATGCGCTAAGATAACGTCGAGACATGCAGATTCGCTATAAACCTCATCTCTTCCAGAACACCAAAACACAACCACCACACAACCCATGGAAGCTCGAGATCCCCTTCTACATCCTTCCGTCTCGTACGGAGCTACTTCCCAAAAGGGCTCCCTGGAAGCAGCCATGATAGCCCGGTCGCTGGCGCCGTTGATCCTCACGTTTCTTCTCCAGTTTTTGCTACAAACAACCACCATATTCGTTTCGGGCCGCCTAGGGTCTACTGAACTCGCCGTTGCTTCCCTCGCCCTATGCTCCTTCAACATCACCGCGGTGGCGTTCTACCAGGGCATGAGCACCTCGTTGGACAGTTTTTGTTCTCAGGCTTTTGGAGCAGGAAGACCACACATGGTGGGGGTTTACTTCCAGCGCTGCTCCGTGATGATGCTAGCGGTGACGGTGTTTCCGCTTCTCCCGCTTTGGTGGTTTTCGGGTCTGATTTTGAAACGCCTCGTGCCGTCAGAGGACCTTGCGCTTCAGTGCCAGACGTTCCTCAGAATCATGATAGTAGACGCCCCGGGACTCTTGTTTTTCGAAACAGCAAAGCGTTTCTTCCAGGCACAGCATATTTTCAACGCAGGCACCTACGCCTTGGCGGTTTCCGTTCCTCTTCACGGAGTGCTCAACTGGTTTCTTGTTCTCCATCCTACCACAGGCCTCGGGCTCGTGGGCCTCCCAATTGCATTGTCCATTTCCTTCTGGATCAACCCAATCGTTTTGCTTTTGTATGCGGTGTTTGTGGACGGCACCAGGTGCTGGGGAGGCATCGACTGGAGAAAGGCCACCGTCAACTGGAAACCCATGCTCCGCTTGGCTGTTCCAGGCGTGGTGATGGTGGAAGCGGAATACTTGGCTTTTGAGGTGATGACGATTTTGGCCGCCTCTTTCGGCACCACCGCCTTGGCGGCTCAGTCTATCGGTTCCAATGTCGGTGGTATCGCTTTCCAGATTCCCTTTGCAGTTTCTGTGGCTGTCACAACCCGAGTAGGGCACTTTATTGGCCTTCAGGATATAAAAGCAGCACAGTCGGTGACCAGGAGTTCCATCTGCGTTGGCGTTGGCATGGGCGTTCTCAACTTCGTGGTGCTCTTCTTCGGAAGAACGCCCATCTCCAGTTTGTACTCAGACGACTCGAAAGTTGTCCACACCGCAAGCAAGGTTCTAGCTCTAGCAGCGATCAACCAGATTGCCGACTGCACCAACATCATCGCTGCTGGCGTGTTGAGGGGCCAAGGAAGACAGAAGATTGGGTCGTACCTCAACCTCGCTTCATACTACTTGATAGCGCTTCCGTCAGCTTACTTTTTTGCATTCAAGCTCGATACAGAGGTCTACGGGCTCTGGTTTGGGCTCATCTGTGGTGTCACCGTGCTTGCATTGGGAGAGGTGTTCTGTGTGGTTAGAAGTCGGTGGGAACATATTGTGGATGAGTGCAGCAAAAACCACGATACGTGATGCTAGCTATGTCCGTTTTTTTCTGATTCCACCCATGTCCACGTTTTTTTCATAATGTCGGAGCTGTAATTGAGGGTCCATTCGACAAAAGCCTCCAACAATAGCATTCATGAGCAGATGCATGGTTCATTTATAGAGATGCTCATGAGTCTCCCACTTTAATTTGCTGGAAAGTAAGACAATTGGAGTGCTAATTGAAAATTGCTCATTCAAGACACTCATTTCGTGCCTCACTGGCATAAGAACTCCACAGATGACTTACACAGTTCTGGCTTCGACATTTTAGCCCATTCTAGGAATTCGTCATACCCTACGACAGTCGTTTCATGCTTCACTAGCATCACAAACACTCATAAATACCTCACCGGCATCAAAAAGAACTCTACAGATCCACAGTTCTGGCCTTGACATTTCAGCCCATTCTGTGGAGTTCATCATAACATCTAAAAGCACTCGTGTTTCTATATCCCATTCAATTGGCGTCTTTTCCACTCGTCATTGTCCTCAACATCGCCGTCATATCCAGGGTCCTCCTCAAGCACAGCACCATTCACAGTATCTTTCTTCACAGCAAGAGCCGAAACATTGAGAGCAAAAACGGCAACCACGGCCACAAAGGAAAACTTCATTTTTCTGGAGAAAAAAGTACCAGGATTTGTGGCCCCTTAAATAGTTCAGGGGGTTGCCATTAGCCGAAATTCCGATGCCACAGCCGTTGTGCATTGAGAGGTTCTACTTGGGTCTGAGGTGATACCAGTGATTTTGAAAGGTTTCACAAAATAGTTTTTGCTGAATCTTGTTCGATTTTCAGCTGCAGAATCAATTTAGAGTGACATTTCAAGAAGTCGAAATGATTATTGTCTCACTGTGGGTATTCTCGCTTGCTAGAAGGGGTGCCTCACTTGCATTGAGGTGCGCAACGATAGGGTACCATGACGTCATAGTATACAGCAGCAGATAAGAACGCTTCTAGTGGGGCTTTTTAAGCTTTGAGAGCACTTAACAAATGCAATGGATTTTGTTTGACAATTGATCATGAGCTGAGAGAAAGTTGATTGAATGTGAAATTAAAACTGAACCCCAGAGTCTGGGACCTCGTTTGAACGAATAAGCAGACCTCGACATTCAGCACCATGTATACTATCGCCGTAATGGAACACCGAAGTCGGCTAAGCATCACCAAGCCCCGTTTTTAGCCGCATTTCAGTGGGTCCGATTTTCCTCTCGTAGACAATAGGACCCTTATTGGTCCCCATTGGCTAGGGAAGTACCTAAGGCTTGGCACTGGTATATATACCATCGACAATCCAAATAGCATCCCTCCATAAAAATGGAAGATAGGGAAAAAGATTTCCCCGATAACAAGAATAACCAGGAGCATGAGTTACACTCCCACGAGCCAGAGGTCGATCCAGATGTCGATCTTAAGACACTCGCAAAGATGCTATTTCTATCGCTATTCGTGTTACAGGCTATGCTTCTCCTGGCTCCAATATACTTGCTGGAGGTGGAAAATTATCCTGACTTCATGAACTTCTTTATTCCTTTCCTAGTTCCACTCTTCAATTCCGCTTCGCAGGGCGGCTATTACCTTGGATTCAAGCCCACCATGATCTTTGGATTTAGCTGTATGGCATTGTGGTCCATATTGGCCTGGGTTTGCGAGCTAGTTGATCTGACATTTTTGCGCAAATGGACCATAGTCACAGTCTGGTTGTGGCTGTTCGTTTTCATAGGGGCTATCCACATGACGTTTTACTATTTCAAGAAGTTGGGGGTGAAGAAGTTGATAGCCATCTGTGTTTTGGGCGCAATCTTCTCCTTTTACTCCAACATTTTTATTTTCAAAAACAGCAGCTACAATGTGTTATTGACTGTGTACTTTGTGTACTGCCTTCTGATGGCGGGTTTGTTCTATTTGAAAGTTCCTAACACACCTCGTTTGAGTGGAGAAACCAGGTATACGACAATGTGGCCACGGATTGCTGGTTTTGTTCTTAACATTCTCCTCAGTTTCACTATGCTCAATGTTCTTGCCCTCTCGAGCTTGAATGTTGCTGTTATGGCATTTGTGGTTTATCTAGGTTTGATCTTTTATCCCATTTTAGGCTTGATTGATTTTGGACATACGAAATGGTTCAGGTCTGACATCATTGAAAGAGGACGCAGAGTTACCAGAGAGGTTCATGAGATTTATTTCCCGTTTCTCGCCCACAGTGGGGTGTGGAAAGATTGGGTGCAACACTCATAATTTCAATTTATGCAAAAACTTCAACTTTTAACTGAATACTTTTCATCATTTCTTGCCATATTTCCTCTCGTAGACAATAGGACCCTTTTTGGTCCCTATTGGCCATGGGAAGGTGCGTTCTTAAGACTTGGCTGGTATATATATTATCGACAAACCAAAATAGCTTTATTCATAAAAATGGAGGATAGAGAAAAAGAATCCCCCGATCATGATGAACCCGCAGGCTTGATTTAGACCTTCCCAAGGCCAAGGTCGATTTGATAAAACTTGCAACGACACTACTTCTTTCGCTGTTTGTGATCCAGGAGTTTTGGCCCAGGCGCTTTGGCTATGCTTTGAGTATTTTCCCCAAAAAACAATATGCTTATCGGGCCATCCTATGGTTTATGGGAATGTGCGGATTCTTCCAGGCTGCCTTCTACGGCGGCTATTACCTTGGATTCAGACCTACCATGATATTTGGATTTATCAGTAGCATGGTCAATATTGGCAGCACATACACTCGACCTGTTGTTTTGGCGCAAATTTGTCTGGGTCACAACGGGGCTGTAGTTGTTTGTAGCTATTGGAACGTTCACATGGAATTGTACTATTTCAAGTGCTTGCAACATTTCAAGTATGTACTAATAACGTGGGGCGTAGGTTTCTCGTTAAGGATCAGTGAAAAATCTAAGCTAAGTGTCCCTGCTAGTTTGATAACTAGGTCATGCTTTGGGTACCGCCTTTAAATGGCTGCTTAAGTCTACCTGAAGGTTTCTAACACACTTGAGCGCAAAAATTGGTTTTAATGCAAGAGAAAAAAACAGTGTGGCCAAATATTGCAGGTTTGGCTTTTCTTAGTTAATCGCTATGAATGAGCACCTATCTCTTCAACCCGTAAGAGATAATCATTTCATGGATAGCCTATTTCCTTGCTCAAAGTGCTTGCTTCTTAATGATTCTCTGGTCAGACCAACATTTGGAAATTTGAGTACTGAGACTAAAGTGTGGCGAAGAAGTTCGTGAGATTGGTTCTTGAGAGTGGACTTGGAATTCGTAAAAAATAATAAATATGACGTTTCACCAAGGTTATGTGCCCCTAACCCTCCTTTAAATGATCATGAGACAAGAAACTACCAGAGACAATGAGTGCGTACTTAAGGCTTGGCACTGGTATATATATCAAGTCGACAATCCAAAGTAATGAAAATCAATTTCTATAAAAATGGAGGATACAGAAAAAGATTTCCCCCATTACAAAAATCTTCTGGATAACGATGGCGACAGCAAACCTGGTATTAGCCATCCTGAGCGCGAGGTAAATTTAAAGACACTTGCAGCGACGCTTGTCCTTTCTTTATTCGTTTTCCAGGGATTGTTCCTTATGTTTCCTTTAGCCGGCAAATTGAAAAACAGTGGTTTTGATGTTGAAGACACATGGCTCGTGACCTTTTATGGCCCCATACCAGCCGCTTTGTATGGTGGCTATTTCCTTGGATTCAAGCCCACCATGGTCTTTGGATTTCTCGGTATGGCAGTGTGGTCAATTTTGGTAGGATTCAGCGAGTCACTCGATCTGACATTTTTGCGCAAAATTGCCATGGTGACAGTGGGAATGTGGTTGTTTGTGACTATTGGACGCATTTACATGATATTCTACTTTTTCAAGAGCGTGAAGGATTGGAAGTTGGTAGTGATCTGTGTCTTGGGCTTCATTGTTTCGTTATTTTCCAATTCCTTCATTTTTTCAACAATCCCCTTCAAGTCGCGTCTTTCTATGTACTTTGCTTACTGCCTTTTGATGGCTGCTCTAGTGTACTTTAAGGTACCCAACACACCTCGATTGAGCGCAAACATTGGTTTCAATTCAAGAGGGAGAACATTGTGGCCAAATGTTGCAGGTTTTAGTTTCTCCGTTTTACTCAATTTCGTCATGATGCACCTTAATGGTCTCTCGAATTTTCAATTAGGTGTGTGCATTTTTGTGCACAGTGGCCTCCAAGGTCTATGTGCGTTCTCGTTGATTCGGTTGGGACATCTCAAGTTTTGGGCTACTGGAATAGCTGATCAAACGCGCAGATATACAGAAGAACTAAGAGAAATTTATTCTCCCGTTGTTGCGCCATTTTGAGATTGACACTTTGGGACACCTATGTATGACAATGAATATGATGATTTTACGAACAGAATTGGAAGATTATTTAGATGGTGAGATTTTCGTTAGAACCTAGGGTAGGCGTAGTCAAGACTAGGCACCTGTGGGAGTGTTTGGTCTGTCAATTGCTCATTTTGCACAACTCCCATTGGATTTCGCTTTATCATTTTACGTTGTATAGTGCCTTGATGACTGTAAAGGTGTACTTCAAGAATCCTGACACCATTGACCCCAATAGCAGCAGTTTTGATTTTGCTTTTGGTGTCCTTACAATTTGTGCTGGCCACCTTGCAACGTTCCAACATGTCATTTTATTGATTGGTTACCTGCCCCGGCCAAACAGATATTCTTTTGATCAATCCAAACATACCATTATTTTAGAGTCAGAGAAAACATTGGATTAATGTTGAACGAGAGAATGACCCCTCTTCCTGAGTAAACATACTGCTCGAACAGAAAGATGAAAGGTGTCTTTTTCTTATGTGCTAAGTTGAATGCCACTGTAGACCGGCCACAAGTTATAATCCCACAATGCCTCCAAGATAATTTTCAGTGACAAAGCCTGTCTGTTGTTGAAAGATCATATCTGCGAATTTTGTTCACCACAATTTATTCTTCTCTTCAGTAAACTAGCCCTTGTGGTGCATTTTGTTCTTCGTTTGGACTACTGAGGGAACCATGAGGTAGAATGACCAAATAAAGTAAACCAAAATGATGCCACTTTCGATACTAAAAAGCCACCAAGCAACGTATTCTGCGGGAGATAAGCAAATTACCCAAATAGTTTGATAAGGTATGCAAGTTGAAGTATGTTTTCACCAGTGTGTACCGTGATGCATGATGTACGATTACTCCTCCAGAAAGTTTACAAGAAAGAAGTTTATTAACAATCCTCTAACAAGACGAGAATGCAAGTTTTTCTGAACCCTGGTGCCTTCATTTCCACTGTTTCTCGATGCTGATGTCACATTTTGAGGTTCCTAAGGAGACTCATTTTTGAACCCACTCACTTTCTACCTTTATTGCTGGAACGAAGCCCAGAGTCTCTTGCTCAGGAGCGGGCGAAACATAGATATATATCCTATATATCGTCCCATTTGCTCTTCACTGGCTGTTCGATATCTAGTGAAATCTTGCGTCACTATGGGGTAAGTGCTCCTGTTTTTAAAGAAAGAACTTCTGCATTGGTTTGTTTCTTTGGGAAACTGGTGGAACAGTGGGTACATGACCTGTCTGATCATTGTGAGGTTGAGTTGGCGTATGGTAGCCTGTTGAAGGCGGTATGGTGTCTTCTACTAAAACTCAGTGAGAGCTATGATGTGAAAGTCTTGCCTTACCTTACCCATATGATCACTTTCTATTGGGTGTGTTTTCCGCTTGCGTTGGTTCACATTTTTGCATATCGGTTTAAGGCTATCAGGATGGAAGGAAATTGTTGGTGCAGTTGTGGGATTCTCGATTCTATTTAATGCCTCGGTTGCCACTGATCTTCCCAGGAGCTGCATGTCGCTGCTTCTTGGACCTTACTTTTTGATAATGACGGAGCGTGTTTTATTACCGGGTCCAGGTCCCCAGACTAATGCAAATGATTCCAAAGTAAAGCTTCAGTTGACAGGTTTAGCAAGCCATTTGACGACATGCCTTACTTGGTATTATTGCAGACCGTTCTTTAGCTCTCAGGAGGGCTATCGCTTGTTTCTGGGTGTATGTATCTGTGTTGGGGTGTTGAGTGGAGGCTTGATTTTGGTTCTGGGTCTTTGGAGACGGGGATCCTCAGACGGCGAAAGTGACGAAACAGATGAGTCTTCAGGTAATGAATCTGAGGCCCAGGACTGGGAATATCGTAACTCAAGGGAGCTTCTTTATGTGCATGTTTATCAGACTGAAGAGGCAATTATCCACCCAACAGTGATTTTTTGAGCTCAAGGGGGATCAACCTAAGAGGACGAAGTTTTCGGGGAGTTTTCAATTTGTGGATCAGAGATGGCCAAGTACCTACCGATCGTGCGATAATCTACCGTCAAATGTATGAATGATTGAACAAACCCTGGTAGTGCAGATTTGGATATAATTGCCCTTTGGATCTACTTCCCCGCTTTTTTTCTTTGATACGTGAAAACTGCTTCTTTGATCCTTCCTACCTTTTTGCTTCATAAATATCAACCAAATACTCACTATAGCATTGGGGTTGCGAAGCCACTCAATGGCTGCATAAAGTGTCGCATCAGAAGTGCACACAGACCTGTCATAATTATAGTGCGGCGGCACGTCAAACTCTATCCATCCAATTTTTACTCGTATGGATATTGAAAACAATATAGAGCAGCAGGACTCTCCACGCCACAGGAAAGCGCTCGCTGTAGCTGCTGTTCTTTCGACTTTTGCGCTCTTTCTAGAACAGGATAAACAAGATGCCGGTCGAAATCACGAGCTCTCACATTTTGAGGCAACTATTTTTGGCTGGTTACATTTCATTGGCGCTTTTGCCTTCAGCTTTTCTTTGGGCTGGAAACTAGGAGCAGGTCGTTTGGTGACGCTAGGATTCGTCATAATGACGGCCTGGTGTGTTGTAAAGAAGATATCTGAGAATCTAGATTCCAAGGGATTGCAGATTTTAGCCTACATCACCAACAGCTTCTGGATATGCATTCCTTTGGGAATGATGGGTGTTACAGTTTTGCACTTCAAGAACCTTAGAAGAGAGTTTTTATGGATTTTTGGGGTCATAACGTGCTTTATCATCTTCTCACTGGGAGGTGTGATCGCCGTGATTGGTAAACAGAATTGGCTTCTTTACGTAATGATACCTTACTGCTTGGTGATGATCCCTGTTCTGTACCTTTTTGTTCCAAGCCCTCTTCCTTTGGAAACTGGTGTGAAGTTTTCAGATCTTTTACCCCAATTGGCTGGCCTGGTGGGGCACGTTTTGGCGTGTTTTATATGGCTACATAACAGAACTACGCCTGAATCGTTGGCGAAAAGGGCATTATTTTTAATTGCATGTCTCATTTTCGAAATTTTTAGTTTAGGATTAATGGTTCACGGTCCGCATGAAGAATTGAAAGAATACCAGCGCCATGTTGAATTTTGATCAAGTGATTGCAAGAAAGCAAAGTGCAAAGTATAGAGCCAGGCTTAGAAGAGCCCTTCCATCAAGTGGAGTTGGTGATTACTGTACGCCAAAGGGAGAAATTTATAGTTCTAATGGAGCCACTTCAGATTTTCGATTTAAAGTTTTAGCGCAGGCCTCATCAAATGGAGTCTACTTTGATCAACACAACACCTCTTGTTTACTTTTTCTGTTCATTTCGCTCTCTGCTTTTACGTAAAAATGAAACGTCAATTCCAATTTGACCATAGAAGCAACAGGAGGTGGTATCACAAAGCCTCATTCGCCGCGTGGTTGGACAAGTGCAAGATGTGCACAGAAACCTGTCACATTAAGACCGTGCGGCTTCTCCAATTCCACCCAGAACTCCCCTTCTTTTACAAATTCTTGCAAAATGAAGGACTTAGAAACCATCACTCCAAAAGCAGGCTTTAATATGCCCAATGCAAACAAAACCGCATTGGTTTGGACGTCCATTTTGTCGGTTTTTGTCATGCAAATCATGGCACAAGTGGATGTAGTGGACCTGAGAAAGAAGCAATTCTTTCTAGCAGACCTAGGGATGCTATGGGTTACATTATTTGGAGCTCAAACACTGGCTATTCCATTGGGCTATTTTGTGGGCTTCCGGACGGTTGTTATATCTGGATTCGTGCTTGTCTTACTCTCAAGTATTGAGGCTAAACTATCGGTGTTGCTTGACTATAAAGCTCTTCAGAGTCTTGCTATGATTCACCATTGGTATTGTATCAGTGTTATCATGGGAGTGATGCACTTGAACTTGTTTTACTTTGGTGGGTCAAAAATGCGCTTGATATCGTTAAGTCTAGCACTGATCCTCCTTTTAGTACTCACGAATATCCTTATGATCGTATTCGTTCCCCCTTGGTTAGTTTCAAACATATATGCCTTTTACTGCTTTGCAATGATCGGCGTTGTATACAAGAACCTCCCCAATACTCCTCCCTTGAATGGAGAAATCACCTTGCCGAAAGTTTTGCCACATATAATCGGTTTTGCAGGACATATGATCACCTGTTTCGTTTGGTATCAGTATAACAGTGAATTCGAGGTTGCTTCAAACTCGTATGATGTTTTTCTGGGTACCTGCTTTGTGGTAGGAGTTGTTTCTTTGGGAATGATTCTGTATGGATACCCTAGTCACTGGAAACAGGGATATCATGAGTTAAAGCAAAAGCTGCTGGATCTTTCCAAAGCGTGGACTAATGGGGGTGCCATTGAAGGTTCTATTGAGATCAAGTGAGAAGGCTCTACCTGGAGTGGACTAATTCCCTGAATGTTTGATTACATACTATGAAATTAAATCTGATTTATCTTGAGTTTCGTACGTTTATATCAATGTAGGAGATAGGACTGAAAGCTTTTTCGTGAAATCTGTCGAGCAAGTGAGTGAATGTTAACGGCAATAGTTCTTCGGAAGAAATTGTGCAAATGAATAATATGGAGGCACTTTAAAGGAAGCTAGACATGCATAAACACCCATGACAAATGTTGAAAAAGTTACTAGTATCCTCAACGTAATCAGACATACTCACCACTTACTGATTCCTTCTTTTGCTGATGTTGCTCAATAGGAGAAAGCGTTCAAGTGTCTTCAGAAAAGCCTAAATCTGACAAGTAACAGATAAAGCACCGCTTTTTTAGTGCTCACCTAATTTGGCCAATTTTGCAACACTCCATCACCCAAATCATCTTACTCGTCTCCAATCGTTACCAGTTCAATTCGATAAAACCAAACATTGCTGAAACGAAACATTCATCCATTTCAAAAAAATCATATTTGCACTGGAGCTCATCATTTACCCGCCATGTTATCCGCATACTAAGCATTTCAATGCACCGCCATATCAAGCCAGAAACACAAGATCATAAACCCCTGCAAATCAAATAAATTTCCATTCACCAAAATGCCCCATTTCCTTCATTTCGTAACCTTCTCCAAAATACCCTCCTGGCGGCTGCAAACGCTCTGTGCACACCGGCATCACCATGCGATGAGAAGAACCTCATTGATCTAAAACACCTACATGCCCCGCAAGAGATTCGACAAGAAAAACGCCCAGACCTTCTCGGTGGTGCACAGGTCCCACGAGGACCTGCTCTACTTCGACAACGACGCCTCCAAGCACGTGCTTGTCCCTGCTGCTCAAAGAGCCCAGGCTCAAGGAACCCTTTCCCAACTCAAGGCTAGGAAGTCAGGAAAACAAAGCTACAGCACACAGGAGCTCGAAGACACTTTGGGAAAAGACGCCGTTCAGGCGATGCGGGCCAACGAGGGTTTGGCGGCGCAGTACGGAATCTACTTTGACGATTCCCAGTACGATTACATGCAACACTTGAAGCCTATCGGAGGAGGAGGCGACAGCGTGTTCATAGAAGCCAAGAATAAGGAGAAGCCCAAGGAGCTGATCGAGGCGCTCATCAAGGACGTGCTTCCCTCGGAGACCAAGAGAAAGGTGGCGTTCGACGATGAGGAGAACATCCCAGAGGAGCTTCGAGGATTCCAGCCCCACATGGACCCCAGGCTTCGAGAGGTGTTGGAGGCGCTTGAGGACGAGGCTTACGTGGCCGAAGGCGGCGAGGGCGAGGTGGAGGATGCGGATTTTCTAGATTTGTTGCAGTCTGGCGAAGTGGCCGATGAGGAGGACTTTTACGATGAATACGACGGCGACGACTGGGACCTCGACGAGTTTGAGGACTACGAGGGCGAGTATGACGAGGAGGAGGTGGTGGGGGAGCTCGAGAACCCGTACAACGAAGGCGAGGCGCCCGAGGACGTCGAGGTTGCAGTTCCAGCGGTCAGCACTGGCTGGGAGAAGGATTTCATGAAGTTCAAGAAGGAAACCAAGAACGCCGTGAACGAGTGGGATTCCGACAACGAGTTCGAGGAGGAAGAGGAGGAGGACGTGGTTGGAGAACTTCCCCAGATCGGTTCCGGCAAGAAGAAGCTGAAGAACAAGATGAGAAAGAAAATGGGCGCCATGACCGACACGTCGTCGTTTTCGATGTCGTCGTCGGCGCTTTTCCGTACCGAGGGCTTGACGCTCCTTGACGACCGCTACGAGCAGTTGAACCGCAAGTTCGAGGAGGAGGACCCGTACATGGAGGAGCACCAGGCGTTTGACATGGCCAACGAGAGGCCGGACTTTGAGGATATGCTTGACGATTTCTTGGACAACTACGAGTTGGACCGCGGAGGACGTAAGCTTGTGAAGAAGGACCAGGAACACGAGACATTGAAGGCAGCAGCCGACTCGGTTTCCAAGGGTAAGCTCGCTGCCAGGCGCAAGCGTGAGAAGAACTCCATGGACAAGCTCGGGGTGCCTTTGGGAACATGAAGATCTAGGCCTTTCATTGAAGGACTCATAAAGCGGTTTGCTTAGACTGAATTAAAGGAATCATGAAGCCATTTGCCGGTTTTATGAACTGAGGGTCTCAGGAGACTGCCTGGCTCAATGGCTCTTTTCTTTTTATTGGCAATGCCAGAATGAACTGGTAACAACCACCTTTGTGAACCCGTGGTCGGACCACAACATCATAATGGCCCCCTTTGTGGTATCCCACCATGATCACGGTAAAGAAGGGCCTTCAAAATTTCCCGGTCTGGAAGTCCCACCTTTATCACATCCCGATCGGCGAAACCAGATCATCCCAGGTTCAATCCCACCATTGACCTTTAGACGACTTTGTCGACCCCCATTGTATCACCATGATCCCCATTGTGCAACCACACCCAAGCAACCACACCGAAGCAACCACCAAGGCTGCTCAACGCTCTTGGCAAACGCACTCCGGAGTAATTTTCAAATCAAGAAATACGGAGTGGTTATGCTCCCGGGTATGGTGCACCATGGCGGCTGTATGCTGAACAGGTAGCCTGGCTGCAAAGAGCTTAAGCCGCTTTGGCATGGCAGGAGCCGCTTGACAGGGTGGCTGGAGTGTGATTGAGCAGGGGAAGTTTTGAGTTCCATTTTCTTGATTTCTCACGTTTCCTGATTTTTCACTTTTCCTGATTTTGCACTTTTCAACAATAGATGAAGTGTCCGACCGGGGCCGGTCTACAGGGATTCCGAGGGCGGTCTACACTCGATTTGCCTTGTTTCAGGAATTGTTAAAGAGCCAGTTGCTAGGGTGCCGCATCTGGGCTTATCCATTTGGACCCTTGATCTGTGGAATTTGAAACCACATCAAGAAAATCACCAAAATCACTACATCCGCCGGTCCGAACCCCCCACCCCAAAAACAAACTATATAAAACCCCAAAACCAGCCCCTAAATGCATCACACACAATTTTCTGCAAAACGTCTAGTTAGCCCTGGTGCCATATCACCATGGGAGGCACCGGAGTTCGGTCGTGCGCCGCACAAAAGCCTCGCTTATCCCCGAGCATAAAACATCCCATTCTAAACTTCAATACTACTACTCCGCATCTCCATTTGGGCCCCTACATCCCAAGTGAACACGTAGCGCCCTTCCCAAAATATCACGCCGGCTTTTCTCCCATATAGCCCGCCCGCTCGTCTGGTGCCTCCTTCTTGTCGTTTTTCTCAGCTACATATTGCGCCAACCGCCTTCCAATAAATCCCCAATGTCTGTGCTGTCTGTGTCTCGTGTTTACACGGACGCGTTGGCCACCAAACCCCAGGCGTTCTGGGACTATGAGAGCACGAACGTGAAATGGAACTCTCAGGAGAAGTACGAGGTGGTCAAGCGTTTAGGCCGGGGCAAGTACCTGGAGGTGTTTTTGGGTGTCGACATCACCACGGGCGACAAGCTCGTGATCAAGGTGTTGAAGCCCGTCAAGCGCAAGAAGATCAAGCGGGAGATTCTGATTCTCAAGAATTTGGTGGGCGGGCCCAACATCATCAACATCTTGGACATGGTGCGCGAGCCCCAGCTGAAGACCCCTGCCTTGGTGTTTGAGTACGTCGACAACACCGACTTCCGTACTTTGTACCCGACCTTCACCGACCACGACAACCGCTTCTACATGTTCGAGCTCTTGCGTGCGTTGGACTACTGCCACTCCATGGGCATAATACACCGTGACGTGAAGCCGCAGAACGTGATGATTGACCACGGCGCCAAGCAGTTGCGCCTTATCGACTGGGGGTTGGCCGAGTACTACCACCCGGGCACAGAGTACAACGTGCGTGTCGCGTCGCGTTACTTCAAGGGCCCCGAGTTGCTCGTGGACTTCCGCTTGTACGACTACTCCCTCGACATGTGGTCCTTTGGCTGCATGCTCGCGTCCATGGTCTTCAAGAAAGACCCCTTCTTCCACGGCAAGTCCAACACTGACCAATTGGTGCAGATTGTGCGTGTGCTTGGTCTGGACGACCTTCACAGCTACCTCCAGAAGTACAACTTGACGCTTAGCGAGGAGTACGAGGACTTGGGCTACTACAACCGCCGCCCTTGGAAGCGGTTTATCAACGAAAATAACCAGCACTTGGTGAGCGAGGAGTTCCTAGACTTCATCGACAAGCTCTTGCGCTACGACCACCAGGAGAGGCTCACAGCCAAGGAGGCCATGGAGCACCCATGGTTTGATCCCGTCAGGCACTGAACAAAGGAGGATGGCTGAATATTAGAGATGAATGACAACGAGCTGTACAATAATGCTGAACTCAATCGTCGTTGCACGAGATTGATGCCCGATACACATGCCGGAGACCATGCTGATGTATGGTCGATGCTGACACGACTCGATGGAGGCAACTTCGTGGGGCCCTCTACAGTTCCATTGTCGTCACGTTAGATAGAAGCCTGCGGCAGGCGCCCCGGGTGTATTTTTAATAGAAGCGTAGAAGCGCTAGAAGGTTCGACGCGCAGGTGCAGGCGCCCATAAAAGGTGGAGCAGATCCACCTTGAGCATCTCACCGTCAACACCTCACTAATGTCCAAGGTTTTTTTCGACTTAACTGCCAACGGCGTTCCCAAAGGACGCGTTGTTTTCCAACTTTTCGATGATGTCGTTCCCAAAACGGCTGAAAACTTCCGTGTCCTTACTACTGGAGAAAAGGGTGAATCGGCCCTGGGCCATAAGCTTTCCTACAAAGGTCTGAGTTTCCACAGAGTTATCAAGAACTTTATGTGCCAGGGTGGCGATTTCACTGCTGGTAACGGAACCGGTGGCGAATCCATTTATGGCGAGAAGTTCGAGGATGAAAACTTCCAATTGCAGCATGACAGGCCTTTCCTTCTTTCCATGGCCAATGCTGGCCCAGGCACCAATGGATCCCAATTCTTCATCACCACGACGGCCACGCCGCATTTGAACGGAAAACACGTTGTTTTCGGTGAGGTGATCCAGGGCAAGTCTGTTGTGAGACAGTTGGAGCGTTGTGAGAAGGGTGAGAACGACAAGCCCGTGGAGGACTGGGTGATTGCCGATTGCGGGGAGCTTCCTAAAGACTACGTTCCTGAAACGCAGACAGTGGCTGACGACGGCACTGGCGACATTTACGAGGCCGTTTTGGCCGACGATGACAAGGTGGATGTGAAGAAGCCCGAGACTGTGTTTGAGGCTGCTCGTTTCCTCAAGGATTTGGGCACCAAGTTGCTCAAGGAGGGCCGTGTGGACAAGGCGTACGAGAAGTACATCAAGGGCACCGAGTACCTTGCAGACTTCTTCCCTGAAGACATGAGCCAGGAGCAGATTGACGAGAAGAACCTGTTGAGCGTGTCGTTGTTCCTCAATGCCTCTTTGGCTGCCACCAAGGACAAAAAGGGCAAGAACGCCGTCAAGGCTGCAGAGCAGGCATTGCAGTTTGACGGAATCACCGACGCTCTTCTGGCCAAGGCATGGTACCGTAAGGGCCAGGGCTACCTTTTGGCTAAGGACGAGGACAACGCCAAGGACGCGTTTGAGGCTGCCCTCCACTTGCTGCCTGGCGACGCTGCTATCGTCAAGGGCTTGAACGACGTCAAGGCGTTGGCCAAGGCTCGTAACGAGAAGCAGAAGAAGGCCATGTCGAAGTTTTTCGCCTGAGTCTAGCATATCTACAACGGGCTAGATTTTGGATCTGCCTTGGTCCTGTCAATATACGAATCTGCATCGAGCGGTGTCGTGGTGTAGCCCTTCGGCTGGGGTCGGGATCAGGAGAGGCCCTCTCAAACTATGCCCTGGCTATTTTTGTTTTTGACAGCTTTGTTCGATTTCTTCTAGAATTGTCCCGCATTCCCCGTTTGGTAAGTGCTCCTTCGGCTCAAGAGCTTTTTTGGTAAGGCTTTCGTTTATCTGCATTGTGCAGCTTTCTGCATCACGAAGATAAAAACATGTTAGTGGTTGGTGGAAAAATACCCCACCAAAAGCCACGGAATTGGCTCCGAGGCCGAAGATTAACTTCCGTCTTCTCTTCGCCTATTCATGCTCTAGGCCTCCGGAGGAATAGCCTGATGCGGCTATATGCCCGAACGGGGTCTTTGTCACACAAGAATAAAAACATGCCGTTGTCCTCCTCAATTGCCTCAATCTGAATATCATCATGTCTTTGGCAATCATCACCGGAGGCGCTCAAGGAATTGGCCGTGCTGCTGCTGTCAGATTAAGCAGGGACGGCTTCAACGTGGGAATCATTGATCTTCCAGACAAGAAGAGTGAGGCTGAGAAAACCATATCGCTTGTGCAACAGAACGGCGGTAAAGCCGGCTTCTTTCCTGCCGATGTGAGCAAAAAGCCTGAATTTGAAGCTGCAACCGAAGCAGCCATTTCCGGTTTGGGCCAATTGGACGTTATGGTGAACAACGCCGGTGTCAGCATTATGGCGCCTCTCGAGCTCCAGGAAGAGGAGGATATGCAGAAAATGTTGGACGTGAACATCAAGGGCTGTTTGTGGGGTATGCAGATTGCTGCTGCTGAATTCAAGAAGAAGCAGCACAAGGGCCGGATTGTCAATGCTGCTTCGTCGTTGGCACACCAGGGTATGGCCACTGTTGGTGTCTACGCCATGACCAAGGCAGCAGTGAAGAGCTTGACGCAGACAGCCGCCAAGGAGCTTGCTGAATTCGGCATTTTGGTGAACTGCTACTGTCCCGGACCAATCAGAACGGACTTGTTCGAGGGTATTGTCGACAGATCGGAGAAGTTGAAGATTGCCAAGGCGGACGAGGTGGTGGAGTTGCAGCGCAATGGCATGGCCTTGAAGGAGTTTGGTACTACGGAGGAGATTGGCGATTTGATTTCGTTTTTGGCCAGTCCAAGAAGACAGTGGGTCACGGGCCAGAGCTACACCGCCGACGGTGGGTTGAACTTCACCTGAGCTATCTAGTACACAAAAGTTGATGACCTGAGCTATCTAGTTATACAAAAGTTGATGAAGTTGATGTGGTTGTAGGATTCCAGGTGACCTATGGGAATTTCAGGAAGCGTATTCAATGAAAGAAGGCTGTAAGGCAGGTATGTCCAATGGGTCGATAAACAGGCGAGACGTTTGACCTGAGGGTCTCGTGAAATTGAGATACCTTAATGGAGAGTGTTTCTATAGAGATAGGTTTTTCACTCTAATAAGAGGTTTTTTATCGATCATTCAATTCACGTCGGAAATTTCTTTACAACAAAACCTGTATAGTTTCAAGACCCACATAACCCCTTAAGACATTTTCACCAGAAACCAGAAAGTCCCTAAGCCGCTGCTGTATTTTGAATACTCCAGATCAGTTTTTTTCTTTTTGTTAAAATCATCTGATTAAATGGAAAACCCTATTTAATTTTACATAGAGGAAAAAAACCATCTTTGTCCTCGTCCTTTCGGATCAGCCACAGCTAAAGAACGATCCAATTCTCGAACCGTAGGATACTGAAGTTGATCATAAGCTGTTTCGAACGATACGTTCTCCGAACCGTCTTGACAAAATGAGATATCAGTAAAAATGCAAACATTAACTTTCAGTTCGTACCACCCTTATTAGTTCTGCCCTACCGGCTCCAGCCTATGCATATTCCGTCAAAGCGCCACATCTGAGACATCCAATACTGCTCATTGTGACGACTTGGCTTGCATGAACCCCACTATTTCGTCACCACTGCTCCACGTTCATGACGTTTTCTTACAACCCTAACTTTAAGCCGTTTTGCTGACGGTCCGATCCTGACTCTACTAGCCATGCACCTTTCAGCCTGAAACCGAGGCATCTACTAAACCACTGAGAATGAAGAGGCCACAAAACCCACCAAAACGAAAATCCACACTGGCGCAAATGGCATTTCCACTTTCACATTGTCCCACCAAATTCCGGTTGCTTCCCAACTTTGAACCAGAAATGGCGGTGAAAGTCTATTAACCTGAAAAACTCACCGGTCCGACCGTGCCGAAATAGAGCAAACGCCTGGCGCCTTTAATGATCCACTTGTCATTGCCATGAGACATGTCTCACCAGTCAGATGACGTTGGGTGACATTTACGTGCACACGGAAATCCGCCTGAGACAATAGGTGTCTCAAGAATGCGGTGTGACCGGAAATAGCGTCCCTGGCATATCGGACCACCTATTAAAAGGAATGACGCAAAGCGGGGCGGAGGAGATCGGCCAAAAGCGCCTTTCTCAAATACATGGCTTATTAAACTCCCGCACAAATCGCCTTTTAAGCTTGCCCCGGATAAACTCCGGCGGATTATTACCCGCAGGGTCATTTGAGGCGCCTCGAACGTGCGCGCCCCGCCTTGCGGCGAGGGGCACGGGAAAACCCTGAGCGGAGTACTAGTTTCGGTTCCGAGGAGGAAAACCGGGCCGCGCGAGCCTCCACAGGCTCAGTGAAGATAAATCTACGTCCGTACCGGCTGGTGGTCCAAAAATCCAGCCTCTTAGAACAAGGGCATATTGCCTAGAACGCATGTTTATTGCTATCTCTCTGATGTAAGCGTGCGGCGACATGGCGCTATGTGCAGGACCCACATATGGCTGTGGCGAGGCACCTTTCAACTTGGCGATGTTCCGGGTCTTGACAGCTTGACAGGTTTGGTTTTCTGGGAGGACAAAAAAATACTGTTGTAAAGCGACGTCCAGGAATCCGTCAATATAAATATTGTGGGGGTGTGCTGGGCCCTCTGGAAACCGCCTTGCTGCGGCAGCAAGCAGAGGTGCGTTATCGAGCAGTTTAGTTGTATTTTTCTTTTTTTTTTTTTTTTTCTCTTATTTTTGCTTTTTCGCTGTATGTTTCCTTTGCAGATCGCCTATTCCGTAAGCGTCCCAGTATAAATACTAGCCACCTCCCTAAGCCCTTGGCGACCACTTTCTTTTGCATCCACTGCATCACCAAAACTTCCACATTCTTTCGCAACCATGGATAGAGAAATCTCCCGTGTCCAGACTCGTATATCGAGGATCGAGTCCACCAGAGAGTTGGAGCAGCAGGTGGAGTTCAAGGACCAGCAACACCCTGGCGAGAGCTCCTCTGGCGATAACACCGTTCGTGCTTCCAGCTTGAACGGGTTTGAAAAACCCAACCAGGAAATGGTCGAGGACGCCCGTCCCATGACGCTTCCTCAAAAAAGAAAAAAGGCCAAGCTTCCTGGCATTCTTCACGAAGACGGCCGTCGTGAGCTCAGGCCGAAAGACTGCTACGACAGGTTGGGATACAAGTTCCCCTGGTACAAGAAATGGACGATTTTGACGGTGATTTTCGCCGTGCAAATGTCCATGAACTTCAACACTTCGGTGTACCCGTCGCAGATTGCCCAGATTGCCGACCATTTCGGCGTTTCCGAGCCCAAGGCCAAGGTGTCTCAGATGATGTTCATGATCATGTACGCCTTTGGATGTGAGTTGTGGGCCCCCTGGTCGGAGGAATACGGCAGATGGCCCATCATGCAATCGTCGTTGTTTCTTGTGAACATCTGGCAGATTTTGGGTGGTTTGGCGCCCAACTTTGCATCTATCATTGTCGCCAGATCGCTCGGTGGTTTGTCTTCTGCCGGTGGGTCCGTCACTTTGGGTATGACGGCCGATATGTGGGAACCCAACGACCAGGGTTTCGCTGTGGCTTATGTGGTGCTTTCTTCGGTTGGAGGTTCGTCCATTGGCCCCATTTTCGGCGGAATCATGCACGATCACCTCTCGTGGCACTGGAACTTCTGGATCCAGTTGATTTTCGGCGGCGTGGTGCAAATTGCCCATTTCTTCCTTGTCAGCGAGACCAGAACCACCATTTTGATCGACAGAGAGGCCAGAAGAAGAAGAAAAGACGGCGAGGACGACAATATCTGGGGCCCCTCGGAGATTCACGGCCGTGCCGTGAACGTCAAGGAGGTGCTCACGATCTGGAGACGTCCATTCGAGATGTTCTTGAGAGAACCTATTGTGTTGTTTCTTTCGTTGCTTTCCGGTTTCTCCGACGCCTTGATTTTCGTGTGCATGGAGTCTTTCCCTCTTGTGTACGAGCAGTGGGGGTTCGGCAACACCGCCGCTGGCCTTGCTTTCATTCCCGTCATTATAGGCTACATCATCGCCTATTGCGTCCACCTTCCCGACGTGTGGCGCCAGAAATTCCTCATTTACAACGAGGGCGAGGACCTGAGATACGCCGAAAGACGACTTCTTATCCTTCTTTACATTGCGCCCCTCGAGACCATCGGCTTGTTCGGTTTTGCCTGGACCTCCATGGGCCCTCACTACAACCCATGGATAGCGCCCATGATCTTCACCACCTGCATTGCCATCGCCAACTACAGTATTTACATGTCCACCATCGACTACATGGTGGCGGCGTACGGACCCTATTCTGCCTCGGCCACTGGTGGTAACGGATTTGCCAGAGACTTCCTTGCGGGTGTGGCCATTATGTATGCCACTCCGATGTACCAGAACATCGGCGACGCCAGACACTTGCAGTGGGCCTCGACCATTCTCGGGTGCATTGCCATTTTGGTGGCGATCCCGATTTATGTGTTTTACTGGAAGGGTCCTGCCATCAGGGCCAGGTCCAAGTTTGCCCAGACCTTGGCTGCGGACAGAAAGGCCTCCAAGCAGCACACCGCCACGGAGTGGGAGACGGAGAAGGAGGTTTGAGCAAGCGCTGGCTAATTTTATTTTCACTTTTTGTCGACCCGCTCGTAGACGGCGGGTCTAGGTTTAGAGCTGCGTATAGGAATATAGACACCTGGAGAGGGAGTTGTAGTAGGGTTTGGGCTTTTTTGTCAATTCGGTTGTGTGTCAAAAGCCGTTTGGTGCCCTTTAGGGGCTTCCAAAAGGAGCTTTTGTGACTTTAAGGCGACCTCTGGTCAGCATCCGAGAATTAAGCGACAACATCCCCTTTTCTTTCCGAGGACATCAACGCTCCTCGGGTGTTTTCGTCAGATTGCTGAAAAATAAAGCCTATTTTCCTGGTTCGTAGCCACGGGCGCTCTATATTTAACTTTTGCTCAGATCCTCCAGTGATAGCAACGCACCTGCCCCATTGAGCCCGCTCCACCACCTTCCATGCCTTGCCGAGAATTCAACGTCAACAAAGAAAGACATTCTGGAACCCTCGTGCATTACTCTGTCCAATTGGGTACGTTTCTCGTAAAAAAACCAGTAGATTCACTCTCTACCGCCCCTTTTCATGCGCCTCCGCTTAACCTCCGCTGCATGCCCACGCCCAAACTTCATTCAGATAACGCCAACGTATAGCAAACAAGAGGGGGTGGGATGCCGTTGCGGTGGCGTGCTTCACCGTCGGTTACGCTGAACGGTTATTACTACAGCGGGCTTTTGTCGTGGAACAATGCGGTTGGAACGTACGCAAAACCAGCAATTGTCGGTGGAAGCACGGCGGGTGGATGCTGATTTGATAATCAACGAGTTCTCGCTAATTTTTTAGTAGTGGTGGCTGACAAATGTGTCTCAGCTTTGTGCACCCTAGAGTGTATCGTAGAGACCCCCGAAACGGAAGTTTATTTTTTGTTAAATCCGGGCTGTTGACAGTCCTTGAAGTACTACGCAATCATAGAATCGGCATCGCCCGTTCTGGCGTACTATTAGAGTTCCGCTACGGACCGTGCTCTGAACCGGCGGATTAAGCTGGAATGCTCAATGCTCGACCGGTAGAGCATGAAATTTTCACATGTGCAAGTCCGTAGCTGTGCGGCTGCCTAGCCTTCCGTCTGTGGCGTCCAAAGCCGGTCAAGCAAATCAGGGTATTCGAAAGAAGGCCCTTACGTGTTTATTTTCAAGAAAGCGGTGGGATGCGGGCTGAGAGATGCCGAATGCAGGAGTGCCGGACTGTTCGTCTAAGCGAGCAGATGGCCGCACGCCGGAGCGGCTTATGCAGCGCTCTCAGCTTTAGCCTTTTTTTGGGGCAAGCGGAGAAAAATTCCAAACTTCCCGCTAGCAAGATGGTAAAGAGCATCTCGTTGCGCCTACAGCAGGTAATTCCGAGCAGCTTCTGTCAGTACCCCTTTCGATGTGTTTCAGTAGTTAAAATGCACCAACCACAGGTGTGTCAAGCAGAGCGTCTATTACTCTACAAGCAACGTCTCAAAGTCCTCGCAAGCGTCCTGGTAGACGAGGCGGAGCGGCAAAATAGGTTTTTTTTTTTTTTTATTTTTTTTGTTCTGTTTAGCTGCTTGATGCCCGGGACCGTAAAAGCATCGAGCAATGCGTGTGAAAAAACACACAAGGGCCTCTCAGAAGCGAGAGATTACAGCGCACCGCAGAACAATGCCATCTGTGGCGACGCCATTGGCGGACGCTGAACAATAAACCCGAGATTCCAAGGGCTTACGAGAAGCCATGCCGGTCACAAGTAGGGTATGAAGTTGGCGTACCCTTGCATATTCTGGAAACCTTCGCGCCCGGAGGGCTACATGTTCTGCGCATACGGGCGGTTTCGGCGAGTTTGGGAATTCCCAGGTCGCTTCCCCAGATTCTGGATTGGGACGCCTCGAGCCTGCTTCGAACTAAAAATTTGGCTTATTGTCTGCTGCATGAACCCACACAATGGCGGCTAGGAACACAATGGGACAATTGCGGGCGCGGCGCTGATCCTCGGCTGTGGTGGCCCACATGAGAGACTTCTCGCCTATTTGACGTTGATCTTCAACGGCAGCCACAAGCGGTCGCAGGGTGCTGTTAACGGCGAGCAGGGAGCGGCATGGTGCCGTCCTGTGCTGGATCGGGGCTGCCACCGTTTACGGTGGACGCCCGCATGATACCGTGGATTCAGCAATTCGCCCCATTACACAGAGGACCGCAATTGCATGCGCATTTTCCGGGATGGCAAAATCGGGATTTCTTTTTCTTTTTTCTTTTCTTTTTTCTTGTTCTTCACGGGCATCGCTCACGGGCCTTTCTGCCCGAACACATTGGCCAAGAATACACCCTGACTGCTACTTCCTAGCAGTGTCTGCGGTAGAGTGGTGAAGAGAACAATAAGCCTCACATAGGCGACTGCGCATACGCTACTGCAGGTCTGGCTGCACGCGTGCTGCAAGCTGGATGCAAGAGATTTTCGCCTAGCTCTTCGCTGCAGAGTGCGTTATCCGTCTTGCGCCTGGAGCAACTTCTCAAGAATCCTTGCAACAATACTTCCAGTGGCTTCCGGAATCACAAAACCAATGTTACCTTTCTCTGCATTGCCGGCCGCTTCCGGGCATGCATGAGGATCCTCGAGCTTTGCGTAATTCTCCTTGGCTGCAACATTATAAGTCGCCGTCCATCGCCGGCTTTTGTCCTCTTTTTTTTTGCAACCACCCACTCTCGCTAAAGCTCGATCCCCAATGCTTGCCTACTCGGTGGCGCTCTTCGCCTACGCTGCTGTAGCATTAGGTGCACAGATTTCGGGTGTTTTCACTGGAATTGACTCGATCCTGGGCCCCTCGAACAACAGACCCGTCACTCCCAGTTGGCAAGCCACCGTGCTGTGGCTGATGCCCCGCCTGAAAAATATCAAAACCGGCGACACCTTCACTTTGCACATGCCCTATGTGTTCAAGTTCACCTCCCTGAGTAACACCCTTGCCTTGACTGCAGGAGGCACCACTTTCGCAAACTGTATCTTGTTTTCTGGTGATAACGTTGTGGGATACTCCGAAGTGCAATGTACCGCCACGTCTGCTGCTGAAAATGTCGAGTCCGCCACGGGCAAGATCACGTTCCCCTTCACCTTCAACTCCGGCTACTCCCTGGACCCTGTCAATCTTGAGGCTGCCAATGCATGGAACGCTGGTTCCAACACCGTCACCTGGACTGATGGAAACACCCAGATCTCCACCACCGTGAACTTCCTGGGCGGCGCCAGCCAGGTTATCCTGGGTTCTGCCGAAAACGGCGCCTTTGGTTTGCGCAAAATGGTGAACCTCAACGTCAACCAGCACTACCTCTTGGGTCCTCTGTGTTCCTCCACCATGTCAGGAACGTTGCAGATCACCAATCCTTCGTCGCAGGTGCCCTTTGACTGCCTGACGCTTGCCGGTGCTATTTCTGACCAGATCAACGCGTGGTACTACCCGCAGACCGCCGACAAGGCTGGTGTTTCTGTCAGAAGCTGTTCCTCCACAGGCGCTGTTGTGTCCTTCAACAACGTGCCAGCTGGCTTCAGACCCTACATGAACGTCAACGCCGCCATCCCCCTGGGCACCTTCTCGTCGCAGAACCAGTACTCGTACAGCTTCTCGTGTGGCTGGAGAACGCTCAGTGGTCTGGCCACCCAGCTGTGGACCATGTACAACGACGGAAACACCGGCTCTGGAGGCAATTTCAAGCCCATTGTGCTTACCACCGTCACGGACCCCACCGCCACCACCACCGCCGTCGGCACCGTCACGGGCGCTTCCACAAACACCATCGTGGTGACGGTTCCTATTTCCCAGACCACCATCACCGTCACCGGCACCGGAACCGCCTCTACTACCCACTCTGCCACCAGCAGCGGCACCAGAGTCATCTCCATCGACGTGCCTACGCCTACAACCACCATCACGCGTACCTACTCCGGCTCCACCAGCTCCTTCCTGACCATTCCAGCCACCACCGGCGGCACTGGAACGGTTATCATCGGGGTGCCCACGCCAACGACCACTTTGACCCAAACGTGGACCGGAACAACCACCTCCACTCAGACGATCCCGGCCACCTCGGGCGGAACCGCTACTGTCATCGTGGATGTGCCTACTCCAGTCACCACCGTCACCAGCACATGGACAGGCCTGACCACCGCCACGGTTACTCAACCAGCCACTTCTGGCGGCACCCAGACCGTTGTCGTGGAGGTGCCCACGCCTACCACCACGTTGTACTCCACGTGGACGGGAACTGTCACCACCACCACCACTGTGCCTGCTACTTCGGGCGGAACAGCCACTGTGATTGTCGAGGTGCCTACGCCCGTGACGGTGATCACGTCTACATGGACCGGATCCACCACGAACGTCGTCACCGAGCCTTTCTCGCTGGGTACGCAGACCATCGTGGTCGAGGTGCCTACTCCTACAACCACACTCACCAGAACATGGACAGGAACCGAGACATCCACCGAAACCATCCCTGCTACCACTGGCGGCACCGGAACCGTGATTGTCGACGTCCCTACTCCATACACCACCATCACCAGAACGTACACCGGCAGCGTGCCCACCACAGAGACGATTCCAGCCACCACTGGAGGAACCGGCACTGTGGTGGTTGACGTTCCTACTCCTACCACGACGATCACGAGAACATGGACGGGCTCGACCATCTCCACCGAAACTGTTCCTGCTACTACCGGCGGTACTGCTACTTTGATTGTCGATGTTCCCACGCCTACCACCACTGTGACATCCACCTACACTGGCCAGATCACCACCACGGTGACCGTGCCTGCTACTTCTGGTGGAACCGCCACTGTCGTTGTGGAGGTGCCTACCCCTACCACCACCATCACCACCACTGGTGACGTCACCAACATCGTGACTCTGACTATCCCAGCTGCTTCTGGTGGAACCGAAACCGTCGTGGTCGAGGTGCCTACTCCAACAATCTACACCACCAGAACCTGGACCGGTTCTGTCACCACCACGGAGACTATCCCAGCTACTACCGGTGGAACCGGCACTGTCATCATCGATGTTCCTACTCCTACTACTACAATCACCAGAACATGGACTGGCTCTGAGACTACAACTGAGACGGTGCCTGCTGCATCTGGTGGAACCGGTACCGTGATTATCGATGTGCCAACTCCTCTGACTACCATCACCAGAACTTGGACTGGCTCCATCACCACCACCGAGACCATCCCGGCTGGATCTGACGGAACTGAGACAATCGTCGTTGATGTTCCTACTCCAACCACCACTATCACCAGAACGTGGACCGGAACGGAATCCACCACCGAGACCATTCCAGCTCAATCCGGTGGAACTGGTACTGTGGTTGTCGATGTGCCCACTCCTTACACTACCATTACCAGAACGTGGACTGGCACTACTACCCAAACCGAGACTGAGCCGGCTCCATCTGGCGGTACTGGAACCGTTGTGATTGATGTGCCTACTCCAACCACCACGATCACCAGAACTTGGACTGGCACTGAAACCACTACCGAGACCATTCCAGCTCAATCCGGTGGAACCGAGACCATCATTGTCGATGTTCCAACCCCTTACACGACTTTGACTAGAACCTGGACTGGTACTACCACTCAGACTGAGACTGAACCTGCTCCTTCTGGAGGTACTGGAACTGTGATCATCGACGTCCCTACGCCAACAACCACCATTACCAGAACCTGGACCGGTACTGAGACCACCACCGAGACTATTCCAGCCGGATCTGGTGGAACTGAGACCATCATCGTGGACGTTCCTACTCCTTACACCACTATCACCAGAACGTGGACTGGAACAACCACCCAAACGGAAACCGAACCTGCTCCTTCTGGAGGTACCGGCACTGTTGTCGTTGACGTTCCAACCCCAACTACCACGATCTTTTCTACCTGGACTGGCAGCACGATCTCTACTCGTACTATTCCAGGTTCTTCTGGTGGTACTGACACTGTGGTGATTGAGGTGCCTACTCCAATCACTGTCATCACTTCCACGTGGACTGGTTCGATTACCGAGGTTGTAACGGAGCCTTACGAATCTGGAACCCAGACCATCGTTGTCAACGTTCCTACCCCAACTACCACTATCACCAGAACCTGGACCGGAACGGAAACTACTACTGAAACCGTTCCAGCCGAGTCTGGCGGAACTGGTACCGTGATTATCGATGTTCCAACTCCATACACCACCTTGACCAGAACTTGGACTGGAACCACCACCCAGACTGAAACTGAGCCTGCTCCTTCTGGTGGCACTGGTACTGTGATTATTGACGTTCCTACTCCTACAACCACGATCACCAGAACCTGGACTGGAACTGAAACCACCACTGAAACCATCCCAGCTGGCTCCGGTGGTACTGAGACCATCATTGTGGACGTTCCTACTCCTTACACCACTTTGACCAGAACCTGGACTGGAACCGCCACTCAAACGGAAACCGAACCAGCTCCTTCTGGAGGTACCGGTACCGTTATCATTGACGTTCCTACTCCAACCACTACCATCACTAGAACTTGGACTGGAACTGAGACGACTACCGAGACCGTTCCTGCTGGAAGTGATGGAACTGAAACTGTTATCATCGACGTGCCAACTCCTTACACTACCATCACCAGAACTTGGACTGGCACTACTACTCAAACGGAAACTGAGCCTGCTCCTTCTGGAGGAACTGGAACAGTCGTTGTTGATGTTCCTACTCCATCTACTACTATCACGAGAACCTGGACTGGTACCGAGACTACCACTGAAACCATTCCTGCTGGAAGCGATGGAACTGAAACAATCATTGTTGATGTTCCAACTCCTTACACTACCATCACGAGAACATGGACTGGCACTACTACTCAAACTGAGACAGAGCCAGCTCCATCTGGTGGCACTGGTACCGTGGTTGTTGATGTGCCTACCCCGGTCACTTCTATCACAAGAACCTGGACCGGCACCACCACTCAAACGGAGACCATTCCAGCCCAATCTGGTGGAACTGAAACAGTAATTATCGATGTCCCTACTCCTGTGACTACTTTGACTAGAACCTGGACCGGTACTGAAACCACTACTGAAACTATTCCTGCTGAGTCTGGTGGTACTGAAACTGTCATTATCGATGTCCCAACTCCTGTGACCACCATCACGAGAACTTGGACTGGTACTACTACTTCGACTGAGACCATTCCTGCCGAGTCTGGAGGAACCGAGACTGTCATAATTGATGTTCCTACTCCTGTCACTACTTTGACGAGAACTTGGACTGGCTCTATTACTACAACTGAGACCATTCCTGCCGAGTCTGGTGGTACCGAGACCATCATCATTGACATCCCAACTCCAACCACCACCCTCTTCTCCACATGGACTGGATCTACCATCTCCACAAGAACCATTCCTGCTGAATCTGGTGGAACTGACACCGTTGTGATTGAGGTTCCTACCCCAGTTACCGTGATAACTTCTACCTGGACCGGCTCTATCACTGAGATTGTCACTGAGCCTTACGAGTCTGGTACTCAAACTATTGTCGTGAACGTTCCTACTCCGGTTACCACTGTGACAAGAACATGGACCGGCACTACTACCAGCACTGAGACCATTCCAGCTGAGTCTGGTGGGACCGAGACGGTCATCATTGACGTTCCTACTCCAGTTACAACTATTACTAGAACCTGGACTGGAACCACCACTTCGACTGAGACTGTTCCAGCTGAATCTGGTGGAACTGAGACTGTGATTATCGACATCCCAACTCCTGTTACTACGATCACCAGAACCTGGACCGGCACTGAGTCTACTATCGAGACCATTCCTGCTGGCTCTGACGGTACTGAAACTGTCGTTGTTGATGTTCCTACTCCTTACACCACCATCACTCGTCCTTGGACTGGAACTTTTACTACCACTGAGACCGAGCCTGCTCCTTCTGGAGGCACTGGCACTGTTGTTGTTGATGTTCCTTACGAAGCCACCACTGTGACCTCGACTTGGACCGGTACCACCACTAGAACTGTTTCTGAACCACCTAGCGGATCTGACACTGTTGGAACTGTTATTATAGAGGTTCCTCCAGCTACAACGGCATACACTACCTTGACGTCTACCTGGACTGGCACCACCACCAACACCATCACTGAACCACCTGCTGGCTCTGATACCGTTGGTACTGTGATTATAGAGGTGCCTCCATCGACTACCGATTACACCACCTTGACATCAACCTGGACTGGTACTACCACTAGGACTGTGACTGAACCACCTTCTGGTTCTGATACCGTGGGCACTGTTGTTGTTGAAGTTCCACCTACCTCCACTGATTACACGACCTTGACTTCTACTTGGACTGGAACTACCACCAACACCATCACCAACCCACCATCTGGTTCTGATACCGTTGGAACGGTTGTGATTGAGGTTCCTCCTACCTCGTCTCAGTTTACCACTTTGACATCTACTTGGACCGGAACAACCACTAGAACTGTTACTGAGCCACCATCTGGATCCGATACTGTTGGCACTGTTGTTATTGAAGTTCCACCAACCTCTGCTGACTACACTACTGTCACCTCGACTTGGACTGGTACTATTACTAACACCATTACCAACCCACCTTCTGGTTCTGACACAGTCGGTACCGTGGTTATTGAAGTTCCACCAACTTCTGCTGATTACACCACCGTCACTTCTACCTGGACTGGAACTACAACCGCCACGGTCACTAACCCACCATCTGGTTCTGATACTGTCGGTACTGTTGTGATTGAGGTTCCTTCCACTTCCTCCGAATTCACTACCTTGACTTCGACCTGGACTGGAACCACAACAAGAACCGTGACTGAGCCACCATCTGGATCCGATACTATTGGCACTGTTGTTATTGAAGTTCCTCCAACTTCAGCTGATTACACCACCGTCACTTCTACCTGGACCGGTACCACGACTGCCACTGTCACTAACCCACCTTCTGGTAGCGACACCGTTGGCACTGTTGTGATTGAAGTTCCATCTACTTCGTCTCAGTTCACCACTTTGACTTCCACCTGGACCGGCACTACTACCAGAACTGTCACCGAGCCTCCAACCGGCTCTGACACCATTGGAACTGTTGTCATCGAAGTCCCACCAACTTCCACTGACTACACCACTTTGACGTCTACCTGGACTGGTACTACAACTAGAACAGTTACTGAGCCACCATATGGTTCTGGCACCGTGGGCACCGTTATCATAGAGGTGCCCCCAACTACTGTTCCTGTTGTCCCAGTGCTGTCTTGGAACTGGAACTCTTCTTACGTGGTCTCCCTGTCTTCGATCCCTGTGCCTGTGAGTCTGTCATTGTCTCTCACCGAGAGCTCCGAGTCGTTCTCTGAGTCTTCGATTGCTTCTTCGATTCCACCAGCTTCGAACTCCGAGCCTGCTACTCCTGCCGTCTCCTCGTCTCCAGTGAGTACCGAGCATCCACAGCTGAACACCGACAGCTTCAGTGGACCAACATCTTCTGGCCCCATCACTACCTCCTCGAATCCTGGTCCCGAGCCTAACCCTGGCCCAGGTTCCGAGACTCCAGGTTCTGATTCTTCGGCTCCTGGTCCTAACCCATCTGGTCCTAACTCCGGCGCTGAAACGTCTCTTTCGACTGCTTCACACCCAGGCCCAAGCCCAGGTCCAGCATCTGAATCGTCGGTTCCAGTCTCTCCTGGTCCTAGCTCAGAAGGCTCTGCATCGACTGTTACAGTTACCACAACTCCTGGTCTTTCTGAGCCAACCAACGGTCCAAACACATCTGGAACCGGTCAAATCCCATCTGGCACTGGCCCTGTCCCATCTGGTCCAAACTCCGCTGGTCCAAGCTCCTCGAACCCTGACACCACTGTGCCTGTCGCTCCAGGACCATCTCCTTCTGGCCCAGCTGTTCCAGGTACTAAGTCTTCTGCTCCAGGCGAGTCTCAGCGAGTTCCTTCTGGTACTGCCAACTCCGAGTCTCAACCAAGTCAAACCGGTCCAGCTCCATCTGGGCCAAACCAGACCGGTCCAGCTCCATCTGGGCCAAACCAGACCGGTCCAGCTCCATCTGGCCCTAACGAGACTGGCCCAGCTCCATCTGGTCCTAACGAGACTGGCTCTGTTCCTTCTGGACCAATCCAAACTGGACCCGCTCCATCTGGTCCAAACGAAAACGGCCCTACATCCACCGGACCAGCTCCTGCCAACTCGGCTCCTCCAGCTCCTCACCCTGAGCCTATCGCTTCAAACACTGTTCCAGCATCCGGCTCCAACCCAGCACCATCTGGCTCCAACCCTGGACCAGCACCTTCCGGCTCTAACCCAGGACCTGTCCCAGTGCCTGGCCCTGCTCCATCTGGTACTGAGTCCAACAACAACCCTGCTAGCACTCCATACCCAACCTCTGTGGCTGGTCCAAGCACCCGTGTTCCCGAAAACTCTGCTACCCAGAGCACCGGGTCCAACACTGCTTCTGAAACCAGCTCTGTTGTTTCAGAGGGTCCATCTTCACTGGTTGTCTGCTACAAGGGTAACTGCGTTACACTTCCTGTAACCTCTCAGGGTGCATCGACCTCAACCCCAGTTGCTGTTTCGCATGCCTCTTCGTCATCGTCCCCTATTGGTCCTGAGCCTTCTCCAGCATCTGCTACACCAGCCATTTCTACATACGCAGGTCTGGCTGCTGCCGTCAAGATCTCGGGTCTTGCTGCGGTTGTTGTACCATTGCTTCATGTCTTGTTTTGATGAACATCAAGTGGTGTTCTTTTATTTCGTTTGTTGTATTCTTTCGACATGCTGGTCTCCAGGCCATGCTTTCTTTCGATACCCTTTATTAGCATTATTGGCGTTGTTGCATTACTACATGTTTGTTTTCATGCACGGACTTATCTTCGGTTTATACCCTTTTACGTATAATTACATTTTATTTAAAGAAGCTGTAGATTGGTCCAGAAGTAAGGTGAGTTATTGGTTGAGAAAATAGTAGAGGGGCTATATTGGGCGAGTGATGTTTTAGTAGTCAGTGTCACTGTGAGTGAGAATATAGTAGAATCAATGGAGACAACAAGAGAGTATTGAAATACTCTTGTAGGCCAATCATCATCAACAGCGAAATTCTGACTTTTTTAAAACACGCTAGAGTCTTATTTTCACTACCCTGATGCAATCTGATCAAACTCCAATTATTTAAGTGGAGGCCCTCAAAGACGGAATTGGTTTCACTTCTAGCATAGAAACAACAATATGACCACCATATTTGAAACTCTGTGATCACATTCCTCTTACACATCACTGAATACAAACTCCAATTTCCTCAATAAGACTACCCTTCCCCACCCTAAAGCCTAAACAAGTCATTGAACTATCACCAGTCGGCAATTTTGTAGGCCCTCATCAAACAAGCATCATCCATGCAGCATGAAAATGGTTATGAGTTTCCAAAAGTCTGCACTTCAGGAACCCACACATACGGCGCTAGCGGGCTGCAAAAGGTTTGCCATCATTTGAACAATCCGTTCTCGATTACGCTAAGGGCACATTTACGAATTTAATGCGATGGCATGCAATAAAATTTACCAACAACGGTCATGAGGATGAGGAATAGGACGAAGAGTTGAGAATAAAGAATTGAGATGAAGAGTTGAGAATGAGGAATGAATGAAGAGTTGCGGATGAAGAGTTGCGGATGAAGAGTTGCGGATGAAGAGTTGCGGATGAAGAGTTGCGGATGAAGAGTTGCGGAATCGTTCTTAAAGCCACAAACTCTGGGCACTGCCATTCGGTGGATCTTGGTCCAGAACCAACGAGAGATTAGGCGCCCATCAATGGCATTGTTGCCAAAGAGGAAACACAATTCCGAAATATAGCCGCGGTTACACCCGAGCAAAGAGAAACCTCGGCAGCATTGTCAGAGGTCCAGAGCTCTTTGTGCTACTTTTCTTACTTGCCGAAAAAGAACAAAGTGGGATCTTCTTAAGCGGTGACACAAAACCGTGTATTGTACGCAAACAATGCAAGAAACGGCTACCCCGTAACCACGTCCACCTCTCCACCATGAAACTTTTTTAAAAAGAAAGCGAAAACAAAACACCTGCAACCACCAACCTGATGCAAAGCCATTTACTAGTGCAAAGCCATTTCTTAGTCGAGCATTCCCTGCTTTTTGCCGCGGTGCGCCTAAGCCAAATGCAAGGTGCTGCACCGCCGATCTCACATGTCGGTGGAAACAATAAGCGGCGCCCAGGATCGAAGTCAGATGCTCAGATGGGAATGTACAGTTAAGCCATGCCAGGGTATTTAGAGTTTATGCAACGGTTTGCTACGCTGAGCTGTGAAATTTTGGGTTTAGCCGCACGCTTTAAGGTAAGCTTTAGGCTTTCGCCAGGCGTTGTTGGGGTTGACGTGGGGTGACACAGAAACGGGCATATGAAGCTGAAAGCCAGGATGCAACGGTATGTAGGCTTTTTAGACCACACCGTAGTGGTTTTAAAGTCCAAGCCTGGTACGCCTCGGAGGCTTGATCGCAGTGATTCGCGTCGATAATCAGGTGGCTGAGGAGTGTTAGAGATGCAACCGGGTGGATTGTTGGATTTTGCAAGTTCTGATATTTGAGGGAATGGGAGAATTGGGGGATGGGGGAATTGGGGAATTGGGGGAGTTGGGGAATTGGGAGATTTTAGGGAATTGAGAGAGTTTAGGGAATTGAGAGAATTCGGGAAATTAGAGAGAAGGAGGTGGTGAGTTTTATAGCACTTGGATCGATTGGGACGAGTGGTGGCATAGGCTGAAATAGCTCAATTTATGTACTATAAGCACAGGGATGAGTGCTGCTAGTGTACTAGAAGCACCAGAGTAAGCAGGGTTTTCAGAATAATCCTTAGTAGAATGACCGCAAAGCAATCATAGTTAAATAAGTCTCAAAGTAGTCCATGTATTTCGTTCATTGACCCCAATTCAATACCCAGGCATGTCAATGCCTCTACCATAAAGCATGTGCCTTGAATCTAACTCACTGGGCTAATTGTCACTGTAGGCGGCAATATTGCCCTATCGCAACTCAATAACCACACTACAACTCGTTATTAAATAAGTGTATTAAAGAACTGAATCAGAAAGCCAAGCATATAAGTGGTATCTAAGCGACAGCTTTTCGAACAAACATGAATGAAGAAAAAGAAAAAGTAGCGAACGGGTGCCTCTAAAGCACAGCAAGAAGGGCAAGCGACACGAGCCACAGGGCGCCAAACTTCACCACAGAAGCGCCAGCCTCGTATGTGGAGACCGCCTGGGGCTCTTCTGGAGCAGCAGAAGCGTCGGGAACCACAGAGTTCAAGGTGGAGGCACCAGGGTGTGGCTCACCGGCGACGGTTTCAGAGGTTCCGTTTGGCTCTTCAGCAGGAGCGTCTCCGGAGGGTTCGTCACCGGATGGAGCATCTCCAGAAGGCTGTTCGTCAGAAGGTTGTTCGTCGGAAGGCTGTTCGTCAGAAGGCTGTTCGTCAGAAGGCTTGTCACCGGAAGGCTTGTCACCAGGCTGTTCAGGCTCCTTTGGCTTCTCTCCAGATGGCTTGTCAGATGACTTGTCAGTCTCCTTTGGCTCGCCTGGCTGCTCAGTCTCCTTTGGCTCGCCTGGCTGCACAATGGAAGTCACCTCCTGTGGACCACCCTCGACGGCGGTCTCGTGAATCACAGCAGTCACGGTCTTGACATCGCCGTTCTTGTCCTCGGTAACAAGCGCAGTGGTCTCAGGGCACACAGACACAATCTGGGTCACCACACCGTCGTCCTTGGTGGAGTCACACACAACAACAGTCTTGGTCTTGACGTTTCCGTCGGGGTAGGTGGTGACAACGGTGCTGGTGGTGGCTGGAGGGAAGAGCGAGGTTGTGGTGGACAACTCTCCGTCCGAGTCGGTGGTGACGATAACCACACCGGAGCCGGTCTGTTCACCATCGCTGGTTGGCCATGTGGAGGTGTAGGTGGTGAATGGGTCGTCAGTCTCCTCTGGAGGGAAGAGGGAGGTGGTGGTGGACAATTCGCCGTCAGAGTCGGTGGTGACAATGATGACGCCAGAGTCAGTGTTTCCGTCGTCCGTAGGCCACGATGAAGTGTAGGTGGTGAAGGCTGGATCAGACTCTTCTGGAGGGAAAAGCGAAGTTGTAGTGGACAATTCTCCATCAGAGTCAGTAGTAACGATAATCACACCAGAATCAGTATTTCCATCGTCAGTGGGCCAGCTTGAAGTGTAGGTGGTGAATGGGTCGTCAGTCTCCTCTGGAGGGAAGAGAGAAGTTGTAGTAGTCAACTCTCCGTCAGAGTCGGTAGTAACAATAATCACACCAGAATCGGTTTGTTCACCATCGCTGGTAGGCCAGGTCGAAGTGTAAGTAGTAAAAGTTGGCGACTCAGGAGTCTCCTCTGGAGGGAAAAGGGAAGTAGTAGTAGACAATTCGCCGTCCGAGTCAGTAGTAACAATAATCACACCAGAATCGGTGTTTCCGTCGTCAGTGGGCCAGCTTGAAGTGTAAGTAGTGAAAGTTGGATCAGACTCTTCTGGAGGGAAGAGAGAAGTGGTAGTAGACAATTCTCCATCAGAGTCAGTGGTGACAATGATGACGCCAGAGTCGGTCTGGTCACCATCGCTGGTAGGCCAGGTCGAGGTGTAAGTAGTGAAAGTTGGATCAGACTCTTCTGGAGGGAAAAGCGAAGTGGTAGTGGTCAACTCGCCGTCAGAGTCAGTAGTAACGATAATCACACCGGAGTCGGTCTGGTCTCCGTCGCTGGTTGGCCAGGTCGAGGTGTAGGTGGTGAAGGTAGGACCATCTGGGGTTTCGGAGCTTTCGGCAGGAGGAGCTTCAGACTCGCTGGTTTCAGCTGGAGGATCAGAGTTGGAGGGAGATGGAGAAGGCGATGGTGAAGGTGAAGGTTCTGGGGAGGAAGCTGGGTCAGAAGAAGCAGGTTCAGACGAAGCAGGGTCAGACGAAGCAGGGTCAGACGAAGCAGGCTCAGAGCTGGATGGCTCAGAGCTGGATGGCTCAGAGCTGGATGGCTCAGTCGTCTCCTCAGAACTTGATGGAGCAGAGCTGCTTTCAGAGCTCTCGGAACTGGAGGATGGCGCCAGGCTGGAGGACTCCTCCTCGGTAGGAGCAGCAGGGAACTCTTCACACTGGCAGTTGCTGGGAACGTCGCCGGGGTAGTCGCCAGAGTACGAAATACGGGTTCCAGCGCTTCCCACACCGTTGGTGGAGAAGTCGGACTCGTCGTAGCCCTCGCCGATCTTGAAGGCCATCTTGAACACACCAAGGAAGAAGGAAAGCTCCAAAGTGTCGTCCAGGTACGAGTAGCCGGTGAAGCCAGTGTTGACTCTGATCTCGTTGCCGCCGCCAAAACCAGCAACGGTGTAGGTCTTGGTTCCGGTGAGCGACGGCTCCAAGCCAAGCACAGACAACATGGACAGCTCGGACGAAAGGTAGATGGTCTGGTCGTTGTCGACGTTCCAAGGCGTGATTTCAAGCTGGAGGTGGCCGTCGTCCATGACGTTGATACATCCGTTACCCTCGATGCTGGTGGTCTGGACCCAGTCCAAGCGCTCGATACAGATGGTTCCCGTGTTTTCAACCAGGCCCAAAGCCTGCGAGATAGTGATGGGCGAGGCGTTGCCTCTGTCCTGACGAAGGTAGATTTTGCCCGAGTTGGACCAGTCCAAAGCGGAGCCGAGGATGATGGGAGGAGTGACGGAGAACACTGGGGTGCCGATCCAGATGTTCTGGGTGTTGTCGAAGGTTCCCACGGAGTCCAAGTTGAAGTTGGTCACCACCTGCGCCTCCAAGGCGTTGAAGACGATGTCGCCGTCGTTCAAGATGGTTCCAGAGGCGATGGTCACCGAGGACGCCAATCCGTTGGTGGAGGTGACAAACCACTGGCCCTTGTTGTTCAAGTTGCCGCCGAGCACGGTGAGGGCGTTGTTGACGATGGAGTAGTAGACGCCCTCGTTGATTCTGAGCTCGCCAATGTCCAAGTTGGCAGGCGAGTTCTCGATGGTGTCCTCGCTGATGGTCAAGGCCAAAGCCGAGGTGAGGCAGGTTGCTGCCGTGAGCAAAGTCTTGTAGCTTAAGATTCCCATGGCTGATGGAGAAAGAAGACGGGGAGGCGCCCTCCTTATATACCCCGAAACCAAGCTACCCGCTGCTATCTTGAAAACAATCCATTCCAGTATTCACTGGAGGGAATGGTTGCAAATCTGCACCCTCTGCGCGCCGCATGCACGGCTAATCACGTCGTGCTTGTGCCTCTGGCAGCGTTTTCCATTCCTTCGTTGAGAATGGCAGCTGTGCGTTATCTGGCCTCGCTGTGGGGCTCCGGTTGTGTTTTTTCGTGCAAAGCGAAAGCTTATCCAGGCAGTTGGAGAGGCAGTTTGGGAGGGTGCGGCTGCGGCTGCACCGTACTTGCGAGGCTTGTGCAGCGCCTCAGGAATGTCGATTTTTAGAGAGTGGCTGGATTTCTTTGGTCGACGATCAGTCCGCCGACGGGCCGCTCAACGAAAAAAAAAAAAAAAAAAAAAAAAAAAAAAACCCTGAGCTGCTTGTCGCCACAATGGGCCAGGGATCGCCTGGGTCTTTTGTCCGATTCCTTTTTGGGCCCTGCGATCATTGTTCAGGAATATCAACGCCTGCCCCCAACCGGCCCAAATTGGATTCGCCAGCTGCCCCAATTTGGATTCCCAGATTGTCTCGATTCCAGATCCCATTCTTGCCATTGTGGCCATTTTGTCGTTGACGTTGTTTGCCAGATCTCCCGATCCGATGTTGCTCTTCGGCTCCGCCATGGAATGTAGACTTCCCAACCACACGCTTCCACTTTCCATTGCCAGTATTTTCGTGCCGGTATTTTCTCATGCCGGTATTTTCTCATGAGTATTCTCGCGCCAGTATTTCTCATGGGTATTCGCGTGGGGCCTGCTTGCACTATTTTCCAGCCGCACCTCCCCACAGCGTCTAATCCTTCTCTCTCCAGCGTGAGAGATCTGCACGCTTCGTGCTCCCATTGATGCACAGGCCTGGGACAATCCTCGCCAGAAGAGCAACATTTGGCACCGATTGGGAAAACAACGCCGATTCCGCCGCCGCCTTGTTCCTTTACGAGCGAAGCTTCTGAGCATTGTGTAGCGAAAGCTTCTTCAGTAACCGAGTTCGCGCACCCCACCAGAAAGTCTATTCCACCACGAAGCCTATTCCACCACCCAGTCCATTCCCAAATTATACTACCTTCTTTTGAGGGCCAGGGCCACGACTCGTTAGAAGCCCCCGCCCAGAGGTTTTAGTGCTGTTTACGATTTACGGAATGGGGTGTGCCCAAGCCACATTCACAAGGTGCTTCCCTCCTCGTCGCACATGGTCGAAAATCTCAGCACATCTTTCACGAGGGACGAACGTTACCAGCATTCTTGCTGGCGGGGCGCCTCGAGCGAGATCTATTATTTTGGATTGCTTTCTTTTCGAAGTTTCCTTTCTCGTTGTGGATTTCGACCGTTTGGGCTGTTCCGTTCCCGCCAGGAAATTTTCCAAAATGCTGGTGGCTTTGCGCCCGCGCCTGTGGTTCTAATCTCGGAACCGATGGTCCCCTCTGCTGCAAATCGGTAATTGCCCGCCGTAATTGCACGACGTAGTGTGACCGGCCTAGTTGGACCGGCGTAATTGGACCGGCGTAATTGGACCGGCGTACTTGTGCTTTTTTTGGGTTAAATGTCCAGTCATGCTTTTATTTTTCTGAGAACCAGGCTTTGACTGCGGACCCGAGCGCAATCGCTGATACCTCGCATAGGCTCGATGCTGACTCTCCAGGTCCCACTCGGTTCACACCCTTTTTTGTCTTTTCTTTTGAACTTCTCCTTGAAATTTTCTTTCTCTCCAGGTCCCCATATTTCCCTATTCTTACCGCCCAGGGCTCAGATACGCTGTTTCTCTTTCTCACCTGCTGGCTCGGGGGTTCCCGATCGACGAGATCGTCCACACTGCGTCTTCGACACCGTCTTCGACGCCGGCTTCGACGCAGAAGCAGAAGAATATCCCCAGCTTTCGGCAAGTGACCTCCCGGCCCAAATGGTGGTTTAATGATTTGCAGCTCTCCAACGTGGGTTCTATTTCCGTCGATTGCGTTTTGGCCAGGACCCTGATTGGGTGGGGAGGCTCTTGGCCTTGTGATAGCTTTGCTTTATCTCCGATGACGGGGTAGGGTCATGCTTGGGACCGGCAGGGTGGGTGGTGTTACCTTGTGATAGGCTACGAAGGCTGGTTTTGTTGGGAAGGGTAGTTGCATTTTGAAGCGTCATAACTTTTATGGCCGGGGCCGGGGGGTGTTGGTATTACGGTGTACCGTATTGCCGGGTGCAATTGAGCTACAAAGCGACAGTTTACGGACCAGGCAAGACAAAGTCGCCCAAACCGCTCAATTGCTTGGATAGAGGTGGATAGCGGGTATGGGAATGGTACAGTTTGATTTTGGGGGACTGGTGGGTTGGCTCTAGGGTCTGTTGTCTTGGGTGAGTCATAGGATTGGATCCAGGGACGCCACGCCAAAACGACTAGTTAGAAGAATTTCGTGAAAAACGATCCAAAATTCACTAGAACACCTATCTTCCCAGCTCAGGCCGCTCATGAGTCCACCGTATCAAAGCTTGCAATTCCATGAAACAAGTGAACAGATCCACCAAGGGCAGCCGCCAAATCGCCAATAACTAATATAATGGAGAAATCAAGGGCCGATGAACTAGAGGCAAAGCAGTATTTTTGATTAACCTTTCGCTGGCGTGGCCAGTCCATTCTGTCTATCTGATCAGTCACCCTGTCAAGCCCAAGGCAACAGGCCCGTCCATTGTCTCCTCATTCTGGCTCAGCCCTAGTATTCATTCTTCAAGTGCCGGTTGGGATTGAGCATTTCAGGGACAAATTTCAAAATTTCAGAAATCCAGAAGGCAGGTCGTCAGATAACAGAATTCCACAGAAGGCAACTACCAACCACAGGGCCGAAAGCCGTCAATTGCCTCGTGCCTGTCATTTTCCGGATAAACTCTGAAACCGCCGGCACCCAAGACAAAGGTGCACATTCTTCGATATTACAAGCGTCTGGACCCGGAAACGTCCATTGTGGCTCCGGACTTCCCAGGCACGAAGCCGAGGCCGTGTTTTTGGCCCGTGGCGTTTGCTACCCAATTGCATTTCCATTCACATCAAATTCTAAATTTGTATTCTTCACACCACATTTTGTCGTTGCATCCCAGCTTGTCATTACGCCAAAACGGGGTCTTGCAGATGTACCAGGAACAAAACGTCAACTCACGTAGGCGAATGCAAGGCCGTTGCGGCACGAGCAGGCGCGTTTTGCGAGGAACCCTGGCCCACCAAGACACGGCCCGTTTCGGCCAAAACGGCTTTTTTCAAAAAACTGAAAAAATTCACCGCCAAAACACCCCAGCCCAAGCCATTGGCCAAAAATCACCGCACAATTCCCACCACAACCACCCCAAAACGTCACCACCCCTGGGTTCTGGCCCCACCGCCTCGATCGCGAATCGCGACTTTTGGCGTTTTGCAGCCTCCATAAACACTCCCACCTTAATCCCAAAACAGTCCACGTTCCTCACCTTTAAGCCCAGATTGCCCCTGCTGCCGGCAGTGCCTGCTTCGCCTGCTCTCGCCATATCGGCCCTCGCGTTCGGAGCTTCCAGGCTTCGCCGCAACCCCTGTAGAAAAATGGCTGCAAAAAGTATAAAGCTGCCCTGCTGCCTCCCCTCCACCATCTCCAGTCCTCCACCACTGCCATGCTTTCTGCGTTTGTCCTTCTTTCCCTAGCACTCACCTGCGATGCCCTCACGTTGCCTGCCAGCCAGGACACCGTGGGGTTTTCTGAAAATACGTGGAACGGCAACCTGGTGACCTCTCTGTCCACAGACGACTATGCTGGATACACTGCCGACCGCTTTGGCGGGGCCCAGGCTGGCCCTGCCTCCCAGGAGGCTCTGACTTCGAGCTCCCAGGCATTCCAGGAGCCTGCTATCCAGACTAGCTCTAGCTCTCTGGAGCCTGCTTTCGAGACTAGCTCTAGCTCTCCGGAGCCTGCTTTCCAGACTAGCTCTAGCTCTCCGGAGCCTGCTTTCCAGACTAGCTCTAGCTCTCCGGAGCCTGCTTTCCAGACTAGCTCCCTGGAGCCAGCTTTCCCAACCAGCTCTGAACAGTCTTCCCCGGAAGTGGCTGCTTCTTCGGGAACTTCGTCCATTTGGGCGTCCCAGACCTCCGCCGGTCCTTCGGAAATCAACTCCTCCAGAGCCTCGCTTCCATGGGAATCTCCGCTGTCGGAGCTTCAGGCTGCTTCTGCTGCTCCAGAGGCTGAACTGTCGGCGCCATTTGGGTCTGAGTCTTCTGCCGCTGAGTCGTCTGTCGCTGAGTCTTCTGCCGCTGAGTCTTCTGCCGCTGAGTCTTCTGCCGCTGAGTCTTCTGCCGCTGAGTCTTCTGCCGCTGAGTCTTCTGCCGCTGAGTCTTCTGCCGCTGAGTCTTCTGCCGCTGAGTCTTCTGCCGCTGAGTCTTCTGCTGAGTCTTCATCCCAGCCTGAGGCATCTGAATCCGCTCAATCCTCTGAGCCAATCGAGTCCTCCGTCGAGTCCTCCGTCGAGTCCTCCGTTGAGTCCTCCATTGAGCCTTCTGAGTCTGCCTACTCTGAGCCAGCTTCAAGCGCCTCCGCTGTTCCCTCAGATATCCCCTCTGCGGTTGCTTCTTCTGCGGCTTCTTCTGCGGTTGCTTCTTCAACTGAGGCCGCCTCCACCTCCGCTCCGGCTTCTCTGGCAGAAGCCAGCTTTTCTTCTCTCTCCAACTCCACCGTGGAATCCACGCTTCTCACCACCAGACTCGTCACCTTGTCTGCCGAAAACGGCCCCACCACCGTCTACACCACCGAAGTCGTCACGGAGGTTGTCACTGTGGGCGGCAGCGGAAACGGCGGTGACGAAAACGGAGATAACACCCAGAACAGCGCTCCCCAGGTCACCACGGATGTCCAGACCACCACCGATGCCGATGGTACTGAGGAAACCACCGTTGAGGTGACCACCCTCGTGACGGAAGCTGCCGAGGCCACCGGCGGGTCAGGCAGTGGCGGTGATGGAAATTCTGGAAATGGTTCTGGAAATGGTTCTGGTTCTGGAAACGGCAATGGCTCTGGTTCTGGAAATGGTTCGGGTTCTGGAAACGGCAATGGCTCTGGTTCTGGAAATTCTGGAAATTCTGGTAACGGTTCCGGAAATTCTGGTAACGGCTCTGGTAACGGCTCTGGAAATGGTAACGGCTCTGGCTCTGAAAACGGCAATGGCTCTGGCTCTGAAAACGGCTCTGGCTCTGGCCCTGACGGTGAAGACGACTCCAACGACCAGACCACCCTGACCGTCCTCTACACCGTCACCGTCGACAGCCCCTCCTCCTCAGAAACTCCAGTTTTGCCCTCTTCGCCAGGCCAGGGCGGCTACGGAAGCAACAGCACTGTTTCGCTGGACTCGTCCCTGCCTTTCACTTCTTTGTCTGGAAACAGCAGTGACTCGTACTCTACTGCTGCCTCCAACTCCTCCACGCTTTTGAGCGGAGTCCAGCTTCCACAGCTGTCCACGTTCCTTCTGGTGACCTCCAGCGCCACCCCCTCCGGTTTTTAGTCGAATCTTATAGAGTTTAAAGAGTTGTAGTGTGATGCGTTGATGAACTTGGGGAAAGTTTAGTTTATGGTATTAAATTGTGGTTTCTAAGAGTGCATTGTTGGAAGAATGTGAATAGAAAAGAAGTAGTCACTTGGTTCCGATGTCTTGATGTTTTTTGAAGTAACGGTATGGATTGATGAAGAGGGAAGTCAGAGGCCGTTTGGCAAGTAATAGGGACGGCTAATTTTTCTGGCTTTTCTTCGTTTTTGTTGAATCCCCGAAATACCTTTTTATTTATTTATTTAATTTTTTTTTTTTTTTTTTTCTTTATTCATGTTTGTATGAATTTCGATATATCTATTTCCCGTGGAAAATTCACCGTATGTTCTCACGTTTTACCTCGAGATACAGAAAATTCACAAGAATTCAAAAAGTGTACCTATTTGCAAAAACGTCCAAAACCAACAAATCAAAAACCCTACATTCACATAAATAAAATATTAATTGGGTATAAAGCGAAATCATAAACGAAGAAATAAATCCCAGAAAATCATGTAGAACGAAAGAAAGCATGGTGAAGTTCACCTCTAAGCGATAGCGAAAAATGCAAGTGGGAGCAACCATTTGAGGCTCACCCTTGGAACGGAGGCAGCGGCCTCGTAAGCAGACACAGTAGCTTCTGGCTCACTGCTGCTGAAAGAAGTGTAGATAGACTCGAAAGTGTTGTAGCCACTAGATGTCTTGGAAGATGCAACACCCTCAGTGACACCATTGCTCTCAGTGACACCGGCAGCGTTAGACTCGGTGAAGGCAGTACCCTCTGGAGCTGGACCTTGTGCTTCTGGCGAAGCCGTAGTAGGCTCAGTGGCATCTCCAGAAACGGTAGTAGAGCCTGCCTCGGAGGTAACAGCAGCAGGTGTTTGGACAGGAGTGTCAGCAGGAGCCTCGGCGGCAGTTGTACCATCAACGGCAGTCTCCGCTGGAGCGGTTGTGCCTTCAGAAGTCTCAGCTGGAGCAGCCTCAGTGGTCTCGATAGACACAGACTCGCCTGCAATAGTAGACTTACCTGGAGCATCGGTCACACCAGGAGCAGAAGACTCAGGACAGATGGAGGTGTAATAAGTCACAGTACCGTGGACAGTGCTCTTGTGGATGGCAGCAGTCACGGTGGATTCAGCTCCTTCTTCATCGGTGGAAACGAAAGTGGTGGTCACTGGTGGAACGGAGGTGACTGTGGTCAACTCGCCGTCAGAGTCGGTGGTCTCACAGACAACAACAGTATTGGTGATAGTTTCGCCGTTGACGTCAGTGGTGACGACTGTGGTGGTCTCACTTGATGGAGAGGCGTCGGTGACGTAATCAGAAGTAGACGTGGTCAACTCACCGTTGGAGTCGGTAGTCTCGCAAACAACAACGGTCTTGGTTATGGTCTCTCCGTTGACATCGGTGGTGACAACTGCAGTGGTGTACTCGCTGGATGGAGAGCTGCCATAAGCAGAAGTGGAAGTTGTCAAGGAGCCCTCAGAATCAGTTGTCACGACAGCAACACCAGATTCAGTGGTGACACTACCGTCAGAGCCTGAAGATGTCCAGGTCGTTGGGTAGCTCGTCAAGGCTGGGGTCTCGTTGGGGTATTCTGAGGTGAACGAGGTCAACTCGCCCTCTGAATCAGTGGTGACAATAACCACACCGGAGTCGGTAACAACGTCACCATTATCTTCGGTAGTAGTCCAAGTAGTTGGGAAACTGGTCAAGCCCGGAGTAACCTCAGGGAATGCAGAAGTGGTTGTCATCAACTGGCCGTCAGAGTCAGTAGTGACAATAACCACTCCGGATTCGGTCACTGGGCTGCCATCGGAGTCCGTAGTCCAGGTGCTGATGTAGGAAGTAGGAGCAATGGAGTTAGGGAATTCAGAAGTGGTGGTGGTGAGCGAACCTTCGGAATCGGTGGTGACGATCACAACACCGGATTCAGTAACTGGGTTGCCGTTGGAGTCAGTGGTAGTCCAAGTAGTAGTAAGCTCGGTAGTGCCAGATTCAGGGAACTCTGAAGTAGTAGTCGTCAAAGCACCATCAGAGTCGGTTGTAACAATGACAACACCGGACTCAGTCACTGGGTTTCCATCAGCATTGGTGGTGGTCCAAGTTGTAGTGAACTCGGTCTCACCAGCACCAGGGAACTTAGAGGTTGTAGTAGTCAAAGCTCCGTCAGAGTTAGTGGTCACGATAACAACACCAGAATCGGTCTCCACATTACCATTTGCACCAGTTGTCGTCCAGGTCGTGGTGACATCAGTTTGACCGGGTTGGCCGAATTGAGAAGTGGTTGTAGTCAAGGAGCCCTCAGAGTCAGTGGTGACGATAACAACGCCTGATTCAGTGACAGGGTTACCATTGGCGTCGGTGGAAGTCCAGGTAGTGGTGTACTCGCTTTCAGCTTCACCAGGAAACAACGAAGTAGAGGTAGTCACAGCACCGTCGGAATCGGTAGTGACAATGACAACACCGGAATCAGTCACTGGGTTTCCATCAGCATCAGTAGTAGTCCAGGTAGTAGTTAACTCGGTTGGACCAGAGCCAGGGAACTGCGAGGTCGAAGTTGTCAATGCTCCGTCAGAATCAGTAGTAACGACAACAACACCAGATTCGGTAACTGGTTTACCATTGCTGTCAGTAGTGGTCCAAGTGGTGGTAACCTGAGTTGCACCTGAATCAGGGAACTGAGAAGTGGTAGTGGTGAAAGCACCGTCAGAATCAGTGGTAACAATCACGACTCCAGATTCGGTCACTGGGTTACCACTAGCATCGGTGGTCGTCCAGGTGGTGGTGTAGTCAGTAACGTCAGGGAACTCGGAGGTACTTGTGGTCAAGGAACCGTCGGAATCGGTAGTCACGATCACAACACCGGACTCGGTCACTGGGTTTCCATTGGGATCGGTGGTAGTCCAGGTGGTAGTGAACTCAGTTGGGCCGGAGTCAGGGAATTGAGATGTAGTAGTCGTCAATGAACCTGCGGAGTCGGTAGTGACGATGACAACACCGGACTCAGTAACTGGATTTCCGTTGGAGTCAGTGGTAGTCCATGTAGTGGTGAACTCAGTTGGGCCAGAAGCAGGGAACTCTGAAGTAGTGGTGGTCAATGAACCTGCGGAGTCGGTAGTGACGATGACAACACCGGACTCAGTCACTGGGTTTCCATTAGTATCCGTAGCAGTCCAAGTTGTTGTGTACTCTGTGACATCACCAGATTCTTGAGAACCAAACTCAGAAGTAGTTGTGGTCAATGAGCCATCCGAGTCGGTGGTCACAATAATCACACCAGAGTCGGTAGCTAGGTTACCGTCAGCATCCGTGGTCGTCCAGGTAGTGGTGTAAGTGGTCAATGGAGCACCAGAGGAGGCAGCATCAGGGTACTGAGAAGTAGTGGTGGTCAAGACACCAGCGGAATCAGTGTCAACGATGACCACACCAGATTCAGTAGCAGGGTTTCCATCGGAGTCGGTGGTAGTCCATGTGGTGGTGTAAGTCGTCTGTGCTGCAGCCAAAGTGGAAGTTGTTGTAGTCAAAGATCCATTGTCATCCTCAGTCACTATCACAACACCGGAGTCGGTCACAGGGTCACCGTTTGCGTCAGTAGTAGTCCAGGTTGTGGCGAAAGTGGTGTATGGTGGTGAGATCACAGAAGTGGTGGTTGACAAAGCACCATCCGAGTCTGTAGTCACAATAACCACACCAGTGTCAGTCTCTGGGTTACCATTGGCATCAGTGGTAGTGAAGGTAGTGGTGAAGGTGGTGTAACCTGGGGCTTCAGAGCTAGATGCCTCGGCCGAAATGACAGAAGTAGTTGTGGTCAAAGCACCATCGGCATCAGTCGTAACAATCACAACACCGGAATCAGTTTCCTCGTTTCCGTTGGCGTCATTTGTTGTCCAGGTTGTAGTGAACGTAGTGAAAGCCTCTGGAATAATCGAGGTAGAGGTAGTCAAGGAGCCATTTTCATCTGTAGTGATAACGACAACACCAGACTCAGTGACAGGGTTACCGTCAGCATCTGTGGATGTGAAGGTGGTTGTGTAAGTGGTCCATGGAGCTGGGATCGTAGATGTAGTGGTTGTCAATGCTCCGTCGGCATCAGTAGTAACAATCACAACACCAGATTCAGTTTCAGCATCACCATTGTCATCAGTAGTTGTCCAGGTAGTAGTGTAAGTGCCTGGAGCGATGATGGAGGTGGTGGTAGACAAAGCGCCATTCGAGTCAGTAGTCACAATCACAATACCAGAGTCTGTTTCAGGGTCGCCATTAGCGTTCGTGGTAGTAAAAGTGGTAGTAAAAGTGGTGAATGGAGGATTTTCGAAAGATGAAGCGGAGGCAGAAACCTCAGGGACAAATGCAGATGTAGTGGTCGTCAAGGCACCATTCTGATCAGTCGTCACGATCACCAAACCAGAATCAGTCTCGATATTGCCATCAGCGTCAGTAGAAGTCCAGGTAGTTGTGAATGTGGTGTATGGTGGTGGAATCACAGAAGTCGTGGTCAAAAGAGAACCATCTGAATCAGTGGTCACCACGACAACACCAGAGTCGGTGACTGGGTTACCTTCAGCATCGGTAGTAGTAAATGTCGTAGTGTAGGTAGTGTAAGGTGGCTCAATTGTGGAGGTTGTAGTTGCAAGAGAACCGTCCGAATTAGTAGTTACAATCACGACACCAGACTCGGTTACTGGAGATCCATTTCCATCATCCGTAGTCCAGGTAGTGGTGAAAGTAGTAAATGGCTCAGGAATAATGGAAGTGCTAGTAGTCAACGATCCATTCTCGTCGGTAGTCACAACAACCACACCGCTTTCAGTCTCAGGGTTACCACTGGCATCGGTCGTAGTAAATGTCGTGGTAAATGTGGTGTATGGTGGAGGAATCACCGATGTTGTAGTGGTCAACGATCCATTTTCATCAGAAGTCACAATGACAACGCCAGATTCAGTCTCTGGATTACCTTCGGCATCCGTAGTGGTGAAAGTAGTGGTAAAGGTTGTGTAAGGTGGTGGAATGACTGAAGTAGTAGTAGTCAACGCACCATCAGTACCTGTGGTAACGATGACGACACCTGACTCCGTTTCTGGATTGCCACTAGCATCAGTATTCGTAAAGGTAGTGGTGAAGGTGGTGTATGGTGGGGGAATAACCGAAGTAGTTGTTGTTAAAGAACCGTTTTCGTCAGTAGTTACAATAACCACACCCGACTCGGTTTCTGGGTTACCACTTGCATCGGTGGTAGTGAACGTAGTCGTGAAAGTGGTGTAGGGTGGTGGGATAACAGAAGTGGTAGTAGTCAATGCACCATCGGAACCAGTAGTCACGATTACAACACCGCTTTCGGTCTCTGGATTGCCACTAGCATCAGTAGTGGTGAAAGTACTAGTGAAAGTGGTGTATGGAGGAGGAATGATCGAGGTAGTGGTGGTCAAAGAGCCATTCTCGTCCGTTGTAACAACCACGACACCAGATTCGGTCTCAAAGTTACCACTAGCATCAGTATTAGTAAAGGTGGTGGTGAAGGTGGTGTATGGAGGAGGGATGGTAGAAGTAGTGGTGGACAAAGCACCGTCAGAGTCAGTAGTGACGATGATCACGCCTGAAGCAGTCTCTGGATTACCGTCAGCATTCTCTGTAGTCCATGTGGAAGTGAAGGTGGTGAATGGCTGAGGAATGATCGAAGTAGTGGTGGTCAACGATCCGTTATCGTCAGTTGTCACAATGACGACGCCAGAATCAGTCTCTGGGTTTCCTTCACCATTGGTTGTAGTGAAAGTCGTTGTGAACGTAGTGAATGGCTGAGGGATGATCGACGTAGTTGTAGTCAAAGCACCCTCGGAATCGGTAGTCACAACAACCACGCCGCTTTCAGTCTCAGGGTTTCCACTTGCATCGGTAGTGGTGAAAGTGGTAGTGAAGGTGGTGTAGGGTGGGGGAATGATCGAAGTGGTCGTAGTCAAGGCTCCATCAGAACCGGTTGTCACAATAACGACACCTGACTCGGTCTCTGGGTTTCCACTGGCATCAGCCGTGGTGAAAGTGGTAGTGAACGTAGTAAATGGTTGTGGAATAACTGAAGTAGTCGTGGTCAACGAGCCGTTTTCATCAGTAGTCACAATAACGACGCCCGATTCAGTCTCGGGATTCCCGCTAGCGTCAGTAGTAGTGAAGGTAGTCGTGAATGTGGTGAAAGGCTGAGGAATGACCGAGGTACTGGTTGTCAACGAGCCGTTTTCATCAGCCGTGACCACCACAACACCGCTTTCAGTTTCAGGGTCACCACTGGCATCGGTAGTTGTGAATGTTGTCGTAAATGTAGTGAATGGTTGAGGAATCACTGACGTGGCAGTCGTCAAAGAGCCATTCTCATCAGTCGTAACAATCACGACACCTGATTCGGTCTCTGGATTGCCACTAGCATCGGTGGTAGTGAATGTAGTGGTGAAGGTGGTAAATGGCTGAGGAATAACAGAAGTTGTAGTAGTCAAAGCACCATCAGAACCTGTCGTGACAATCACGACACCACTTTCAGTTTCTGGGTTTCCACTAGCATCAGTAGTTGTAAATGTCGTGGTGAAGGTAGTGAATGGCTGAGGAATCACCGAAGTAGTGGTTGTCAACGAGCCATTCTCATCGGTAGTGACAATCACGACGCCTGATTCAGTTTCTGGAATTCCACTAGCGTCAGTCGTGGTAAATGTTGTAGTGAAAGTGGTATATGGTGGTGGAATCACAGACGTAGTGGTCGTTAATGCACCATCAGTACCTGTTGTAACAATCACCACGCCAGATTCGGTTTCGGGATTTCCACTGGCGTCCGATGTAGTAAAGCTGGTCGTATAAGTGGTGTATGGTGGTGGGATAACGGAGGTAGTTGTCGTCAACGATCCGTTCTCATCGGTAGTTACAACAACCACCCCACTCTCAGTCTCTGAGTTACCCTCAGCATCCGTAGTAGTGAAGGTGGTGGTAAATGTTGTGTATGGTGGTGGAATAACGGATGTCGTTGTAGTCAAAGCACCATCCGTACCTGTTGACACAATTACGACACCACTCTCAGTCTCAGGGTTACCGCTGGCGTCAGTAGTGGTGAAAGTGGTTGTGAAAGTGGTGTATGGTGGAGGGATGACCGAAGTAGTAGTAGTCAAGGAACCGCTCTCATCTGTGGTCACAATCACAACACCGCTTTCAGTCTCTGGATTGCCGCTAGCATCAGTGGTGGTGAAGGTGGTAGTGAACGTAGTGTATGGTGGAGGAATCACAGAGGTTGTGGTAGTCAAACCACCATCGGTACCTGTAGTCACAATTACCACGCCCGATTCTGTTTCTGGGTTTCCATCAGCACCATCTGTTGTCCAGGTAGTCGTGAAAGTGGTGTAAGGAGGAGGGATCACCGAAGTGGTGGTCGTCAATGCACCGTCAGAGCCAGTAGTCACAACCACAACACCGGATTCAGTTTCTGGATTACCGTCCGCATCCGTAGTGGTGAATGTGGTGGTAAAGGTGGTGAAAGGCTGAGGAATCAACGAGGTACTGGTAGTCAAAGATCCGTTCTCGTCAGTAGTCACAACCACCACACCACTCTCAGTCTCGGGGTTTCCGCTTGCATCTGTTGTAGTGAAGGTGGTGGTGAAAGTGGTGTATGGCTGGGGAATTACTGAAGTAGTAGTAGTCAAAGCACCGTTCTCGTCACTAGTCACAATCACAACTCCAGAGTCAGTCTCACTGTCACCATCAGCGTTTGTGGTGGTCCAGGTGCTCGTGTATGTGGTGTATGGGGGAGGAATGACCGACGTGGTGGTGGTCAAAGCACCGTCGGAGCCGGTGGTGACAACGACAACACCCGATTCGGTCTCTGGGTTACCACTAGCGTCGGTTGTGGTGAACGTGGTGGTGTAGGTAGTGTAGGGAGGAGGAATCACCGACGTTGTCGTGGTCAAGGACCCGTTTTCGTCGGTGGTGACAATCACAACGCCCGAGTCGGTCACCTCGCTGCCATCAGTGCCCGAAGTCCACGTCGTGGTGAAGGTGGTATATGGAGGTGGGATGACGGAGGTGGTGGTTGTGAGCGAGCCAGCCGAGTTTGTGGTGACGATGACGACGCCGGACTCCGTGGAGGGGTTTCCGTCGGAGTCTGTGGTGGTCCAGGTGGACGTGAATTCAGTGGGTCTACCAAACTCCGAAGTGGTGGTGGTCAAACTGCCATCCGAGTCGGTAGTGACAATCACCACACCCGATTCCGTCACGGGGTTGCCTTCAGAATCGGTGCTGGTCCACGTAGAAGTGTACTCTGTGGGTCCCTCGTACGGAAACTCCGAGGTCGACGTGGTCAAGGCTCCGTCGGAGTCGGTGGTGACTACAACAACGCCGCTTTCCGTGACGGTGTTGCCATTGGCATCGGTGGTAGTCCAGGTGGAGGTGAAGCTGGTGTATGGATTGGGTGAAACGGAGGTGGAGGTTGTCCAGGAGCCGTCCGAGTCGGTCGTCACCACGACAAGTCCAGATTCTGTGGAAACGCTGCCGTCAGAAGCCGTGGTGGTCCATGTGGTGGAGAAATCAGAAAAGTCTGGGGTAGTAGCTGAGCTTTCTGGCGCGGTGCTTGATGCAGCAGTGCTAGACGCACTGGGGTTAGAAGTTGAAACTGTGGATTCAGCAACGGAGCTACTGGAGGCAGGAGAGCTGGAGCTGGAAGCAACAGAACTGGAACTAGCAGGAGTTGAGCTTGAAGGAATTGAGCTTGAGGGAGCTGAGCTTGAAGCAATTGAGCTCGAATCTGGAGCTGAGCTTGAAGGAATTGATGAAGGAGCTGAGCTAGAAGCTGGAATTGAGCTGGCAGGAGTCGAGCTGGCAGGAGTCGAACTGGAAGATGAACTGGAAGACGAACTGGAAGACGAACTGGAACTGGAAATCACAGTGCTGGAGGAGCTCTGGGTGGACGACGATGGCAAGGCCGTCGTGGTGGGCTCAGGGAAATCCTCACAGTAACAGATCCGGGGCACCGTGCCCGGGTAGGCGCCAGAGTAGGAGATTCGGGTGCCAGCGCCGAAAACACCGTTGGTGGAGAATCCCAGGGACGAGTAGCCCGTACCAATGTTGAAGGCAATCTTGAAGATACCCAAGAAGAAGGAAAGCGTCAAGGTGCTGCCCGAGTAGCTCCACGAGGTGAAACCGGTGCTGACACGGAGAGTGTTGCCGTCACCAAAACCAACCACATTGTACGTCTTGGTACCGGTGAGACTCTGCGACAAACCAAGCACCGACAATTGCGCCGTGTCGGACGAAAGGTAGATGGTCTGGGCCTTGTCGACGTTCCATGGGCTGATAAGAAGCAGAAGCAGCGCATCGTCCATGACGTTGATACATCCAGAGCCGCCAATGCTGGTGGTTTGCAGCCAGCTCAAACGCTCAAGACAGATGGTACCGTCGTTGGTGATGGAGCCGAGCGCCTGGGTAATGGTCACCGTGGAGGCGGAGCCGGAGTTCTGACTAAGGTAGATTTTACCCGAGTTCAGCCACAGTGTGGCCGAGCCTAGGGTGATTGGAGAAAGCAACGAGTGTCCGCTGATACCAAGCCACATGTCACCGGTGTTGGAGAAAGTGGAGACGGAGTTCAAATTGTAGGTGCTCACGATGCTGGATCTCAAGGAGTTGAAGGCGAGATCTCCGCTGTTTCTGATCAGACCCAGCGCGATGGAGACGGACGCTGCCAAACCGTTTGCGGAGGTGACGTAAAAACCACCCTGGTTGTTCAAGTTGCCCGCAAGCACCGTGGCTGCGTTGTTTACGATGGAGTAGTAAACGCCTGGGTTTATTGTGAGCGATCCAATCAGCAAACTGATGGGGGAGACGCTCACGGTATCTTCTGTGATGGTCAATGCCCATACCGCAGCGAAGTAGTAGGCGGTTGCAAACCACGCACTGAAGCTGAATACTCTCATTGGGGTTGAGAAAAAAGGGAATCTGAGAGGCTGAAACGATGCTCTATATACTTGGGATGTGCCGTATAAGCGAACTAAGCAGGTGGGTTTCCCAAAGGGTTGCTGTGAGGGCCTGGCGAAATACCGCCGGTGGTGAAATGCATAAGCGACATGTGCGCTGCACGGATGTGGCGCACGGGGACGCGCGTACTGCATATATGCGCCCTGCTCCACGTACCCCCATGCGCGGCCGATCCTCCGCGGGCAGCTCTTTGCTGTCTTGAGAGAGCATCTACAGGTTGCTGAGGGTCTAGTTGTGCTTCCGAGTTTTAGGATACCGGGCGCCAATGTGCGTATCACGCCAGAGGATGTTAAAGCCGAAAGGGTGCTCCTGCACGTCCTCGTAAATTTGCAAAGCGAAGCTTCGCGAAACAATGCTTTTTCCGGCGCCCCGCCGACCCGAGGAAAGTGCCATTGTCCTGGAGGTCCTAAACCTAGGCCGTGCGTTGGCCACGGGTTTTAGTTACTTCCCATTTTTTGCAATGGTCAGTCATGGTGAAATTGCCCTCTCCACAGCTTGGTACCTCCCCTCCAGCGATGTTTGCTCCTAGATTACTCCCCTTACATGATCGCTACGATATAGGTGTGTGCGTGGCGTGGATTAGTGAAACACATGGTGAGCTCAAGCGGGACTCTCCGGTACATCCAAGGCAATTCAGAGCCGCCGCAGCCACCTTCCATTTTGGAATCCATTTCTTTTAGTTTCCTGTCGGTTGCCAGCTGTGGCAGTTGCACAACGAGAAAGCAGGCAACTCTCTCTTTGCCGGGTTACATACGCTTGGCGTTTCTTCCCCAGGTCGGAGTCGTGGGTGGTTCCGGATTTAATCTTTCAAAACCGAGCGAGACTGAGCGAGACTGAGCGAGACTGAGCGAGACTGAGCGAGACTGAGCGAGACTGAGCGAAGATGAGGCTGCGATCTGCGCTGCCATGCTGATCAATGGGGCCCATTGTGACCGTCCACTAGCCTGACAAATCCGACGGAAAGCCACCGGCAACCAGGCAGTTTTCGTCACATCTTCCAAGCTTTCCAGCCGTTTTCTTTTGCTTTCTGCCCGCAGTCATCCAGACTCGCCAGCTTTTGCATGCGTTATTTACCGCTTCTCTGGAGCCGCTTGGTTCTGGAGCCGCTTCTGGGATTCGCTATCATTACGATCCGCCCGCCGCGTCTCGGTTTAAAGGCTCGCTTGGATGCCGCCTCGCTTGGCCAGCGAGGAGCAACGGCTCTGTCAACCCACAGGCCTCGATGGGGAAGGCGTGGTACATTTCCGAAACACCCTGGCCGCCGTTGGATGCACAGAAGCAATAAGCGAGATGGCAGCGAAACATCTTGCAATAAGTGTAAACTAAGCTTCTGCAAATTCAAGGTTTGGGGGCCCCTGACCACAAAGCAAGCTAAGGCCACAAAACAGCGCCGAAGCTGCACCAGGCTTCTTCTCGCGCGCCTCCATGCACTGGGGCAGTTTCCAGAAACGCATCTCGCTTTTTTTTTTTTTTTTTTTTTTTTTTTTTTTTGACTGTCTCGCAAACGCCTCGAGAGGTTCCAATCCGGCAGCTTCACCTGGGCGTCCCTTGTGGCGGCTCGCTGAAGCGGGCCTTTTCCACTGAACGTCCGTCATTGTCAACCTCCCAATCTCTCTCAATTCCTCATCTTTTCAACTTCCCAATTCCCCGAATTCCTTCTACGCACCACGCCCCAAGCCCCACTGGCTTGGCGGCGATCGCTGCCTGGTGGTATTTTTTCGTGCTGATCACTGCGCTTTGGCAGGCCTGGGAAAAAAATACGGCCACTGAAACTGAGGCCTCGCCGGTGCATGCTGCCGCAGAAATTATTTCTCAGGAATTGGCAACCTGGGGAAGCTACAAATTTGTCAATCGTCAATTCCGGAGTTTTCAATCGTTAATTGTCAACTGTCAATTGCCAATTAGCCACTCGGCTAAACCGACCGCCGCTCCGCTTTTCCAACCGGCTCTACGAAACCTCCTACTTCATGACCTGCTGCATCGCTATGCTATTTTGGGACGGAGCCGTGGATGGCTCGGAGCATCTCGTCGGCATTACGAACAATGGCCTCGGCATTTAGAGTGAAGCGGCTGGGCCTTTTGTCATCTCGTTGATTCTACTGCTGGACTTCCATGGCTTGAATCTCGCAGCCATACCATTCTCCTCCCAAATTCTCCCTTTTCTCTTGTTCTTTTTTTTTTGTTAAATTCATCTGATTAGATGGAAAACCTTGTTCTTTTTTTTTTTGTTGATGTTCTGTCACTGGTATTCCTTGATTCTGGCTCGCTTGATTCACCCGATTCACCTTTCTTCCACTTGTGGCTTCTACTATTTTGAATGGGCTTTTTCTGCCTCGCCCGCGTTTTTGCACCCATTTTTCACAATCCTCGCGGAGTTCTAGAAACCTAAGCCCGGAAAAGGGATTCTTCGAAAAAGGAGAAATAATTTTTTCTGGAGAAAAGCCTCACAGATCATCTTCCAAAATTCAGCGTGAGAGCTACTGAACCTGAGGCATCTCTCGAACCCATCCCAGAGAACAATGCAAAAGTGTTCCGTGCATTGCCTGTTCCGTTCCTACAGTCAAAATTCACCTCTCAAGCGCATCGTGGACGTATTTTCCGCGGATAAATCTAAATATCCTGGTCTGGTGGCCTAGGCGGAGGTAACTAGTATTATTTTTCTGGCTCATGCGCTTCCGATGACATTGCAGTGGTTCTGCAGTGACAGTCACAATGCCTCGAATGGCCTTTTGTTAAAAGGAGCAGCATGCACGGCATACATGCATTACCGCCGGCCAATTCCACATGATTCACGTCCAGAGGGTCCCATTTCGATAGTTGTCTCTGTGGTGCGGCGGTGCTATTATTGTATCGAAACGCCCTGTATTGCATTTGTCTTTCGGAGAACCAAAATAATGAACTTCGATCAACTTACCTGTATTCAGACCCTTTGGGCACCAAGCAAGAAAAGTGATTCAGTACCTGTGGAGTCAGAAGGATTATGAGCTTCCTACCGGTTCCCACGGCGATATTAATGGAAAGAGAGATACCCATATTGAATTGAGGAGGGCTTTACCTCTTTCCAATTGCGTATTTGTTAAACCATCTCGTTTGTCTGCATGGGAGTATGGAGTCTATCATTTTCAAGAGAGATATATGTTTTAAGTATGTTGGGAAGGTTTAAGAATTGGGATTTACAAACGTCCCATGCGACCACAAGAGGTATATAATTTCCCTTTTCCCTGCCGCTCAGTCAAATATGAAAGATTGTCAACTTTCAGAAAGGATACTAGAAATACAATTTCGACACTGCACGATATACCTCTGGAGGTGTGGAATGCGATACGAACTGAAAAGCTAGCTACCCTATGCTTCACTTACATCTGACAAAATTCCATTCCCCAGCTGATCCTTTCTGTCTCTGGAGATGGTGGATGTATCAGCATGATGAATAAATTTGCTGGTTGACATCAGCCAAAACCTCGTGGGTGAAAACTATAGGTAGAGAAACAGCAAGCCACTGCTCTAAGAAGTCACCAAATCGCAGGTGTGAATCATATTCAACATACTCATCAAAATTATTGAGTCTGGACATTTCACAATTTTACCCCAAGGCTGTCAAAACCCTCGACACACTGCCAAGGTGGAAAGTGCTTTAACCGCGGTGCATTATCAAAATCATTTGTGTATACCATTTTTGCCGCCGAACTTCGCTAATGTCACGGATCACCAGCCATTGGTAAAGCTGCCATGCCCCGCCTCGTGTTCCCAAAAAGACACGAGCTTCCTTTTTTGAACATTCCTTAACCATTCACTTCTCTCGACTAAGCTGTCAAATGAAATATGGTGTTTCTCTTGAACATTGATTTGGCTTTTTGAGCTCAACTTTGCCTTTGTCTCAGGCGATGAAGTAAAGGACTGGGCCTTCTGAAGGGTCATCATGAGTCAAAAATGCTTTGAAAAAGGCTTCATTTCTAGGAAAGCAATGAAAGCTCGTAAAACCAGGGGAAGTAATAAAGGTACTAGTGAATGGTATACTAAGAGGCAAACTGTCACTGGTGATTAAGAAGACAAAAATTTGCTCGTTTTGGAATCGAGTTTACGAATGTGTGTTATGGTTCGACACTACTCAGATTCCCGCATAAGCTTGATGCGAGGATGATGAAGACTCAGAACAACGCCACAATGAAAGAACAACGATGTCCAAATTGAGGTTTATTCCTTTTCAGACTCATCCATCAGTAGCCACATCAGAGGTTTGAGGTACTTACGACTTCAATTGCTCATTTGAATATATCAAAGGGTATTCAATGGACTACTTGATATGAGAACAATCAATGAGACCATAGCCATGAAGTAAAAAGGACCAACAGTCGAGGCTCTTGATTTGTGGTATATAATGTGATAAGAGTTGCCAGTGGAATACCCAACGCTGATTTACTTTCAAGTTTCGCATGGAAAATTGAAGGTAATTTTTTCTTTTGTGTCCTTTGTGAAGAATATACCGCTGTCCTCTTTATCGTATTATAGATTTTTCAAACTTACCAACCGAAAAGCTATTTTGTGGCATAGTCTCATGGGGTGACCTGCTGATTGTCCTCATCGCTCAAGTCGTCTAGTTCAAAGTTGTCGACGTCGTTGGCAGATATGTTTGCATAACCATCAAACTTAGTGAGCTCACCGTTCTCGTCGTAACCAACGAGTCTCAAGTACAACGTTAGAAGCATCTGCATCCACAAATAGATCATAAATCCAGCGCCGCTTACCACCAAAACGTAGGACGAGTGGTCGGCCCCGAGATCATGGACGAGATTGAGCTGCTCCTCATTGGCTGACATGAAGAGAATTCCCGAGAGCACCAAACTGAAGGGAGGAATATGCTGGAACGCAAGGATCTTCCCTGTGTCACTTGCGCCATTGTCTTTGAGCAAAAAGCAAATCTCTATAATTCTCGACAAGCCGCCCGACATAAGCACAAGACCAAAGAGACCGTGCACTTTTGTAGAGATCACCAAATGCTGCGAATGTTCAGACATGGCCCAGCCGGTGTAAATCAAGAGCAAAGCAGGAACGACGGATCTTGTGTTGTCTTTACGAGAAAGCCACATGCCTAGAAGACCTCCACACCACCAGATGATTCCCATGGAGGTGTGCTGGTAATCGCCGTGATTCCACTCCTCTCTTCCCCACCTGTGCTCTGTGAAAGTGTTCACGATACCCCAAAGGCACATGATCGAGGAGTCATAGAATTCCTGACTTTTCACATTGGGATCACCATTGAGCCTGCGGTGGTTTCTGATCCATGGCACCATGAGCACCCATGCCAATACGAAGCCGTATAGAATGAAGGAAGACCCCATTATGCCGTGTGCAATGCACTGGCCCGTGGCTTTACCATAGCAAAACCCAAAAAGAGCCACGGGAGCCATACATACACGAACCCAGCCGGTCAATGTAGATGTAAAAGCCAAAGTCTTGTAAGCACGAATGGCCACTCTCGACGGGGTCAGGTAGGCGGTTTCAGCCTTCTGTGGCCAGAACTTGTTCATCACGATGTTGGAGCCATTGATCAAAGTCCCAAGAAACACGGTAACACCAAGCTCCCAGGTCAAAAACCACCCTGTTCCTTTGGAAGTTCTGTTCTCATGGTTGTCCACATTATCGGGAAACTCCAAAAACAACGACTCAAAAAGCGAATATGCAAAAGCAATGATGTGAAACACCGAAGCCAAGTGGAAAACCTCGGCGAAAGCCAAAACCGAAGAGATCGACGGGAGGATCAAGAGCAAGAACAAGGTGAGAATCCAATGGAACGTTTTGGAGCCGGCATTGACCGGGTGGAACTCCACCTTCTCACCCATATCCATGTCCATGCCGTCCGCCAAGGCTAACGCCGTGACTAGCAATAAGGCAACGGATTTTCTAACATAAGACATTGGTGTTCTTTGGTTAAGTGGTAGGATTGAAAACCGAGCCTCCGAGATGTAAGGGTGTGGGTCCGGTTCGGTTATACAGAGCTTTTGGAAAATAAGAGAAGGAGAAGACATGCTTTAAAGTGACAATAATCAGGTGATTTGAAATTGGAGATTGAATTATTGGGTTGAATTTGAAAATTGGATTTTGGCAGGCGTGTGCTCTTTAGTGGTAGAATAGCGCTCCATTTCTCTCTGTGGTACAATGCGTAGAACAAAAGGGCCCACAAGGACAAGTCAGCAGTAGATTCCAGAAAGAAGGAAACTTTTTTAGAATGGGCAAAATTGAAGGAGAATTTTCACTGTTAATCGGAAAGCATTCCATGTCGACAGCTGCGTCTCATGCCTTTTACACAAGGCGCTGCTTAAGTTACGAAATCGCCAGGTTTTCAAAAATTGAAATAAGTTGCCCAATTTTGATGACACAAAAGCTTCCCCCACCCAAAAACAGGCGAATCAAAAAATGGTCTCAGGTATGGAGTGGCTCGTGCGGCGCTATCTATTGGGCGACTATGAGGCTTAGAAGGCGATAAGGTATGGCTATGAGTCGCTAAAAGAAGCTCACGTACGAGCTACGAAAAGTAATTTCAGTCAAAAATTTACACACCATGACGCCACGAAAAATGACGACATCAGCCGATCAGACAAGTGCTGCTTTTTCCCCATCTGTAGACCATGCTTACGGCGAAATAGCAAACAGAGATATCACCTCTTTGTGAGCGATTATCAAACAAATCATCGACAAGATCGCCTGCTATTTCGATAGACCTGATGGCATATTAGCCCGCCGCCAGTGAGTCAATCTTGCCGACTGAGCTTTTTATCTCACCGTGAAACACCACAAAACTCTGTTCAGTGATTTAGTTGGGAAAAAAAATTGAAACAAGTAGTTCATTAAATTTCCTCAGCTTCCTTCGAAATACAGTAAAAAAAAAAAACCACTCAGCATAGTCGGCCCGAATGCATAGAACAACCGCTAAGGCACCCTTGGAGCCGTGCTACCAGAGGCATGCAGCCATATGATCTTATCAGGGCGTTATTTAGGCGATTGCACCAAAGCATGTTTTTGGCGCTTACGTCAAATGTGACCTGGTAGCCGAAAAAGGCGGCCTGGTGCTGGCGATTAAGTTATGATGCGTCTGATAAAGACAGAGAGCGAAAGAAATTATGGATAGAATCAGGCAACTTCAGTTGAAATTGAAAATCTCCGATTATCCATGAACTATGGCCATTGTTCGGTGCGTTTTCTGACATATTATTTGAGGGCTTGGCGAGAGGACGATATCGCATATGACAGATTATGGACCCTCCGATAAGACTCGCGGCTATAGTTACCGCTGATGCCGCTGAAGTCCTACTTTTTTTCTGGGCGTCTCCCAAATGGAAATTTTGTGTAACCTTTCCATCCAAGAAAATATTTTGACAGGTACTTTTCTTGAGTTAGGGTCCTCCTTTGGCTTCCGACGTTTGATGTCGTCTCATTTGCGCTGACGAAATTTGAAATACTACCAACGTCGCTCTCGAGAACTCACAACTTTATCGGAATTACAATTCCACAACCGCACGGCCGCTAGAATGAAGCCGCATGGTGATAATTCCGATGGTCTTCTGGTGGCGTTTAGGCGCCTTTGCATATTTCCACACCCCAATCAAGGTGGTTACCATCCATGCAGATTTGCAACCGCTGCTGTTCTGGTGGCTGTCTTGGCGATCAAGATCTGATCTGAACTGCTTGGGCGAGCCGGTGCCCAGGATATTTAATATTGAGCCAAAATCTGACGACTCCAACGTTTAATTCTGCTCCAAATACCTCGTTCTAACTTTGTTTTTATACTCGAGCCGGCTCATGCGGAGTTCGACGGGGTTTGTGAAATGTAGCTGATAACGAACGCCTCAGCGGCCGCTCACGCTTATCTGATACAGCGTTTGCTGAAAACGATAAATAGCACCTCTGTAGCCCACCATTTCCAACGTAAACCAACTCACACCATGGCAGAGAAACTAAATGCTCTTGCCAGCATTAGAAGCGGTGGAATGGATAATGCCCAAGACCATGAAGCTGATCTCAACGCCATCACCTCCAACCCATTATCAATGGGAGATGTGGCTGAGAACTTCACCACCGATCAAAAATTCTACATCTTGAAGCGTCTTGGTTACAACCATCTCAATGACCTCGATGACTTGCCTGTGGAGGCTGTTTTTATGTTGGAAAAGATTGCAACTTTAGACATCAACGAGGCTGTCGAGATTCTCAAGGAGTCGGTCGATGCCTTCGATGGGGATATGAACGTCGAACAAGACACAATTCAGCTCATTGAGCATTTGCTTGCCTTTCATGACGACGGCAGAATCCCTTCTACCAAAGAGAAACTCACTCAAGCTTTCGATAAGTCCGACTTGAAGCAAACGGAATACTCTCTTGATGAGAGCTCCGACAACTTTTCAGAAGGAGGTGAGATTTTCGACTGGGAGTTGCAGACCAAAACCGAAGCTGGTATCATCGGTTTTTGGTCCATCTATCCGGAGGTCAGATCGGTGACCCAGCCTTTCGATGACCCATCCGTCCCTTGTGAAACCTTCCGTGTCTACTTTTTGGGCCTTCTCTGGACGATCATTGGATCCTTCATCATCCAATTCTTTTCCGAAAGATTTCCCAGTATTACGTTACCCACCTCCGTTGTCCAGCTCTTCTTTTTTCCATGCGGTAAACTCATGGAGTATGCGCTCCCTGCTTGGGACGTCAAGATCTGGAAGTGGAAGTTCAACTTGAACCCTGGACCATGGAGCAATAAAGAGCAAATGTTGGCCACTCTTTGCTATTCTGTCAGTGGTGGTGCCATTTACGTCTCGTGGAACTTTCACAATCTTATGTTGGACAACTACTATGGTGTCAAATGGGTCGATTTTGGCTACCAGGTGCTTTTGACCTTAGCAACCAATTTCATGGGCTTTGGGATTGCTGGTATTGTCAGAAAATTTGTCATCTACCCTGTCAACTGTCTCTGGCCCAGTATCTTGCCAACAATCGCACTTAACAGAGCCTTGTGCCAACCAGAGAAAAAGAGTAAGATCAACGGTTGGACCATCTCCAGTTTTTCATTCTTCATGGCAACGTTCTGGGGCTCCTTCCTTTGGTTCTGGGTTCCAAACTATTTGTTTGGAGCGCTCAGCACCTTCAATTGGCTCACTTGGATTGCTCCTGACAACTTCAACTTGGCTGTGGTGACGGGCTCTCAAACCGGTTTGGGAATTAATCCAGTTCCAACTTTCGACTGGAATATCTTAAACTATATGGGCCCCTTGAATATTCCATTCTTCAGTTATGTCAACAACTACATTGGCATGGTTATTGCTATGTTCTGTATCATTGGTGTTTGGTATTCCAACTACAAATGGACTGGATTTCTTCCAATCAATTCAAACTCCTTGTTCACAAACACAGGAGAACGGTACCATGTTACTGCTATTTTGAATGAGAACTCGCTTCTTGACGACGAGAAATACCAAAAGGTCGGCCCTCCATTTTACTCTGCTGCCAATCTCGTTCTCTATGGAGCGTTCTTTGCCCTTTATCCATTCACAGTGTTCTACACATTCATCATGAACTTCAAGCAGATAAAGCATGCTTCCAAGGGCTTTTTTAAGATGTTCAAGCACTGGAAAACTTCAACCTACGATGGCTTCAATGATCCTTTCAGCAGATGCATGACCAGATACAAGGAGGTTCCAGAGTGGTGCTTCACCATCATCTTGATTATCTCTATTGTGCTTGCCATTTTGGCTGCCAAGCTTTACCCATCTGATGCTCCAGTGTGGACAATTTTCTTTGCTTTGGGTATCAACTTCGTGTTCTTGATTCCACTTTGCATTGTTTACGCCACCACCGGAAGTTCGTTCGGACTCAATGTGCTTGTCGAACTTATAGTTGGTTATGCTATGCCAGGTAACGGTTTGGGCTTGAACTTTGTGAAGGCTTTGGGTTATGTCATCGATGGACAGGCTGAAAACTACATCACCAACCAAAAGCAAGCTCATTACTTGAAGATTGCCCCAAGAGCAATTTTCCGCATCCAAATGATTTCGATGTTTGTTCATTGTTTTGTCGCTTTGGGAACGTTCAACTTGCAGATTAGAACCATTGCAAATTACTGCAGTCCTCATCAAGATCAAAAGTTCACTTGTCCTTCGGCAACCACGTTTTACTCTGCTTCTGTGTTGTGGGGTGTCATTGGTCCTAAGAAGGTTTTTGGTGGTCTTTATCCAGTGTTGCAGTGGTGCTTCCTTATCGGATTCTTGTTGGTGTTCCCATGTGTACTTCTCAAGAAGTACTTCAGTCACTACAAGGCTGTTAGGTACTTCCACCCAGTTCTTATTATCATGGGTTTCCTTAACTGGGCACCATACAACTTATCCTACTACACTGGTGGATTGTACTTGTCCATTGCCTTCATGTACTATCTTAGAACTAAGAAACAGGCATGGTGGACCAAGTACAACTATATTCTCTCCGGTGGTTTAAGTGGTGGTGTTGCATTTTCCGCTATCATTATTTTCTTCGCTGTCCAATACCACCCAAGTACATTGACTGGTGGGGAAACAATGTCAACGACAATGGACTTGATGCGATCGGACCCACAAGATTGAATGCCACCTTGGATGCACCAGAAGGCTATTTTGGCCCTAGATTTGGCAATTTCCCATAAATGCCGCTCTCATAGACTGCCTATGCTGTTAATACGATGCTCTCAAGAGCCAAATAAGAAAATGCTATTTATCTCCGCGAATATTATGTAGACCTGAAGGCCCATTCAAGAAATAACCCCACTGAAAGATAAGATAGATCCACGGAATGATAACGCACGGCTTCATTGTCCAGAGTTAAAACGGCAACTTTTTGAGCCCCCGGTATTTCTTGGCATACAGTGCCGAAGCGAACAATAGCTGACAACATGCTGCATGGCCTGTAAGTGCGTCAAAAAAAAATCCTGTCTCACACACAAGGCTGGCTTCCTCTTGGTGAAAACTTGGAACAATGCATTTTTAAACACACGAAGAAAGAGTTTTTGCCATTCTGAATCAATAAAGTTTATTTAGGCTGCTTGCGCTTGGAAGGCGTGGATATTTGACACGCAACCGAAGTCTTGGCACGTCAGCCTCAAGAGCCGTGCAACCCGGTGTACCCTGATAACACAAGGTTTTGTGGTGGTCGCAAATATGAGGTTATTTTGAGGAATAAAGTCTTGGCGGTGGCTATCGATTGGTTGGATTGCTTGAAACATTTGAACGCCCTGTGAGGTCCTTGAGGTTTAGGGACCCTGATAATGGATGATACGCCACACTTCTTCGACTACGGTGAATTGAAGATCTCCAGTATTTTTTTTTTTTTTTTTTTTTTTTTTGTCAAGTTCATCTGATTAATGGAAAACCCTATAGAAGCCAATTTCAGGCATTGTTGAAGTCCCTGTTCTGGAATTCAATTCATGGAGTGCAACCACACATGAACAATGCCGCCACATGTCATGGAATTGCAGTTCCACAGTCCTGCTTCATGAATACGCAAAACTTGTAAAGAAGTGGAGCTGGTTTTGCTAATCACTTTTCGAGGTGATGCATAAGATGAGTCCCACTGAATCTCACAGCTTCAGCCGTGCGATTGAACATGGTGTTACAGCATAAAATACACAAAGAAATTGTAGAAATTGTAGAAATTCACATCATCTGTAGCCAAAGAGATTTCCCTCTTGCCTCTTTTACGGCTGCGACCCAACTTGCCCCACTTTCCTCCAAGAAAAATGATAACGCTGTGGCGCTTAACCTGGAAAGGCTCGAAGGTCACCACGAGAGATAAGAAGCACCCGATTTTGATCTCCTTCCAGGACCAAATGTAGACTATAAAACCAGGCGTCATGGCCTGCTTCTTGGATCCTCACCAATGACTGAAAAGGTTGATGCTCATGTGAGTGTCGTCAGTAGTGGAAGATTGGCACCCGAGAGCCACCAGTTCGACTTGAATGCGGTCATGTCCAAGGCTGTTTCTCTCGGTGATGTTGCGGAGCAGTTTACCTCGGACCAGAAGTTCTATATTTTGCAACAACTCGGCTACGAGCATCTTGAGTCTTTTGAGGACCTTCCCGTCAATGCCACTTACATGTTGGAGAAGATCGCCTCTTTGAGTACAGAAGAGGCCGTGGAAATCATCAATGAGGCCCTTGACCAGCACGAGGGAGACTTGAACCTTAGTATGGCGAGGTTGGACTTCATGAAAGCTCTCGTGGACTACAACACTGCTGGTCGGGTTTCTACTTCCAAAAAGACAGGCGTGACTGAAGAAAAGTCTGAGATCCAGCAGACTGTGGAGTCGTTGGACGAGCTCTCGTCTGATGCCTCTGGAACCTTCAACAAAGCAGAGCCCTTTGCTATCTTTGACTGGGATCTTCAGGTGAAAACCCAGGCTGGTATCATCGGTTTTTGGTCAATCTACCCCGAGGTAAGATCTGTTGCCCAGCCGTTCGATGACCAGGTGCCTTGTGAGACTTTCCGTGTGTATGTCCTCGGTCTTTTGTGGACCATCATTGGGTCCTTCATCAACCAGTTCTTCACCGAAAGAATGCCCAGTATTGGTTTGTCTACCGCAGTGGTGCAGCTCTGTATGTTTCCTTGTGGTAAGTTTTTGGAGAAGGTTCTTCCAGCCTGGGATGTGAAGATCTGGAAGTGGAAGTTCAACTTGAATCCTGGTCCGTGGAGTGCCAAAGAGCAAATGTTGGCCACCCTTACATACTCTGTCAGTGGAGGCACAATTTACGTTTCCTACAACCTTCACAATCTCCAGTTGGACAAGTTCTACGGGGTCAAATGGGTTGACTTCGGATACCAGATCATTTTGACGCTCAGTACCAGTTTCATGGGATTCGGCTTGGCTGGTATTGTCAGGAAGTTTGTTGTTTATCCTGTCAACTGTCTCTGGCCCAGTATCTTGCCCACAGTTGCCCTTAACAGAGCCTTGTGTCAACCAGAGAAGAAGAGTAATATCAGCGGCTGGAGGATTTCCAGTTTTTCCTTCTTTTTGATCGTCACCGCCGGATCCTTCCTATACTTCTGGATCCCCAACTTTTTGTTCACGGCGCTTTCAAAGTTCAACTGGATTACGTGGATTGCTCCTAACAACTTCAACGTGGCTGCCATCACCGGATCCCAGTCAGGATTGGGCCTCAACCCTATCACCACTTTCGACTTCAACATTATTCTTTACAGCTCCCCTCTTGCGCTTCCTTTTTTCACAACCTTGAACTACTACATTGGAGCTGTGATTGGTATGTTTTGCATTATTGGAATCTGGTGGACAAACTACAAGTGGACTGCCTATCTTCCAATCAATTCAAATGCGTTGTTCACACGTACTGGAAAGAGGTACTCTGTGACCTCTATCTTGAACGAGGACTACCTCTTGGACAACGAGAAGTACCAGAAAGTTGGCCCTCCTTTTTACACAGCTGCCCAGCTCGTTTCATACGGTGCCTTTTTTGCCTTGTACCCATTTACCGTGTTCTACATTGGAGCCACAAATTTCAAGCAGCTTGCGTTTGCAACCAAAGGGTTTTTGAAAATGTTCAAACTCAAGAGAACCTCCACTTACGATGGCTACAACGATCCCTTCAGCAGGTCTATGGCTAAATACAAGGAGGTGCCTGAGTGGTGGTTCACGATCATCTTGGTGATTTCATTGGTGCTTGCCATCTTAGCCGCCAAAATCTACCCATCACAGGCCCCAGTGTGGTCGATTTTCTTTGCCTTGGGTATCAACTTTGTCTTTTTGATCCCCATCTGTATCTTCTACGCACAGACCGGCTATTCCTTTGGTCTTAACGTTTTGGTGGAGTTGATTTACGGTTACGCCAACCCTGGCAATGGTTTGGGTCTCAACTTCGTCAAGGCCTACGGATATGTCATTGATGGCCAGGCCGAAAACTACATCACCAACCAGAAACAGGCACACTACATGAGAATCCCACCCAGATCCCTTTTCCGTCTCCAGATGATCTCCGTTTTCATCCACTGCCTTGTGCAATTGGGTACCTTCAACTTGCAAATCAACACCATCGAGGACTACTGTGATCCTAGACAGTCACAAAACTTCAGCTGCCCTCTGTCCAGAACCTTCTATTCTGCGTCCATTCTCTGGGGTGTGATTGGACCCAAGAAGGTGTTTGGCGGGCTCTATCCCGTTTTGCAGTGGTGCTTCTTGATCGGCTTTTTGTTGGTCTTTCCATGTGTGTTGTTGAAGAGGTACTTCAACAGAAACAGCTTTGTCAAGTATTTCCACCCTGTGCTTGTCATCCAGGGCTTCATCTTGTGGGCTCCTTACAACTTGTCTTACATCACACCAGGCCTTTACGTGAGTTGGACATTCATGTCGTACATCAAGCGCCGGTACGAGGCCTGGTGGGCCAAGTACAATTACATTCTTGCTGGGGGGTTGACCGCAGGTATAGCCTTTTCCAGTATTATCATTTTCTTTTCCCTCCAGTACCACTCCAAGCTGGTGGTGTGGTGGGGTAACACTGTGAACAAACAGGGTCTCGATTACATTGGACCACCCCGTTTGAACGCTACTCTCGAGGCGCCAGAGGGTTACTTTGGGCCTCGTGTGGGCAACTTTCCATGATTATAATTAATATGATATCGTATAGCGAAGGTAGAGCAGTAGGGTGTGTGATCTCGTAAACGCCCTCGGTTTGGGAAAACAATAACTCCTAAGCCACAAAGATAAGGTTTGCTCGGGATGGGGTGCTGGATCTCCGATTGCAATACAGTCCACACTAGAGCGATGGAGATGGGATATTAGGGTGGCATAGGTTGTTTCTGAACCATGAGTTCCTCACATCTTGTTTTCTTAGTCACGAGGGTAGCGTTTTCGATTGACTGCTGTATCGCTGGTAAGGGGACCTCAGGGGACTTACACTTTTGTCACCTGGAGGGTGAGTTTTTCAAATCACGAATATGAAATTTCTCCACCTCTGGCTAAAGTCAACTGTAGAACATTCCGCTCCGAAGCGGGATATGCAAAGAAGGGTATAGTTCGTGATGATGCTGATGGGGTTAAGTTGGCAGCCGTGCCTCAAACGCAGTTGCAGTGATCCACGGTCTGATGCTCAGATTCAAGGATGTTTGTTTCGAAGGGAGTGCCAATTCAAGGGAAGTGTAACTGCTGGTTTTTTAAACCTTCCCAGGTGTAACTCGGCAGCTCGACCCGTGATTCAAGGTCAGCCTACCACATATCGCAGATACAACGAAGCCCTATATTCAGTAAACCGGTCATTTAGGCAAGTTCGTGAAAACACGAAAAATCAGAAAATCCGGATTTCATGACATTTAGCCGCGTAAGAAACATCCACGAGCCAAGCCCGATACGAAGCCAACGCCAAACTCGTTAACGAAACCCACAAGTACCGGCACTTTTGCTACCGACGTGCCGAGGCAGCATGCGGCGTGAACGGAACAATGGGTGTTTTCGAGGTCAAACCACGAATTTGCGTTCCCCAGACTTTGTCAACGGAGTTGCGTTCCCCAGACTCTTTGTTCAGATCATCCATTGTATCACTCAAGACTTTGTGGCACCTCCCCCCTTCCAACCAAATTCTGCAAATCCATTCTATCACCCCACAGACTAATTCCATTCCCCACTGCCTACGACTGAAAACCTCCCAGGCACCCCGGCTGTTTGTCGCAGTTGCAGCCAAAATGTCTCCTCCCAAGCCATGGAAGCGAATGGCCAAAGCCTAAAACACGCCATGAGCCGCACGTCCCCAGAACCGGTCTACCCCATCCCATCTAACTGATTCTGTCCAGTTGAATGCGCTTCCCCACAGAAACCGACATAGCCGCGTGGCAGCGCCAAAAAAGATGGCCATAGGCTGTCATGAAATTGATAAACGCCGCATCCACCTCGCCGGTACCGGGATCGTCAAGGCCACTAACCAGGGAGTTTTGGAGACTGCGACTGCGATAAAAACCAGAAAAAAAAAACCTAGAAGAAAACCTAAAGTACCATGCCGCCTGCCAAGCGAACGCTGAACCCTTGACACCTGTCAAACCAGCACCCAGCCTTGGCGGGTGGTAGTACCCTGGCTTTCACCATCTCCACATTCCTGCCGCTCAGATAGATAAGCGGGTATATGCGGCTCATTGCCGTACGTGTGGAAGGCTGTCTGTACGGCATTGTGCCGTGGCTGGGATCGACAGGCGGCAGTGGAAGCCAGTCAGAGGCTTTTGATTTGTAGAGAGCGATGGAGCGATAAAGGGATGGATGTTTTATGGATGAACGTGGGATTTTGCCAATATTCAGCTAAGGCATATTCAGCTAAGGCACCGTCGACCAACAGTCTTTTTTTTTTTTCTATTTTTTTCGATCCTCCACTCACGAGCTCGTCGCAGATAGGTGCCCTCACAGCTCGGTTATGCGCGTCACCTGGTGCATGCGAGTTGCGTGCTGCAACATGGAATGGCCCCAGAGCTCGTGAGTCAACGAGTTCGTATAAATACCACAAAGGTCGCCCCATATTTTTTGGCGGCCCATCCATGGCAGAAAAAGTCAATCCCATCACCAGCGTCACCAGCGCAGGAAACAGGCTCGACGCCGCAGACCACGAGCTTGATCTCAATGCCATCACCTCCAACCCGCTTTCTCTAGGCGATGTCGCCGGTGGTCTTACGCTGGACCAGAAATTCTATATTTTGAGGCGCCTTGAGTTTGGTCACCTCACCACGTTCGACGACTTGCCCCCAACGGCGGCTTTCATGATCGAGAAAATCCAGACCTTGGACATTGCCGAGGCCGAGGAGATCTTGAAGCAGTTCTTGGAGGACCACGACACAGACCTCAACATCCCCAACGAGGAAATCGACTTTGTCGAGCTTCTTGTGGAAAAATCGCCCCGCAACGCTGCTCGGGGCCACGTCAAGACCATGGGCTTTTCAGAGTTGGAAAAAGAGCACAGCGACAAGGAACACACTGCTGTCAATGAGCTGGTCTCGCTTTCGTCGCTCGAGTCCATGGACTTCAAAACGGTCTTTGACTGGGAATTGCAGGCGAAAACAGAGGCCGGTCTTATTGCCTACTGGTCGCCTTACCCTGAGGTTCGTTCCGTTACAGATCCATACGACGATGCCTCCACTCCGTGTGAAACATGGAGAGTCTATTTCTTGGGCATGATCTGGGTCGCCATTGGCTCTGTCATTAACGAGTACTTCTACAACAGAATGCCCAGTATCAGTTTACGGTCCCTGGTTGTGCAGCTTTTCCTCTATCCATGCGGCAAGTTCCTTGAGGCCGTGGTGCCCAAGAAAACCATCAAAATCTGGAAATGGAGCATCGAACTCAACCCGGACCCTGGTCCCACAAGGAGCAGTTGCTTGCCACGCTTTGCTACAGTGTGAGTGGTGCTGCTGTATATGCCAGTTCTTTCATTACACTTCAAAAGTTAGACATCTTTTATGGTCAGAAGTTTGTCGACTTTGGCTACCAGATCCTCTTGGTGCTCGCCTCCAACTTCATGGGTTTCGGTCTCGCCGGTATCTTTAGAAAATTCGTCATCTACCCAGTCCATTCCATCTGGCCTACCATCTTGCCCACACTTGCCCTTAACAAGGCCTTGATTCAACCCGAAAAAAAGGAGAAAATCCACGGCTGGACCATTTCCAGATACAGCTTTTTCTTCGCCGTCTTTGCATTTTCCTTCTTGTGGTTCTGGGTGCCAGACTACCTCTTCACGGCGCTTTCTTCATTCAACTGGATCACCTGGATTGCCCCTAACAACCTCAACTTGGCCACCATCACCGGAATGTCGTCGGGCTTGGGCCTCAACCCCATCTCGACTTTCGACTGGAACATCATGAGCATGAACTCGCCTTTGGCTATTCCCTTCTTTGCTCAGTTGAACAACTTCTGTGGAATGATCATTGGTTTCTTTGTCATTATTGGCTTGTGGTGGACCAATTACAAATGGACTGCCTACTTGCCCATCAACTCCAACCAGATTTTCACCAACAAGGGTGAGATCTATCAAGTGCAAAGTGTGTTGCTGGAAAAGGGTACACTTGACCAGGCTAAGTATGAGGAAGTCGGTCCTCCATTCTATTCTGCTGCCAATCTTGTTGTGTACGGTGCCTTTTTTGCAGTGTACCCATTGAACGTGGTGTACGTTCTCCTCACTGACTACAAGAGACTCTGGTTCGCCATTAAATCCATGATCAAGTCGATGAACTTCAAGAAGAAGACCTCCGCCTACGACGGTTTCAACGATCCGTTCTCGAGATCCATGACGAAATACAAGGAGGTGCCCGAATGGTGCTTCTTGATCATCTTGCTCATCAGTGTGGTGTTTGCCATTGTATGTGTCAAGGCCTACCCATTGAACACCCCGGTGTGGACCATTTTCTTCGCTTTGGGTATGAACTTTGTTTTCTTGTTGCCCTTCTGCGTGGTCTACTCCACCACGGGTACAGCCGTTTCCATTAATGTGTTGCTTGAGTTGATCATTGGTTACGCTCTTCCAGGTAACGGTACCGCCTTGAACTTCGTCAAGACCTTGGGTACCAACATTGATTCACAGGCTGAAAACTATATCACCAACCAGAAACAGGCGCACTACTTGAGAATCCCACCAAGAGCCTTGTTCCGCGTCCAGATGATCTCCAGTATCATCTACAGTTTCGTCTCTGTGGGTGTTCTTAACCTTGCCATCGACACCATTGAGGACTACTGTACCAGTGGCCAGCGTCAAAAATTCTCCTGTCCTAACACCACTACTTTCTACTCTGCATCTGTCTTGTGGGGTGTCATTGGACCCAAGAAGGTTTTCGGCCATCTTTACCCTGTTTTGCAATGGTGTTTCTTGATTGGCTTCTTGCTCGCTTTCCCATGCTGGGCGCTCAGAAAGTGGGGCAGAAAGACCGTCATTGGCAAGTACGTGCACCCGGTTGTCATTGTTTTCGGTTTCCTTCAGTATGCTCCTTACAACTTGAGCTACTACGCTCCAGGCATGATCCTCTCGTTCGTCTTCATGTACTTGATCAGAAAGAGGAAGACCGCCTGGTGGGAGAAGTACAACTATATTCTCTCTGGAGGCATGGATGCTGGTGTTGCCTTTAGCAGTATCATCATTTTCTTTGCCGTCCAGTACCATGCTAAAAATATCGAATGGTGGGGCAATACGGTAAACGACAATGGTATTGATGCCATGCGCCCATCCAGACTTAATGTTACGACTGACGCTCCCGATGGGTACTTCGGGCCCAGAATCGGTCATTTCCCATGAGACATGAGATAAAATACGAAAATTAATTCATTGAACTAGCAGGTTGTAGCTTGGAGTTTGAGGCAGTACCCAACGGTATAAATGCTGGCGTGCTGTGGATAGCCCTCTGTCACATAAGCATCACTAATCATCATTGATATTTTTTGTTAGATTCATCTGATTAAATGGAAACCCTATTGAAATTTACATAGAGAAAAAACCATCTTATCAGCTTCCAGAATATAAACAAAAAGCTGTATGCATGGTACGTTCTTTATCATTATGCTCAAAGAACTCAATTTTGCAGCCACTTTGCAGTCCACCAAAGAACCCCCGTCAATGCACCTTAAACTCAAACCACTATACTTAAATGTCAAAAGTCACGGATCTTAACTTCCACAGACCGCCTTCACAATCTCCATCTACACCCACCTTCACCAAATCGTAAATCATCCTGTCAACGTCATCTTGCCTACTAAGCCTCGCGTCATGATTATGTCCTATCGCGAAATCTCTCACGCCCACTTTTAGGCATGGTCCATGACAATGCACAGCCTGCACACGCTAAACTATGCAGCCGTTCATGCGTATAAAGAGCCACTCAACCCCATGTGTATTTTTCAAACATGGCCCGTTCCTACCAATTCCAGATACAACTAGAAAATCCAAATCGACAGTTCCACCCTGGCGACACCGTGCGGGGTAATGTCGCCCTCGAGGTGCACAAGTCCATGACAGTTCGTGACATCACCGTGCTGCTATCTGGCCAGTGTAAGTCTGCCAACTACAAATACGTCACCCAGTATAATGCTTTCACGAAAAGGTACGAGCAGCGGAAGGTGAGCAACTCAATTGGTTTCAATCTATTTGGATTCTCCACAAAGGTCTTTCCCCCGCCTAATCTCCAGCAGCACGGTCAAGCTGAGGAGTACACCTTGGCTGAGGGCAAGTACAACTATCCATTTGAACTTGCCTTTCCAAACGGAACGGTCGAGGCAAAAGCAATGTCACACTTTGACGTCAGCTCTTCGTACGTGGGTAACTCGTTCTTGTACGGTCCCAATTTGCCTCGTAGAGGCACTCAAAACATGGGCCCTGTAACGGTATCCCTTCCGCCTTCTTTCAATATGACCCAGGCCAGTGACGATTATGCAATTGTGCAGTATAATGTCGATGCTAGGGCGGACCGCAAAGGCTGGTTCAAATCGGACGTTTTTGACAGACAACAGCTCCGTTTCTCACCCCGTCTAGACTCCGTGATGTTCTCGTTCGGGCCCTTGATGAGCTCACAAGGCGTTTCGACAAACAACTCTTCATTCATCGCCAACAACAGCACCGGAAACGCAAGGCTCAAGTTTGACATTGAAAAGAGCAAAAGAAGCGAGGGACGAAGCTTCTTGAGAAGAGTGTTCACCTCCAGAAGCGTCAAAATCCCCTTGGAGCTCATGGTGGAGTTCAAGCAGAGCAACACCGTTGCGTATCCACAAGGAACTACTGGCCGGGTTTTGCACCAGGGCGACAACCTTGCAGATATTGTCAGCCTCAAGCTCTTCACTGCATTTTCGTCAGAAGCGCTTCAGCGAATGTTGATTGGTGGAGACGGGAAGAAGAACGTACCATCAGCGCCCTTGTCGAATCTCAAAGTCAAGAAAATTGCTGTATCCTTGGTCCACTTGGTGTATTACCAAGGTATAGAGCCCAAGGTTCAAGCTCGCGAGAATCTCGTCGGTAAGCAGTCATTTCAGAACGAGTTCGAGATCTCAGACTTCGAGGAGGTCGAGTATTGGAGTCAGGATTTGGTGAGAAAGGTCAAACAGGACTACTCTGTTTACTTCGAAACGGGCAAGGCTTTCATGCTTGAGATACCACCGGAAATGACCTCTTTTATCCTACACTCGGACTTCCAGTCGTTTGCAGCCCCAAACATTCTGGTGGACTACCAGCTCAGAATCAGCATGTCGGTATCCACCACGGACGAGAGCCCGAACCTGGCAGAATTGGTCTGTACTGCTCCCATCGTGTTTCTTCCGAACCGGGTCGACGGAGCCTCTTCTATTGAATACCACCCACCACCAAACCCACCACTTGAAACTCTGATTTTGCAACCGCCTGGAGCTGCTGGACCAGACCAGGGAGGAGAGGCAAAAGAGGAAGAACTACCTGCTTATTCTGAGGTTGGCAGGGCTTGAGCTGCCGGAGAGGAAAATGACGATAGGGGTCAAAATGCATAAGCTCTTGGCACGGTGTTTGGGGTAAATAGTGGTATTAAGTTAGCCCTATAATGGTGCTTGTGCCCACCAAAATCAGTCTAAATTTGAAACATTGTGAACATACCAACTGTGTTCCATCTCATGCAGAGCAATGGTTTTAGGGGGTGTTTTGTGAGGTCTCACATCTATTACGTGGGTCTGCAGCTCGTGCTATTGTAATTTATGGAACCCTCCAGTAGAAGGCGCCAAGTATACTAGGCGACGCAGGCTTGTATTTATTTGAATAGCATCAATTGCATTTTCTCTTATCAGCGAGTTTACTTGAAGCTTGGCAATAAATTGCACCGCATCAGTTGTGGCGCTTGCAATACATAAAGAACCGTCTAACCCCAATCACAATACTCACACCTTTTCCACCAAAATGAAATTCCCCGCTTTGTAGTTCTTCGTATCCTACTTGTTTGCCTATGTTGCCGCCGCATCGTATTCGAGGTTGCCTGGATCTTTTGTCGATAGTGACCATCCACTGAGTCGCTCTCGTTTTACCATATGGCAAGTAGGTGGAGCATTCATCGCGGGAACTGGTGCTAGGCTCGTTTTGGCTTCAATTTCACCAGAACACTCGAAAGCAAAGAAACTGATCTGAAGATTTTGCTTGTGATAGCAGCGAGAGTAGGTACCCATTGGTTCCTTGGAGCAGCTGGCTGAGTTGTTATGTGGTCTTAGGTTTTTGTAAACGATACGACGAGAGGTCTTGGGTTGCCCTTTTCACGCTATTTATATCAATGCTTTTTAAACTATGTTAGTAAATTGGAGGTGTAGTCATTGTTGAGAAATGAAGAAGGACCGAGAAAGAGGAACATGGTTTGCGTTGTCCAGATGGCTGCCGGCAATTTACTCTTTTGTATGATTATTACAATTGACCTTCCCACACCGTGTGAAGTCAGATTGAGCCCGAAAATAATGAGGATACTGTGCTGATTTTTTTCCAATTTTAGGATGAATGATTTGAAGTAAAGATGTATTAAAGTCAACAAAGTTTCCAAGGGTAGGCATCCAGAAACGGATTTTTAGCATCTTCTGTTCTCGCAAAATTCTCCGATTGCAAGTTTACCTGAGTGAAATATTGGCGTAGACTTGCAACGAAACGAAATCTTCTATCCTGATATCCCACAAGGCCTATGGAAAGGTGAGGGCTACACCAAGGACATTTCGAGGTTTTCTCCAGGTTACATCAAACTTAATGTCAAATTCGACTGAAAAAGAAGAGTATGGACAACCCAGGTTATCAAGTTTCAGCTATTCGCAGCACAGAGCCTTCTACTACCATCCACTCATCATGTACCAGTGAACAGATAAGACGTCAAAAAATTAGAAGGTTGCCGTACACATGGCTGGTGATTTCTTCAACCCCTTGGGCAACTACATGTGTTAAGCCGGAGGAAGAAATGACATGTTGATATGCACAAAGGCTTACTCTTGTACGGCTCGGTGTTGCGCTTTTCTACTTTCGGACACGCGATCCCTACGGTGGCCTTATCTCCACAATTAAATTTTGGGGGCACTCTAGATTATGTTTCCACAGAGTTGTAAGTTTTGGTTGTGTAATTCTTCAATACAAGGTAGCTCCCCTGGAGCCTTATCTCTATTCGCGGCACTGCTGGTGTTGTGAATAAAGAGCGTCTGCAGGGTCCTGATAAGCTGTCAGAGGATTTGGCAGGTCTACACCGAAGGAGCTTATGGACAGTAATTCAGTTCTGCAAGATGCTGATAAAATACCAATGAGTGTTCTTTTCTTTTAGACGACATCTGTTGAACAAGAAGCTGACTTTCAACCCTTATCTTTTCTGCTTAATGCTCGCGGTGTTGCAATTCCATCCAAAAGTACAGAGGGCTAAACATGCAATTGGCGTTCTTTATGACATGAATTCATGAATTTGAAGTGGTGCCAAGACCGCCAAAAGTCTTGGCTGCGTGGCATTCAACCTGTTTGACAGAGGGTGCAACGTCACAGTTCTGTGTGGCACCAAGATGATCGTTATCACTTTGGCAATCATTGAGGCAAAATCGGCTCGAGGGTCCTCCTTTGGGGTCCTCTTTTGTAAAAAAAAATACCATCAATATGTTAGAAGAAAACGAATGCAACGAAAACAGAAAGCTGTCAAAAGATCTGGTGCCACATCTGGTGCCACATGTGTGGAACAAGGGAACCAGAGCTTATCGAGAGCAGGTCCGCCACTTTGGCGACCGGACTTGCCGTGGATCACACGCCAAGCGGGCTAAGTCACCCTGGGGAAAGTACTACTATTCCGGTGAGATCCACAACCGCAGTCTATCGTTGTTTTCCAGGGGCCATTTCTAAACTTTTTAAATTTAAATTGTAGAAATGAATACACTTCTGAATCCGCCAGGTGATTTATTTAGGCCTCTTCGGATTGGCTGCCGTAAGGTCCGAGAAATGGCACCTCGGCTTAAAGTACCAGGCCGCCTTGCAATGCACGGCGGAGCTACAATTCCCTGGAGCCATGGATCCCCAAAGGGCTTTGCTGTGGCTTACAAGCCGCTGGGAGTAGGACAGCGATTTACGGGCCACCGTTCGGAAGCGAAAGTCACAGAAACACCAGTCATGAAAAAGAGCGACCTTCAAAAATAACGGAGCTAGGTCTAGTACACCCATCTGTGGATTTGCCCGGATTTCGGCAGGTTTTGCCATGTCACTTGATAAGCGATATGCAAGGTGGTTTGATAGCCGTGCCGGCGCTCGCCTTGTCGATTTTGCAGCCATAGCGATACCGGTCCAGCAGTCCACACATAAAGTATAAATACGGCCAGAGAACCCCGTCCGTTTTCTTCATCGACCCACCAATGTCGGAAAAAATCAACCACATCACAAGCGTGACCAGTATCACCAGTGGCACCGACAGGCACGACGTCAACACCTTCCAGGTCAACTTGGAGGATGTCAGCTCCCACCAGTATGGCGTGGCAGAGATCCTGGAGGAGCTTAGCTTGGAGCAGAAGCTTTACATTCTTAAGAGAATGGAGCAGGACAACCTCGAGTCTTTTGATGACTTGCCTCCTTCTGGTGCTTTCATGATTGAGAAGATCCAGAGTTTGGACATCCACGAAGCCGAGCAAATCCTTAAGGAGTTCTTGCTGGAGCACGACGGAGACGTAAACATCACCATGGAGTACTACGATTTTGTGGAGGCCTTATCGAACTACAAAACGGGTGTGGATTCGGAGTCTCTGAGCAAAGGCCTGGTCAATGAGAAGAAGGAGATGGCGGAGAAAAGGGAAGCTATCGTCACAGAGCGTTCTGTCGAGTCTGAAGAAACCGGCAAATGGAACGACATTTTCGACTGGGATTTGCAGGTCAGAACCGAGGCCGGCATGATTGCTTTCTGGTCTCCATACCCAGAAGTCAGAGCTGTCACTGATCCATATGATGATCCAGAAACACCTTGTGAAACGTTCAGAGTGTACGTGCTTGGCTTAATTTGGGTTATTCTCGGTACGTTTATCGGCCAGTACTTCAGTGAAAGACAGCCCGGTATCGGGTTGGGTACCTCTGTGGTTCAACTTTTCGTATACCCATGCGGCATGTTCTTGTCCAAGGTGCTTCCAGAGAAAACCATCAAAATCTGGAGATGGAAATTTGCCCTCAATCCTGGTCCCTGGAGTCACAAGGAGCAGATGCTTGCAACCTTGTTCTACAGTGTCAGTGGAGGCAGTGTCTATGCGGGCCATTTTATTGTGCTTCAGAAGTTGGAGATGTTCTACAACAACCCCAAGTTCACTGTGGGCGGCCAGATTCTTCTTGTTCTTTCTTCCAACTTTATGGGTTTCGGATTGGCAGGTATTTTCCGCAAGTTTGTCGTCTACCCAGTCACTGCCGTCTGGCCTACGCTTCTTCCTACCCTTGCGGTGAACAAGGCCTTAACCAAACCAGAAAAGAAGGAGAACATCAACGGCTGGAAGATCTCCAGATACTCCTTTTTCTTGATTGTGTTCGCCTGCTCCTTTGTCTACTTCTGGGTCCCCGACTACTTGTTCACCGGTCTTTCCTACTTTAACTGGATCTCCTGGGCTGCTCCAGACAACTTCAACGTTGCTGCCATCACCGGCTCCTACACTGGTTTGGGGCTCAACCCATGGACCAGTTTTGACTGGAACATCATCGGCACAGGCTGTTTTATTACCCCATTTTTTGCCCATTTGAATGCCTATATGGGCTCTGTTCTTGGTCTTTGCTTGATCGCTGCTCTCTGGTGGAAGAACTACAAGTGGACCGGTTTCTTGCCCATCAACTCCAACCGTATCTTTACCAACAAGGGTAAGGTCTACCTGGTTACGGCTGTTTTGAACGAGAACAACAAGCTTGACCAGGAGAAGTACGAGAAGGTTGGACCTCCATTCTACAGTGCAGCCAACTTGATTGTGTACGGCACTTTCCTTGCATTGTACCCCTTGAACTTTTTTTATGTGTTGTTGACCAACTTCCAGCAGTTGAAGTTTGCCATGGTCGGCTTGGTGAAGGCGTTCAACTTCAGGAAGAAGCGGTCCACCTACGAGGGCTTTACCGATCCGTTCAGTGTTTCCATGAAAAAGTACCCGGAGGTGCCTGAGTGGTGGTTTACTATTATTTTGCTCATCTGTTTGGTATTTGCCATCATCACCGTCGAAGTCTACGACTTGCAGACCCCAGTGTGGACCATCTTCTTCGCGTTGGCCTTGAACTTTGTCTTCTTGATGCCTTTCGTTGTGGTTTACGCTGCCACCGGTACCAGTATGTCCATCAACGTTCTTCTCGAGATGATCATTGGCTACGCTCTTCCAGGTAACGGTACCGCCTTGAACTACGTCAAGACCTTGGGTACCAATCTTGACTCCCAAGCTGAGAACTACATCACGAACCAGAAACAGGCACACTACTGGAGAATCGCTCCAAGAGCGCTTTTCAGAGTTCAGATGATTTCCGTCATCGTCAACAGTTTTGTTGCCGTGGGGACACTCAACCTTGTGTTCAACTCTGTCGAAGACATGTGTACTCCTCACCAGCCCCAGAGATTCACCTGTCCTGGTTCCACCACATACTACTCTGCTTCTGTTATTTGGGGTGTAATTGGACCCAAGAAGGTGTTTGGAGGTCTTTATCCTATTTTCCAGTGGTGCTTCTTGATCGGCTTCCTTCTTGCCTTCCCTTGTTGGGCACTCAAGAGATACTACGGAAGAACTGTGTTTGGTAAGTACTTCCACCCTATTGTGTTCACCGTTGGCATGATGATCTACGCTCCATACAACTTGTCTTACCTGACGCCCGGAATGATTTTGGCTGTTGTGTTCATGTACTATCTCAGAAAGACAAAGACTGCCTGGTGGGAGAAGTACAACTATCTTCTCGCTGGCGGAATTGGCGGTGGGATTGCCTTCAGCTCTATTATCATCTTCTTTGCCGTCCAGTACCACTCTAAAGACATCAGCTGGTGGGGTAACGATGTCAATTTGAGCACGCTTGACTACAACGGTGGAAGAAGACTCAATGTCACCACCCAGGCTCCCGATGGCTACTTTGGTCCTAGAATCGGCCACTTTCCATAGACGGGATTACCCCTTGATTGGGGTTTGTTCTATAGATTTGTTTAGTTCTCCGTGCACAGGCACAGTGTTAGATACGAGGTGTTGGAATCGATTAATGTCTTTTGATGTTTGTAGTTGGAAAGGAAATATTTCTCTCACAATTTGCAATGTTGTACCTGAGAGTTTACTTAGAAAATGGATTTTTGCTATCTCTACGAGTTAATTTCTTGATACCGAAGATCGAATAGATAAAGGTGACAAAAGATAGGTATGGGCACCCGTCAAGAAAGCCTTTAAAATAGCCCTGGTTTCAGCTTTTGGGAAACTGAAATCCTGAAGTCATTTTTTAACAAGTTAATGTGACATAGATTCTACTCCTAAGCTGGGCCTCCATTACCCAAACATGTACCACGCCAAAAACACCAGTTTGATTCATTGAGCTCCACAAATGACGCCAGAAGCTTATCAATGCTGCTAAATTGGACTTGAAAAAAAAGAAGGAAAAAAAAAAAAAATAAAAAAAAAAAAAATAAAAGTGAAAAACTCCAGTGGGCCATTGTTCTCTGCACCTGTCCCTATCGCTCAAACACCACCACGCCTCCACTTCAAAGTAAACCTCTCCATCGAATTCCTGAAATTCCCAAACCCCAAATTCTCCAAAACCCTGTTCCTGTTAAATCCAACATTTCCTTCGCAAATCACGGAGAAATCCACCGTTCCGCCTCACCGCACCAACCCACAATGGCCCAATTTGCACCCAAAGAGTCCTCGAACCACCCCAAATAAACTTCCACTTCCGCTTTCGGACTGCCAGCAGCACCACCATTTCTTCCCTGCCGCCAAACCAATTTCACATAAAATTCAAAAATCACAACACTTTTCCTCCCTTGCCTCCCCTATCACCTCATCGCTTATCAACACTTCTGCATCCAGGCTATCATTCGCAATTATCACCAACTACATGAAACGCATCTTCCGGAGAAAGCTGCGGTCCAACCTGACCTCGCTGGATGACGTCAGGCCGTTTCAGCGACGCCTCAGCCTTCCAGCCCCCAATGAGGTGGAAATTCTCCATTCCATCAACAACGCCGCCACAGAACCCCACGAACCAGATGACTTCTTGGACGAGGAGTCCGTGGCGCTTTCCGAGACAGAAACTCTAGCACAGCCCAAGTCCCACCGCTGGGACCTCCAGGAAACGTATATGGAGAATTACACCGAGTATCTTCCGTACGTGATGAACAGGCTCAGGGCTCAGGCACTAGACGAACAGAGGGCTAGAGCTGAGGACCTCAGTCCCACAGCGACTTTGGATGACGATGAAACGATGATTCTGGAACTGGAGCTGGGAAATTGCATCTTGGGCCGGCCCCCGGATGCCTGGAACTTGAAGCGCAGCTTGGTGGTGCTGAGAGAGTTCATCAAGGGTACCACCTACTTGTTTGCAGACATGCGGGCGTTTGAAAAGTTCCGCTACTTGCGGGCCAACCAGAAAAAGCTCAACAAAAACACTTTTATTGTCTACGATGCCGAGGGCAATATCAAAAAAGTGAGAGGGAAGCCGCCGTCAGAGGAAAACATGGCCCTGCTTACGAGAAAGGGCTCTGTGGTGGACCAACGACAGCACATTATACCCGTTGACCATAAACTCCGGGGTGACGGCTTGCCCATTTTCAAAATCATCAGCCCCTACATGTCCTCGTTCCGCAAAAAGGTGCCGTATATGGTGTTCCGTCGGTATCGCCAGATTCCGCTTCGTCCCAAAGGCACAGAAAAAGACGACGAGGACGAGAATTACGAACTGTACGTCTTCTGCACTGTTCAGGTCAAAAACTACTCCCTCTACCGCCGCTTCATCTTCTACTTCACTCCTGAAGGTCTTCCCCCTCTGAAGTTGTTGGTTTTCCAGAACAACCACCGGCCATTTGCAGATTTCAACTACCGAGACACCCGTTTCCGGATCCTGGGAACCTGTCTCACAAATCCATACCTCATGAGCTACAACCCCGAAATGAAGTTGCTTGTGCTTGGGCCTCGCCAAAACTCGCTTTGCGACAATATTATAGACAAGCTGAGCCAGAACGCCGCCAAGTCCGGCTCTACTATCGACCTCACAGACAATATCCTGCCTGAAGACTTCCCCAACCCTGTTCCCCATCCCAAGAACCCCATTTTAGCTGACGATGATGGTCCCTTATCAAGAACATCTATCAGAACCTACATTCTCAACAAGATGCCACCTTTTGGTCGCTTCCTCGACTCATGTGCATACATGGACGACTCCCCGTTGTTCCCAAAACGATACTCAGAAACAGGCAAGGTTGAATTGTACCAGGACAATACTAACATGGACCCTCACGCTGATCTCTCACTTGCCTCGAGTCTCGATCACGACAGCTTGGTGATTTCTACGGTGTTTTTGACGCTCCAGGAAACAAGAACAAGAAACACCAATCGCTATGCCTCCAACAAGTTCATGGGAGGTGTAGGTGGAGGTGCTTACCTTGCTGGTCTGGCGGGTAGAGGCATTGAGCCACATCATATTGGCACTTTCACCATGAATGCCCTCTAGAGCTGTAGCGAAACAGCTGAATCGGGCAATGGACTCTGAGATGTACATATTTATTAATGAGTAACGACGAGATATCTGATTGGATGATATATTTATCGGTCTTGAAAAACCCAATGCCACCTAGGGAGGCTGAAGCGTATTTGCTATATTTCAATTCGTAGCTCGGTAACAAATGCCATCTTTAGAGGCAGCGTGCCAAATGCTGGCTCAATGCCATTATAAAACCCAAGAATTTCCCATTACCAGATGCTCAATTGGCCTACAAACTACTCCAGTGCCTTTCCTTCCTTACATTCTATTTATTAAGCGGGCATCGTTATGCACTTTTGTTTAGCGGCTGGGAGAACGGGAGCGAGACCTTTCCCTCTGAGGAGAAGCTGACCTCGAGTAACGGCCACGAGAATACTCGTCGTTTCCATTCGGTTCATGCGAATCGGGACCAGCAGCGTCTCGGCTGCGGTCCTCATCCCTAGTCTCGAAATCACGATCTCTTCCTCCACGGTCACCCACGTATCTGTCTGCTCTGTCTCTGTACGAATCTCTTTCGTCACCAGGACCGTCGTACCGCCTGTCTCTGTAGCCATAAGGCTCTCTACCGTAGCCGTAACCATCGTAGTATGGATCACGGCCTCCTCTTGGAGGTGGATAGGGATGTGGGGCAGGGTAGCCGTATCCGCCCCTTTCGTAGCCATAGCCATAGCCATAGCCACCTCTACCGCCGCGTGGGGCGGGTATGGAGCCCCATAAGGGGGTGTGGCGTATCCTCCTCTAGGGTATCCGCCTCTTCCGTAACCTCCACGGCCACCTCTGAAACCTCTGGATCCTCTAAACAGACCTCTTCTGGCGGAATAGGGATCTGAACGGGCCATCTGGACAACCAAACCGTCTTGTTTGGCGTAAGGCAAAGGTTTGCCATCGAGCTCTAGAGCCTTCTCACAATCTTCTTCGGTCTTGTATTCCACGAAGGCATACTTTTCACCGTCGTCTGTTCTGGGGGAGGAATATCGAGCCGGACGAGCTCGCCATATCTGGATGTTAGTTTCTGGATTGGGATGGATGGGTAACCGGACAAATAAAGAAGAAAGCGAGAGACTCATGGAGGCTGGAGAGGTGGAGGCCTGGATGGATTCAGAGGATGGAATGGGGAAGGAGGGGAGGGGATCTGTGCCGGAACTAGCATGGAACGTACTTCTCGAAGTCGGGCGCCAAGTCGGCCGCCTTGGATTCTTTGGTGAACCCTGTAACGTAAAGGGTATTTTTGGGCATGGGATGTGTTTGACGACGATGGAGAACGTTGAAGATATACCGCGGGCACGTGATAGTAGGCACGTGATTTACGGTAGAGGCCACACGACGGCTATTTCGTTGAGCTGGTCGGTGGATGGCGTCGATTCTTCGAGGTATCTGAGGAATGAGCTGGTTCTGGCTTTCTGACAGGTCGCTAGTTGCTGTACTTGGGAAGTTGTTGGTGTTGGTACTGCATATATACTTCCATGTCCACGGAACCGTACTGAAGGCAACTCCACAGCATTTATCTTGAAAGAATCTGGTGAAGGCCTTTCTTGACGAAAATATGAACATTCACTGCCCAAGTCTTTTGCTTGACGAGCTCGGATTTCTCGTAGTCCTCTTCACACCCGTGAACCATCGGGGTCCAAGGTCCAAGGGTCCCCCTAACATCTATTTTCACCAATTGATCAGTAAAAGCTCTTTAGACTTTCTATATCCAATTTCCAAAATCGCAAAGACACGTGGTTCATGAAGTGGCTAGAGAAATCGCTCCTTCTCACTTGGCCTGTTGTTGGGTTTTTTGCAGCCATTCACCCCTGTGGCGTAAGAAACGCCGAGGGTAACCAAAAGTTAAATCAGCCTCGATTTGCATCCAACAAAAGACATCTAAATCTGCATAAGCCAGATCACAGGACAAACCTTGATATCTGCTCGGCCCACCTTCTCTCCAACAATGGCAGCCTTGGCGATGAACCTGGATAACTGTTTCGGAAAGCTGGAAAAAGGTGCCTTTTGAATTCGAATAGTTATTTTTTCGGAAATCAATTCCGCTGGAGCCGAGATCACATTCTTTATATCGAAGTCATATGAATGCCATTGTCGTGGTTGGCACCCTCTTTGTAGGAGTTAAGCACCACACCCGTGCACCACACCGTAAATGTGGTCCGCCTACATTTCTCTAGCCAAATTTAGGCGCACCTGCGTGGGAGGAGACCGTCACGTGATCAAGATCTATCTTTTACGCGGTGTACGGATGTCCTCTTGCGCGCCCCAACATGGTACCCAACAAAACGCTTCCCCAGGTACCGCCATACTGCAATCTAGTCACACACAACAACATAGAAGCACCGAGAAGCTTGTCAACTGCGGCGAGACCACATCAAGACCCGTACACCACCTCGTAATTAGGCAATCACACCTCCGTACCGCCACCGCCGCTACCGTGGCCACAAGTGAATCCCCTATTCTGAGAAGAGGCTATAAGGTTCGCGTTAGACCCGTAAACCAGACCCATATCCAGCGAAGAGGAGATCCATAACGGCCAGCAAAAAAGACAGACCACCGTCAACAGCAGTTTTTATTTTCCCCAGATCTCCCCGAAAATTCATCCTTCCAGCAGGTCCGATTCAACATGGCCTTCGCTGACGACATGGTCGTAGACCACAATATTCTTCTTCACCAGGACCAGGATGATCAAGACATTCTTAGTGAATTCCTAGACCAGAGAGTGTTTGACTCCGTGAACTCCGCCTCTCCAGTGAACAGCGGTATGCAAAGTCCCTACCATCCTGATTTTGACGTGATGTTCCAGAAATTCAAGCCCGAAGATGACATGCTTGAGGAAGCTGCAAAAGTAGAGCCCGAACAAGGCCACAACTACCTATACCTGTCCCATGAGAACTTCGAGAGAGACTCTTTTGCGAATAATACCCCAGAGAAGCACTCTTCCGACGACCTGGCTCTTTCTGTTTACGAACAGGTCCGTAAGGAAGTCTCGAAAGTGAAGTTTGGTAACCCAATGCAAAAGGTGTGTCCTGACTCCTTGGAACTCGAGGACCCTTCCTACTTGGATTTCTCCCCTGCCGCAATGAATGCCCTCCCATATAAGCTTGATGTTGAGGACCTTCCCACATACTCTAGAGTGGAAACCCAGATCAAGTTACGCTTCGCTTTCAGCCCGGCTCCCAAAGAAACTTTGGTTCGCATTCCACAAGATTTAGTGTCTAAAACAAAACACTGTTTGCTGTCAAGCGCCGACACGTTGCCTGATTTCCTTAAAGAGAACATGCTCTATATGGAAACTTACGTCATGACCTCCGACGGCAAGACTTCTTGCAACATTTGCAAGCGCTGCATCAAGAGGGAGCAGAAGAGAGCATCGAGATCGAAAACGGGCGGTGTTGATAACGGAATTTCTGACTCTCCGACGTCCGCAAGCAAGTCTCTTCCCAATATGTGGAGCGACGAGGATATGATCAAGAAAGCCATCATTTACAACTCCAAGGAGATGGTCAGTTTTGCACCACCATCGGGACTAATAGATGATCCAAGCAAGAGCTTGCATTTCTCCGTTAGAATTGTTTGTTACTGCAGACATCACAAGGAGCAAGACGGCTTTAAGCTTCTATTTGTCGTGAAAAATTATTTGGGTGAGGTTGTGGCCAAGCATTTGCTGAACCCTATCATGATCATGGACAGAAAGAAAAACCAATCTGCGTCAAAGGAGCCATCAAAGCCCAGAATCAAATCGGAGGATTCGGTTGGCGACAACAATGACGGAACCTTGCACCCTCTTTCGCCCAACTCTATTGACGACTCAAACTCAGAAGCTCTTGTCAACACGGATACCAACACTGATACCCTATCCGGACACAGAGGAACGAAGAGAAAGAAGATGTCGTTTGACGACAGTGGCAACACATCAGCCAATCCAATGTACAACGGCTCGACAGGCTTATCGCCTCTCAGTAACAGTGATACAAACACATCAATCCATAATATGAACCCAAAAAACAGTCTATCTTTGGTGAACAAGAATTCTGTGCCTGGCTCATTCACACAGCTGGTCCAAGCCCTGCCTATTCCAAGGCAGCGTCTGCAACAGCTGTTTGGCATGGCACAACAAAATAACAATTACCCTATGATTCAAAAGATCATTCCTGCTCAAGGACCCATCAGAGGAGGTATAGAGGTCACTCTTTTGGGTTTCAACTTCCGTCCTGGATTGAACGTTAAGTTCGGTTCTAAAAATTCCTTGGCCACGCACTGCTGGTCTGACAGCACAATGGTGACATACCTTCCTCCTGCGGCTCAGCCAGGACAAGTCTTGGTGAGCTTCGAAAGTCTAGAGCATGTCATTCCCGTTAATCAGCAGCTGATATTCACATACACTGACGACACCGACCGCCAGCTCATTGAGCTTGCGTTGCAAATCGTTGGTTTGAAAATGAACGGAAAGTTGGAGGATGCCAAAAACATTGCGAAGCGTATTGTTGGCTCCGACTCTCAGTCTGGCAGTAACAGTGGCACTCCTCCTCAACAGACAAACGTGTCAGGAATGAACCAGGCCAGTAAGGAATGGTACGACAATGCTCACAAGGCTGTGGAGCAGCTTGTGAAGTCCGAGCTCTCTACTGAAGAGATTTTGATTAACTTCCTCTCTTTGGTTGACTTGCCAAATTGCCCCATCATCATTCCCAACTGGCAGTTGTGCAACAACCAGGGTCAATCCTTGTTGCACCTTGCTACTCTCAAGAACTATACGCATTTGATCAAGTTTCTCATCACTCACGGCTGCAAGATTGATATTAAGGACAACCAGGGTCTTACGCCCTTGTTCTTTGCGTCAATGTGTGGCTCTCGTGACTTGATGAGGGTATTTATTGAGTGCAAGTCCAACTGGAACCTCAAATTGGCCAACGATAAGTTCTTGAAGGACTACAGTGATATCAACGTGTTGGATGTGTTCAGTAAACTTGAAGCGGAGAGTTACATGTCAGACGAGGTGAGCAGTGTGAACAACTCAGGCAGAGAGGTCGAGGAAGAGTTGACAAAATCATACAGCGTAGACTCATTGAACTCGTTGTTCATGATTGACTACGGAAAGCATATTTCGAAGATGGTGATGGAATCGTCCGCTGAAGATGGCCAAGAGACAAGGGATGCCGAGGTCACCGACAATGCCTACGAAACTACAAGGCCTAATTCTCCTGACGGATATGGCGGTGATTCTTCCGATTTTGCCGATTCGGAGCTCGATTCTGAAGATAGTTTCTCGGACCACGGCCGTGAACCATTCCGCAGACAATACCAAAGTGGTCTTCACGACGAGGACGATTACGACGATGACTACCAGGATTACGAGAGCAGCGACGATGAAAGCGACGATGCACATGACGAGGATGGCCCAGTCGAGGGCCCAGACAGACCACAGAGAAAGGGCTTGTGGCAGAAGATGAAGAACGCTGTTTTCCACAGCGATAACAGCGATGCAGAGCTCCCCTCATACGATGATCTCTTCCCCTTCGGACACCTGAACGTCGGAGAAAAGCCAAAGACACAACAGGAAAGGCAGCTTAATGGTCTGCAGAGCATGGAAGGCTCGCTGGCCACACGCAAGCGTCTGGCAACAGAGGAAGATGCGGGACTCACATCAGACTCGTCAGAAGACATGGTGATCTCGTACATCAACCACCCGCGTAAGACGGTGGAAAGTGACAAGATGTTGTTGTTCTTCTGGGTGCCGATTCTCGTTTTCATCATTGGGTTGTTTTTGTACGTGAGGCTTACCGGCCAGCCAATTGGATTCGTGGAGAAGTTCAAGGACATGGGCCGTGACACGCTCGGCAACTTTATGGTTGGCAACGAGCACATCACAAGGGTATTCAGAAAAGAGGCTCGCAAGGCCGCAGGGGCCCTCAAAGGGTAGGCCGACAGGGCATTAGGACGCCTTAGGGTAATGGCGTGTATATGATAATAAGTAATGGTTGATGATCGCGCAGCCAGTAGATTTCACCGCATTACCAACTAACAACTACTAGATGCGGGTGCTTTTTCTAAAAAACAAAACAACCCCGGTGGACACGTACCATGAGGCGTTTTGCACGAATCATAGTCCAGAATTTGTGCCCCTTCTAAATCACGGTCCGGTCAGTGTGGAGGAAACAACACAGTATCTATGCAGCAGCACCTTTCTAGAAGAAACAGATCGCTTCATCATAACCTCCCAAAGAGCAGTTGAAGTGTTCCATCTTTGCCTTGGAGAGATCTCGAAGACAAGTACAGAAACTGCCCAAAGGATTCGAGCCAAAACCGGCTATACAGTTGGACCAGCTACGGAAGAGATCTTAAGAGCCAACGGGTTTGGTGATGTTCGAGGAGGCTCACAAGCTGGAAACGGGGCAATTCTAGCAGATATTATCCTACAGGATCTAGCCCCCGAGCAGCACAGTCAACGTATTGTGTTCTTCACCGGCAGGATACGCAAGGACGTGATTCCTGTGAAGTTGAAAAGTCATGGAGTGAACGTGGTGGAGGAGGTGATCTACAAAACCGAAAATAAGAGCGGCATTGTGGCTGACTTTTTGGACCGCTGCAGTGCTCCTGTTGATTGGATCGTTTTCTTCAGTCCGCAAGGAACGGAAGGTATAGTTGAGCACCTCCTGGACAAGAAACTCCCTGCAGCACGGATTGCCAGCATAGGTCCAACCACCGAGGACTACCTAACATCAAAGGGCATCTGCACGCATGTAGTCGCTGAGAAGCCCACGGCCGCCTCGCTTCTTCAAAGTCTTGAGAGGCATGAGGAGGCGAAGTGAGTTCTTCTGGTTTATCTTTTTAGGTTTCTGAAGGATCATCAAAATCCAAATCAGGCCTGTGGTGGGCATGATTCGCCAAGTCTGCAGACTCAGGGTACACAGACCCGCCATATGGAAGGTACCTACCTTCGCCTTATTTATTATCGCATCGGATCTATACTACAGCCGTATAGGTCTTTTCTGTATTAATCGAGAGAAATTGTTTCCGCACATATCTAGCATGGCAACAATAATCTAATAATAATATATAGCACGTTAAGCCGTCATAATCCTATCTGTAAGCAAGTTTATCTTCTGGACTGCTTCACAATTTCAATGATCTGAGAAACAACACCAGGGTTCGACAAGGTCGAGATATCGCCCAACTGGTCCTCCTCGCCAGCCAACACCTTACGCAAGATTCTTCTCATGAGCTTACCAGAACGCGTCTTGGGCAAGTCATCCACCAACAAGATCAACTTGGGGCAGCGAAGGGACCAATCTCCTTTCTCACCGTCAAGATCAATTCCTTCTTGACGTTGTCCACAGTCTCCTTGTCCTCAGGTCTGAAAGTCGACTTCAAGGAAACGTAAGCAGCAACAGCCTGACCAGTCAAGTCGTCAGCGTATCCCACAACAGCACTCTCGGCCACCATGTGGTGCTCAATGAGCGCAGCCTCGATCTCGGCAGTGGACAATCTGTGACCAGAGACGTTGACAACATCATCAACACGGCCCAAGATCCAGAAGAAACCGTCCTTGTCACGAGCAGCACCGTCACCAGTGAAGTAGTAGCCCTTGTACGAGGAGAAGTAGGTGTCCACGAAACGAGCATAATCGTTGTAGATACCTCTGGCAATGGATGGCCAAGCATCCTTGATAGCCAAGACACCCTCGACACCGTTCTCCTTCAATTCCTCACCGGTGATGGGGTCCAAGATGTGAGCGGTGACACCGAAAGAAGGCAAGGAGGCCGAGCCAGGTTTGGTTGGGGTGACACCGGCCATTGGGGTCAACAAGTGAGAGCCAGACTCAGTCTGCCAGTAGGTGTCCACAATGTGAGCCTTTCCACGGCCAACGTTGTCATTGTACCAGTGCCAGACCTCGGCAGCGATAGGCTCACCAACGGTACCCAAGACTCTGATGGTGTCCAACTTGTACTTCTCGACGAAAGAGGTACCAGCCCTCTTCAACAAACGCAACGCGGTGGGAGCCACGTAGAATTGGGTGACCTTGCACTTGTCAACCACCTGCCAGTAGCGGGAGAAGTCAGGGTAGGCTGGAGTACCTTCAAAGACAACAGTAGTGGCACCATTGAGCAAGGGACCGTAGACCACGTAGGTGTGGCCTGTGATCCAGCCAATGTCACCAGCGGTGAAGAGAATGTCATCTTTGTGCAAGTCGAAAGTGTACTTGGCGGTCAAGGCAGCACCCAACAAGTAACCAGCGACATTGTGCTGAACACCTTTGGGCTTACCAGTAGAGCCGGAGGTGTACAACAAGAACAATGGGTCCTCAGAGTCACATGGCACAGGAGGGAAGTAGTTGCCGTACTTGGAGAGCTCCTCGTGCCACCACAAGTCTCTTGGGGGTGGAAAGGAACGTGACTGGAGCCAGTACGCTTGAAAACAAGCACGTTCCTCACATCGGGCAAGTCTTTGAGGGCATCGTCGACAATCTTCTTTGTCTCGATGGTCTTTCCACCACGCTTGGACTCGTCGGCGGTGATGACAAGCTTGGAGTTGGCATTGACGATTCTGTCCTTGAGGGAGGTGGAGGAGAAACCAGCGAAAACAACCGAGTGGACGGCACCAATACGGATAATGGCCAAAAGAGTGACCACAGCCTCAGGCACCATGGGCATGTAGACCGCGACGGTGTCGCCCTTCTTGACGCCCAAGCGCACCAAGCACTGGGCCAACTTGGACACCTGCTTGAGCAACTCGCCGTAGGTGATGGTGTAGCCCGTGTCGGGCTCGTCGCCTTCGTAGATGATGGCGGCCTTGTCTGGCTGCTCAATGGCCCAACGGTCCACGGCATTGTAGCACGCGTTCAACTGGCCACCGACAAACCACGCAGGCAAGTCGCCGTCGACAAAGTCATTCTTTTTGTCGTGGGGGTAACGGGTGTGGTCAAAGGGGCGGGACCACAGCAAGAGTTTTCTGGCCTGTTCGCCGAAGAAAGCGTTTGGGTCCTCGACAGACTGGCGGTACAACTTGTGGTACTCGTCGAGCGAGGCCAAGTGGGGGTGTGGTGGGCTCTTTCGATGAAGCCTTGGGGTGGCTGCTGGGCCTTCTGGGATTCCATAAGAGTGGACTCGGGCATTTGTGGATGGAGAGCCATTTTCGAGGGGCTCGGGACGTATTTATACCAGGCGGCTTGACCCCACAGAAGTGGTCTGCGGGGCGCCGCATGCAGGCACATTACATTCGGAGTAGATTCCGAGTAGGAGGGTCAATTCCATGCCGACGGGGTTTGGGACGTTCGGCCCAGCGGGGGGTTTTCCAGGTCATGAGGCAATTTGCCGGTTTCCATGAGAAAATTGGTATAAATTCGAGAGATTCCCCGTGGAGCCGGGTCTCAGATCGAGCGAGTCAGGGCAGTGTACCCGCACGGTTTTCTTGGTTCATTGTGCCCCACTGTCGAGCGGGTTGAGCTGAGGGTGAGGGTGGAACGCACAAGGGGAGCACGGGACATGGGAAATTGAGCCGATTGGCATAGAGGTTTTTGAACCTTTTGTTTTGGACTGATTGAGTTTTTGTTTCTTTGAATTTTAATTTTGGAGGGCTAAGGGCCGAAACGAGCTTTTCCCGTTCCGCGCTAGACCAGACAGCAGTCCGCTAATTACGAGATCCGCGCGGCCCACGATGAGGCTAATTGAAAAAAGCAGCGGCGAGTGGGCAGGCGGATTGAAGCAGTGCGGTACGAAAAGCAAAGCAAAACCTAAAAGGGCAAGTGCATAGGAGAAAAGAAAAAAAGAGTTTTTCATAATTAAGGAAGGTTGGGCGGCGGAGGGGCGGAGCGGGCCGGACGAGCTAACACCGAACCCAACTGCCCAAAAAGCGCAGCACAAAGCTCCCGAGTCAGGAGGCTGTAACACCGACCCCCAGCCGTGGCTGCAACCTCACGAGGCTTTCGGGCCCCCTTTTTTGAGGATCTCGTTTTTCGACTTCTCGACGAAATTTTCTTGATCCGGTTTTGTTCTGCTCTTTTTCTTTTCGCTTTTTGCCCCATTGGCTTCTCGCCTCGTCTCGACCCTCACTCACCCTCACTCACCCTCAGTGCGGTGGGGGTGGTGGGGGTGCCATAGTACCTCCGTGCCAAGGGCGTTACGTCAGTGCTAGCGGGTGAACCAGGCTTAATCTTTTTGGGATTTGTGGTGGTCAACCGGATGCAACTTTGCATCGGGCATTGGCTGTGCAATATTGCGTCTCTTGTTATTTTGCATCTGGCCCTTTGCATTTTGCATCTGGCTTTGCAATTTGTGCACCAGGCTAGTCACCTGGCTGCAAAGATTCCGCTCGACCCGGCCTCTGCAGATCCACGTAACCTTGTTCACACTGGCTAACACCGGCACCTCGCCATTGTCCGCCGGGCTTTGCAGTGCTTAGCCGTTTTGTAGAGTTGCACCTGGTGGTTAAGACCGGGACCTGGTGGTTAAGGCTGGGTTTTGAAGCGGTCGAGGGCACGAAGTTTGACTTGTAGGCTGATGGTGGGGAGGGTTGCAAGAGGGAGAAGGTCGTGGTCCAGGGCATGAGGAGGACCCACCATTTGGGAATGCCACATCCTGGTGGTATTCAGACCATCGGCCTTTCATGAGAGTGGGCCAAAAATGGGTGCAAAATGCACCTAGCTTGGGTATCGACTGGTTCTGGCCCAGTGATGGATTCTTTTGTAGGAGTATATTGACCCAGTGCGAGAAAGCTGAGCTCGTTGGAAGGTACGTATGCCCATGGACATGTGGGCATGTTGAGTATCGTTAGCTTCTAGGATCATAGCGAGGCACTCGTAAACCTGGGATCTGATTTCGTCAGAACAACGGAGCCTCAACTTCTTCCAACTCCAACGGGAGTCATGGGCTTGCTGCACTGGATGAAGAGATTTATAGTTTTTGATGGTATTGCAATCCATCGCCTGTCATGGCCTCTATGGAGCACATAGCTATGGGTCTGGTAAGTAACCAACCGGTGGCAGCCAGTCTCAACAATGACAACGCTATACTCACTCTTTGCCCATTTGGCCTGTGAATCTTCAAACGCAATATTAGTATCCACTTCCCCCTTGGCTACGATCTCCACTAGATAAGCACTTGACGTGATCTCCCAAGACACCCTGAAACTATACCCCAATTTTTAACCAACAATACCCTCTCTATCCATTTCTTGGATCAAACCAAACTTGGTCTCATTCATATCAGTGTGTATTCCTCTCCTTTCTGTCCTTCGCCTCCATCCACCACCAAGGCCCTCACCCAACACCCATCAACTACTTCCCAATTATGGCTGCGAAAAACCAATCACCTACGAAAACTACAAAACTACAAAACTACAAAACCACAAAACCACCACCTTGAACAAAAATAATCCCCCAAAACTCTTTTTTCTCAATTTTTACATCAGTCAGTTCCCGAAACCCCCATCATCTCCAAGACTAGAAAACCACCCCCATCCACCACGAACCGCCACCGGCCTGTACCCAGACCAGCTCACATCAACAACCACTATTCTTCATCATGAGCGGAATAGCGCTCAAGGTGACGTCGCTCCTTGTCCGGACGGTGGCAAAGCCTATAGCCAACGGACTCAAGGCGCAGGCGAAAAACAACGAAGGCTTTCGAAATGCTTGCATCAGAATAGCCCAGACGGTTCACTCGACCGATGTGAGGTTGCGGATGAAGCTCTTGGGAGAAAACAAAATCAAAGTGCGTCCCTTGAACGACAAAAAGGCCATCGACAGCGGGGCCAATTTCCTTCTGGAAACATTCATATTCACTGTGGCGGGACTGCTTATATTTTATGAGTCGTATCGATCGAGACGGAAGCTGGCTGCTGAAAAGCGTAATGTGAAGAACGACATCAGCGAACTTCAAGACGACATTGAAGAGGTGAAGAGTTTGCTTAAATTGCTATCGAAAGAAATCGATCACTTGCAGGAGGCCACTAAAGCAGCCGCTGATGAAACAGCAAAACGGGTGGAGGCTTCCCGACGGGAAGCATCCGAACCAAAGCATGTAAATAGAATTGCATAGATGACAGGCTACATCGAAATCAACACCAAAATACTGTAAGATCACAATTAATATACATTCATATATTGTACAGAGCGCCAACGGCCGCTTATTTGCCCTTCTTCTTCTCCACCTTCAACAACAACGCCTTGTTGATGTGGGGCAACACACCACCGTAAGCAATGGTAGCCTTAATCAAGTTATCCAACTCCTCGTCACCTCTAATGGCCAACTGCAAGTGTCTAGGGGTGATTCTCTTGACCTTCAAGTCCTTGGCAGCGTTACCTGCCAACTCCAAAACCTCAGCAGTCAAGTACTCCAACACGGCGGTCAAGTAGATGGCAGACTTGGAACCGATTCTGATCTTGTTCTGGGCGTTTCTCTTCAAGTATCTCTTGATTCTTCCCACGGGGAATTGCAACCCGGCTCTTGCCGAGTGGGAGCTGGTCACTTTGCTGCTCTCGGCAGACTTGCCCTTGCCTCCGTGGACTTTTCCTTTTCCCGACATTAGGACAATTGGTGATGTTAATGTAAAAGAATGTAGTAACAAGCGGGAGGTTGTTTACTTTTTGCTCGCTATCATAACATAAGGCGCGCGATTGTGGAGAGGGTTACCCGGCCGCGCCGCCTCCTTGTCACATCAACAGATGGCCTCAGTAAAGCACAGTGGAATAGCAATAACTTCGTGAAGTTGAACTATTTTCAATTCAACAAAGCAGATTTGTCGGGCTTGACCGGCATTTCGGGTCGGTTAAAGGGTTTCGCAGTTTCGCTTGCATGACCTCATGAGTTGATGGCAAAGTGAGCGCCTAAATGATCGAGAAGCTTCTCGACTTCAGACCTCGGCTTCTGCAATTCTGTGCAAATCAGATCCATGTGTTGAACGCCCTTCACGAGCTTGATCACTTTAATAAGCTCCTCCTTGTTTTCGTCCTCTTCGTCAGATGATTCAGTTTCGGAATCGTCAGACCTACTTTGGCGGCTAGTCCGCTCACGTGGATCCTCGTCGTCTGAATCATCTGAATCACTTTCGAAAACCTCCAGATCTGACGAGAGCGTATCGTCGCTGTGGCCGAACCTCTCAACCTGGTAGTGGAAACTCACCGTCCTGCTTTTTCTTCCAGTTTTAAGATTGCTTTCATTAACTGAGCTCCGGAGAAGCCCCAATTCCTGATTGGAGCTTGCGTGAGACATTGCACGTTGTTTTGCTGCTCGCCTTAGTTGGCTCTCGTGGCTCTTCACTAACTCATTTAATGGATCCTGGTTAGACTTTTCATTCTCGAAAAATTTCGTCACGGATTGTAATATTGTATACGAGTGCAGTCTGTAGATGAGACCCCGAACGACGCCAAAGTTTATAAATCTTCTGACGTCTATGTTTTCCAACGCCTTTTGGTGCTGGATGTACCACTCTTTGATTGTCTGACCCTGGTTCAACAGGCGGTAGAGATAAAAAAGCGTAGATTTCGAGGGAATGTGAATAGGACGAGACAGCGTGTGGATTCGCCCTTTGGGGCCTTTGAAGTATGTGCTGGGCGATGCTGATGTGGGCTCAAGACTCTTGCTTCCTTCTGATTCAAACCGTGGGGTACCTGGAGTGGCTGGAGTGGCCGATACCAGCGGCGTTGCAACTACCAGATCCTCCGAATCGGGGATTTTGATAACGTATGCCTGGCATTCCTCTGCCATGCCCGGAGCTGTAAGGAAGTTACCAATATTGTTGGTCGGTGCGTAGACGTTTCTGAACTGGAAAATGTCGACGATGGTAAGACACCTGTAGTGCATCAAATGTTGGATACACTGTTTCGTCAAAAGGTAGTCTGCGTCGGCCAACTCGGAAATACGTTTTACTGAGTTGAGTCCGTTGATGAACGGAAGAATCTTCACCATTGTGGGATCCCAATTGACGTCTATAAGCGAGTGTAATCTCACAGTCATGAGGGGCACCTGAAATGCCTTTATGTTCACCGGTGGCGGTAGAACAGGGAAAAGCTTGATGTCCACACTGTTGGAAGTGTCTATGGGTATGCAACATTCTGAGTAATTGTTGAGGTCCTGGAAGATCTGGTGTATAAGGGATTCAATTGACAGAAGTGTGAACTTTTTCACTTTTCCTTGGCCCGGCGTGAATTGCGTTTTCTCGGTTGAAGGTGCTGCCTTATCGCTGAAGAACATCATTTCCTTGTCAAGCTTGCTAAGCATGAAGGACTGCTCCTCCAAGGCCCGAAACATGCTGCCCATTCGCTGAATAGCCAGTTCGTACGGCGTCGTATCGGAATTGTAAGGAAAAACAAAGCAGAAGTTGAAGTTGAAGGAGTTTCTCAGGTACCGGCTTCCTTCGATGTTGACCGGGTACCCCAAGACCTGGAGGTTTTCGATCTTGAAGGAGATGAGCTTATTGCATAACTGGGGCTTGGGAATGACGTAGTTTTTCACAGTGTCGAAGTTGAAAAGGGAAGCACCTGTGGAATTGGCTGCCAGGGAGATGGCTGTTTCAGGAACCTGGTGCACAATCTTTGTACCTTCAGTGGGGTGGAAGACGGCATAGAAGATGGCCAATATGGGCACAAAGCCGTCGCTATCCATGAAACGAGTGTGTTGGTGAGAATTGGGTTATCAGGGTAGTAGTATTGTGCGATGATGATAGTGCGGGTTGTACTACTGGGTCAGGATTTGAACGGGCAATACGTGGGTGATACTTTTGAACGAGAGGATTCAATCGGACAATTGAGAGTGTTTTCTGATATACATGTCGTTTTTACTGAAATGCTGTGCGTGGTAACCGGGCCATTTTCGTGATTCGCAGCTACCGTCGGCTTAACAAGGATGTCTTGAAGAAAGTGAGCCTAGTGACATATACAAACAAAGGAGAAGAAAACCAATAAGATCCACAATCAGTCAATTTGTGGTTTTGCTTCAAGGAACTTTGTGGTTTTGCTTCAAGGAACACTACCGCCCTGGCCCCCACCAATCAGATTCAACATTCCATCTCCACCTACAACCGACTAGCACTCTGCCGGAAAACCCCGGAACAGCCGCCGCAGGATTCCCTGGTTCCCAAATCTTATTTGTGCTTGTGCCCCTCTCAAGGGTCCTATGTATGTCCCACTTGAGCAAGCTTCCCGAGCGCACTTCTCCAAACCATACGGGCAAGACGCAGGAGCTGTCAGGGAGAAGCCACCAATCAGAAAGTCTAAAATTGGTGTTACTCAACGGGAATGACCGGTTCTGCTGCTGACTTCATCAGGGTGCCTTGAACAGCGTCTTCCAATCCAATAGTCGGCTTTCATTATTTCGTAAAACAACCATTGTGATCTTTCGAAAGCGCAGATACTACACAGAGGCTCGACAAGTTGAAAAACCTTCGTTCCACGTAAAAACCGCCTTCGCCACTTGTGGCTGGTACCTTCCCTGCGGCTTCACGCAAGAACCTGTCGCAGAAGAAGTTGTAGATAAATATCGTCAGAAGCCTCCAGAAAAACACCCTGAAATGTAGAAAAAACCTATACACAGTCCCCATGGGTCATATGGCTGCTAAACAGACATGGTGAAAGCTCCCGTACTCCACATCAGCCTCCTATGCCACAGACGACTACGCCACATTTCCCAGATGCTTTTCGCCCCTTAAGGGCGTTAAGGGCTTGTGTGAATTCCCCGACTCTGAAGACGTCATTTTGACTGCGTTGACATGACCCTGACTATTCTAGCCAATGACGCTCAAGCCGGCCATTTCTTCCAACCATTGCGCAAACCCAGCTCTTCCAACCCAGTTGCTACCACACGCTCACAACGCCTGCCTCGAGGCAACCAGGCCTCGATCTTCTGAACGGCGGTTTGTCTGGCTAATTTCAAATCACAGTAGTCTTGTAGATTCATGCCTCGACGGACTGTGTTGCAGCCATTTCTGGAACACCTGCTTGCAGAGCGGCGCATGGGGAAGCCGCACCAATATCCAATTATCTCACGAACCAGAGCAGCTACGGGGATTCTGAAAACACCCCTGTGTTCAGAAAGCCCACTTTTGGCACCAAAGTGTCATCAAAAACTTCAATTTCTTAAATTTGGACGAATTGCTCAGGTGGGGTTCCTGTGCGAAGTGCACTGCCGCAGGCATCATTCCAACCTTAGCCCTGCGTGCTCTTCACCCTCTGCCCAGCGGCTTAGTGATATACGCAACACTTCTTTTTTCATACCAGTGAAGCTTTCAGGTCTTCAGACGTATCAGGCCTGTTTCTAATCTCCCAAGAAGCTATCTCTTCCCACCGCAAAAACGCCAGGTCGGCTTATCCATCGGAATATCGGCCTTGTCCTTAAAGTCAGGCACCACCCTGCCAGTGCCTCCTCTAGAAACTGAAGGACGTTTTTGGTCACAGGCCTGGAAACATCATCCAAACAAAACATCCACTCGAACTTATTGTCCTAAAGCTCCCTAGAATTTTCCCTTCCAGCTACCAAAACATTCCAGTACTCCTAGCCTCAAAGAACACCAAGCGTTTCCCTGAGCAACAGTTGCCCTTCCTACAGAACATCCCGTATTAAAGAACTTCCTCCATCTCATCATGAACGTCCAAGCAAAGAAAAACAGAAAGATCTCATGTGTCCACTGCCGAAAACTCAAACGCAAGTGTGACGGCGAACTGCCGTGTCTGAACTGCCAGAAGCGAAACATTGTCTGTGAATACTCCCCAACGGACAGACGCAGCCAGCGGTTCTCCTTGGTGTACATTAAGTCCTTGGAAACGAATGCTGAAATCTACGAAAACATTCTTAACGAGTTGGTGCTGTTGCGTGGCGACAAGGACGCCTTGGCAGCCAAATTGTCTTCTTTGGAATCGACTTTCCCTGTCACGGCTCTGCCCAAACCATTGCACCAGTTGCTGGAAGAAATGGCCTCCATCCAGCTGAGTGAGGTTAGCGTCGAAAACGAACGTGCCCATCTTGATGACGAAGAAAACTACTACGGCCCAGGATCCATCTACCATTTCGGCGAGTACACCACGCCCGAACTGCTGAAAGGGCTGCCGCCAGAACAAGTCCTCACTGGCTTGGAAACGGTGCACACTAACTACGACTTCATCAAGAGCGTGGTGGTCAATTTCTTCACCCACCAGTGGCCGCTGCTGAACTCCTACTATCTCGATAAAAGCGCTATTTTGGCAGACCTTCACAAGGGCAACGTTTTTAATAGCCCTCACGTTTCGGAGGAACTTCTTTATGCAATTTGTGCCAACTCCGAACTGCTTTCTTACGAGGCTGCCGATGCGTACAAGCTTTTGGCGTTGAGCAAGGTATATCCCACGGAGGTGAAGCTGCTGATACCGTTGGCGCAAGCTTACATGCTTTTGGCAGCTCATGAGTTCTCTCTCGGCAAGGTGACTAGTGGCTGGCAGCTTTCTGGGTCAGCTATGCGAATGGGCTTTGATTTGGGCTTCCACCACAATGACGGGCCTGATTTATGTCCCAGAAAGAACCGTCTTTTATTTGGCTTCATGCTCATTGACTCATACATTTGCATGGCAGTCGGAAGGCCGAACACCATCACACAGAACAATGTGCCCGTTACGCGATTGCCTGAAGAAGACGATGCCAACTTTCACAATATTCGTGATATTGTGCTGCTATTGGAACTCACAAGACCAATGCATAAGGCTACTTACGAACCAATCCTGTTCAACAAAGACCCCCGAATCAACTACTTGTTGAAATTCAACCGGTCCAAGATGTTTAATGTGAAGATCTTGAAGTGGAAGTCGGATCTTGATCCTGCTTCTCACTGGCTGTACGCACTGCTCAAAGCGCTGGACGATTTGGCATATCAAAATCATAACCTCAAGTTCTTGTACTGGTATATCCTTCTTTTTATCAACAAGCCTTTCTTGCATGTTCCACGCCAGTACTCTGCGGGCTATATCATCGAGGAAATGTCCAAGGAGGTGCATTTGATTGTCTGCCTGCGTCTTGAGCGTATGGAAAGAGAGGCGAGAGCTCAGCAGCTTCACCCTCTCGAATTAATGAAGTTCGTGCGTTATGAACAATCTGATCCGTACCACTGGGCTACCTTGGATATCTGTATGATTACGCTCTTGTCACATGTTGTGGTCACTTTGATTATGGATCACCCTAACAGCTACTTGTACATGGAGAAGCATTTGAAGGCTTACACAAGATACCTCAATGGTGTGAGTGCCAGAAAGTACAAGTGTAAGTTCAACGCTATGGAGCGTCTCTTGGAAAGATACAATGAATGGAGATCTTCTCGCACAGATTTACCTGCGGTGAAACTGGCTCCATCAGAGGAAGCCTACGAGATGAAGCAACTCAAGGAAAGTATAGACGAAGCATCACCACATTCTCTTCTGACAGGTTCAGAACACGCAGAGACCCCAGGTTCAGCCTACGGCATCACTTCGGGAAGTGATTCTAATCTGCCCTTTGATAAGAAGGTCAAGAACGAAAGCAGACCCGACTATGTTGATCCCAACCAGAACCTTGCTCCGCCTCCACCTTTCCAAGCTCCTCCATATCAACAACAGCCTCCACTTCAAATGATGGAGCGGGTTCAGTTTGACAATGCGCAGATGGGACCACCCTTTTTCCAACCACCTGCCCATGGATTTGGACCTTTTGGCATGCCACAAGGCCCCATGCATCACCAAGCTCCGCCACACAATATGCCAGCTCCAGAATCTCATCCACCAAGACCACCTAATCAACCGCACCCACAGCACAATCCTCCACAAGTGACACCCATGACGTATGGCCAGATGCCACCCCAGGTTGGTGAGGTTCAAAGCACGCCACATGGCGCATATAGCGTGCCACAGTCGATCCCTACCATGTCTGGTGAGCCGTCACTTGCATCTGTGCCTCTGTACCAGGGTACCATAATAGACAAGGAAACGTCAGATCTGCAGAGCAATAGATTCACAAGCAGAAGTTCTGTTCCTTCTCAATTTGAGAATTACACCATGGGTGACGCTTTACCACAAGAAGGTAACTTGCAACAGAACATCAATTTTTACGAGGCCATGACCCAGCCATTACCAGACACGCTTGGCTTCAACGAGTTTCAAACAGACCGCCCATCATCTAGCGATAATATTGGTCAAATGATGAATACTTTGTTCAGCAACACAGGAGAAGAGTTTGAGGCCCCCACGGATCAGTTTAATTGGGATAAGCTTTTCGACGAGAAGTACGCTGTTGCATAGGCAAGCTTGCACGATGGTGTGAGCGACACTGATGGTTATGTATAATGTACTTTTGGTTTGACGTGAATCTAGGTAGGAAGCGTAGACCAATTTAGTTCTCCAGTAACACGAGAAAGTTTAACTTGTAAATGTTCTCAACGTCACTGAAACCGAACACCCCACTGTTCAAGTATGTGATTAAAAATAAAAGCTTATTATAGTTGAAGAGTGGTGCGGGAAATCTGAGAAATGTGTCAAACCTGTCAAGCGGCAATCACAATGTTATGCGTTTACAGTGCCATTTTTCTCAAATGCGGTACAACAAGAGTTTCCATCTAAAACATGATTTCTATAGAGATGATGGTTCAGTAGCATCTAGTTCAAGTTCGCTTATATGCTAGAATTGAGGTTTCAACAAGTGGTGCATTGAGGAGTGTTACATACCACAAAGAATTTGAAGACTTTTTTGAATCTTGTAGACCATTCTAAATTGATGAACAGACCGTAATGTCAATATTCGTAAATTACGGATTCAAGAGTCGATTCAAACTCCAAGATTCTCCCCAACACATTCTGGGGGTACCGATTATGCTCACGTTATTTTAGAAACCTCATGGTAGGATGGATAAGAGTTAACCTCTCTCAGTAATGCTACACCTCATCAATTGAGGGCTTTCTTGCTGATTCTGTACTTTTCCGAAAGTGACTCAAATTTGCACCCATTCTGCATCGGAGTCTCCACACCGATCATCAACATGCAATGCACAGTACAAACTTTCAGTGTCTGAGCACTTCTTCACCATGACGAACCTTTTTTAGAAACTCCTTATTCAATAACATTCCATAACTTAACCAATTGAACACCATGATATGCTGGCTTCCCGGTGAAAAATCGGGGTGCGGAGTGCACAGAACCTTCTCGAAAATTTTCGGCCACTATATAAGCAGCGCATTTCCCCCAGATCCAAGAACCACCAAATGTTGAGATCCAGAATCCCCAGCACTAGAGCATTTGTGCGTCACCTCTCGCACAAGGAGTTGAAGTTCGGCGTTGAAGGTAGAGCCGCCCTTCTCAAGGGTGTGAACACCTTGGCCGACGCTGTTTCCGTGACTTTGGGTCCAAAGGGTAGAAACGTGCTCATTGAGCAGCAGTTCGGTTCTCCCAAGATCACTAAGGATGGTGTCACCGTTGCCAAGTCCATCACCCTCAAGGACAAATTTGAGGACATGGGCGCCAAGTTGTTGCAGGAGGTTGCCTCCAAGACCAACGAGCTGGCTGGTGATGGTACTACCTCTGCCACCGTTTTGGGCAGATCCATCTTCACCGAGTCCGTGAAGAACGTGGCCGCTGGCTGCAACCCTATGGACTTGCGTAGAGGTACACAGGCTGCCGTTGAGGCTGTGGTTGAGTTCTTGCAGCTGAACAAGAAGGAGATCACCACCTCTGAAGAGATTGCCCAGGTGGCCACTATCTCCGCCAACGGTGACGCCCACATCGGTAACTTGTTGGCTTCTGCCATGGAAAAGGTTGGCAAAGAGGGTGTTATCACCGTCAAGGAGGGTAAGACCTTGGAGGACGAGTTGGAGGTGACTGAGGGTATGAAGTTTGACCGTGGTTACATCTCTCCATACTTCATCACCAACGCCAAGAGCGGCAAGGTTGAGTTTGAGAACCCCTTGATTCTCTTGTCTGAGAAGAAGCTTTCCTCTATCCAGGACATTTTGCCTTCTCTTGAATTGGCCAACCAGACCAGAAGACCTCTTTTGATTTTGGCTGAAGACATTGACGGTGAGGCTCTTGCCGCCTGTATCTTGAACAAGTTGAGAGGTCAGGTCCAGGTCTGTGCTGTCAAGGCCCCAGGATTTGGTGACAACAGAAAGAACACCTTGGGTGACATTGCCATTCTTTCCGGTGGTACCGTGTTTACCGAGGAGTTGGACCTCAAGCCTGAGAGCGCTACTGTTGAGCAGTTGGGCTCTGCCGGCTCCATCACCATCACCAAGGAGGACACCGTCATCTTGAACGGTGAGGGTCTCAAGGAGAACATCCAGGCCAGATGTGAGCAAATCAGAAACTCTGTTGACGACACTCAGACCTCTGAGTACGAGAGGGAGAAGTTGCAGGAGCGTTTGGCCAAGTTGTCTGGCGGTGTTGCTGTCGTCAAGGTTGGTGGTACCTCTGAGGTTGAGGTTAGTGAGAAGAAGGACAGATACGACGATGCTTTGAACGCCACCAGAGCCGCTGTCCAGGAAGGTATCTTGCCCGGTGGTGGTACTGCCTTGATCAAGGCTTCCAGAATCTTGGACGAGGTCAAGGAGAAGGCCGCCAACTTTGACCAGAAGTTGGGTGTTGAGATCATCAGATCCGCCATCCTCAAGCCTGCCAAGAGAATCATCCAAAACGCCGGTGAAGAGGGTGCCGTTATTGTTGGCAAGATCTACGACGAGCCTGAGTTCAACAAGGGTTACGACTCTTCTAAGAGCGAGTTCACCGACATGATTGCCTCTGGTATCATTGACCCATTCAAGGTTGTCAAGAACGGATTGGTTGACGCTTCTGGTGTCGCCTCCCTTTTGGCCACCACCGAGTGTGCCATCACCGATGCCCCAGAGCCTAAGGGTCCTCCACCAGCCGGCGGCATGGGCGGCGGCGGCATGGGTGGCATGGGTGGCATGCCAGGTATGTTCTAAGCGTACAATTGCCTCTTGTAAATAGACTGTACAACATGACAATAGTTAAGAGTTGTTACATCAGTGTAGGGGGTTAGTAAATACTGCCAATGGCTGACCCAATGTGGGTTCCAATTTTAGAAATGTTTACATCGAATGGATGAAAGATATGGATAGAGCAGTCGTAGTAGTTGATAAGGGTACCGTTGTGAGGCTCTATTGAACGATTCTACCCAATCGTTTTTTTAATCTCTATATCGGAAATACCATTCCGGCACCGGCAATGATTAATTTATGTTGATATCAATAAAAATGAAGAACACGAATCACCGATAAATTATATTTAGGGTCTTTGAAATGTACGCCGGTCCTCATTCTCACCTTCTTGCACCCACATCGAACCCTGGTGGTAAACCTAAGACATGCAAAACACCCTTGAAGCAATATCAACCAATTTTCTAATAACCATCCTGAAACCCATCCCATCTCCATCAACCAAAACCAAAAATCCCAAAAAGTTGAAGATTTTCACCACCCCCACATTTCGATACGGTAGCCTCACTTGTAGCCTCACTCATCTCATCTCGCACATGGACCATGTTTGAAGACATCGTACGCCACAGCAAGTACAGACAAGCTGGGCTCAAGCGGTCTCGATATGAACGTCTTGTTGATCTTCAGGTCCGGAAAAACCTCGTTGAAGAGGTGGAGAGGCTCCGTGGGTCTGTTTTGGACCCTGCCTCCAGAAAAGAGCTTCTACGGCGTGCATCAGATATCATCAAAAGCCGGTCGCTACCAGAGGAGACTTACGAGTTTTGGCATTCTGGGAAGCTGGGCGAGACGCCCTTGATCGAGGAACTTTTGGCTGAGGCTGCAGAATTGGAGAAACACGCTAGTGCTGATATCAACAATGAAACAAACAACACAAACGACGTCGAGAGCGACAATAGCGACGATGAGAGCGATAGCCTGGACTCGGACTCTGAAAGCGAAGAAATTGAAGATCTTGAAGAGGATGTGGAAGAGCAGGTCATGGACGACGAGGTTCATCCAGATACCCTCTATGCTGTTAGGAAGCTCAAGAAATGGGAAAGCGGGTTGGATACAGCCCGCTCGTGGGCTAGAGATCGCTTCATTCTTACTAAAGCGGGAATGGAATTCCCGGGCTTCACGATGAAAGACAGTCTGTGGTGAAAAGCCATATAACTAATCTCCTGAACCTTCTACATGTCAACATCCTTCGACAGCACTGGGACCTCGCGTACAGGGCCTTTTCGCTCCTTCTCCGCTTTGACTACGTTGATCTTCGTGCTATTTGGCCCTTGGGTGTCGAAATCTTGACCAGACGTAAGGAAGAAATGGTCAGACAAAACACCGGCTCCAGACTCGAGCTCTTGAAGTGCAGGCGCTTCTTGGAATGGTTGGAGCTCGTGTATCCTGTTTTGCCTAGTGTTCTTTTGACCACTCAGTCTCGTGTGGGGCCTGTTTTTCGTGCTGGTTCCAGAAGACATGCTCCAGCTTATGTGGCAGCAGGACTCTGGCAGCTCTTGGTGGAGAAACAGTATGTGAAACTCCGAGAGTCTCTAGATGAATTGCTTCTCGTTCCACCGTATTCTATTGATGGCGGCTTCTTCTACATCCAAGCCTTGTGTTGTCTTTGTGAGAACATTCATTTGGCTGACATATACGTGCATTTTGACACCAGAGGTTTCCCTGTTGACGCCGATATCGGTGACTTAGCAGAAGACATGATGCTCCTCGGTTCCAAAGAAACCATCCAGGCCCGTGTATTGAGTAATATCTCAAAAATAGAGGAGCTGATAACCTCTTGCGAGTCGCTCGGCTTTGAGTATGCCAAATGGGACTTCGACGCCCAAATGAAAAGAGTCAAGGGCTACATGGAGGGCGCCATTCTGACCTTGATTCCCGAGAAGGCGGTTTCTCCAGAGGCTCCAGAAAGCCTTGGATTTTCCTTTCTACATGGCAAGATCGAACGAGCACCAACGGGTCCTCATACCATTGCTCAGGAACATTTATCAAGATTCACAACGTCCAATTCTAGAAAGTCATGGGTGTGGAATTGGTTCACGAAAAACGATGAAGCAACCGCTCGTTGTTTGAAGTGCCTGGAGGAAGTCCAAAAAAGCTCTGGTGGCTCCACGAAACAATTTATGAAACATTTGCGGAAACACGGAATCAATGATCGTACCATGTACAATGAGTTTATACAATTGAGGAGCGAGGAGCCCGTGAAGAAGAAGCCAAGGAAGAGACAAGTTGCCAAAGCGGGTTCAAAGCCCACGAAGCGTTCCAACAAAGAGGTTGAGCAAACCAGAGCCACTCAAGGAATACCCTCACCTCCAGCTACAGCAGGCGACTTGGTCACCAAAGAGCCTCCAGAAAAAAGAAGAAAAGTTCCCTTGGCAGTTCGTCCAAGTGCTCCTTCTCGCACGCCACAAGCATCAGATTCTGCTCGTCAAACAGCTGAGCCAGATACGTTTTCAAATCCTCCAGATTCGCCACCAAGATCCGAATTGCGTCATTCGCCAGCGCCTTCGATCAAAGATGAACAATCCCCTATTGCATCCCCGGCACCAGTTGCTGATCCTCATCAAGACGAAAATCAAAATGATATTGCATCTCCCACTCCGCTGGATAGTAACCAGCAGGACAGAGACACATCTGAGAGACAAATGCCAAATGAGTCTTTGGAAAAAGACGCTTCGGTGGCTAGTGATAGAGCATCTACAGTATCACGTCCCGATGAGTCAGAGCATGTGGAAGAACCAGCCCAAGCAAATGACTCCATGCTGCAAAGTCATTCAGATAAGTCTGGTCTTGATAGACCACTCAGTGATTCTATTCCGCAAGGTCCACCAGAAACACCAAGACTTCCAGATAACCCTGACTTAGCGATAGCTGTCAAAGAAGAAATCCTCGATGAGCTCAATTGTGAGCTTCTTGCAGGTGTCGAAGCAGCTCAAACTCCTGTTGGACCTCAGCTTTCATCGCCAGCCCCGCAAACACCACCTCCAGGTCCGTTTTCACCAGAACCAGACTCGCCAGAGTCTCAAAATTTCATGAGCGCAAAAAGAAAGCCGGTTCGTCGCCAGTCCAATTTCTCGCCTGAGAGTACCTTCACTGAGTCTCAAGGCGATGCTGATATGAGTATTCGTTTTAGAGAGTTCGCTGTGCAGACCAAAGACCCATTTCGTGTTGATCGAAGCATTCTTGAGGATACTGAGGAGGAACAGACAATCCAGCTGCCTACTCAGCACTTTGATGATATCCCAGACACATTGAGGTTTGGAGAAGAATCGCCTGAAACGAACAAGGACACCTCTGAGAGAGCTGGCATCAAAAGCGAGGATGAAGACTCCCCAAATGAGCAGCACAGTCTCGAATCCCAATCATCAGCTTCTGAATACGGAGACGCTCAATCCAGGTTTAACAGTGCAAGGAGAGCTCCCGAATCACCGAACGACTCATCTGAAGAAACTCAATTTTTCAGTTTCCAGGACACAGCATAGACCTTATTGCAACACTGCATCACACGAAAACTGCATTAATAGACAAACGTTTTACATAACACTCCTAGCCAAATCATTTCTTGATCCTATATCCTATATCCTGTGTTAATTATCCGGGCTAGCACGAAACATTTCGACATTCTCGTTACTGGTACTTTCACGCTTCCTCACGGAGAGAGTGCCAGTGTATTCTGGAGAAAGCCTTATTTGACGAGTATCTGCCGAAGTGCCCGTGGTAATCGGAAATGCTGCCCAATCCTGTGGTATAAATGTAGTTTCAGGGACAGAGTAATCCGTCAGAGTGGGCGATGCTGCCAGAGTCGTCTGGTCACCATCTTCCCTGATTCTTTCTGGAACAACCGCTTCTGCTGTTGCTGTCGCCGTCGCTTCTTCTGCGGTAATGCCAGCTCCAGGCTGAGCAGTTTCTGCAGCAGTGGCGAAAACGGTGTTTCGACAGAGAGGACATTTATCCGATCTTTCAAGCCAATCCTTGAGACATCCCATATGCAAAATGTGCCCACAGCGAAGCTTCTTTGGACGCCGCCTGGCACCAAGTACCTTTTTCTTTACTTCAAAGTACTCCTCTTCACACCACATATTGTCACGACAGATGATGCAGAGGTTGTCGCCCAGTTCCAAATCTTCCTTGGTGGCGTTGAGAAGTGATCTGTCAAGCTTTTTGCTCTGCTCTAAGAAGCTGCGGAGCTTCTTCGATTTGGAGTATACTTGGAGGACAGACACGGCAATGCCTTGAAGTAACGTGATGGGAGGGTTGACGTTACCAAACACGTAAAGAAGGTACATGAACATCGAGTAGAGACAGCCTTTGGCAAATGCCACGAAAATCTCAAATGCTTGGGTGTAGATTGGTTTGTTCTCCCACACTCTCTCTGACACATCCTCGTCATCGGGGTCTTCTTCCTCGCTCATGTCCACGTCAACTTCATTCTCAGCCTCCGCGGGGTCGGATGTCTGATTGTTTGGAATGGTGTAGAACATGAGCTCATATACGTGAAGGACAAGCTTTCCGAAGTACGCAAATGCCTCCATCCCAAGTACACCAAATTGGATGCCAAACAAAAGACTTCCAACAGAGCCAGTGCCTTGGAAGACATCGTAAGCAAGGAACTTTGCCATCACCAAATCAGTCACAGTGAACATCTGTAGTAGAACCAGGGCACGGTAGGTTGCGAAGTTGTAGAACACTTGTCTCGATGTTGAGATGTGATGTGGAATCAGGTTGACCATCTTCATCTGATAGGCGTCAAGTCGGTCAAATAAGATGATGTGGAAGATCTTGGACGAGATCGTGAGGTTGATCCACACTATGTTAAGGAGGAGGTTGTTATCACCGAACATAATGATAAGCAAGTTGATCAAGTAAAATGGAAGCTCCTCGGAGATGTGCTCGATCTCGATGATCCTCAATTCGTGGAAGATAAGCTTAATGCTTACGTATCCTGCCACAATAAAAAAACTCACAACAAAGTTGAGAAGCACAAGGAGTCGTACGCTTTCTGTAAGCTCAAACACAAATGTAAGATAATCCACTGAATGAGCAGCCAGGTACATCACGGCAGCAGCAAAAAGGCCGAAGCTAATGCCGCCATACGCTGCAATTGCAATGGCGCCTTTCAGAGGCATTGGAAAAGAATCTGGTGTATAACAAGTGGTGAATTGAAGTAACAGCTCACTCGCGATATACTGTCGTTTCGAATATGTTTCAGGCTGCAGGTCGTGCGCAATTCTGGTTCCCCAGATTTTGGGTTTGGGTGTATATTAAGCTAAAGTTGGGGGATTCGTGATTTGTGAAGAGATTGGTCGCTTCGCAAAGGAGAGAGGTCTGTGCGTCTTCGTTTAGCAGCATCTGGAATCATGGTCTGACCGTTTAGAATACGCATCGGCAGTCTGACAGGCAGTCGCAGGGGAGACCGGGAAGCCGGAGTAGAGGCAGGGCGTTTCCACTGGGTGGGTGATCTTTGAAGGTCAGCCAACGACAGATAGAAAACTTTGAGGTTTTTCTCCGTATGGCTAAGGTCTCTTGACAAGTCCAGATAATTTTTATCGATAGTCCCCGAGACCGCCTGGGTCTTTTGCGTAGTTGCTTTCTCGATGGCGTCAGCATGTCCTTTGCTCATGTTTGTGATGTCTCCCAAAACATTATCAACCACATGCTTTGTTTCCTGCTGCATTCGTGAGAACGCACCCTGTACCTCCTTCGTGGCGACGTCCTTGAAGGAGTTGAGTGACGAGGTGGCGTTGTTGGTTCTGGTTTGAATGGTCTCCAAACTTTGCGAGCTCTGCTGAACGTGGGCCTTGTGCTCCTTACTCAATTGCATTCTCTCTGACTTCATGAGATCAAGTGTGCCTTCCTTCATGGCCTCGTTGTTGGCCTCAGCGCTTGACTGGACGAAACCATCGAGCATTCGACTCATCTGCTGCATGTATGTTTCCTTAAGGGCCTTGTAGTTCTCCGCCATGCGGGCTTTGTAGCATCTGTCGAAGTTTTTGTAAAGAGAAGACTCCTCCAGTAAATGGGTTTTGTCGATGTACTCTGCAAAGCTTTCGTTCTTCGATCGAATCTCTTCGATTTGAAGCGAGACATTCATCTCTTGAGTGACCTTGTGAAGTAGAGAAAAGTCCATCTTTGCAAGAGCCAGCTCGAACGTTGAGGTTTCCTTCTCTACCTTGGTCGAGACTTCTTTTAGTCTCGATTCAAGAGTCTTTTTGAAGAGACCAAGATGCGTCTGAACCACCGTAGGTATTTCCTTGACATTCAGCAGAACTTGCATCATGTCCTTCAAGTTTGCAATCATTTCGTTAACGTCCCTTATTATGCTCAGGACACCTGTGCCAGTCACAGTTGATACTCGCTCCTTTTGAGAGCTATACTTGTCCTTGAGAACCATAAAGTCTCTCGTAGTCTTCTGAAGCTCTGCGATTTTCGCCGCAAGGTCCAGCCTGCTTTGCGAGCTCTCGTTGAGTATATTGTCATTGAGCAGCTTGAGCTCCTCGATTTCACTGTCTCTGGCCAATACTTTGGCGTTCAATCCCGAGATTTGGGTGTCTTTTTCTTTCAACTCAGTCCTTAATTCTGCGATGCGCCTTTCAAAATCCTCATAGTTTTGTACACTTATCTTGATACTGTTGTCCTTTCCCTTGGTGGCCAAAAGGTCTCTATTAAGGCGGGATATTTCTGCGGACATGTCACGAATCTTGGTGCGTTTGAGCACGAGTTCACTATCTGCGGTAGACTGTGGAATATTTTTGATGTTTTTAGCTTTTGAGGCGTAATTGAGGGTCAGCATGGTCTCCATGACATTCAGCTTTGCCGGCGAAATGGTTGCGATCAAGGCCGTTTTAGTCTTTCCTCCAATTGAGCCCTGTAGAAGGCGTGTGAGCTTGGACTCTCTATATGGTATATGTCTAGGTTCCCTGCCCTCGCTCAACGCACTGATGACTTTGCCTAGAGTAAGAAGACTCTGGTTGATCAGGCCTGCTTCTTTGGCGCCTGTGTCTGTAGCGCCAGACTTGATGATATCTTCCGACCCCGCGAGATCTACCAAGTTCATTTTGGACAGCCTGACGACTTCCTGACCGGAAGGTGACATGACTGTCTTGAGCAAGGTGATTGTGAATATAGTGTGGGAACGAGATGACCGGGAATTGAGTTTGGTGGAGCCCATCTTACGCTTGCCCAAACACTTTTGAAGCATCTCGAAGCCCAGACGAGCATCCAGAACGTCCAATTCGAACAAGTTTTGGATCATGGTTCCTCGACCATCTCTTGAGCTGTCACCTAGTAGCCTGAGCTTTGGCTTCTTTGCATTCAACTCAAGCTCGTCATTGATGAGATCATGAAGCTCTTCCTTGTACAACTCCACACACGAGAGTTTGACACAGATGTCGTCTTTGGCAACTTGAAATATCTCTTGTAGGACTCGAGGTACAATGCCTGCGTGCTCCCCGACTAGCTCTCCCAACATAGTGTATGTTTTTCCAGATCCTGTCAGGCCGTATGCTAGTATGGTCACATTCATTCCTGCCATGAAATCTTGAAGCAATGGCCGAGCTATGTTTCTGTATATGAGCTCCTGATCAGCATTGGCTCCGTAGACCTGGTCTAGAGTGAACACTTTACCTGTATTGTCGTTCAAGGACGTGTTGTTGACACTAACATAGGGCTCCTCTGTGGAGCAGAAGTCGTCTGGCACAGTCACAACAATGGGCAGCTGAGCAGTCACCTCTGCCTGGGTCCTTCTACGGACTCGGGCGCTGACCTGGATTTTATCGGACATATAATACAAAAGACGGTGGTAGTAGTTGTTGTTTGTTTACTTGTGGAGCGATCCATGCAGGCCATCGCCATTTCCACGATCTCGAGATGCAGATGATTTACCACATGGCGGTTGAACTACGAGTCGAATTGATTTACATTGGTGGTTTTCACAATTGATGAGGTGTATTAAAAACATCTGATTTTCATGCTTTTGAGGTTCATGTCTGTAAGTGTTAACTGTGATGGCTGCGAAAAGTTGTGGGGATTCGCGATGGCAGGTTGAAGATAGTTAATGATCTGGACAGTCACGAAGAAGTTGGATATAGTTTTTTTCGGTTTTTTTTTTATTCTCTGGTTTTATTGAAGATTTCTCGCAGGTGATGCAAAAAGTCGTGGGCCCTCAGTGTTACTAGCTCGGAGAGTGTAACGAATATGCGCATTGCTCACACGAGGTCTGGCGACGAATGAGTAGTGGTCCACACACACCAATTGCAAGCAATAATTTTCTTCTTTTGATATCATGTCAATTCATGAGTAAAATGAAGTCTCTGTGCTAAGATTTATGTGAAAGGTTTCATACAATCGAGCAGCTGAGTGTCTCACTTTTGTTAGCATTCGAACCCCAGTGTGTCGGCTATTTTGGAGCTCAGGATTTGATCAGTTCAACAACCTAGGCATTGAAGATAATTTGTCAAAGTTCACGACTCAGACTGGCCCCTAAACCTCGACAATCTCTGAGCGGATGCCAGGAATCCATCTGCATTTCCCCAGATTCCAGAGATTTCAAGAAAACCAGTATCCAAAAAAGTTGTCCAAAGCGAGATCTAGTTAGCGCAATGTAGTAATAGATCCATTTAGGTCCATAACCGTGGGTTTCGTGGCCCTCCAACCTATAACCACCAGTTCCAATCCACTTCAACAGGGTAGCTTCAACCCCACAACACTCCATCAGCTTGCCCTCCTGCCTACACCCGGCCAAACCGTTCCTGTATTTACACATATGCTAATCAAAGAAGTCGTCGTCGTCGTCATCGTCGAGATGCTTCCGGTCAAACACTATCTGGCTCGACAGCGCCTTCTTCTCGTCACGAGAAAGCAGATCCAAAATCTCCACTATATCCTGCTCGCCAAGCTTCCGGCGAATAGACCCCATCGAGATCATTTTGACAAGGTACTGCTCCACGGCGTCGGCCCTATCTGGACGTACGATTCTCACACGAGAAAGTCTTTCTCTGGCAGAAGGCTCGAGAACCTGGGAAAGCACCGAGATCTTCTCGTCCAGCCTTGCAGACTGCTGGCCAGAGTTTTTCTGGAGCTCTGCGAGTCTGGCCTCTCTGATAGCGTTGAGTTCAGCTTCGTCCATGGAGAAGAGAGTAGTTGATGCTCGCACTGTGTAGGACGGTCAGACAAGCAGCACTGTGGAGACCGACAACACGAAAAACGTTCGGTGGAAAAAAGAGAAGTAAAATTTAAATATGAACAGCTGCAGAGAAAGCTGATAATCACCCAAATTGCTCTTTCCCCCATCTGGCCGTTTAAAGTGGAGGTGGCATGGTCCACACCCGTGCACCATCAAGACACTTCAGGACGTGCCAGCGAGCAATACTTGTTACCACCATGAGCGACAGAGGCATTCTAAGAAAGTACAAGATCGTCTTTTTGGGCGACCAGAGCGGTATGTGACCCTTCTGCATCTTCAGCTACCCCATCATCCACTAACACGCAGTCGGCAAGACGTCATTGATCACCAGGTTCATGTATGACACCTTCGATGAGCAGTATGCGGCCACCATAGGCATAGATTTCCTCCTGAAGACGATGTATTTGGAGGACAACAAGACCGTACGGTTGCAGTTGTGGGACACGGCGGGCCAGGAGCGGTTCCGGTCGTTGATTCCATCGTATATACGTGATTCCCACGTTGCCGTAGTGTGCTACGATATCACCAACAAAAAATCGTTCAGTTCGTTGGAGAAGTGGGTCAGCGACGTGCGCATGGAGCGTGGCGACGACGTGATTGTGGTGATTGTGGGCAACAAGTCGGACTTGAGCTCCAAGCGCCAGGTTAGCGTGGAGGAGGCCGAGGAGTTCTGCAAGCAGATTGGCGGCAAGTTTCTCATTGAGACGTCGACGAAGGCCAACCACAACGTGAAGCTCCTATTCAAGAAAATCGCTCTGTGCTTGCCGGAGTTCAGCGAGAGCGGCGACCAGCAGCAGCAGGCTGAGACAGTGGACGTTAGCATCGACACCTCTGCGCCGCAGGGATCGACGAGTTGTTGCTAGGGGAAGAGTGCAGCGGAGCTGCTATACTAGAAATGCATGTTACGTGAACGAGGTGTAGGGGGCGGTGTGCAGCAGGGGTGTCAACCGAGAGATAAGAGCGGAACGGGGCGTAGTGGGCGTAGTGGAGTGAAAAATTAGAGGTTGGGAGTTTGGTGAATGAGTTGGGGTGAGAGATGAGCCGGTCTGGGCGATTTTCAACCGTTTGAGGAGAGTCCAAGCGGTTTTTGTTTGAGGAGAGTCCAGGCGGTTTTTGTTTGAAGATTCTTAGGTTCATGGCCTTCGAGCGGTCACTTCGTCATCTGCGAATTGCGTTGCACGTTTTGTGTCAAACTGCGATGACATCAGCGGTGCCGACGCTTATCGGGGCGCAAAGCAGATTAGACTGGTGCTCGGTTCAGCAGAGGTCGGTGAGTATTTGAAGTTATGCCGGCAACCAAAATGCAAAGCCGTTTTTGAGTACCCAAATCGAAGAGTGCATTGCAGTTTCCAATATTGGCCAGACTTTGCAAAACCTGGCAAAATCAAAGACGGCAGCGCCGACTGCCATCGGGGCTCAGGCGCAAATGGTGCGTTGACAGCGGGAGAGCAGCAGCAGGGAAGCGAGGCGGCGAACAAAAAGACAAGGCGGCTTCTGGCGAGAACAAAGCGCAGCGAAAGAAGAAGGGATGCGCCGGCTTGCCAGGGGCAGCGGAATGGAAACAATAGCGGGCGGCAGAAAAAGGCAGGGACGAACGAAAAGAGGTAAGAACAGACAAATTAAAAAAGAAGAAACGGAAGGCCGGCGGCAGCGGAATGCAACGTGGGAAGCATTTGCATGTCTCATTCAGCCCGGCGGGTGCGCCAAGGTAAATCGCGCGGGCCAGAGACCCTGAGGTACAAAGACAAGCGGGAGATTTCAGTCAGGGGCGTGGCCGGGGCCGACATCGATAGGCAGCGCTTAGTTCATTAAGGTGCCGTTGGAGTTTTGCTGTTTTGGTGTTTCGGTGTTTTGGTGTTTTGCTATTGTGTTTTGGTGTTTTGCTATTGTGTTTTGATGTTTTGCTATTGTGTTTTGCTATTTCGGTGCTCTGCTGTTTCGGTGTTTGCTGATCCACCGTACTGGAAATGAACTTGGGCAGCAGAGCCTCGACGGTGGCCCTCGCTAAAAGCTTCGTGGCGTCTGACGCAACGGCGCATAGTCGCACGACGCCTGCCTGCCTGCCAGCACCTCCAGCCAAGCACCGGACTTGTCAACAAACAAAGCCGCCAAGCAGCGGGCCTGGGCGGTTGCAGGACGCCAGTGGAATGGGCTGGCCCTACAATGCAAGCATGCGGAGGCTATTTTCCAAAAAATTTGGCAGTAGCCTTTTTGGCGAAGCGTTCGGTGGAGGCACTGGTGCGGCAGGCCAGATTAACTTTGGCTTTTTTCGCCTGCTGCCTCGCCTGCTCGTTCCCGCTTTTCCTGCCCTGCTGCCTGCTGCTCCTGCTCGCTTTGCTCGTATCCCGGCACCATGACACAATCGCAGCCCCAACGCCCCAAGCCCGGCGCCTCCCTCCAGAACGTCACCCCACCGATCCACGATGCCTGCCAATCAGTAAAATTCCATCATCCCCAATCGCACCAATCAAATACCACCAGCTCCTTTCGTTCACTCGTCCAACCCAAAAAAAGCTCCCTAGCCTCCCAACTTCTTTGCCTCCTGCCTCCCTTCACCTCCCCTTCCCATTCACTTCTTCATCGCCTCCCCTTCACCTCTTCACCTCCCATTCACTTGGGGCCTCGACCAGGGGCGCGCCCGTTAGTCTCAGGAACAGGGCGATCAGGCACGCCAGACAGAGGTCGTGGCCAAGCCGCCCTGGACATTTCCTGTGCCCCACCGGCTTCTGTGCGTACCCTGTGCTCCGCGCTGTCGGACTGCGTTGTGCTGCTTTTTTCCTCCATCTACTCGTTTTTTTTTTCTTACTCACCGTCCCCTCGTCCGTGGTGGCTGCCATTGTGCTGCGTTTTTTTTATTTTGTTATTTTACTTATACCGCCCGCTCGCTCCGCCAGCTTCTCTCTTTTCTACCACGCGAGGAAACTCCCCAGATCCTCCGATCCCACTGGCCCAGCCTGCCAGATATTACTGATCCTCAACGGCCCATCCACCGATTCCATGACAGACAAGAAACCAAAACGCCCCAGCAAGGGCAGGGTCTTCCAGTGCACGGGCTTCCCAAACTGCAACAAGTCCTTCACCCGCCTGGAACACCTCGCCAGGCACCGCCGAAAACACACGGGTGAACGGCCCTTCACCTGCCCCACTGCTCCAAAAACTTCTCCCGCTTGGACAACCTCAGGCAGCACAAGCAGACCGTCCACGCCTACGAAAACTACATCAAGAAGCGCTCCGAGGGCAAGGACGCGCCATCCCAGCAACTGAACCCTCCCATCCAGCCCCACAACCAAAACCACTCCCACCTGTCCGTGGCCCAGGGCCTCTACTCCACGCCCCACTTGGCCCACCCGCTGCGTCCCTTGTGCTGCCTCCCTCCCTGGGGCTGCCCTACGGCGTCTACTACCCATATCCTGGCCATGGCCTGGTGCCCCATCATCAACAACAACAACACCAACAACAACATCAACACGCACCTCCGCCTCCTCCCCACCACGCCCCTATGGGCCTCCGTGACCCGCCCAAGTTCAACCCCAAGACGCGGCCAAGGCCCCTTTCCTTGGTCCATGCCTTTTCCGACGACACCATGCTCACGTCCGAGCACGAACGCCTGCGTGGCCTTCCCCTGCTGAACCGCCGCTTCGGACCGCTCCTCCGGCTGCTACGTTTGCCCAGGCCGGCAGTCTAAACGTGCCTCCGTCTGGCTGGAATCTCCCTGCGCCGGGCTCCTCCAGATTCGCCTACCTTACGCCCATGATGGTCAGCCCGCTCTCGCCCTTGTTCCACCAGCTGTTTAACCAGGTGGCGGGAAAGAACAAGCTGACGGGCACCGCCTCGTCGCTGTCCCTGGATGCACAGCTGGAAACACAGCTGCTTCTGCCTCCGGCTCTACCGCCTGTTCGGCTCAAGGGGCTGTGGTTGAAGGACGTGTTGAACAAGGACGAGAAGCCCTCGCGGGTCGCCATCAACAGCTTGATAGAGGAGGAGAAGTGAATGTCCTAGAGATTGAGCTACTTAGAGATCTGGCTAATTGGAGCCACCCTAGAGATTTGGTGGCACCCCGGTTATGTGGCCAGCTTCGGAGGCGCCGTACTAGAAGCCCAGTTTGTGCCCAACCCAAACAAGACAAGTTGTATCCTGCGAGTGACCTTCCGATCGACCAGCACTGCCATCAGGGCCTGAAACCGCGCCACATGTTTTCCCCTCGCTGAATTGAAGCTTCCCCTTCCCCACCCATTGCCCTTCCTTCCCATGCTGAAGCTCAGCGCTGGATCAGATCCAACTCGGGCAGATCCACGGTGCTCGTGTTAATCTGCTGCCAGATCGATGCATTCGTCGTTTAGCTCACCCTGCTGTGTCTGAGCAAATTAGACCTCAAACGGTTCCGCTGCGCCTGTCCGCATAGTGCCTTATTTCAGCTGCGGCCGCGAAATTGGCGCTCTCCAGCCAGGCCCCATTTGAGAGCCTCAGCACAAACACCAGGCCCCAACAAATGGCATCTCCCCCTCCGAACCGGCGATCAGCAACAAACGGTTGAGCAAATTTTAAACCTTATTCACCCTCCGCTGTGCCCCTGGCGCTTCGGCAATGCTGATCCGCGAAATGTGTCCGCGCGATGCTGCCTAGTACATAATAATTAGACAGCGCTGCTCTGGGCCCCGGTGACGGACGTACATCACAGTGCGTCGCGGCGTCCGGGCACAGAGTCACAAAAGCATATTTGGGATCTTAACCATTTGCCGTGCTCAGACATGTGGGCCTCTTTTTGTGTTTTCATTTGAAGCCTGTCTCGGTTCTGTTGAAGCCTCTGCTATTTTGCGGGGCGCTAGCCGAGCAGCCTGCCAAGTTGGGCCGCACTCGTACCTGCTGCCAAGGGCAGGCTTATTTTTTCGCTCAAAAAGTAAGTCTTCGCGACGGAGGTGAAGCTGAGTGGCTGAGGCAGCCTCTGCGTCTGTTTCTATAACGTCTTGCCCAAGACCCTTGGACAATGGCTTGCACTTCTATGACTAAACAATGAGAAGGCCGCCGGAAATCAGCCCACTCTGTGAATGTCTTCGAACCTGAGCCGGGTGCCATTCTTAACTCATATCGTCGGGCCTCTGAAGCTCGTCGCCGCGTCGGTGCCTTGCCATTTCACCGCACCCCTCACCGTTTATTTACATTACTACCAAACGCATCATTCTTCCATACGCTGGGGCGCACCTTTACGCCACAAGCACCGCCTTATTCCCCCTATATGCTGAAGCATGCCTGGACTGACCGTGTCGCCGGTCCTCACGATCTTTATACACATGTACTATAATACCACGCCGTCCACGGGCCGCCTTAGCTGCCGCCTGCGAGCGACCGTTGCCAATTTCTCCACAATCATCAACTGCTGTTCTAGCCTCTGTACCTCTTTCCGGTCTACCACCTCCTCCAACGCCTGAACCATCGCTTGAACAATCCCGTATATCTTTTCGAGATTTGCCACGTACTGACCATACAATTTCCAGACCTCCGAATCCAACGCAAGCTTCTCTTCAAGCTTGTTATCCCGCAAATCAGCTATTTTTTCAATATTGTACTCACATATCATCTTCGTGAGCTGTGGGAGAACAACAATATGAATGAGTCGCTCGTAGTCGGTGTAAACTTTGTAGAGTTGCTTGTTCTGCTCAATCTTGATCTTCTGTAGGTCTGCAAGTGCCTTGTTGTCAATGAGAAGCTGCCGAAGTCGAGGATTTTCCACCTCAGAAAACGTCTCGTACTGAACTTGCGGCAAGTATTTCTTGTCTATTAGAGCACGCAAGGGGTCGTTTTCTTGTGGAACTGCATCTTCTTGTTTCAGTTCAAACGGTAGGGTGAGCTTCGTGTCTATGGATCTCGAGATGTTAGCGATGATTGCCTCGTTCTGCAGGATTTTCTCTGTCAATTCCACAACAAGCCGATTGATGGGACCATGATTTTCCATATTTAGTAGATATTTGTACGCTGACATGGTGTTCAGGTCTGGGTATAGAAGGATGTTGATCTACTGGTGGTATTAAGGCGCACTTGATGATGCTCGCCTGGGGTACAGATCTTGCCTATCGTTAGTGTATTTGTTACTTCAGTCTTCTCGTCACTCATACGGTATCATCAGCTCTCATTACTTTATCTGCTCTGTTGGCGCAGCAATTGTGCTTGCTTCCGCTCCTGCTTACCCTTTTTCATCGTCTGCTTCAATGCAACCAGGTCCAATGGGTCGAGAAGCTCAAACGAACAAAGCAACTCGTCCGATACGCTCATCACAGCGCCCCAATTGTCAAACTCTCCGCAGTAGTTTGGCGCACTGAACACTGTCACCAACGTACGGTCGTTGAAAAACTCGTATCCGTCCTCCACCACCATGTGTGCCCGGCACACCAAATCAAACCCAAACTTCTGCAAGAATTTGTTGATGGCGGCTTTGGAGAAAACGTAGGACACGCCTCGTTCGTTGTCTTCCCATTCGTTCATCGTGTCGGCTGGATCCGACCAGAGCAAGTCGTTGAGAAGCCCAAAGTCGGGCACGTCAGTCGGCCTGGCAATGTTTCTGATTTCTTCCATCGAATTGAGAACGGGCGAGAGACCGCCATGCACACAGAAGATCTTGCCAGCGACAATAGCAGCAATGGGCAAGGTGTTGAAAGTATCAATGAAAAGCTTCCATGTCTTGATGTTACACCGACGTTTGCACTCGTCGTAGAAACCATAAACACGAGTCACATTGGCGCACTCATGGTTTCCTCTGAGGAGGAAAAAGTTCTCTGGGTATTTGATCTTGTAGCAGAGAAGGAGAAGGATCGTCTCCAAGGACTGTTTACCTCTGTCCACGTAGTCACCCAAGAATAGATAATTTGTCAGTGGCGGGAAACCACACTTGGTGAAAACACGAATCAAGTCGAGATATTGGCCATGCACGTCGCCCACAACCTTGACCGGCGGGCTAAGCTCAAGTAAAGACGGTTGCAGTAAGAAAATCTCCCTTGCCTTGGAGCAGATAAGCTGAATCTCGTTATTCTTGAGACAAAGGTTTTTTGTACGCTTGCCTGAGTAGCCAGCGTCAAGAAGTCGCTGGATAAAGTCCTCGATCTCAAGTGGGTTCAGGCATTGAGGAGACTCCATGAGTTCCTCTGGATCTCTCGACGAGCCTCTTCTTGAAGGGGCGGTTCTGGCCAGTACAGACGATCTGGCAGATCTCTTGGAGCTGACCGAGATGGTGTCAGACTTGTCGCCTGGTGTATCGGAGTTGTTGCTGGGCCCTCCGGTGGCCTGAGGAGTGAGGCTGGCATTGGGGGTCTGGAATGTGGAGTTTGTGGGCAGCTTCGAAAGCAGCGGGTCGTCGGCGTTGCTGTTCAGGCGAGGGAGCGAGAGATTGCCGGAGAATTCGGTGTCGTTTGTATTTCTCCGGATCAAAATGGGCAGTTTGGGCTCCGGGGTCTGCATCAGCGGATGAAGGAGAGCATCGTCGTCGTCCTCATCATCGTCAGCTATAGCATACTCTTCAGCATCGCCATTGGCTATGCCATCAGGCCTCGGTAGCGAGGTAGTGGAGCCTTTTCGGCTGCTCATCCGGGGCAGGTCGTCTTTGCTACCAGAAAGGCGGGACCGGATCGACCGGTTGGACCGCTGCAGCACACCGGTGTCGGACCGGGAAAGAGGAAGACCATTTTTTGATTTCGATGGCGAATTGCCCATGCCGTTTGGGCTGTCTAGGTGTGTTCTTTTGGACCTGTGGTTGGCCTTGTGCTATGCCACGGTTTCCTTAGCAGTACCTGGGCGGTTCCTGGACGGTAGTGTGAATTGACAAGCCTTTGCTGGAAGACGCTACTTTTGATTCGTGAAGCTCAAGTGGTACTTCTTTTTAAAACGTGTAGCTGTGGCTGTTGCTGTCCTATCTGAGACGCCTAAGAATGTTTGACTAGCGGAGCGAAAGGAACAGGTAAAGGTGACGGCGGCTCTGTGAAGGAAAATTTGTAGGCTGTCGTCCTGCTGCCGTTTTGGGGATCAGGTGCAAAGGAGCTAAGGGTGGTTTGTGAGCTGGAGATGGGAGGTGAGTAGCGAGTCTAGATTGGGCGGGCCGCGCACGACCAGCAAGTCCCTGGCACCCCAGGTCAATTGTGCTGAGGGCCGACTTTAGAGGAATTTAGATATTCTTACTTTAGAAGGGTGTCAATTGAAAGGCGTTGTGGTGCTTTGGTGGACTTTTCAGTTTCAACTGGAAGTGAGCTTTGGACGGTGGTGTTGTGTGAAAGAGCCATTGGCGCCGCTCAATGGCCAATTTACGTTTGTGAGAAAGTAAGGGTTTCGTGCCTCAAGAGAGTTGATTCTACCGGGTGAAAAGGAATGGTCCAGGTTGCGTGCCGTTGGGGGCTGAGGGGCTATGGAAGAAACAGTTGCGAAAAACCGCAGAGTGGTACGACATCCAGGGTGACCACGATAAGGAAAGCATTGATTTCCGAAAGGAAATGAAAGTGCACTTTTGCAAATGCTGCTTGTGTTTGCTGTTGGGTATTGTTTTTCATCCTGGTCTCCTGTTTGGTAGGTAATCACGGCACACATTATGCGGAGGTCCCTGGGCGGAGAGGGCAGCATTGCTGCTGCGAAGCATTGGAGTCTCTACAGATATCGGCGATTCAGAGAAGTGGAGTTTGGCCGGACGGTTATTTAAAGTTTTTGGAAAGCGGGTTACGAGGTTTGGTGTTTTTTGGTATTTTGGTATTTTCCACCTGGGTGGGTGGGTGCGATAAGGTGAAATTTCGGCGGGTCGTTTAGATCGATCTCCGAAGGGACCGACCAGAGCCGACAAGCAGAGGCATAGAATCGGCGCAACGAGATATCAATATAGCATCGGCGATGGCAGTGAAAAATTATTGCACGGACGCTTTCAATGTAGTAAATAAAAAATCCAAATTAGTTTGTTTCAATTATTCAGTTCCTTTGGCCTGGTTCCCGGCGTGGGTGGAGGTTTATGGAGATGCGCATCGCGCTTTGATATAACCTACTACCCCAGCTTACTCCATGCTTCAACGCACACTTCTACCGTGCCAAAGGAGACTTTTCCACAGCGTCCGTCCCCTCTTCAACAAAAACCCGCTCATTCACGAAAACGGACTCTACTACGGCAAATTCACCAAGGAGGAGTACGACAAGGCCAAGCAGTTCGTCACCACCCAGTACGAAAAGCTCGAGAAAGATATCAAGGGCACAGAGCATGTGCGTGAAAAGGTGGGAAAAATGCCCCAGTTTCCTTCTCGTGGGCCCGCCAGGGGCGTGGCCAACTTGCTGGATTTCTTCCAGGAGATGATCAAAACGACAGGTCCCATTCCTCTCTCAGCTTATATGAGACAGTGTCTTACCCACCCAGAGTTTGGCTACTACACCACAAGGAACCCATTGGATGCTCTAGGAGGCGATTTTATCACGTCGCCGGAGATTCTGTCCGTGTTTGGCGAAATGATTGGAATCTGGCTATACTCAGTGTGGACCAGTCAGGGCTCGCCTAAAAAGATCAGAATCGTCGAGTTCGGCCCGGGAAAGGGCACCCTCATGCACGACGTGGTCATTGTGTTCAACAAGTTCGTTGCCAAATCGGCGGCGGCTGTTGACATCGAGGTTGTCATGGTCGAAGCCTCTCACGTTCTCCGTAAAGAGCAGCACAAGCTTTTGTGCAATGATAACACCTACGAGACGACATCCGAAGGCTACAACACGTCAACTACAAAATGGAACAACAAGGTGACGTGGGTCGACACCGAAAAGGACATCGTCCAGGCCTCAGACACCGCCAATTACGTCTTGGCTCATGAATTTTTTGATGCTTTGCCAATAAAGTCGTTTACAAAAACGGAGCACGGCTGGAGAGAACACGTCGTAGAACACACCCTGGCGGTGTTAAACACTCAACCCAAATTGGAGGGTTCTAGTCCAGTGCAGAGCGAGGAAAACGAAGAGCTCAACACAGACTTCCACCTCACTGTATCGCCAAAAGAAACACCCTCGTCGGCCATTCCTACCTTGAGCCTGCGCTACAGAGACTTGCCTGAAGGTCTGCGTGTGGAGATCTGTCCAGACGCTGAGCTCTACTTATCGCACATTTGCAATTTGGTAAACGGCTATAGCGACGGTCTGGCTGGAGCAGCATTGATCATTGACTACGGCCCGGCTGACGAGGTACCTTCCAACTCCTTGAGGGGTATCTATCAACACAAGTTTGTGTCTCCGTTCTATAAGCCTGGCGATGTAGATCTTTCCATCGACGTTGACTTTGCCAATCTCAAGGACTTGGCTGAACCGCACCTTTCTGTATATGGGCCAGTTGAGCAAGGTGACTGGCTCCACGAAATCGGAGTGGGCTACCGATTTGACCAGCTTATCAAAGCTGCGAACCTGATGGCCAACAAGGAGCTGATTTACGACTCTTACATTCGGTTGACGTCTAAAGATGAAAAAGGCATGGGCAAAATCTACAAGTTTTTGGGTCTTTTGCCCCACAAGTCCACGAAGCCCATTGGATTTGGTATGTAGGCGACTCCGAGCATGGACTGGCTGCGAAATCGGACTCGGACTTGACGCACCCGCCACGTCAAGGCATCAAACGGTTTTTCCAGGAACTGACTGTTACTGAATAGTTTCAAAAGATTTGGTCGGCTTTTCTTATTGCACTGGTCCTTGGGCCACGAGTCGAGATCCCAAACTCGCCATCCACGCCACACATCATATTCACACAAGGCTCTTCGAAGCAATGTGACCCAAATTGAATACCCAAATTTCACAAAGTACAAGCTTTTTCTCTCCAAATTGTCCGATACGGCCTCGGCATGGGAGTCAGTGGACCGTTGTGTATCGTGCAGTACAAGTGACTCTGAGCAAGCCGATCATGGAAACTTCCTATACCCTCCTTTCTTCTTCACCACACCATGATTTCCAGAGCTCTTCGTTTACCACGTGTTGCTGTTTTCCAGCAGCTGCGCTTTGCCTCGAACCTATTCAACGACCACACGCCAGCGCCTCCCAGATTGCCCAAAGAGCAGCAGGAAGAGTTTGAGCTGCTTCAGAAGATGGCCAACTCCCAAGCTGCCATCGACGAATACAACAGGCAAATCGAGGAGAGTGGAAGCGCCAGCAGTGATATTTCTGGCTCTCAGACAGACGTGGGCGTTCAGACCCAGTATTTCAAGACGATTCCTGAATTCGAGGGCGACAGAAACCCAGAAACAGGCGAAGTTGGCGGGCCCAAGCAGGACCCCTTGAGACACAACGACTGGTCGTTCAACGGCCGTGTCACTGATTTTTAAGCTGCCGAAATGGGTGCTTTGGATTGAAGAAGCGGCATAGTTGGTGCGGCTGAAATTAGGTATAATGGAACATAGTCATGAGAGTGTTGTAGAGCCCAGCCGGGTTGCGTAGATGCAAACTGATCGAGGAGAATTGAAGCTTGTGAATTTCATTGAAAGCACTTTAGTTGTAAGGAGGGTAGTCTCAGGTTGCCTGTGTTTCGCGATTCATGGTGGTAGTGAGCACCTGGGTGCAAAATGTCATGAAAAGCAAAAGGTCGTAACTTTTTTTTGGAATGATTAGAAGAATAAGTTTTCCATATTCGTCGCCTCCATATGACTACGTCCATCTCGATGGAGTTGATCTCCTAGTGCTAATGAAGCAATAACACAAAAATATTGTGTGCTGCACCGGGGCTAATTTCTCACTACGGGTCCACGCATTATCCTACCATCACAGTATCCGATAAAGCAATAACGGATTACAAATCATAATAATAATTTCGCCAGCAGATGTAGGTCTATCTCTAAGTAGCACTGTGGCGCGATGGAGACGGATGATGGGGGCAGACTCTGCATTACCAAAAACCGTACAAAGTTGGATTGCCACCGTCATTCGCGTGGACTTAAATGATACACAAAGTGGGAAAAATTCTAGAGTTGTTATTTCGAGAGGCCAAAGTTGGATATTGACTCAACACGATTCCAGTTATACTGAGGAGATACTTCCTCCCTTTACGGAAATCCTCCGTTCCGCCGTACCTTACGGCTCTCGGACAGGATTCCTGACAAACACGCATACACGGCCCCCGTATATCACCCTAATCGGTTTCAAGCCGAAAATAGTCATCCTGCATACAAATTAGCGATGGCAGCCACATGCCAGAATCTTACTCAACGTCTTTTTTTTTTTCGCTTCGAATCACCGCCTCTGCAGCGAGGCTCGAGGTATCCTAATGACGTGCGCAATCAAGCAAGCAAAATGACAGCTTGACACATTCAGAAATTGTTAGGTTTGGGAAAAGCTCATTCATATTTAAGAAATGTGGCTTCAATTTGGCTTTTATTCTCAGCCTGTCAAACCGCAGCCTCACCTATAGCGTAAGCAGGTGCTGCACGGTATGTGAGCTAGCACGGAGAATATCCCGATTGGGAGTTTTTCCGACATAATTATGAACGCCGTGCACATTTGCTGCGATGATTGATAATCAACAGCATCCCTTCCTTGACGATTCTTCCTCTATAAATTGCTTTCTCTTTCCTGTTCTTGGTCAAACAACTCATGTTTTTTTACAAATTTGTCCGTGAGAGTTTTTTCGGCAGATCCATCTATCACCTCTCTGGCAGGAAGGTCTTTAACTACCCAGAGGAGCACCCTGACTATGTTATCCCTTCGAGATACCTAGGTAAGGGTGATTCCACGATAGAAAGCTTCGTGGGTGAGACTAATGAGGAAAGCAACGAAGAATTGCCATCGGACTCGTCATCGCAAACAACCAAAGCTGATTATATCATTGTGGACTGGGAAGGCGAAGATGATCCAGAAAATCCATATAACTGGCCCTTGAAATACAAGATAATTTTCATTGCCCAGATTATGCTTCTTACTGCATTCGTTTACATGGCCTCCGCCATCTACACACCTGGTGTGGAGGAGATCATGGAGGATTTGGGTGTGGGACAAGTTGTGGCAACTCTACCATTGACCCTTTTCGTGATTGGATATGCCATTGGACCCATGGTGTTCTCCCCACTTTCCGAGAACGCCATCTTTGGCAGAGCATCCATTTACATTGTCACATTATTTATTTTCTTCATCCTTCAGATCCCACCGCCCTTGTCAAGAACATTGCTGGATTGTGCATCTTGCGTTTTATTGCAGGCTTCTTTGCCAGTCCATGTTTGTCCACAGGTGGTGCCTCTGTTGGTGACGTTATCACCTTGCCTTATATACCAGTGGGCATCTCTTGTTGGTCCATTGCTGCTGTTTGTGCGCCTTCAGCCGGTCCATTGTTTGGTGCCATCTTGACAGTGAAGGCTAACTACCACTGGACATTTTGGTTCGTGTGCATCACTTCTGGCGCATCTTTTATCGTTCTTGGCTGGTTGCTTCCAGAATCCTACTCCAAGACCATTTTGTACAGAAAGGCAGAGAGACTCAGAGCTCTCACTGGCAACGACAGAATCGTGAGTGAGGGGCATCTTGAAAACGCCAAATTTAGCACCAACGAAATGCTCGTCGAGACCATCTGGCGTCCTATTGAGGTCATGATCTTTGAGCCTGTCGTGTTGCTCATCAACATTTACATCGGTTTGATTTACTCTGTCATGTACTTGTGGTTCGAGGCCTTCCCCATCGTGTTTGTGGAGGTGAAAGGATTCACTCTTATTGAAATGGGAGTTGCCTACTTGTGTATTTTGGTTGGTATCCTAGTCGCAGCAGCTATCTACATTCCTACCATCTACTTCAGGGTGACCAAAAAAATGCTTCGTAACGAGCAGGTTGCTCCTGAAGTATTTATTCCAGTCGCTATTGTGGGTAGTGTGCTCATGCCTATTGGTATCTTTATTTTCGGCTGGACTGCTGCCGAAGACCTTCACTGGATTGGTCCACTCATCGGTGCTGCCGTTTTCGCTGCCGGCGCTTTTATTTGTTTCCAGACCTTGTTCAACTATCTTAGTATGTCTTTCTGGAGATTCTTGGCTTCCGTGTTTGCTGGTAATGCTTTGTTCAGAAGTATGATGGCCGGTGCTTTCCCATTATTCGGCAGAGCACTTTTCCTCAACTTGGCTACAAACAGATTCGCTGTTGGTTGGGGCTCCTCTGTCTTGGGATTCATTTGTGTGGGCATGATTGCGATTCCTGTCTTGTTCTACCTCAACGGTCCTAAGTTGAGAGCCAGATCCAAGTACGCTGGTGCTGGCTAAAACAAGCCAATTAGTGTAACGATGCGACGTCAACTTAATAGAATTTATAAATGGATAGAAAAGGGAACTAACTTGTAGATTATGGTTATCTTCGAAACAAACATTTCAGTTCAAACAATCAATCTTTTAGTTTGATTATGATGTGATCTAGCCGTAAGGACTGTATCTTTTTGGATTCTAAGCGAACGACATAGACCTTAGACTGAGACAATAAGGTTTTCGCAGCCAATATGTCGCGCGAATGAGACATTCACATTGTGGAAGAACTAAGAATAGTTTACTAATTTTTTTGATTTATAATTGCCTTTAATCAAGCATATGATAGAACAACACATCGCGAGGGACCACATAATTTCGACAGTTAATGGCTTGGTGTTCTCTAAGACGGTTTCAGCATGAGCCCCTTGATTATGTTAAGGTTCATATATTTCATTCGCACAAGCTTGGGTATCAGTATCCGTGCAATAGTTCAAAAGGGAAATTTGAAAATAGACTTTTGACCCCCTTCTCACGAATCACAATTATTTCAGCCTCTTTCACTCTCAGAAAGACAAAGCCCAAGAGAAGTTAGTCTAATTACACTTTCCTCTATAAAACCTGCTTCACTCGCATCAAAGACAATAAGTCGATTTGCCTGCTTGACACTGAAACACCCGTACACCAAACAACAGCCTCTTTGGAGATCTCTTCTCATGCTGTACTGATCATGGACTTTGATCCGTTATCGCTATTCACACCTGGGGTGTCATCCATCACGGTAGACGTGGCGGTGCTGGAGCAGTCTGTCGAGAATCTAGACACCGTCAAGATTGAAAATTTCGAAACTTCAAAGAATATCATCGCTCTGCTGCTTTCCAATGAAGACAATGATCTAGTGCCGTTGCACATTCACGACTTGCCTTTGCTTCGTATGAAGCCCGCTTTTGTCGTTCTTCACGTGTTTTTAAAGCTTCTAGCGCCCTTGACTGTGCACAATTTTGATCCTCCCGCAGAAACCGATAAGGATGCCAATGCGACATTTGATGAAAAACTGATAAGCCCTCAAGAGGCCAAAGAAGCTTTAGAGTGGCTAAACGGTAAGGGAAGATTCTCAACATCCGATCTGCTTGCGTCAGTGGCGACTCTTGCCGATCTGCTAAGAAAATCATTTGCAGCGCAGTACAATGGATGGTTGACCAGGCTCATTTCGTCTGATTTGGACTGGCTCAGCGAGGAAGATCAAGACAGCATAAAGACGCTAGCGGCACTACGACTTGCTGAGAATTGTGGCAGAACCGCTCAGCCTGAATTCATCAGACACATAGAGATACCAGGGCTTTCAAAAACAATGTACTTGAAGGAACCATCGCTTACTTCTGATAAGCTCGGACTCAAGACTTGGGGATCACTGTTTATTCTAGGCAGACGGTTGGCTCAGAACCTGGCATATTTGAAGGGCACAGTGTTGGAGCTAGGTTCAGGCACTGGCTTGGTAGGTATGGTTGCAGGAGTATTGGGTTTTCCAACAGTACTCACTGATTTGCCTGATATCGTTCCCAATCTCACAGACAATGTGGAGCTCAATAATATCAATGCAACGGTGGACAGTCTAGATTGGAGTAACCCCAAAAGTTACTTGGACAAGCACAACCTGCCCCGTTACACGACTATCATTTTATCTGATCCGCTCTACTCGTCAAAACACCCAGTGTGGATCGTCAGCATGATAAACACTTTCTTGGAGGAGTCAGAAGATGCTCGAGTTCTTCTCCAGGTACCCATAAGAAAGACGTTTGAAAACGAAAGGGCCACATTGTGGCACCTTCTAGATATCAATGGCTACACTGTTCAAGAAGAGGGTACCGAAACTGGATACGACGACTTCGGCGAGACCACATTCTTGTTCAAGAGGCTTCATAGAAAAATATGAATATCTAAACAGTCTATCATAAGTAGTCTTTTAACTTTCTCAAGCGGGTAACAGCCTCCTCTAGCAAAGAGTCATCTTTGCACACGGCAAAACGAACAGAGTTTTCCAAAGGATTGTTCACTCTGTGCTCTTGCACGAGGAACTCTGTTGGAGGAATGCCCACAACACCGATCTCCTTGATGAGCCAGTAAACCAACTTGTAGTCTTTTGTGCTACGACCCAGAATGTCTTCGGGATATTGGTAGTCATCTGGAATTTTGAGCTTGGCAAGGTTAACCAAAAGGAAATAGCCACCGTCAGCGGCAGTGTAGGGCAAGCCGAGCTCCTCAAACACCTTCACAAATATCTTGTACTTTTCAGCATACTCCTTACGAGTATTCTCAAAATAATTGTTCTTGTTGGCGGCAGTGAATGCCTCAGAAACAGCCTGCTGCAACGGAGCAGGCACCGAAAAGCAGATACGGGTATGCGCTGAAGTGACATATTTGATCAATTCAGAAGGCCCGTGGACCCAGCCCACACGCCAACCTGTAGCAGCAAAGGATTTGCCTGCTGAACCCACAGTCAATGTTCTTTCTGCCAATTCAGGCAAAGTCGAAAGCGTTGCTGGGCGAGGAAACTTTGGCAAATAGTACAAATTCTCATAAACCTCGTCGGAAAGGAGAATAAGGTTGTGTTTGATGGCCAATTGGCCGATTCTGTGGAGCTCCTTCTCGGTGAACACCTTACCAATAGGGTTGTGAGGAGTATTGATGACGATGATTTTGGTCTTTGGGGTAATGGCAGCTTCAAGGCCCTCCCAATCAACCTCCCACTCATCACCAGTTGTGTTCCTTTCGGCAAATTTCTCGGGGCTCTTCAAAGAAACGTACTTGACCTTAGCACCGGTCATTTCGATGTTTGGAATATACTGATCAAAGAAAGGCTCGAACACGACAACTTCATCACCGCGAGTCAAGAAGCCAAAGAAGACAGCAAACATGCCCTCGTTGGCACCCGTGGTCACCAAAACCTCGCTGGGATCCACCTTTCTGCCCAATTCCTTGGTGTAAAGTTCACTCAACAGTTTCACCAAATTGGGGTTTCCTCTTGCTGGAGCATACTGGTTGAACTGTGGCTTCGTCAAAGCATGATGGACAGACTCAATGGCAAAATCAGGAGGGTTGTAGGAGAAGAAACCCTGACCTAAGTTGACAACGGATTTCCCCAGCTGTTCCTGAGCAGCTGCAGCCGTTTCATTGATCAAGGACCACACATCTTTACGATTTGGGTTCTGCTCAAAGTAAGGATTATGTAAAGCAGCAGGGCCAGCAGCAGTTGTCATTTTTCGGGTTTTGTTGAAAAAAGAAGGAAGTCGGAGCATTTGACTGTGGCTCTTGCGATAATATTTATACACTCCACACGGAGCGGCTCTATCACCGGCCCAACAAGCGGCCTTAGCCGCATTAGTTTGGGTCAGGGTATTTTAAATAGAGAAGATCTAAAAAGCTTTTCGGAAAGAAACAAAGATCAAGATTTTGGCAGGATGTTGTATAAGACGGGCTTTGCTTGACGGTTAGTATTGGTTATCTTTGACAGATAATGTCGTTACTTCTGTGGTGAATGCGAAATCGAATTGCACCACAATTGAAAAGTTCACGAAGGAACCATCATTCCAAGATTCTGGCTAGTAATCGCTATGTAGTTGATACCATGCTGAAAGTTGGTAAAAGGCTGGTTTGAAGGTCCAACTTTTTTCCTGACTTGAGTGACCAGATGACTGGGTGAAATAGCAGTAGTACCTCATCCAGATAATTTGAGATTAGGCTTATGTGCTACCCTTTAAAGACTTCTCGTCTAGTCGTCTTATCATGGTTTACGCCTTGAGACTTAAAGTGACTATCTGCTTCGGACTAGGTCAGCTGTGACTCTAAGATCAGAAATCACCAGTGTATTGATTCCTCAACCTACGATAAAGGAATGATTCGGGGCCAATTTTCCCTCTATTAAACAAATAAGAAGGATAAAAGAAGGTTAAAAATGTGATGAAAATTAGAAACTCAATCTGCTGGTCTGTGAGAATGGCTGCAAATCAACGGTCTAGCGCACATTTTCTAAGAGTTAAAGGCTATGAGAGCAAGCTGTTCGCAGTGCTCCTACTTTGCAGAACAATCCTTCATTGTTCTTAGGAAGGATTGTTCTTAGTTTTTTTACTCAAAATTCCTTAACCAAGGAATTGACTCACCATTATGTATCTGAAGCATCCAACTGCACGTGCGATGATGGTAAGGAGCGTATCACGATGAGTCTCACAAGATTATCTATTCACCCTTGAAACACCAGTTTGCGTCATTCAAAGGCTTAAACATAGTCAAAGCGGGTTGTTAGAAGCTCTTCTAGTTCGCTAGTTACGCGAAGAGAGATCGTGAGATTTGGACACAACCAAACGCCACAACTTGCCTGATATACAGTAAGGGTGTTAAAGAGATTATTTAAGACCTCCAAAACCCTCAAATCTTTTTCATTCTTTAGTGATTTCACGAGAAAATTAATTGTGAAAAAATTGGTAGATAGAAGCAGGAGCATAGCTATATGCAGGCAGATTGGATAATTGACTTTAGCTGCATACAAAAAACCAGCTGTTTTTGACGATCAAGGACCGCCTGCGTGGCGTAATGGTTAGCGCATTTGACTTCTAATCAAAAGATTCCGGGTTCGAGTCCCGGCGTGGGTTCTTTTTTAGCTTCGCTAACTTTTTTGATATTACTATCTGCTGAGCTGGTAGTATTTTTATTAAAGCATTTTCTTCAACATTGCTAGCCTTTTGATGACCAGCATGCTACCCTCGAAGAGTGAAGATGTACGGGTGTGCATTTACCCTACTCATGAAAATTCTACTATACAAACCCATCGTCAGAAATACAGATATTCGAATGTCCTTAATTAGACCGTTGATCGGCAAGACTCCGCTTCTTCAACGTAACGCGGCTCACCTTTTGACGCCGAAGGCGCTTGTTGCCTCCAGATGCCTTTCCTTGAAGCCAAACTTCTCCAAATTTAAGCTCAAGAAGGACCCACCAGGCAATATTGTTGGAACTGTCAACGATGCTTACAAGTTCCCTGAGCCAGATCACTACCACGGTAGCAACCACTGGACATATGACAGATTGCTTGCAATGGGTCTTGTGCCCTTGACTGCATTTCCATTCGTAATGGGCGTGGAGTTTCCTATGGTGGATTCGATATTTTGCTTGACCGTACTCCTTCATTCATACGCCGGTTTCAAGTCTTGCATTATTGACTATATCCCAGAAAGGGTATATGGATTCTGGCACCGTGCGGCAATGAAGTTGCTTACTCTAGGAACGGCAGTTTCATTATACGGCATTTACATTCTCGAGACCACCGAGAACGGTCTCTTTGACTTAGTGTCGAAGATTTATGGCTCTTAGCCTTGCATGCATGTAGATAGTGTTTAGATCCAATAGTATAGATCCAGGATCACAGATCCAGATCCAGACTTGTGGAAGCTGGCTGCGTAGGTGATGACGAATCCGATCTTTCCGGAGATCGTGATTGTGGTTTCAGCGACTCTCGAAGGGGACTAAGAAGCTGATTATCTATCTTTTGTCTCTTCGAAGGCAGGGTATCCTCCTTCTCTTTTTGATGCGCCCACGGAAGCGAAATGTAGGTCACATCTCTCGGAAGATCGTATTCCTCATATTGTGAAGGAGTGGCCTTGTTGGGAACTGTGTCCTCCTCTATTTTCCCATCCGGTTCTTTCTGATGCACACCATTCTCGTTCTCCAAATGATGTGTTTCTTTTGACAGAACCATAATTGTTCTTGAAAATGCTGCCAAGTACCGCTCAGCCAGCTGCACTGTAGCGAGTGAATAGCCGGATTTCTCAGGTTCTAAAACCAACTCAGCTAGTCTGTATATCGTAAACGGCGCCCCATCCTTGAATTGACCCTCGAGGTGTTTTCTAATTTTGTCACACCACCCAGAGATAGTATCAACATCTTTGGCTGTAGGGCCGCTGGCATTGGTAGTCTGGGCTTGATGCACCGCTGCTTTCACTTGATCGATTCTATCTAGAAGCAGCGGGAGCACCGATTGGACCCAGGTATCATCATCATTCAAGACACCTTTTTGAAGGGTGTTTCTAGGGCCTCATATAGTTGGGTCTCGACTGGTGGCACGACTAGACGAACCATAGCTGGACGCTAACGGTTATTGTGGAGTTCAAGCAGTGTTGATAATGCGAGGAGGTACGGGTGTGTTACGGTACTATTGTGAGCTTTATGGAATAGATAAGAGAGGTCAGGCGATTTTTGACGGCTAAATAGATAGCAATCGACGAGTCCGGCTAAATAGATAGCAATCGACGAGTCGTTTGACAAAGCCAATTGGTTAAACGACATGATACTGTTCCCTTATAGGTAGTATTTCACTTGGTACAAAGGTTTCTATTGGAAGGGCCATTTCGATAAGCGGAGGATGCCATAAGTATACCTCACCCAAGGCATTCATTCAAATACCGAAAATGGTCCTTCTAATAGTAAATGATGATTGTATGAAGTCCTGAATTCATTTCATTCACAATATTGGTCGTACACTACAGTTGTACTGAATTTCGCAGCCAACTGATGAACTAGCTCTTGCGGACTACACATCCTCAATCACACCCTAGGATCTTTACCTTAACATAAGAAACGTAAAAAGCTCGAATTCTTTAGAATTTTTAATAGAGAAACCTGAGGAGGCTCACGTCTGGAAAAAGGCTAGGCAGAACACTGTAACATCCGTGCACCATGTTCTGGCATAAAAAAAATTCAGTGAGACTACTACATCTTCAACATGAGCTTCTTCAGAGCAGTAGCTCGCCTGGCCCGCGTGGCCGTGCCTAGAAACAGGCTTCTGCATATACCCGTCAACCAGCTTCGATTCAACTCTTCCATACAACAAAACGCATCTCCAGCGAGCTTGACTACCCAGATCCTTGGACACGAAAAAGACAAGATCACCGAGGAGGACTTGGACGAGTGGTTGAGTGCCATCAGAACCTTGAAGCAAGGTGATAAGAAACCCGAGACGGAAACTGAGATTTACCTCGATGAGTTCTTGAAGCCAGAGCAGTTCTTGAACGAGAAGTTTGAACCCACAGTGGCTCAGCTAGCTGAGGTCGAAAGATTCAAGGCAGCACCTGTGCCTCTCAAGGAAGATCCCACAGTGGAGCATTTTGTTAACGTGATCATGAGGCACGGTAAGAAGACTAGAGCTCGTACGATCGTGTCTAGGGCATTCTATCTTGTCTCTTTGAGAACCGGTCAGGACCCAGTGAGAGTGTTTTACGAGGCTTTGGAGAGACTCGGGCCTTTGTTTGACACTCGTACAGAGAAGACTGGTTTTGCCAAAAACAGAATCGTGCCTATTGCGTTGGACAAGCGCCAAAGAAACAGATACGCCATGAACTGGATCTTGGAAGGCTCGAACAACAAAAAGTCACCTGCATTGTCCGTGCGTTTGGCCGAAGAAATAATCAATGCTTTTGAGGGTCGCTCCTCAGGTTACGACAAGAAGGCCAGGATGCACAAAGAGGCCATCACACAGAGATCATACCTCAGAACATAGCTTGTACATAATAGAAACGATAACGGAGGAATAAGCGTAGAGGTTGATTTGAGTAAAGTAAGGTATGCATGGTAGAGGCACCGGTATACCTACTTGCGGTCTTCGGGTATTTTACATTCAAGAAAGCAACTCGAGTTTTTTACGACACTGCAATGACGAATAATTTTGCAAATAATAGATAATTACGGTTGAGCCGGTCTCTGCCGAAACACCAATCTTACCTTTTGAGCATATCTCATTTTGGCTGCGAAATGTGTTTGTGATCCACCACAGTGCCATCTTTTTCCATGCCCACAATCCCCGAAACCTATAAAAGGATTCGCTACAAGGTCAATTTCTTTATAGTTGACACAAAGCTGAAATGGTACCTGACGTCCAGAAATCCACGGCTCATTCAGTCCAAGTTCCAGGGTCAGACTCTCATCAGCTTGAGGGTGCATCCACACGATAAGTATCTCGTGAAGAAAGGAGAATTTCTCTCCTTGGAGAAAAAGCAGCCTGATTATTTTAGCTGGGGCAGTCTTGTGGATTTGTATTGCCAAGAGGCAGTGGAGAATATGTCTTTCCCACCTCCCGAGGAAGAGATACAAGAAGAACCCAAGGGTTGCGAGCAGCCTAAGATCCAGTCGGTGGATGTTGGAAACAAGCGTATTTCAAAAATTACTAGAGCATCCAATTTCATCAAAAGCTTTCAAAGATCGAAACCAGAAGCAGGCAAGGACACAGAGTCGCCTGGCCCTGGACTCAGAAGAAGGATATTGTACAGCCGTTTATTCAGACGGAGGCACGATAATTCTTCCAATGAGGCGTCGCCCTCCAACAAATCTTCCGATTCATATCCTCGGGTATGGCACAGGATACTTAACGATGTTTCGCTTTCTGCTGCACAAGTCTCCACCGGCACTGCTCCTACTTCCAGAAGCGATTATGACAATTTGAGTAGTGACTTGACGGAAGGAAGAAGACGTGTGACTGATGTTTCTTTGAGATAGAAGCTAAGTATGAAGTTATGAAAGATTTACTGGAAGCATGTATCTGTAGGTTGTAATTGCGATCTTTTGAGGATCTATGCCCATTTTCGAGGATGCGTGAATTGAGAGACATAGAAGCCCCGGGAGTAAAATGTCTAGTAATTTGAGGCATCAACAGAACTTCGGGTGAAACCTGGGGAGGATTCATTTTTACAACTAGTCGTTGGGAAGAAATGCTGCAAACGCATCTGCAGAGCACTGGCCACCAGTCATTGATGGCTGAAGATTGAGCATCAAAGAACGAGCTGGCACTAAAACGCCTTACTCCAATCTCGGAAAAACTCACCTAGCTAGTCCAATTCCTTGGCCTGATGCTCTATCCTACATCTTCTGGTGTCACCATGCGCATACCCTACTAAAGACAAAACTAACAAAGCAACTCAAATCCCTAAAGTCACCTGAAAAACCAAAGCATCATCAGAAATCAAAAGAAAACGTCTCCCCGTTTGTCCCATCCATACCCCCACACCAACACCTCCCGATCCACTATCTAGTCTCACCAGCCTGCCAACGTTTTTTCGCAGCCAGTCAAACATCGCATATTACACACAGCGATTTTTCACCACACCCAGTAGCGTAAACAAAACAAAACATCTTCTCCGAAACCCATCAAACCTCAAAACCACAAAACAATATAAATATCCCGAGCCACTAGCCCCCATATCCACCCCCAATACCACAAATACGTCCCATTGGACCCACCCACCTCTACCTAGACTGTGCTGAGCATCCTGCATGCCCATTCCCTCAACCCTCATTGGCCGCGATCTTTTCAACTCAACCAACAACTACACTTCTTCATGATCCGTGGATTCCGCTCAGTAGCTGCCCGCCGTCTCGTGAGCACGGCCAACGCGCCCACCAAGTTCACCACCTTGGCTTCTGGTGTCACCGTTGCCACCGAAACAAACCCAAACGCCCCATCCTCCACTGTGGGTGTCTACTTTGCTGGTGGTTCCAGAGCTGAGACTCCTTACAACAACGGTGTGGGTGCTTTGACCACCCGTACCTTGGCTCAGGGTCTTGACCAGGGCGTGCTTTTGCTGGCCACCAACACCAAGGAGGCCAACGCTTTTGTGGCCCAGACCACCAATGCCAACGTGAATGCTGCTGCCTCTGCCTTGTCCAAGCTTGTGGTCAACAGAGAGGAGTTGATCGAGAAGGCCGACTTCACCAGGGCCAAGGCCGCCTTGCGTGCCGACATTGACGCCTTGGAGGCCAACCCCTCCGAGATGGTCTTGGAGCACTTGGACGCCTCTGCTTTCCAGGGCTATTCTCTCGGTTTGCCCACCTTGGGTACCAACGACTCCGTCCCTGACATCGAGAAGACCGACTCTCTCCGTTTCTTGGACAAGCACTTGGTTGGCTCCAACACCGTGATCGCCGCTTCTGGTAACTTTGACCACGATGCTTTGGTGGAGACCTTGGACAAGGAGTTCAAGCTCCAGGACGGCCCCAAGCCCACCAGAGCCCCTGCTTCCTTCTTGGGCTCTGAGGTCAGAATGAGAGACGACACCATCCCTAAGGCCTACATCTCCATTGCCGCCCAGGGTGAGGGTCTCTCTTCTCCAGCCTACTTTGTCGCCAAGGTCGGTGCTGCTGTGTTCGGCTCTTTCGATCAAGACAAGGCCACCGCTAAGTTCACATCGCCCAAGTTGGCCTCCATCGTCCAGGACTACCACATTGTCGACAAGTACACCCACTTCTCTCGTTCCTACTCCGACACCGGTTTGTGGGGTTTCAACGCCGAGATCTCCAACCTTGGCCAGGTTGACGACTTTGTCCACTTTGCCTTGAAACAGTGGAACAGATTGTCCGTCTCTGTCACCGATGCCGAGATTGCCCGTGCCAAGGCCCAGGTCAAGACCGAGCTTTTGGCTACTCTTAACTCCCCTACTTCTGTGGTGCACGACATTGCGTCTAAGGTGTTGTTGAACGGCTACAGAGCCTCGATCTCTCAGTCCTTGGAGGCCATTGACGCCATCTCGAACTCTGATGTCCGTGCTTGGGCCAGTGCCGCCTTGTGGGACAAGGACATTGTCATCTCCGGTACCGGTTCGATCGAGGCCTTGTTGGACTACAACAGGGCCAGAAACGACATGGCCATGATGAGATTCTAAGCCTATCGTCACTCAAATTAGACCCTAATTGCATCCATATATTCTGACGGAATAAAATACACGCTATACATTATATGAGTCCACTTTCCCGCAAGTTTTGCTGTATCACCACATCCGTAGCGGCAGAAAGCACAAACCCCATTGCTTTGGTGTCTGTGGCACACGTTCTGTGCACGTAGATTGACTTCAGTGTCCGATTCAACTTGAGCAAAAGGCCTTCGAAATAATCGAGTACCTCGTTGACCAGGGTGGGGTCTCCTTCGTAGTCCTTGAAATACTGATTGATAGGCGACCTTGTAAGCTTTTCTTCAAGCAAATCTACCTTGTTGAGAAACAAAATGAACGGCGTATTCTTAAACCATCTGGAATTGCAAAGAGCTTCAAAAAGCATGAGAGACTCTTGCATACGATTGACCCTCTCGTCTTCATAAAGCGTTTGGTCATATTCGCTCACCGCCAACACGAACAAAACAGCATCGATATCCTGGAAACAGTGAATCCACTTTTTTCTCTCCGAACGCTGTCCACCAGCGTCCAAAACACGGAACGTCATGTTTTTGATGTTGAAATCATTCTCGGTAATGCCCGTGGTTTTGATCCTACCCATGATGACGTCCTGGTCCAGACAACGGTACAGTGGGTTCGAGAACTTGAAGACGTTGTCAAAGTAGTATGCGGCAGAGGACTCAAGCTGGAACTCGTTTGCCCGTTCAAAACAGCGACGCACACCATCATCATGCTTCCAGAGCTGAGAGATGGCCTCGGCAATTTCCTTGTTGGTGTAGCTTTTTCTGTCTTGATACGATATATTGGACTCCGTGTCTGTTGTATCGGAAACATACCCGGTTCCTAGAAGGTCTGTCTGCTCCTTCTTCGACACATTCTTGTAGCCAATGACGAACTTCTCCGTAATGGAGTTGGCAGCGGAGCCGTTATCCGCCCCGGAGGCATTGACAATGACTCGTTTGTAAGCTGTTAGCGGCGAGCCGGGTTGGTCCGAATCCAACGGGATACGAAGTTTGCGGGCATTGAAGATCAATTTCTTCATTGATTCTATAAGATCCATCCAGATCACGTCAGTGTACTGACGTCGTTCAAAGTCGGTGAACGAGTGGTGGTGTAGAAGTCTCATCTGCTTGAGAACGGTCGACTTTCCTGATTCTCCAGCACCTAAAAGGAACATCTTCACCACCTTCTTCTGACTCTCGTTACGGACATGCAAAGAGCGGTCGATCGCCTCCGAAATGAGACGCTGTTGGAGAAATGTTTGATCTTCTTCGTCGTTCGATAAGCTCACAGTGCAACCCATTGCAAAATAATTGTAGTTGGTTGTTTCAAGGGAGCGACAGCTTAAGTAGGAATTTTGCACCCAACGGCCTGCATCGCGGCAGACCTTGTTTCAGGTTTAGCTTATTTTTTAAGCTTGCATCAGCGCCTTAGGCAAATACAAGCATCCGCCTGTTCCAGCGCTGAATGGACCAAAAGCCTCTATAAACCAGCTCGTATTGACGCCATTCAGTGGTGGTTATTGGCGCGCTGTAATTACCTTACCTGTTTTGGTGCCATTCGCAACTATTCTAGCGTCCTGATCAGATGGAAGCAATGACAATGAAATATCCCAACATGACAAAAGAGAACTCTAGCACACACAAACGAAGGAAAAGTGCCAAATTCCACTTCCTCGAGAACCTGCGAACCGCCAACCGTGCATACCTATATTTCGCAGCCAATAGCTCAGGCGTCAGTTTGGCAGCGGTCGAGGTGTATACCGGGATGGGCGTAGAGATAGAGGAACCCTCGTCCTGCTCTTTCAAGAAGTCGGATACCTTTTTGGACATTGGATTTTCCATGAGAATTGCCAGTTCGGGATCACCATGCGTGGGAAGGATTGAGTAGTTGTAGTTGTATCTCGAGGGCCTGAGGCGAAGAGAGTGTCCCAACAAAAGAAAGGCAATCACTGTTGCAGTAACGGCGTACGAGATGACGTTAGCATATGGCGTTGGAAGATAACACAAGTGTGTGTCGTATGTAAGCTCCAGTTTCGAGGCATCAAATGAGAGGAGTTGAACTGCTGGATGCCAGATCCCCATAGCCATGCTGATCAGCTTTACTGTAATTTCCCTTGTTCCTGTAAGCGGATGTGTAACGTCGCAGTAGTCATGGTCATCGCCAGTAAACGAGACCACAGGGCGTATCTTAGTAAGAAGCTCATCCGAGATGTCAGACAGAAGAGCCAGCTGGTACTGGTATCCCGGACCGAGATGAAAGACGGGACTTTCACGAAGTGGTCCACACGTCTGGACCTTTGGGTCTCTATAAAACGGAACGTGTGAGAGAAGCACTCTAGGGCGGGAGGTGGAACCTTTCGGTTGCTCGTGGGGCGGGTTCGGGCATTGAGCTCAGACTTTAGCTCGTCATCTGAGACTGCAGCATGGGGCTCCTCTTGATTCTTTGCATCCGATGATTTTTCCTCTGGTACGTTTTCTGGTTCACTCAGCTTTTGGTTATTAGTGTCTTTTTGGTCCGTTTTGTCTTCTGATACCTCCTCAGGAAGAGCATTCAAGTCGGGGCTGACATCTTCACCCTTGGGTTTTTCCTCAAACAATGCATCCACCTCCTTTGTAACGTCTTTCAAGTTCTTTCCCGAGACGGGATCAACTTCTTCGCTGATAGCCCCAACTTCATCTCGCTTTGAAACACCAAGCGAATCCACAAAAGCTCGAGCGTCGGAACTCAACTCACCCTCTGCAGAGTACAGCGGCGTGTCCACAACCACGAAGTCCACACCATCAATCTCGATAACAGCATTAGCAGACCCAAAGATCCCTCAAAGCGTTGTCGCAGATGGGCCTTGACCCCATTCCCGAAGCCAATATCGTGATTGCCGGCCACATTCGTAAACCAGTTCTTTCCGTGAATGTACTTCTCCGGCCAGCGGTCAAAGATGCGCCAAAAACGCCGCACCTCGTGGTTAAAGTATTCGTCTGAGGCCAGTCTGCCATTATCCAAGTAGTCACCTAAAAAGAAGATGTAGTCTGGTTCAAGCTTTCCAACAAGCGCTTTGTAGTTTTGAGCCAAGTAGGTATCTACCGTGTGCTGCAGAAGTTTGAGCAATGCACTATTCCGGCCAGGATACGTGTGGTTATCTATTAGCTGGGGGTCAGCCACTAGAAGCACGTTTGTTGGTTTTTCACCGGTTTCTTTCCAATGGCACTGCCCTGCTGCTCTGGCAGGCACCATCCATTCATAATACATGAACTGCACAAAGAAACCCGCCGCTAGCGCTAGCACTAGCGCATAACTATTGCGGACCTTGGGAAGAGACATGTGTTGATGTGCGCGCAGAAGTGGTGATGTTGATGAATCGGTAAGGTGGACGTGATCTCTACGGAATTTTTTCACTTGGTCGAGAAAATTGACTTTTGAGAGGCAGAGATTCATTTTAAATTGTTTGTCACTGTAGCTAAGTTGATGTGATGTCGGAGGCGCAGTTCGATACTTTCCTCAAGGCGAGGCTATCTGTGGTGTCGAGACTACCGTGGTTTTGCGATACGCTTTTCGAATCTTCAAAGAGGTAGTCATTATTGAAAACCAGCCGAAAATTTGAATCATAAAGATATCTCCCTCATGGACCGATACTTCACCTATATCGTAATATGCTGCTTGAATAGGAACCTCAGTGTGGTGTATACTATATGAGGAAAAGGCATATTCCATCTATGGTACTGGAACGATTAAAAAAATGGATGAATGGCTGACTACTGTCGGTTTACGGAGGAAACGCTCGTCCCAGAGAGTACAGCTATTCAAAAGATAGTTATAGGTTGGGAACCCCACAGCATCATCAACCTGGACCCCTTCACCTTCCGCAATACAATTCCGAAACTTGAAGGAACCTCTTGAGGGCTTTCGTTTGTTCACAGAAGGGTCGTGGTACAGGCTATTGGGTGCAAAATCAACGTACTCTTTTGGCACAACCCAAAAAGGTCTTGACTATGAATCCTCTAAGATGACTCTCTTCGTCTTGATATGAAAAATCTTACCTTTCAACTTGGCTGTTGACAATTTCTCTGAACTGCTTATGTCTTCAGTGTACCTTCCATACCGATCGGATGCGCGTCGGAGTTACTCAGCTCGCCTGGCAAATCAGAATCCGTCATGATAGTGAGCTCCATTACAGAATCACAAAAACCTTTCGTTTCAAGTAGAAAAGTTACACCATTGAAGGAATTTGTCTGTTGGTGTCCTCTGGTGATGCTGCATTCCTACTCGTTCGTTCATGCAAGTACTCGCTTTCCTGCCTTTAGTCCAAACGCTCGTACTATCCATCACAGCTTCTTTCGAAACATATCCTTATTTCATTGTTCAATTGAACAGGCCATCGACTTTCCTTCTTGATACCAGCTCAAGATTGACACAATTTGATTTATTGAAACAGTCTCCCCTCCAAAAGCCGATTTTTCACCTGATCTCCTGCTTGGCTACACCATGGAAGACACCCTTTTCACGATAGTCATCGCCTCGGTGTTGGCAACTTTCTTCCTTTACCAAAACTATCTTTCTTTTACCCGGGATGTGCCACCCGAGTATCTCGAACAACAAAGCGTGGTTGAAGCCGTGCGTAACCCTGGAGAGCTGGCGATCTACAAATCGCCCAAGCTTGATTACTCCCTGGGACTTCGTGTCGGTTTTGGTATTCGCTTCGATCACTACAAGGTGCGTAATGGCAACTTGTGTGATGCGTGGGAACTAGCCATGTATGCTCTCGAGGCGAACCCCAGTAAGCGTTTCTACTTCGACAACGCGTCCATTGAGCTCAAGGAGATCAATGCGTGGGCCCAAAAAATCTCCGGCTTCCTTCGAGAAAACGATGTGAAAGAATTGAAAGTGCCACTGGCGCTCTTCATTGACTCTCCTGAGGTTTTCGCAGTCGTTATAGCGTGCTTCATTTCACAGATCACCGTTCACGTATGCAACGAGCCAGATTCTTGGTATGTCTACCACGAGGGTGATGATTTCTTGATAAAAGGCACTCAAGATGTCTCCATATCGTCCCTCAAGGGAGAGCCTTCCTCATTATTTGAAAACAAGTACGCACCAGAAAAGGATAAGGGCATAGCACTTGTGGTGTCTACACTGCTTGGTCACAACACCTCTGCTACCGCAAAATTCTCCCAAATTAATCTTATATCCGCTACGGCCAGTAGCCTCAAACACCTTCCACCATCTCACGAGTTGAGCAAAGATGACCGTCTTTTGGTAATTCAAAACGAGGACTCCACAGAGGCAATTTCCAACACAGTTATCAAGATCCTCGCGTCGTTCGTTTCAAATGCCGATCTCTACCTCACGAAGAATGCCTTGCTTGGTATGAGCTGGAAACCCACTGTCGTGTGTGCTTCTCAAAACACCGTACAGACGTTGTACCAAGTGCCCCAGGGTATTCAGAAACTCTTCTACTGGCACCGCCATTTTGCCTTGTCGCAGCTCAAGTTTTCAACATGGATGGCCCTGAAACCATATCCAGACTTGAGACTCGTTTATGTCCAGACAACAACCACGTCGCGTCACGTAGACTGGAATAATGCCCGGGCAGCACTCTCTGTTCACATAGTTGAGGAATTGGGTGCCCTTAACGTGGCTGGCCCATTTCTTGTTACCGACTTTTATGACTATCGCAAGATTGACGCGCCCAAGAGTGAGAAACTCATATTCAGAGGTTGCGTGGTTCAGGCGGAAGAAGCCAAACTTGTTGATTATGATGGGTCAACGCTGGGCGACGTTTGTGTCAGGGGCCACAATATGGGCAAGGCAACAATGTCAATGGCAGGTGTGGGCGAAAAGCAAATCACGCCGGATAACGAAGGGTTCTTTCAGATTCCCAGAATCAAGGGCAATTGGGGCCTGGATGGATGCCTCTATGTGTACAAAAGCTAATTAATTATGCCCCTTTTTCTGGTGAAGTTTCCTTGTTCTGTTCCTCGGGCTCTTCTGTCGGCTCTTTTTTTCCGACGCCATTGTAGAACGTGGACCACAAACGTCCCACATCGTCAAACTCTTTCCCTACTTGTACCGAATCATTGAGCGATCTGTTGAGCACATCGAGGTTGTACACGACCAGATCGATTGCTGACGAGATCTCAGAAAGTAAGAAGTCTCTCTGTTTTTCAAAAGTTGTGCTGGGAGAAGGTGACGACATTGGATGTGTAACTGGTGGTGATGTTTACCTCTACATCTGATGTTATGGGGCAATGTATGCAGGTACGACCACATTGGTCCACCACAACAAACTGGATAGAAGAAGCCTAGGAGAGATGTGTGCCGAGGTAGATGGAAGGGACAGATTTTTGGTGACGTCTCCGAGGGAAAGTGGCGTTGTTTTCGAAATAATTTGTCTGTTAAACCCCGTTCGCTTCAGGGTAGCAATTTGCAACCAGTGACTGCCCCAAAATATCAACGTCTGCAGTTTTCGAGATACTTACAAAGGGCATGAAACAAATTCAGTCCCTTTGACTTAAACCTGGGAATGATCTTTAACTGTGAAAACAATTCTACAATTTGGATCTGCAGTAATCCTTAAACGCCTGACACGTTCGACGGAATTCTATGGGCAAAAATTCCGCCATCTCAGAGAGCCCTTATATGGATCTGCCCTACAACACCGAATATTGCAGGACAAAAGGCAAATGGTGCCCTATTGGGTTACCAAGATATAGTGGTATCCTGCAGATAGTGTCATTGCTGCCGACCCCAGCCAAGCTGGCATGCCTACCTAGAGCCCCTTGAGCCATCTTTCCTGAAAAATGTCGTCTTTACCGCCACCGCCAGCCCCCAGCTTTTTTGGGTGACCATGTCACGGAACCCCTGGGTGCAAACCAGACCTACACAAAGGCCTGAAAGAGTCTTGTAACACCCGTACACCGCACCAGCGCATAAGTTTTAGCAATGAAAAAACTTTTGATTTCCTTAACAACAACCAGGTAATTTACATTGAGCGCTCGCGCCGGGCAAAGTCCCCTAGTGTGGTCGTACTCTCTCGCCTGGTAGAGCGATAGGATGGAAGTTCAGTTAAAGTTTCCCTGCAATGGAACTCCGACTCTACGTCCGTCCTGACATCTACCCAGACCTCTACTCATTTGGGCGGTCAGCCTGTAGAAAAGAGGCTACTAAATGAAGACTTGTTTATAGTTGGAGGACCCTTCATGCCCCTCTTTGAAGACCTCTTTGTAGACTTACTATTGTTGAGCCTTGAGATAATCGAACAATAGCAGATGTGATTGAACAAGTAGAGGTGAAGAGGAATTTAACAAAACATCGATATACCTCCAAAAGATGTCTCTAAAGAACTTTTTCAGCACATCTTGACCTACGTATGCTGCCACATTTTTCCACCAGAAGCCCATCACAGCAAAGCTGAAGGAGCACTTACAACGTTTTAGCAGAGAGCAGGCCTTGGCCCCCACTCTGATTACAGCTGCATTCCAAGCTAGACGGCCTTCGCCGCTTTGCATTGGCTTTGAACTCCTACCAATATCTTTTAAACCAACCGGTATACACAAAGTACACAATATAATACACGAACGCAGGCCGCTCAAAACTTCTTGCCGAGACAGAAGGAAACAGAACAGGGAGTTGTCCTGGGCTGAGAAGGATGCTTCTGGCTGCAACGGCGCATGTAATCCTTCTTCTCGTCAAACTTGGCAAAACCCTTCTTCAGGCCCGTGAGAGACCCGATCAAGGAGCTCGAATCCGAGGCAGACGAGTGGGTCGACAGCAGTGATTTCTTCTTCGATAGAAAGGGCATCTTTCAATGACTCATGCTAGGAATATAAATACAACGGCCCTGGGCAGATGGCGAAAAACGGGCCTAAATACCGCAAATATCAAAGGTGTGGAGCGGGACCCCTGGTGGTCTGAGACCTTGAGGAAAACAGGAAAATGTGGGATTAAAGGGGGGGAAAAAACTTGTGTTTTAGGGAAAACTGACGGCCAAGTTCAGGCGGCAGCGCTGCCTTATATAAGGATTCCTGCCGGGGGGGGGATTTGGGCAGGACCTGATCGGTGAGACATTTTGTCGCAAAAAATTTGTCCATTACTGGATTGAGCATCTGCTGCCGCCGCGACATGCTGTGAGGGCACGAAATGTGACAGCTTTAATTCCCTCAAGCCAGGACACGACCCAAACACAGGCCCAAACAACGGGGATTTGTCTGTCAAAGAGGGCTATTTCACAAACAGGGAGACTTACAATAAGGAATAAAGTGAATAAATTGCAAAAAATCTTTTCGTATCCCTCTAAAATTCAACTGCTTCCCATCTCTCAGGGTTCATCGGAGGGTGCATTTGGCAGCTGGTTTGGCATTTTCTCGCAGCATGCAATCCGCACCCTCCCCGAACAGAAGCCCCCAGTACCAATCTGTTTCCACTTTTCAGCCATGGTGGCGTGTGCAAGTGGCGCAAAGGAGGCTACAAAATAAAGAAAGGTGGTGATTTTGAAGGAGGTCCAAATTTGGAAAACTCTTTTTCAAAACGAGCCGGCATGGCGCTTGTTCTCCCTATTACCTTTATTAGCATTTGACTCTGGCTCGTGGCGGCCAATGCAAAAAGCGGTCTTGTTCCTGCTCATTGCAGGGCGCACTGTCTCGAGCCAACAAGCCCAAACATGTCGTCACCATAGCGCCTCGTAATCAGGCAAGGGGATTTTCTCGCGCTGAAGAAATAATAACATTTATTTGGTGCCTCGCGGTTTCAGCATACCTCGTGAATTGGACCAGGCCATTTTGATACTTTTCGTCTCCTGGTTTTGTAAATCCGTAGTTTTGCTATTGGTGTTTTGAAAATGTCGCTCCCATTAGCCGGCTCTTTTCCGGTGGCCTGTCTTCAGGGCTACCTTGCTACTGCCAGTGCGTTGCTTCTCGCAGCCATTTAGGAGCACCACAGGTGCTGAAACAATTGGAGCAGGGGCGGCTTTGGCCGAGAGATAAAACGACATTTCTGAAGTGACCTTATAAATTTGGTCAATGATGGAGATTCAGTAGTCAAGCCCCTACCCCCTTTCACCTGGCCAGCGCTTAAGCAAAATGCTTCGGGTGTACTCGCTCCTTTGAGGTTGATGCTGTACAACACCTTATTTAGCCCGGAAGCAACCGCGGTGAAACAGGTGGTAGCAAACGGAAAAACCCGCTAACGAATCTTCAAAATTGCCTCAGCCGGTAGTTCGGGTGTTTTGGCTGTACGTTGTAGTGGGTTGGTGCCCTGGCATGTCGTGAGAGCTTTTCAAGGAGACGTAGATGGTGCAACTCAGAGGGTTAGGAGTGTGAATGTCCAAGGACAATGGTGTTACGGGGTGCTTGAGAACTCACGATTAAAGTGGCGTAGACAAATAGAGGCATGGGGTATTGGATAGTCAGGAATGCTGGGTATGTCACCGCTTAGAGGAAATGAAGTGTCGAGGTCACCAGATAGATGGCCAAACCAAATTCGTGGAATGATCGCTCTTTTTTGGAAACAGGGCTTTCACTGCAGCCCCGGTCGACGACAACAACAATTTTAAGCCACCAGGGGTGAAAGATGGCTTTGATAGCCCAACACTGGCTCCAGAGCCAAACGCTAGGGAAATCCAGGGACATCGTTACCTCACCAAATCAGCCTGTGTTCCAGCTTCCGGCCTCTGACCCTTTTTTTTTTTTTTTTTTTTTTGTTAACTTTATCTGATTAAATGGAAAACCCAATTTAAATCTACATGCGTGTTGCTTAGTATTATTCTAGGGTCGTGTTTCGTGGGAACGTGAAATGACGTTGCACTGTCAGTTTACAAATACTGGCCATTTCATCCACTTCTTTCTGCCTAAATAAATGAGGTACACTACAAAAGCAGAAACACGATTACAAAATAACCTTGGGTACAAAACATGAAAAAGCAAAAGACACATATGTTGCTCACGTCTCGAACACCACACCTGCCCGCTCCAAGCAAACTCCTTTAAAACTTAAAATTCCCATCCCGTGCCTCCATCTTCTCCAGACCCAAGACGCTAATGGCTGCGAAATTATCCAAAAGCAGCGACGCGCCGCAGACTCCACCATATCTCCTCCACTAGGCCATCAGAAAGAGGCAAAATTAAATCTCTACAAGAACCTCAAAATCAACTCCTTCATGTATCACTTCTTTTCGTGAAGTACATTCAGCCACTCCTCAAAGCATCAGCAACTTCTTCCCAGTCTTCCGGCTGCGTCTCGCTAAAAGGCGCGGTATTTACCTTTTCCCCGAAGGAGAAAAATCTGGAAAACAGGCGAATCGGGCCTGCTTCGCCAAAACTACCCCAAAATCGGTTCGGATGTAATCGGATTTGGCATCTCCCACCCGAATTCGCCTTTGTAGTGCCATTTATCGCTTCTCTTCCGCGTCGCGGCCATACCCTTTTCAGGCTGGAAGTTACCAGGCTTAGGACCAGAAAGTCAGACTTGAGGCAGGACGGGAGAATAGACCCTTCTCTTCTCTCATTTTGTGAATTCATCGGCTCCTCTGTTTCATTTGTTTTTCCAAATCTCACCAGTTCCACATTCAAGGATACCTGGAAAATCCGGCCTGGAGTACAGGTCAGGAAATCGCACAGCTACCACCACCTCATGGAGCGGATCTTCTTCAAAACGGACATCGAGGATGCCTACTCAGGGCTTCCCGTGTATGTCTTTGATACCCTGTACCTCCCTTCACCAGATGTCATCGACTACGATCTTTTCATTCCCACACTCATGAACAAGCTCCCGCTGGAACGGTACATCTTGGTGATGTTCTCATGTGGCCTTAACAAAATATCGTGGATCCACGGTGTCAAGTTCCTCAGGCTGTTTTTGTCGCCCGAGGCTTGCAACTTCGACAATCTTCATAAAATCATCGCCGTGCACGAGAGCTGGTTCGTCAAGTCCATCTCCCTGGTTTTGACCAACATATCCATATCCAAAAAGACATTTTCCAAGTTGCATCGGCTTTTCGACTCCCTGTCACGCCAGCTGGACATTTTGATCAGCTGTGGCTCTTTGGAAGAGCTTTCCAACTATGTCGACGTCACTAGACTCAAGATCTCCTTGAACATATACAAGCACGACGCCCAAACAACGCTTCTGCCTCGGCTACTGCTCAATTGCCCCACTGTTCAACTCATAACCGAGAGAACTACTTATAATCCGGAATCAGACCCTCTCTTCTGCTATCACTTCAACCAGATCTTCCGCATCATCGAGACCTATGGGACAAAGGCAGAAGCCATCTTCATGAAACCGGGAAACCGCCAAAATACCGAGATATTATTCCAGTGCATTGTCAGAAACCAATATATCTGGGTCAACGACTGGGACCTCCATTGCATCGCGTCGACATTTAAGAAGATCCTCCTGACAGTGACTCCATTGATCAACATTGAGGATATCGTCTTGCCCATGAAGGACGATCTTGATTACACGCTTATGGTTCTTAGCAAGAACTTTGCGGGCAGTGATCATGCTGCCTCGGTTCTCTTCCGTATAGTCGATCTCTGTCACAAGATTGTCGAGAACCCCGAAACCACGCAACATCTGCCTGTTTCGGTTGCAAAATGTATGTGCCACGCGTTGACCCACGAGCTCAAACTGCAGCAGAATAGCGACAGAGTTTCTATTGCTGTCAGGTACATCAAGAACCTCATTCAGCACTGGAGCCGTATCAGGCCCCTCTTCCAGGAAAGGCTTTCTGAGAAGCCCAAGAACGAAAATCGTTCGGAACAAAAATTCGATGAGCTGTATAACCTCTCGCATGATATCACCATGGATGAAGAAAACACCAGCGGCGAGGAAGAGAGTCAGCGGGTTCAGTTCAATACGAAAACTATTCTTGATAACGATACCACTCTAGCAAGAACAGAGACCACGTCAAGAAATAACATTGAGGTGAGTTCGAAAAAGGAAAAACTACAAGATGTTTCGAATATCAAGGCACAATGGCCGCCACAAAAATACAGGTTCGAGCGTAAAGATATACCCAAGAAGGTGGAGGTTCAGGAAGAGCCTCAGACACCAGCAAAAAGACCTGTGGTCAGAGGCCGGAAAGTCGGCGAGTTGACTCGTCTCTTCGAGCAACGCACACAAGCTATGAAGCTACTTGGGGCTATCTAGGGAACGGAAGGAAGCGTAGTATACATGCTATTATACAATAATAATACAAGCAAGGTGCCGGTAAACAGCACTAGTCTCCAACCAAACGGCTGTCGATATTGTCGATGGTAAGGTCGCTGTTGGAGTTGCCATGTGTAGCGTTGGCAACAGCAGCAATGGCGGCAGCAGCGGTGTTGTCGTTGTGGTCCTGGTCGTGAAGACCGTGCTCCTGCAACTGCTGCTGGTAGTGCTGTAGCTGCTGCTCGTCCAAGTGATGCAGGTGATGCGAGAGTGAGTGAGGAATGTCCTCGTGATGGTGGTGATGGTGGGAGTTGTGCGCTTCTTCTGCAGCTTGAATTTGGCGCTGCAACTCCTCGTGACGCTGTCTTTCCAACTCGTAGCCAAGCACTTCGTCGTGCTCATCGTCGTCGTCGCCATCCATAACCTCGTGATACAGGGCAGCGTTGCGACGTCTTTTGACACCCTGAGACGTGACACTGGCTGGAAGATACTTGTTCAGTTTCTTAAGCTTCCGCTTGTACCCACGGATCTCATTATAGATGTCCTCTCGTTTGATCAAGACGTCAGGGAATTGGTGCTTGATCTTGGCCTCGATGTGCAGCGGCTTCGTGCCCACCTTATACAAGTCCAAGATAAGCAAGTTCAACTCATCCGAGCGCTTGCGCAACATAGGATGGTTGGACAAGGGATCAAGCTGGGGGTGGTTGTGCTCGTTGCAGGTTGTTCTGAGCGACCAGATGGAGTTTGTTTTACGGAACGATGCCGTCATGGAGAAGGGACAACGCAACTTCTTGGTACGAGCATGAGAGTCCAAGACATAGCCGGTGCCGGCATCATTGAGTTCACGCTCCGCAGCTTCCTCCTCCTGTTGCTGCTGAATTGTCTTACCCTTCTTGTGGCGGTAGCGTCCCCCCAACTCACAGGTGTAGTAAATTGCCTTTCTGTTGGAGTGAGCAATCACAATACCGAATCCGTTGTCACGAGCAAACTCAGCAATGAAGTCGTTGAGCTCCTCACGAGTATGGAACATCTGCTCCGGAAATGGCCTGGTGATCAAATTTCCCTCATTGGTGATGGTGTTTTCCAGCACCGGATATATCTTCAGCCGCAGATCAATGATGGGCTCCGGAATCTGGATGTTGTACTCGCCTCCGCCAACATCATGGAGATGTTGTTGATGATGATATAAGGCTTGGGCAGCCTGGGCAGCTTCAGCAGCATGATCCAGATCCTGGTTCTTGTGTTCGAGCTTCACGCGGGAAGCCTCTTCGAGGTCGTGTCCGTTGACCTGGTTCTTAACGGCAGTGAGAAGCTGCTCATCAATATTGGTCGTGTAGTCTTCCTCGTGGCTCATGTGCGATTGTTTTGAGTGCAAGAACCAAACGGTAGGGCGAGAACCAAACGGTAGGGCGGGAACCGATCAGTTGGTGGTAGTGTCGAGGGGAATTGTACCGCGCACGACCGCAGTTAGTGCTGTACGGTTTGGCGACACTTGCTTTGTAGAGCATGGTTAAATATGGATTTTGATGGTGGAGACTTGTTGAAAGGATTTATGTCTTTAGAATTTGAAAATTATCCATGTAGTTGCCAAATGATGGAGGTGTTTCAGAAGTAGGGCCTGCACTTTGCGATGAGGTTGTTTACTCAGCTGGGGGACAGTAACCATTGTGAAAAATCTGCCCACCGCAGAGAAGAAATAGATTAAAAGTGAGATTTTACTTATTTTAACTCTGAAGATTATTCTGACTAATTTTTAGGCCATTTCTAGCTCGAGTAAAGAAAATCGACGGAGGGTATGGCCTCCTGAGGTAAGCTGGTGCACGGGTGTCTGATTGGTGGTTGCAAAATTTCCAGAACCCCAGGGCCTCTAATCCAAGGTAAGAGAAGGTGTTTTATAGCTGAAATGACTTTAGATTTTCGGTAAGCCAATGTGCCTGAACCCTCGAATAAAAGCGGTATATTGTTATTGAATTTATGGGGGGTGTTGCAAGGTTAAACGACAAGGAGTACGCATAAAACTCCATTGCATTCGTTAGTTGGGTCTCCAATCCTCCCTGGCCCTAGTAATGACTTATCTGTCTCTTCCCATTGCATTCTACAGTCAAACACCTCATTCTGTTTCTGGATTACTATTTTCCTTGAGAACAACGGCCCCGCCCATGTATCCTCTACCGAAGCGCCCGGTCAGCCCATGTAGGCAATACAAATGCCGACTCGTGCACCGCAGCACTGTAGTATTTGAACATCTTCTCTTCCTGGTCCGCCAGTAACGTGCGCAATGGTTTTGTCAAGTTTTTGCTCTTGTCCATAGTGGCCACAATAAGCCCCAACTGCCCACTTGTGTATGAGGGCATGTAGCACTGGCAGTACTCCACCGTGGAAAACACCTGCTGGGCCTTCTCCTTCAAGCTCGAAAGGTACGTGAGATTGAGCCAAATGTTCTCGCTGCTTTGCATAATAACGATACCGTCCTGCTTCACTGCGCTCTTCAACAAGTCAAAGTAGTTGACCTGGAAGAACTCCTCAGCAGGGCCCTCGGGATCCAGCGAATCGGTGATGATGATATCGTACTTGCCCTTCTCCTCCTGTGAGCTCAAGTCCTTTAAAAACTGAAAGCCATCGGCGATTTCAATGTTCACCTTGGGGTGGTCGTGGAACTTGGCCATGTCGGGAAGAAAACGCACACTAAGCTCGATAACCTTGCGGTCAATTTCCACCATGGTGATTTCCTCCACGCCTTTACCTAAGTGTTTGACCAATTCACGCACCACACCACAGTCTCCACCACCAATAACCAAAACCTTCTTTGGGTATGGGTGGCTCATGATGGGCACGTGCGTGATCAACTCTTGGTAACTAAACTCGTCTTTTTCTGTGCACTGGACGATGCCGTTGAGCACTAGCACGTTGCCGAACGTCAGCAGCTCGAAGATCAAAATGTCCTGGAACTCAGACTTTTCATGGTGAAGCACGCGGTTCACGCGAAGCCCGAAAGTCTGCCCAGGGAAGCATTCCTCATTGAGCTCATGGAACCACCAGGCGCCATTGAGCTTCAGAATCGCTGGGTGCGTGAAATTCTCGAGATCAAGGTCGAAAGAGTCCGACATGTGTGGTTGGTGTTGATGCCGGCGCGAAAATGGTGTAGGTGCGATGCCGAGCCGGCTATGGAAGATTTGGAAAATAGTACTCAAGGTGGTAGAAAAGGGGTTGGCTGGCTTGACGGGATAGGTCAAAACTTCTTTTAGGTTTGAGAGAAGAGCTGTTGTTTCGGCCGAGTATGGCTCTTGTACCAGAATGCATGGTGCCAAAAGTGGAAAATCCAAGAGCGAGAGTACGAACACGTCTGAATGGCAGTATGTTCAGGAATGGAGAAGCCCAGATCAACAAGTACATAGAAGGGTTTGGCTCTCTGCGTAATGTCAAAATTCAGCGACAGCTGAGTTGCACAACTTAGTGTTCTCCATCCTGTCTTATTAGTGAAAAACACCCTTTCTCCGCCTAAGCCATGAGGAAGTAGAGAAACGAGAGCCGGAACTAGCTTTCTCTCAATAAATTGGCGCGTTTAATGCCACAGTGTGAGGTCGAAAGCACCATCATCACTCTTTCACCTTCCACTATAAGAATCCCTACAACCCTTTTGTCCTACAAGTAGGGTAGCACTCAGCCTAGTTCATCCACCAACTTTTTTGTCTTCTGTCTTTCTTCCACCTACTTTTCTAAAACACCTCTTTTTTTTTTTTTTTGTTAAATTCATCTGATTGACCAAACACTTACAATGGATCTGGCATAAGGCAGGGCGGCTATCACAGCCGTTCACAAGAGCAGTCTCTCATTTTTATACTTTTGGTGAGCGCTTTAGGGCGACAATAGTTTCGGTCGACAGCGCTTAAAACAGGCACTTTTCATAAATCATACAAATCCTCCTTTTCGGCAGCCGCCGATCTTCAGATCCTTCGCCGCAGCCATTGCGTACTGAAACCACCCACAGCTAGTCCAGCCCTACAACACGTCCTAGGCCTTCCACACAAAGACCGTTTTCATTGTTTCTCATGTTCCCGGTGTCTCCAACAGCAATGCAGCCAAGAGTCTTCTGCCTCGGGTCCTACTTAAAACACCGACCACGGCCGAGCGGAACGACAGAAAACAGAAATAGAAACGAGGCTTTGACAATGGCCAAAGAGAGAACGCCGAATTCAAGCACCTCTCCTTGAAGTGACCCTTTATTTCAAATATCCTTGTGTCCAACAAGTCCGAGCCCGCGTTTTGCAACCAGCTGCTTGAAACCCTTATACATTGTTCCCACAATAGTCCCTGATAGACCCACCTGACGTCAGAATCTGTCCGGGTTGCTCGTTTCGGGTGGGACTTGCACCTCCGGTTCCTATGGAGGATGTCCTGAGATCTGGCGGAGTCTGCGTCTGGCGACTCCCAAAAATACAAGCGAGCAGAGATGGGAGATTATTACTACGGGGGTCAGCAAACAGCAAGTACAAGAAATGCCTTTTTGCCGCTGGGAATTTACACTTTTATTATCCGTCACCGCAAGTCAGAATCAAAGCCGATCGGGAAATATTTTCGGAGTGGGGTGAGTTCCCAGGATCGGCGGGCAGGGCCTCTAACCTGACGAACAAGTGTCGTGTGGAAATGCATTTCCACCCACGTTACATTCGTCTACCCCACCATTGTGTGCTCGTTTAGGTGTAACGTCCTGTATACAACGTGAAACCTGCGCTGTGTTGGCAGAATTTTCCCCACGCAGCGTTATTGTAAGCCTGCTCCAATCCCCAGTCCTCTCGTGAGGCGCCCACAGGCCGTGCAATATTACTGTGTTCGGGCTCACCGAGGACTTTTTGGCCTGCACACGACCGCTAAAAAAAAAAGTCGCTGTCCTTCCCGGTCACGGGTGCTCCTTTCGCGAAAGTATCACCATACAAAAACCAATAAAATCACCACCGCCTCTCTGCTCAACCTTCTTCCTCGGGCTTCCCTGAACAGTTTATTTCCAACAAAAGCTTACATAATCGCAAGCGACTGCTTGCTTCCCTGTTCCCTTATAATACGCCCGTCTTCTCCCCCGCCATGCTCGAAGTACACAAAATTGAATCCCACATAAAGCTTTTACTGGCTCACTTTGCTTTCCTTGCGCCGTTAGTGTGGCTCTTGTCCTTGATATCAGCACTCCTTGCCCCAGCCAAAATCGCTCTGGATCAACACAAATCCCAAGCTGAGTCCGTCCACACCCCGTCGCTCTTTCCCTCCATCAGCAACGTCTCCATAGAGAGCGACGAGGAGGAAGAGGCCTCCAGAGCCCACCCGATCCCGTGTAGCACAGGCATCACCACCCGTCTTTTGCCCTTCAAGAACAGCAAGGGTGAGATCGAGTGGGCCTTCACGGAGGACCTTCCTCCTGGACTGGAGCTCGAAGCGTTCCGTATCCACCATGAGCCTTCCACGGTTAAGAAAGAAGACAACATCTTGTCCCCAGTGACCTCCTCCTCCTCCAGCAATAACGAGTCCGTTGTTTACGACAAGCAGTCCGTGGCACAGGTGAACACTCCTCTGTCGACTGCGCTGGACGATGACAAGACCTCTGGCAAAGAAGATGAAGGTGCCGGCGAATCCGCCGATGACCAACTCCACCAGTGTCCGCACTGTAACACCCTGTTCAAGATGCGTGGCTATTTGACCCGTCATATGAAGAAGCACGCTTCCGAAAAGGCTTACAAATGCCCCTTCCACAAATCCTCCATCTACAAAGACGACAACGATGTGGTGCACAAGTGCCACCCCACCGGCGGCTTCTCTCGTCGTGATACCTACAAGACGCATTTGAAGTCTCGCCACTTCAAGTACCCGGAGAACACCCCTATCAAGGCCCGGAACTCATCCGCGGGTAACTGCTCCATGTGCGGTGAGTGGTTTGAAAACGGTGAGGTCTGGTGTGAAATCCACATCGAAGGTGGCGAGTGCAAGTACCTCCCTCCAGGTTTCAAAGGCAAGTCTCGTATAAAGAACAGACTCAAGAAGGAGCTTGCAAAAATGATGAGAGAACAGCGCCGTACGAAGCAAAGAAAAACAAAGCTCCCAGTGCAGAACACGCAGTCACCCATCATGGGCACTCCAAACTCCATGACCACCCCGATGCCACCAACAGCGTCGTCTTGTGAATACAACGACTCACCCTCTTCTACACTGAGCCACTTGATGCAACACCCAGGCCAGCACAAGCACGAACTGCCTGCCGTAGAGATGGTTCCTCAAGGCATCACACTCGGCGATGTCCCAGCACTTTCTCCTGATGATTACGATGATGGCTTCTGTCTCGACACAGAACAGTTAAGCGTCCCTATTCCTACACCTGAGATGCTACTTCAGCAAAGTATGGTGCCATCAATGCCCATGAGTTCCCAGCTGATGCCTCAGCAATTCCCTCCACAAATGTCTCAGCAAATGCCTCAGCAAATGCCTCAACAGGTGTTTGAGCAGCAGCAGCCACAGAAGTTCTACCAGCAACAAATTCCAGCGCACATCCGTACGCAGATGCAAATGCAGATGCCGATGGGCTTCCATGGTGACGAGACGATGATTAGAGAGAAGGGATACTAACGAGAACAGGACATGTTGTAAAATTAGGAGTTATTTGGTTTACTTTTTTTTGGTTAATGATTGGTTAAGCTTGGTTTAGCTTGGTTTTGTTTATCCTGCGCCCTAACGCAGGGTCTATAGACATAATGGAATACTATCCGAAGATATCATCGATAGCGGATCTCTTTTTCTTCTTTTTGGTTTTTTTCTCGCCCTTCTTTTCACTTTTCTGTTTCTTAGGCTTTTGTTCCACTGAAGCCTCCGCCATTACATCCATACTCATCAACGGTTCAGGAGGAGCTTTCGATACCAGCTCAAAAACCACCTCCTCTCCAACGTCATCCTCCAATTGCGTCACCACCTCTCGCTGAACTTGTCTACCTCCGACTCCCGGGATCTCCATTAACAACAGTCGTAGCGCACTCAAACTGGCAACCAAGACAAAGCCCAAATTGACAAACTGCCCTAGAGCAATGACAGAGTTGAAATGGTAGTATGCTCTTTTCATGACTCGGAGAACCAAGTGATTTGCTGTCAGCACCACCTCCTTTTGTATCTCCTCCCGTCTCTTAATCTTCTTTGTCTCCTCTGCTTCATATATCCCTCGAAGCACTTTTCGAACTCCACGGTGGATCATGTTCAAATGTCGCCACCAGATGGCCACACGATGCTGATTGTAGTTTCTATGGTACACGAGATGAAGAATGGCATACTCTGTTTGGAGCTTTTCGAGCTTGTCTTTCGGTAGCATGTAGATGAGTAGTAGGCGCGATGCGATGACGTACTGAGATGTTGATGAGGAAAGGGACGATCGAAGTTCAGAGGATAATTTGTCAATATGGGGCATTGACGAAATCGAGCCAGCCTTTAAACCCACGACACTGAAGTGCTTGGCTTACAAAGATAAGGTGTGGCTAAGCGTGTATAAGTTATTAGCTTCTGCTATGGCGATACTAGGTTTGAAAAGGAAGCCGGAGATAGAACGGATTTCGAAAGCGGTTCTCCAAAAGGAAATCGTTCACAAGGTATCGAAGTAATGGAACGCTTTATATCCCTGTTTTATCACCAGATGTCGTTCTAGTTGTCACAAGTGCTTGTAATATTGCATAAACTGTCCATATCATCTCATAAATAGTCCATCTTTCAAAAGCACAATGGTTTAATTCCGTCTCCAAGCCATTGCCACGTTCCATTCGAATCTCCCAATGGAGGGTCTCTTCCGGGTTTGGTTCGTTTGCAGCCATACCAAAGGCATCAAGGAAATGCCATGTGAGTCAAAACCCAACGAGTGATATAAGAAGCAGACTATCGATCTTCAAACCCATACTTACTAAGGCTTCCATAAACTCTTCAATATATTCCCTCTGTACTACCCACATATCTCATACTCAGCTCCTCATCGCCTATCGCGAAATTCACCACTCATCTCAAAATCATCACCAACTCACTCTTCATGGATCAGGTGATTGCACGAGCAAGGGCGCTCCTCCAGACGTCCCAGGAGACAAAAGCAATGGAGCTTTTGGCTCCTGAAGTGGCCAAGCATCAGGACAATCCTCGGCTTCTCGAGGTGTTTGGAGAGTGTCTTCTAGAAGCTAACGACGTGGAGTCGGCTTACAATGTTTTGGAAAAAGCTGTATCTTTGGATCCTGAAGGAACACAGGGTGTCGACAAGTTTTTATATTTGGGCCAGATCATTGGCGGTTCCGATGGTATCGGGTATGTGAACATCGCTTTGGGTAAGCTCCAGGACCAGCTCCAGAAGGTGGTGGAAAACCTGGGTTCTGACGATACAGTGCTCGTGGAGTTAGCAAAATTGTATCCTTCCCTGGAGGACTTGGCCGGGCATCTTATCAAGAAGTTGAACCAGGGAATATTCGCCGAGATTGAAATCTGGATGACTGACTTGTGCATGGAGCCTGAGGCTGAGGAGCAGTGTGACAAGTTGATCTCTCACTCATTGAGTCTAGACGAGTCCAATCCTGAAGCATTGTCGCTTTTGGCATCGATCAGGATCTCTCAACAGAAGAACGACGAGGCCAGGGAGGCATTGCTTCGTTCATGGGACTTGTTTCAGGAAAGAAAAGCTGCCTTGGAGCAAGAGGCCAAAGACGCTCATGATGCTTCCCTTGAATACGTCGAGTTAGTGCAACCATTGCTTGGTCTCGCCAGATTTGCAATCGAGCTCGAGATGTACGAGGCTGCTCCGTCAATTGCTGCTGCTGTCTCTGAAATCAATGACAATGCTCTTGATGCATTTTACTACGAAGCATTGGCCCATCTTCTTCGGGCGAAGCAGATCTACGGTGAGGCCAACCCGGGTTCGGTTCCTAAAGATAGCGACTACAGAGAGATCGAGTTGGAAGAAGTCAAGGCATCCACAGACGAAAACGTGCAGTCTTCTCTTCATGAAGCACGCTCCGGACTCACTCAAGGTTACAGGGTGTTGAACAGCGCGGCTGCTGAAGCAATGGATCCCGATGTGGCTGGCCAGGTCTCCGAGCTTTTGACTGCTTTGGGAGGACCCATCATGGCTGACTTGTTTCCCGAGAAAAGAAACGACGACGATGATGATGATGGATGGGAGGACGAGATTGAAAGTGGTGAAGAGTAGTTCTGTTGGCCTTCTTTTAGCAGAGATAGGATTATGCCGTGTGCAATTCATCGTGACTAATTAGCATTGTTGGCGACTCGGCAATTGTTTTTAATACCTGCTCTCAGCGGATAATGGGATTTGTGTTGTGACCGATCTTGCCTGGGTAGCTTCTGAGATTGCCAGCATTGCTCAAGCAACAAAACATTTGTATATTAAAGGACCTTACTCATTGACGAGTTTCGTGATGACTCGTTCTGGAGCTTTTCACTCCGTAGTCACCAAAGCCGAAAACAGAAGCTATAAGTACGACGAATTCAAATCTATTAATAACATCGCCACATCACGCTCCAGATTTTATGTAAAACTATATTATATCAAGCTATTTTACATGGAAAAGTAAAAATTATCCCCGTGCAAATTTTGTAGAAACACTCAGAATTACATGTTTCCATACCAAGCCATTCTTACTTACTCCCTCAGGTGTTGCGCTGCGAGGTACCTGGACCATGCATAACAAGGCATCAATCGTCATCACTACATCGAACTTGCTCATGTAGGGAAAATATCGAAGAACGCAGGTTTATGCGAAAACAAGAAAACCAGAAAAAAACATCTTCTTCTGCGTCATTTTGTTAAAATCCTAGCAATCAAATTCTTTAATTTATTATAGTACAGCTCCTCTGTCACCTCATTACACACATCAACTCAGTGCGAACAACCACCATGACGACTAACCATAGGCCTACGCTAGAAAGCAAGCGAGGTCGAGATAATGCTATAAAAAATACTATTCAGCATTCACGTGCACTAGCTGGACAGACAGAGCTCAAGCTTAGACCCGACATCGAAGGAGCCAAGGTAGGTCCAACCAAGAGAAGCTTAGAAGAGTCGGAGATGATCAACAAACGAACAAAGACAGAGGACTACCAGGAGTCGCCGAATACTGATGCTTCAAGTACGGAAAGTGGTAGTCTATCTGATGACGAACGAGAAGATGGGGAAAACAAGGAATCCAGGGAGGTAATTGCTGACCTCAAGAAAGCCAAGGACGAGCAAAAACCTGAACTACGAAAAAAGGGCTGGAGAAATACGCCTTTTCGAAGGAGACCTCCGCAAAAGAAGGAAGAGAGCGAAACAAAGTTCACAACGGACTCGGTTAGTTCGGATAAACACCGGCAGTTTCTCTCCAAGTACATACGATAGACTACGACCGCATTCATGATAGCATTTTTTGATTCTAATGTACAACAGCCTCATCGGCTTAAGTCAAGTCGTCATCAGGCTGGTTGAGCCTTGCGTCAAGCTGGGCGATATCCTCTTTGAGACTGGCCTCCTCCACAGTCTTGACCAACTCCTTCGTGCACTTGGCAATGTCGAAAGAAATACCGGCAAGACGCTGCTTGAAATTCTTGTCAGCGAATTCCTCGTCGCTCTTGTCCGCGTTAGGACGGCAAAGGTTGTTCATGCGGTGGTTGCAGTCCTCTAAACTTGTCACCACCCATGAACCGTGCTCCTTCAATTGATGATTCCTCGTCTGATTCATGGAAGTCTTAGTAGCATCTGCCATCTGTTTGATCACCTCTGAAATAGCCTTGGAATTCTCTCTCAACTCACCACGCGTGGCATCTGGCTTCTTGATCGCCGTTAACAAGTCTTGAATGGTCGAAATAACCTGCACTGTTTGATGCTCCAAGTAAAGCAAAACTTGCGTCAATGTGTTGTCAGGGTCATCAATGTCGAACAAATCGAAGTTAAACGTCGCAGCAGCCATGGACTTTCTGTACTCCTGCCTTTGTCTAGCTTCTTCCTCTTGATCATCGTAGTCGCTGTCCTCCTCCTCCTCAGATTCTTCCTCTGACTCTTCCTGCTTTTCAGCATAGTTGACCTTCTTCACTTTGAATGATGGCAGCTTTCCTGAAAGCGACTTCAAAGAGGGTTTAGGTTTCAACCCCTGCTCTTCATCGGCTTCTATGGATCTTGCTTCAGACTTAGTAACAATGGGTTCCTCGTTTTGGGTTACTTCGTGGTTTTGTGCGTCAGAGAACTTGTCCACTGGCTCTTTATTCAAGTCACCATCATCAGTAGGCTTTTCGTCCAGTTTCTTGATGCTGTCAGCAACCTTATCAGCTCCCACATAAGCTGCTGCGCCAGCAGCAGCACCAACAGCAGCCTTAGTGACACTATCCTTCACATCCACATGCTTGCCGTTTGATTCCGGAAGGACGTCTGGCTGAACAGTCTGCCTTTCGGTCTCCTTGGGCTCGTCATCTTCATTCGCCTTTCCCTCTTCAGCCTTTCCCTCTTCAGCCTTTCCCTCTTCAGCCTTTGCCTCTTCAGCCTTTGCCTCTTCAGCCTTTGCCTCTTCAGCCTTTGCCTCTTCAGCCTTCGCCTCTTCAGCCTTCGCCTCTTCAGCCTTCGCCTCTTCAGCCTTTGCCTCTTCAGTCTTTGCCTCACCAGCGAATTTGTTCCTCAAAGTCTGGAATAGACTTCTGCTTCTTGTAGGGGTGTTGTCGTTCGATTTAGATGCATTGGGGCTCAGTTGGCTCGGACTTGCTGATTCGGCAGCTTTTTCAGTAAATAACTCCTTCGCATTCTTGACTGACATCAGAGAGGGAGATTTCGTCTTGGAGATGAGTCTGTTTGAAGGCGATTCTTCTGGACTTTCGAATTGTCTCACCTTATCCAAGATATTCGTCTTAGAAGCAGAGTGTGGAGTTGATGGAGCTAAGTTTTCCTTATTCTGCGAAGGACTTCTGCCACCCTCAGAGGATTCGGGGACCTTCTTATTGATGAGGCCTTCTGCTTTAGAGCTTGTGTTGGACTCGGTCAAAGAGCGATCTTTCGACTCCAAATCCTTGGCATCGCCAGCAATAGCTGAATCATCGGTGCCGTTAGCAGTAGCACCGGTAGTAGTGGCACCAACGGCAGAGGCCCCAATAGCAGCAGCTCCAAGGGCTCCAGCCGCTACAGCACCGGTGGCACCAACACTGCTTGAGTTGGCAGGGCTCGATGTAGATTCACTGGGCTTCACAGACTCTTGAGGAGGAGCTGGTTCGGATAAATTAGTCTCCTTTTTCCTCGTGCCCGAAAGTCTTTCGAACATGGTCAACTTCTTCACTGGCTCCTCCTTCTTTGTATTTTCCTGATCGACAGCTTCGTTTACTGGCAATGATCCTGGAAGAATCTTAGATGGACTAGGGCTGTCTATAGGCTCATCGTCTTGACGCTGTAGATTGTCAGCGGACAAGCCCCGCAGCCTAGGTGTCGAAAAGTCTTCCATCGGGCTCAAACCGCGAGACTGGTCGTTGTAACTGTGATTGTCCTCTGGAGGACTGAGGTTGGTCGATCTTCCGATTTTGAGGGGTCGTATAGCATCATTGGAATCTTTAGATTGATCAGGAACAGGAATTGGTTGTTCTTGGGGAACGGTGCCGTCAGATAATTTACATGTGGACACGAGATCACACACGGTGAATGCAAGTTCGTCGACGCTTCTCTCGACAACAACTCTAGGAAGAATTTTCTTATTCGAGCCGTAATATCTTGTGGCAGTCAAAGAATGACCAGCGGCTTCTCTGACATTAACAGCGAGATGGTCGTTTTCATAAAGGGCGCTCTTATTGCCAACTGAAGCAAGTTTGTTCGCTAGAAGGGCAACATTGGATATTCTTTCAAAGAGAAGCTCTGAATCTGCCTCGTCATCATAAAGGCTGATCAAAAATGCTTCGATGGATGCGAAAAAGTCAGAAGCATTCTGTGAGGGTATTAAGCCCGAAGGCGACACATGCTTCTGCAATTGAGGCAGGCTTGATAGGAGATTGTTCTTGATAATACCTGCCTGGACATCCTGGTATCTTTCTTGCCACTTCAATGCCTCTGCCTTCAACAGAGATTCTCTTCTCGAGGTGGAGGGCAAGTTCTGTGGCGCATCCAAGGCAGCCATCTTCTCGTGGAGCTTCTTCAACTCGCTATTGACATCAGGGCCCGAACGATTTGAGGCGATACTTCTAGAAGGCGAGTGAGTTGGTGAGCCTCTAGCAGCGAGGTCAACTGCATGGTTGAGGGAGCCAGAGTGAGGACGAGATCCCAGCTGGCCTGGCAGCGAAGCCAATTGGCCCGACAGCGAGTTCTCTCTAGAAAGAGCAGCGAGGTCACGCGATTGGTGACGAGAATTTTTCCAATTCTTGTTCTTCAAAGCCTGGTTCTCCAACCTCAATGCCGCAGCGGAAGACTTCAAGCCCTCAATTTCATCTCTGAGAGCATTGAGCTCCTTAGTATCAGTGCCTCTCGCAAGGTGCTGTTTGTTCTCGGCTTCAAGTGTATCTTTCTGAGATAGGGTTGTAGCTAGGTTGCTCTTAAGCTCCTCGTTCGCTCTTTCAAGCTCACTGGCCCGCTCTTCAGCTTTCTGAAGCGCCAGCTTGAGATCCTCTAGCTCCTTGCTGTCTCCATTCGGCATGAGGCTCTTGGCTGCAATACCTGCTGCCGCACCAACGCCTGCCCCAGCAGCGGCGCCCTTAATAGCCCTATGATCTTCCTCTTCCTCTTCGTCACTGGACCACGTCAAGTTCGCCTTAGTTGGAATGACCGTCGTGGGCTGCACTGCGATGGTCTGCTTGCTCTCTTCATGGGAGAGCTGCAGAATGTCCGGATCTTGCGTCGTTGAGTTAGCGGCAGGCTCATCCATGGTCAGATGAGATACATCTTGTGGGCCATCGATATGGTGGCTCTGATCGCGATCTGAGCGCACCGAGGGAGCGGAAGGAACTGAAGGCTCTGTGTCGTTAGAGCGGCGGATATCCCTGTCTGAGGCAGTTTCCGATGGTGGTGCCAGCTTTTCGGGCGGGATGTGCAAGTTTCTTCTAGAGATCTCGTAGCTGATATCCAGCACCAAGTCCTTGAACCTGGTTTGAGGCAACAGCGAGAGCTTTTGTCTGGCCTGGTTTCTTTTAGGATGGAACGTCAGCTTGGGAAGCAAGAAGTCTGGCTCTGCCTGTGACTCGTCAATTCGACGTTTCAACTCGTCGTAGACATCGGTACTTAATTCACGAAACTGAGCTCCCAGTAATTTGAGGAGCTTTTCTCTGGCCCGCATGGCACGCAGCAGGTTCAGCTTTGTCCTGCTGCCCAGGTCATCCAGGATATCAAGAAACTGTTTGAGCACCTTGTAGTGGTGCAGCAAGTCGGGTTCTGACATTGGCTCTGGGAAAAAGGTGTTGTTGGTTTTTGTTCCTAGACGCGCTTTTTTCTGCCGCTGATGTTCGGTGATGAATCAGTTAGAAGGCGTAATACAGAGGTTAGGGTTTCCTCGAGAAACAATAAATTTATAACTGGGAGGAGAATCGAAGAAACTTGTAGAGATTTTGAAGGTCGAAGCAGCTCCCTGGTTTTTCTAGACCTGGCGATGCCCGCTGTTTCAAGCCTGTCTCGGTCTGTCCTGTGAATCAGTAGGGGCACTTCCGAGTCAGCGAGAGCTACATTGCAGCTCTTCCTTTTTTATCATTTCGATCCAATCAGATTAATTTACAGCCAATGGCCCTTTCAGGTCAAACCTTTTTTTTTTTTAGTTTTTTTAACTTTTACGTTTTTTTTTTTTTTTTTTTTTTTTTTTCATTGCCGATCACGTAAAACCACTAATTACTGTTGTGGCTTTGCGAGTGGACGTGGCTCATTCGCCAATTTTGAGACAATGGCCGAGCATCAAGACCCAGCTACGCGTCTGAATATACTCATTGGGCGTGTCTCAGGGATGCCCATCGATGGTAAATACCAGAATTCTAAAAAAAGCCTTTTTCGTCTTCAGATCATATCCCGAAAAATACTCAAACCCTAACTGAATTAGTAATGTAAACGCGTATTGGCAAGCGGCTCACTCACTCCCTATTAATATTTATTCTAGTGACTACATTCCCGATTTGAAATACTTGAGAAGCAGGTTGGAGCAGCTTGAGAAACTTTTTGGGTCTTAGGGTTATAGATGGGGCGTTTCCATGATGTGGTGGCTCTCCTCCGTATTCCAGAAGATTAAAGCATTACGTGCTTCCCTGCAATTGCACATTTCTCAAACCTATTATGTGGAGACCTCAACCTCACTTTTAGCTGTATGTGTCTATCTAAAATAATCTAGGTGGTTTAAGTCTGTCAAACCGTATGTCTCGTTTCGTTGAGGGAGCTGGAGCTCTAATATTTCTCACACCTTTGATGGTGAACCCAAGTTCCGGGTAGGTTCCCTCTACGCTTGCGTTTCTAATTTCTAAGTATTGTACATGCTCTAGCTAAGGCTTAATCGGTCGAGATCAATGGAGTCGACTCGGAGACAAGCTCGATACTCTCCTCGGAGGCAGCATCCTGAGATTCAACAACAGGAGGGGGTGGAGTCGTCTTCTGACCCTGTACGGATGCATAGCCCATCAGCTCAATAGACTTGAGCATCTTGTTTCTCACCAGAAGAGCCAACTCGTCGACGTCCTCCTTGGTCTCCAATTGGTCGGTGGGCTCTGGTTCCATAACCTCAATAACGATTTCACCAGTCTTGAAGATCTTGTCTCTGGACAGGAACAAGGTGCTGTAGTTCTGAACAGCCACTGGAATGACGGGGATCTTGGCCTGCTTGGCGAGGTGGAAAGCACCCTTTTTGAAAGGAAGCATGTCCAACTTCTTGGTGGCAGAACGGGTGCCTTCAGGGAACATAAAAAGCGATCTGTCGTTCTCCTTTAAGCTCAAAAGCGCATTGTCCAACACCTTTCTGGCCTTCTCGCCCTTGGCTCTGTCCAAGAAGAAGGTCTTAGAAGCAAGCATAAACCAGCCCAAAAAGGGAAAGTACTTCAAGGCCTTTTTGGCAGTGACAGTGTAGCCGGGCTGGAAGATCTTGCCCAACACTAAAATGTCCAAAGCCGACTGGTGGTTGGAAATGACCACAGATGGCTTGCGATGCAACAAATGTTCGTTCTTGACGGTGATGGTGATGCCCATAAGACGGCTGAACAACCAGTAAAAAACTTTGGCCACCGTGTACTGGGCATATTCTGCTTTACCGATGAGTCGAAGGAAAACAGAGGCCACCACGCCGTAAAGGGCACAGGTGGAGATTAAAGAGCCGAAGATAAACGACTTTATCAAAAACTTTAATTTCTGCAAAGAGCCCATGGTAGCAGCAAGGACGCACACGGTGAGGGCCGTTATGACAATATAAATTGGTGAAATCAACGTGACTAGTATGGTGGGTTTCAAGACAGGTAGTCTGAAATCAGCACGTAGCACTATAGATTTTAGGTTGAGAAATTAACTTTTTTCTTCGCTCGGCCTTTTTGGGCTCCTCACAATGGTGCACTGAAAATACCCCCAGTCGGTTGCCGATGCGGCTGATCCTCGGGTAACATCTGAAACACAAGCCTGGTGTGAAGGTTTGAGGATGAGTTTTCCTTATTAAATGGCTTTAAAAGCCCTTCTTTGCCTAAATCGGGCGATTCCCAGTTTTGTGTCAGATTCACGTTTGCTTCCAGTCCCCACATTGAGATCGCACCTGCCTGCCTCTCATAACCGGAAAGGATATTTGTATGAGGACAAGGGCCCATCGGCTGCAGGACAAAACCTCAAACCACTTTTCATCATGGAAACCAGCAGAGGCTTGGCCACAAAGTTGGTGCTTTATAGCGCCGGTGCTGTGGGTCTCGTTATCTTGGGGAAAAGACACATTGCTCATCACAAGGAAGAGAGATATTTGAAAGACAGCGACACCAGCTTGGAGAATAGTGAAGAATTCGAAGATAGCCATAAGCGCAGGGGATTCCCCTCCAATAACCCAAATCTCAATTACGAGGGTAAGGGACGTGAATCCAAGTATGTGGGTGCTGGCCAGGCGTACTCGTCGAGAACTCCTGGTGACCGGTTGAGTATTTGGAATGTGTTCAAGAATAAGAACTCCAAGGACAATGACGAGAGGAATTAGGCGTGTAAATAGGATAATAACTTGTGAATAGCATTGGGGGTTACTGTCGGATTTTCTGTAGTTGGGATATAAAGAGTGAATTTTAGCATAACGATGGCGTTTGTTTTTGGCTTTATTGGCATAGGCTCACATGGCTCACATAGCGTCCACGAGGTCATTGAATGCAACCTCATAAACGTAATTAGATTTCATGAAATTATTGAGGCACCAACCGCAGAAAAAGTTGTCTTGTAATTCCTGGAGAATCATGACCACATTCAGCTTGATCTGGTCGTCTTGGTTGAACAAGTTCATAAGTAGGAGCTCGATACCTTTATTCTTGTCGAATATCGTCATGTTGCCGCCGTGTGCGCCGGAGCTCTGTAAACTGGTCGAGGAGTTTGGGGGTATTAGATATGTGACGAGAAGGAACGTTTCCAAAGACTTTCCACTAATAAGGTACTTGAGGATGTTGAACCAAACCTCACGTTCGTTCACCTTCGCTGGTGTAGTCTTGGCATTGGTCACATTGTATAATTTTTGCAAGTGGTGTTGTAGGTCAATCATAAGGTTGAGTTCGTTGGACATATTAGGAAGAAGCAAGCTGTATGAGAACTTTCCCGAATACATGAGGTCTTGAAACCTTGAGGATATTATCTGGTAGCATGACATTTCCACGAGCTTGCTGGTATCACTGTGCCAGTAATATCCCACACCATCCATGAGAAGGGTTCGTTTCCTGTTGCCAGGATCGTTAAAGTTTCGCAGAGACACCAAGATTCTTATGAGCTCATTAATGTGCCTGCGGAATATTAGCTGTAACGTAGTCAAGTCGTCACTGTAAGTGAAAAGGGAAAATTGCAAATTAGACAAGAATCGTGCATCCTCACTAATGATTGAGTTTTTCAGAATCTCGGGCTGCTTGAGTGCGGAGGCAACGTGGAACTCATTAGCGTCAATGTCATAAAGGAGATCCCAAATAGCTTCGTGAGCTTTGAAGAAGGGATTAATGGTACCCGCCAAGTAGGAATCACATTCAGACAAGATGTCAATCTTGGAAAGATCGATCAACGGGAACACGTTATAGTTCTTGAGGATCCCAGTAAGTATACCTCCACCTGAGACAACTTTTAACGTTAGCAAGATCAAGTCAATGATGTGCCCCGCGGAATTGTCATAACTCAAAAAAATGATTCTTTTTCCCGTCAAGATTGCATTAATTAAAACAATGATGGGTGGTGTGGCGAGACCGTATATGGTCAATTCATTATTGTGGTGGTCAGTAGCCAATCGAGCGCTCAACAAATTGATAAGATTGGGCTTTAGATTAAGATCCGTTGGGTTCATGTAGTCTCCCACAGTGTCTGGAAGCTGCAAAAGCGGCACTTTCACGGGTATTTTCATACCTCTGAAGGTCACAACTGAGTTGTAGGATAAATCCTTGCGAATGAATATTTCCTCGTTTGGTTTCTTGATACCCAAAAGTTTATTTCTGAACTTCTCGTCATTGTATATCTTATCACTGATGGGCAAATCGAGAACCAGACTGATAAGTAGTCTTTTGAGTAGCGATTGTTCAGTGCTGTTCACGCTGAAGTCATTAGAATTGATAGCCGTGTATAATTCGGCGAGAAGACTTGGGTCGTCACTCTCAAAGTAGCTGTCCAAACATATCAAGAGCAATGGCCGGAAATGTTTGAAATAGGGTAGTTTTGTGATTATACAGAGAGCCTTGATTATCAGACCTCTCCTCACCGTATCGTCGCTGACATTCTTCACAACCGTGTACATGAAATAAATATCATCTTCACATTGGCCATCATTCTTATACTGGAAATGACCCGTACTTTTGTTCTTGAAAAGGAGGAAAAGGGTGAAGTCCTCGTCTCGACGATGGATTTGGTCAGGAAGCATAAGCTCGGGAAGAAACGGGAGAAAGTCATAGCCAGGAATATTCTGAGGATGTTGATGGACTATGGAAGGCCCTTTGTCCACATGGAACTCTGCCGTTATGATATAATCGATATTGGGCATACGTGTTTTAGTCTAGTATTAGCGCGACGAATACATTAGTAGTATGCGCCTTAAGAAACTATCACCGATTGTGGTACCGCACCAACGGTCGAGAATGCGTATGTGCAGTTACCCCCATACGGCTGTAGGGTCTGGTCCTTGTCCTGTAACATGGAACCTATATCAACGTATATACTTTTACAAACCCATATATCGAGCCATGGGTGAGCAGCCAATAAGCCACTGTCTTAGTTGTTGAAGTAGTCAGACATCTCCTGGTCCAACTGCTCAGCAGTCTTCTTTGCTGGCTTAGCAGCCTTGGCCTTTGTCTGCTTAGCAGGCTTCTTCTGAAGCTGCTGTCTCTTATGTTGCACCTTCTCCTTAAGAGCCTGCTTCTTCTTTACCTGAGGTGTCTGCGCGACAGGCTTTGGCTGGTTAGCACTGATTCTAGCAGCCAAAGGCTTCTTGGTTGGGTCAACAATCAACTCCATCTTCAACTTGGACTTGCCGCCGTCGATAGGAGCATTGTTGTACTTCTCCACAGCCAGCACAGCATTCTTGTGCGACTTAAACACGATTGTGGCAACACCTCTGAACTGGCCTTTCTCGTTGTAGTTCATCGACACCTGCGACACACCGCCAACTTGCGACTGGAAAAATTCCTACGTTTGTTAGTTAAAACTTTGAAAAAAAAGGGGGGTAAACAGGAATGTGAGATCGTGGTCTCTTTGAGACGCTCTGATGCACCAGACCATGATATGGTTGCGGGTCCCTGCGGACACATTGACACTGTTCAGAAACAGAATTTCAAACATGTACATTGCTTGAAACGCAATGTATTCGGCGTTGTGAATGATAAAGGGATAGGTGATGGGGGCATGAAGTAAATAGTGCGACAGTCCAGCTGCCAAAGTCGAATCAATTGCTGATTATGTTTCGATAAAATGACTTGTTCTGCTTTTCAAGCATTAATGCTGCTTACACAGGGTTGTATGTGTCCTGTGCAATAAAGATGATCCTTAAGTGCCCGTCTCTCAAAATGTGTGATATTCCCAATTCCCAGTATTCCAAATTCCCAAATGAATAATGTGACCTTTATGTAACGGTCAATCCCATTCCATGCGCCTATCCCTAGGCCTATCATTCAAATACCATCCGCTCGCCGACAACCTCATAGAATGGCGGCCATAAACCCAGACACGCGTCTTGGCTTCATCTGGCCCGCCAGCTGAGCTCATTTGAGTTGCTGTCACAAATCACACGAAGCTCACTGAGAAGATTCGTCAATCCCTTGCACCAGGCAAGCTCAAGACTACTTCCTTCTCTTCCCGATCCTCATCCTGAGAAATCGTTAACATACCTTGATAGCATCCTGCTTCAAGTCACGGGGCAAGCCCTGAGCAACCACCTTAGTGGCGTAAGTCAAATCCAAAGCTGGCTTGGGCTGGGGGGCGACCTTCTTGGCCACTTTCTGGAAAGAAACAGGTTGTTTTTTCTGAACCTTGCCCACGCCCTTACCGACGACCTTCTTCTTACCCTGAGGCTTCTTGGTTCTTCTGGTGGAGATGATGTCGTCCAAAGATTTGTCAAGAATAGTAGACATGATGTAGTTTATAGCAAATTGGTTAAGATTAGCTCATTTTTTTCTCAATTTGGCCGGTGCTGGCTATTGGGCAACGCACGACTGGTGAAGGCGTTGATACTGTTGAATCGCCCGTTGGACGTTCAAGTTGGCAGTAATAGTAGAAAAAAAGCAGAAGCTTCTTCATGATTGCAGAAAAATCATCTTTATTCAATAAGCGAAGGACTTTTTGGTATTGAGGGGCTATAGGGATCAACCTTTTGGCTTGACTGACTTTACAAAGGAGAACATAAAAGCCATTACATAGAGTGGTGTTTCGGATATTATAAAGTGTTCAAGCAAACCATATTATTTTGTAAAGTTCATTTCAATGCAGTGTCAGATATCGTATCGCTGCACCGACCTTATGCTACTAGCATATCAGAGCGCGCTGATAATCTTCAACTACTATGAGTGAAGCTAAACAGCAGAAAGTGGAAGAGGTGCTACATCTCAAGGAGGAAATCACCAAACTACTTCAGAATGTGCGTGACTCCCAGGCCGTTTGTGAGAAATATACCCACGAAAATGACTACCTTCAGGATTACATTGGTTCAGTCATGAAGAGCTCAGATATGAAGTAAATAAGGTGGTGAGAAGAAAATTAAAGGCTCCAGAAGAACTCGTGATTTTTGTGGTACCAGGGATTCATGGCCACGGTCTGGAGAACAGTTCTTCGTGCTTTCGATTGTTGTATCTTGATGGTATACCAGATAACAGATGTCGCTATTCACAACTATCGTCGGTTGAAGAGCGGTTTAAACAAAGGTAACGCCATCAAATAAAGAGTGATGAAATGATACCCTAGAGGCAAGCCGGTGGAGAGACGCTGCATTGCAAGCTCTGAAGTCACGTAAAGACAATAATCACAACAACGGATGGGAATACTGATGGTAACGAATGTTATGAGATCGTCAGTCCAGAGTTGAAAAGCTGAACTTACAGTATCATCTCAAGGACTTAGTGCTACGGAAGCACACAACGTCCTCGAAAGCATAAATAGATCAATAATAGCCGTTTAAGTTGAGACCTAAAGATCTGTTTTGTAATTCATAAGGGACACTTACATCGGCGCCCTTCGTCTAGCTTCCTTCTATGAAATACTTCAGCGTCTTTGTGCCATTTATATCAGAGAATGTCCAAAAAAACTCTACTTTGTGTTTTACCAGGGGCCCAGTGGTCTGAGACGTCAAAAGCCCACAAGCAACCAGCAACCAGATTCTACTGTGGATATTCCTAAGTCGCTCATAACTGTATCTCACCATGCTTGGGTTCTTATAAGCCGTGCTTTTGTGTCAATCGACCATCAATAATTTCGAACCAACACAGTCCGAAAACGTCAACATGCTGAGTCTGTTCAGGCCCATGGCCCCATCGACTGAGGCTCCGTTTGTCGGCACAAAAGCATAAAGGCCTATGATGAGCCATTGGATACAACAAGTGTGGATTCTTAACCGCTGTGCGAGTGAATACAGGCTAAACCTTTCAAGAAAAGGAAAAATGACGTACTCTAGGATCTCTCGTAGCATGAAAGAATCTTGGCTTTCCAGTGTTTTTCAGCTCTTTGGTCCACTTTGTTCAAGGATACACTTATGATGGACATATACCTACACAACGAAGATAACAGTGCATTGGGCGGGCCATGGTACCGAGAAGTTTAAAACATCACATAGTGCGTTTGAGGCTTTGGGTTTTCAATTTAGTGTCGCTTATGTCCGGAAACTTTTATTGGTCCCGGCCTTCTGCAAGGAATAATGCTTTTTCATGCCATCCGACGCCCTATTCGTCACAAGCCTGACGTCGGTCCGTTAGCATATTTAGCGCTCTACAGAGATGGGTGTTGTAACTAGGCTGCACCATATCAAAGAAAATTCAGAAACATATGAAAATCACGGAGATCAGTGCACGAAGCACGTTTGTTTGGGCCAAATTCATATGGTGAGTCCTGAGATTGAGCCTGGTTCAAAACCTTTTGGTTATGGTGACAGGTTTATTTTTTGCGCTTTTTGTTAAGTAGAGAGGGTTATCTGCATGTGTAAAGGGAACTGTATTTCCGACCCGCATGATGGCTTGGAAGGTTACATGGAGGGTGAAGAGGATAGCGAATTGAGCAATGCTTCGAACGATGGAAGGGGTTGAATCTTGAGGTTTGATTCGGCTTGATTTTGGAAAGTTGTCCATTTTTGAAGGTATTGTCTGGAGAACAATTTCCAGACCCAATTGCGACTTTGATGTCAATTGTTGTTTTGAAACTTTCATCATCTCTTTGGATGCAGTGGGCTTACCGTTCTACGTAGTTGTTGACATGATAACACGTTAAGTATAGACACACAATTACCAACAATCAGCGAACAAGCTTCGCCAATTGGAGTTGCGACCATATTATATTGACAAGAAAGCCATGAATTGAAGATTAGTGTAGAAAAAGCGTGCGCTGGAGGCACCGAAGAAGTGAAAAGAACAAGCTGCCGACTAGAGCCGGTCTAGTCGTAGCACTCGGCCTTGACAGGCCCCAGGGCCCCCGAGTGGCTGTTGTTTTTGCAACCATTGCCCTTGACGCTTCTGCCGTGCTCCTGCAAGCCTTTGCACTGATCACACTCAATGTGGTACTTCAACCAGCGGGCATTGCTCTCGAAGTACTCGAAGCAGCCTGCGCAGCGGCCGCCTGTGCTGTTTCTGGCACTCGACTTGGTGCCAGGCGGGTAGATGAAGTGCAACGCCTTGAGGTGCGTTTTGTAGGTGTCTCTACGGGAAAAACCGCCCGTAGGGTGGCATTTGGTGGCCAGCTTGATCACATTGCCGAAATTGTCCTGGGTGGAGATGTCGTGGAAGGGACACATGAAAGCCATGGCATTGGTGTGTTTGCGGGCGTGGCGGGTCAAGTACGACTTGACTTTGAACGAAGCGTTGCACTCGGGACACACATGTCTGGCTTCCTTGCGGTCGTCGAACAGCTCGTGCTCAACCTTGAGTTTCTTGGCCTCAAACTCTGGAGATTCGCAGACTCTGCGCTTCCTCACCTGGGGAACAGGAGCCATGGGTGGCAGTTCGATATAGCCAGAAGCAAAGTTGGTGGGCATGGGGCCGTTCTTCATAAAGAGCTCGTCCATAAACAGAGCCAGCAGCTCGCTGCAGCCGGTGGCTGGGGAGTCTGCGTTTGGAGATCTTCTAAAGTCCTGGAAGGCCTGAGGAGGCTGGTGGAGGCCAATCATGTTGAGCGCAAAGTGAGACTTTGGAGGCTCAATCTCCTCCTGGTAGCTCAGCACGGAGGTCTGGTAGGACGAAGAAAGAGATGGAGTCAGGGAGAAATCAGGCACGGAGAAGTCGAAACCCCAAGGTGTGGGCTCGTCGAGCTCCACGGGGAAGTTGAACTCTGGCTGTTTGGCAGGAGCGAGGTAGTTGTCAAAGAGTTCGATCTGGTCATTTCCTAAGGAGAGCTCGAGGTCGTCAGCGGCACACAGGTGGGCAGCAGCACGTGTGGAGTTGCCGATCCAGTGGATGTTGGAGCCCAGGAGCGCTGGAAAGAGGCTCTGGCGGATAAGGTATTTCTGGAGGAAGGCAGCGAGGGAAAAGGAAAGTGGCGGGCGGTGGCCTAGCCCGGGCCCAATGAGGAACATGATAAAGCAAACAAGATGTTTTGTATTCGAGGGAGGTTTGGTGGTGAAATTTTTGTTAGGGGAGATTGGGGCGCCGGGGATGGGGGGATTTTAAGGTGAGTGAGAGGGAAAAAAAAAAAAAAAATAATAAAGCGGATGCAAAATAGGTAAAAGCGAAAACCGGCAGGGGATCGCCTGCGAATAGGTTTCCACACAGATAGTCAGATAGCAGGGCGGGTGAATCATGAAAAAAAAGAAAAGAGAAACCACTCAATAAAAAAAAAAAAAAGCCTACTTGGTAACGGGGCCCGCCTTAGAGGTGTGGGTTTGGGCAGATGAGTGAGAATGTCGACCAGTGAGACTGTGGGGAGATAGCTGACTCTATTCGCAAAACTCGCAGTGCCATGGTTGACTCATCAGCGGTCCAAGCTAAGGCAGAAGGCTGATACGGACCAGATATTGCAACTTTGTGATTTCAAGAATATTTCTCAGCAACGTTCGGAAAACCATCATGGTTTGGAGACCCTGTGCCGCCGGGACGGTCGTTATCTTTGCTCTGTGGCTGCTAATTGTTATCAGTGCGAAGCAAAATGCCGTGCCGACACTATCAAGCACATGACGCAGGAAGAGAGTGAATGGGCCAGAGAAAACGACGTCAGAGGTCAGACACAAGCCAGGGGTTTATCGAGGAAGGGTGAGGTGAGGCAGACAATAAAAAGGTTTTGCTACAATTCCCACATTTTTCAGTTCAATTCCCTGTGGCCCAGCGGCTCCGCGTTGTGGATCAAACTGTGGAAGCAGCCTCGGGCCGCGAGGTGTGGACTGGTCATGAGCGCCAGGGAGAAGGCAGAATTAACGCACATCCACAGGCAGCGACCAGGCAGAGCAGGCTGCAGCGGTGCGGTGTCGCACAAATCAAACAGATCCGGCGCCAGAGCCGGTTTTGGAAATCCGCGGAGGCCCGAGTTTCAGCTCGCGGGAGGATGCCGCGTTTTTGGCTGCGAATTACGAGAACCAAGGCCCCAAACCAACAGGCCATGGCGAGAGATAAGACGGTGCAAGGTGCTCTGGTGGTTGATTTATGGGTTTCTGGCAGCCAATGAGTGCCTGGCAGCCAATGGGGGTTAGGGTATTTGAATTGCAACATGGTAAATCGCATTGTGCCGGGATGGGGAGCAGGCCAATGGCAGGTCGACGCGGGAACAATAGTGCAGCCGAGGAGGAGACCGATAGCTTGAGGCTGGGGATAGCATTTGAGCATCGTGGGGCCTGGGGGCAGAAGCGGAGAGGCTTTACAAATTTGGTGGAAATTGGGGTGACACGGAGGGGCAGGGAGGGGCTGAATGCAACGTTGCTGCCTGATCGCCTGGGCAGTCGGACTTTGACAAACTTGTGGGGCACAGTGGCTTCGCAATCTCAGGTGTCCCAGGTATCCCCATTGGGATTAGTCTAAGATTCTGCCAGTGAAGTTTGTCAAAGCGCCAATAGCCGAGAGGGACGAGAGACGATGGAGCATCTTGAGTAACCTGGCGGTGTTTCGTTTTCGTACTTCGCTTCTCAGGCCCGGTGAATGCAAGTGGGTGAAAATTATCTGGCGCCCTGTGCATCACTTATTTCTGGCGGTGTCACGTCAGATCAGCTGAGATCGTCGGTTTCGCTGCCTTCCCCACGATGTTTCAGCCTGGAGGGTTCGGCCTGGAGATCTCAGCCTTGTTTGGATTTCGAGGCTTTGTATTTGCAGGCTTGGGCCCCAGGAGACTCATAAGCTTGGGGTTTTTTTGGTTTGGGGAAAAGTGACGCACGTCAATCTGAGAAATGGCTTTGGGTGATGCGGCGTCGGTCTTTGACCCATAATCCCGCGATTATGCTTTGGGTATGGATAGTGAAGAGCGATAAATTTTCACTGGGTCTACGTTTCTGAGATGTTGAAGCGGCCCATAATCGGTGTATTTGTCAAATATTGGTGGTTGGTGAATGGCCTCGATTGAGATGGCATCAACAGCAAGGAACCCTCGTTCGTTGGTCAGATATGCTTTGCTTTCATCTATTTATAGAAGCTCACGAAAGGGTTTGAATCGTCATTGCGTGAAAGTTGATTTATCAGTTCACTTGCATCAATTCCGCCAATTTCTTCGATTTTCTCGTAGATTGTAGTTTACCGTTTCGCTGCAGTTCACCACCAACTTTTGGAAAATACGTGCGAACCGACATTTTGCAGCCAAAACAAAATCTACACACCAAGATTAAATATACCACCATAACTACACTCACACCAACACATGAATTCGTATGATAAAAGGTTCATTTTCGCCATTGCCGATACCTCAGAACGTCGTAATCTGCAGTGGGCAGATTCATCGTAAATTCATACCATCACATTCTTTTCGACGCAGGCGATAAGCGAGTCAAATCAAGCGAGGCACAACACACGTTCCTTTAACGAGATCCTCCAGAACATTCTGACTTGAAGCAGTGAGGTGAAGCTCGCGTGGAAATAAGCCTTCATCAAAGTTTGGCGTAGCATGGTATACAGTACCCAACAACTTCACCGATGTCGACAAAAACTGGCCTGGGCCTAGGACACATTTGCCTTCTAAATCAATTGAACGTCTCCAACAACAATTGCTATTTGGCTTTTCGAAGAATCGCTATTTCGGTTCTCAAAAGGAACCGTTGCAAAGAAAGCCCAAGAAAAGCTCGCACGCCTCATCGAGGTATGCCATTATGAATGTAGCCAGTTCTCTTCAAGCAATTTGGTCGAGAATCGGCCAGTTGAGTATTGAATCACAACCAATTGTGGACCCTAGTTATACACTTCTACCGTACGATCTCCCTCAGATATCTAGCGATTCGCAGCCATCATTCCACGATGCCACGCCACGCCACTCCAGCCCCGGCATCTCAAACAATACTCAATCTGCATTTTTCTTATTCTAAATTTTTTAAAAAATTTCTGGTCGCTGCCCTGTTCATCCCCTCGATATTCACACTAGCTTGTCGTCAAACCCGTTACCGTACACTCCTGCACCGGCAAGCACGATGTTTACCTCTCGCGATTCTCCAGCATCTTCATTCTTACAACCACCAAGCCAGCAAGAAGGGATGTCGGAGAAGTTCCAGGCAGACAAGCCCAACACCCACTATTTGGCGAATTTGGATAATTTGAACCAGACCAATAATGCCGTTCATTTGTCCCGCCTTCCAACGCTAGGTGAGATCCTTCTGAACAAGACGAGATCGCCAGTCAACTTGTACACTTTCTACTTGTACATGCAATACATTGAAAACAACGTCGACCTCTTGGACTTTTGGTTCGACCTTATAGCCCATCTCAACCTTTGCAAACATTATGTCAAGGGCTTAAGGGAGTCGATAGTGAGAAACTCAAACCATTACGCCAGTGGTTCTCCAATGATGGGCCACGATAGCCCCAGAAACCTGGCCATGGGAAGTCCACAAAGAGATTCTTTTCCGTTGACTGAGGGTTCCAAACACAAGTCGGTTTCGCTGTCGATGCTTTTGGATCTCATCATCAACGATCACATCTTAGAGGACAACGATTCCAATAGACTTTCGCAGTTTCTTCGAGGAGAAATCAACCTTAATGACGTGGATCCTAAGATCAAAGAACTCATCGATAAGTATCAGGACGATGGCGGCGTGAATCCACCTTCCCCTATTGTCGACAACGCTCTGTACGGCGGTTTCACTGAAAAACGAGTTTCCTCCAACTCCAAACTTTTAGACGACTCTTTCGACCAAACTCAACAAAGCGATACCTCCTTTGGTTACCCACAGCTGCCGTCTGCGGGTAATACTCAGGCACATGGAGGTAAGACGTATTCGGCCCTTCGGCGCTCTTCCATAAACCCATCCTTGCTCGAAAAAATCATCAGAGACTCGAAGCACAGTCTGGGCTCGTTCATCACTCGTAACAATTTGCGTGAATCTTCCCACAATCTTTTACTCAAATACTTCGTTGAAGACTCCGAAAAGAACCTTAACCTTCCCACAAAACTCAACAACTACATCATTAACGCCATCGAAGTCGAGGGCAGAGACGACCCAGACGTTTTCAATGCCGTTAAGCGTTACGTCTTCAATGTTATTGAAAACCATTACTTGCCCAACTTCCTCAACTTTGTGGCCATCAAAAACGTTAACCGCTCCATCAACGCCCGTATTGTTATCGGGTTTTTCTTCATATTTGCATCATTCTGGATCGCATTCACCTTGATCTTTTTGGATTTGTCGAAAGGTTACAGGGCTGTGATTGTTATTTCGTTCCTCATTGGCTTCTACTGCCTCGTATCTTCCGTGTACAGACTCGATCCGCTACTAGCTTTGGTGGGTCACAGTGAATCTTTTATACCGAAGAAAACATTTATCAAGGTGAACGACCGCTTCATACATCGTCTACTCGTGAAGCGGTCAGTGTGGGTGCTTGCGCTCATTCTTTTGTTCACTGCAATTTTAACCATCGTCTTTTGCCTTGTTCCAGGAAGACGACTTTAAGGCACATGCCGTTATGCATAGACTAATATACACTTAATAATTTCTACAATGTAGTCGATAAGGTCGTGTGATTAATGTGCCACCGGGTCTTGAAGATACAAAAGCTATATGATTGTGAAATGGATTTAAGCGTCGTTCAAGAAGGCCTGTCTCTTCTCCTCGACTCTCTGGGCTCTTCTCTCTCTGGCAGCCTTGTTTCTCAATCTTCTGGCCTCGGCCTCGGCCTTCAAAGACTTCTCACGAGCAGCCTCAGCCTTAGCCTGGATAACGTGCTCAACCAAAGCTCTCTTGTGCTTGAAAGCGTTACCCTTAGCAGCCAAGTACAAGTGGTGGTACAAGTGTCTGTCGATCTTACCAGAGTCTCTGTACTTAGCCAACAATCTTCTCAACACTCTCAATCTTCTCATCCACAACACCTGGGTTGGCATACGGGCGTTCTTGGTACCCTTTCTCTTACCGAGACCCATGTGTCTACCGTTTCTCTTGGACTCAGCCATGATTCTGGCAGAGGCTCTGGAGTGAGCAGTAACGGGCTTCTTCACGATAGTACCGTTCTTGTAAAGCTTTCTGATGGCAGCACGAGAGTTGGCAGAGGCCAATTCGGTGGTCTCATTAGGGTCCAACCAAATCTTTCTCTTACCAACACCGACAACGCTGGCAGCAAGTCTCTTCTGAGTTCTGAGGTTAGGCCTGGTTGTTAGTAATTGTTTTGAATTTGGACGATCTTTAGTTGTCGTTGGATCGATGAATTCAAGGGGATTGTCTCTGGATTGACTTGGACTAGCAGGGCAATTTCGACATCACCGGAATCCCCTATCTTTGTGGTTTTGGATCGTCGCTCTGGCAGCAGGCCGCTTGGGCATTCAAGGAACGTACATTTCGATAAGCTGACTTTAGAAGATAAAAAAGGGAGCAAGAAAATTTTCAATAGAGGTTTTTTTGTGAGGGCAAAAGCGAGCAACTGTGTGCAGTCCCAACCCTCCCTCACTAGTAACGGTATGGGGGAAGAGCCTTACTCGCGGTGCTGCAGAGAGTTCTCAAGGAATCACGGGTGCACGGGTCTCAAACATGAAGGGCGCAAGCCCTAATATCGAGCACGTGATATGGTATTGCAAAAAGCTGATCAAGCTTCAAGTCCCCAAACTCACAGTGTCTACTAGGCTCTTTACATTTTTCTCAATTGAGTAATTTCAAAGGTTAAGGAGTTTGTTTGTTTCCAATAGTCTGCTATGGTGCTGCTGTCAAAGCCTCGCCGTTCAATGTAGTGAAGCGAGTCTCGAGGTTAGAAGAATAAGCATTATTTCTGCTGCATCCTGGTTCATCTTTGTCTGACTTAGTTCATACGCTTGTCCACTTTTGGCGTCTTGTGTAGGATACTGTTTAAAAAGGGGCAAAAAACGAACTGTTTTGATAGAAAGCGTAGGCTACGTCGCAAGCCTGAGATAAGCTGGTCAAACCTGAGAAGAGAGTGTGAAGAATGGGATCTGTTCCCGGGCACAATTGGAATTTCTGATGAACACGATTTTCGAAGGGTCCACTTTTGAAAAGTTCAGTGTGTTTGAATTGTGGGGTTAATTGACTCGGAGCGCAATTCCTATTGAATAGCACACCATTGTGTAGATACATAACTGTATTTTTTAGTTACATCCATACAATGAAGCGGTGGTGCCATTGTGAGGGCGTTCAATATCGAGAAGTGGGGGGTCATTGAGGATTACTAGCCAAGTATCAGACCCAGAGGTACCGTAACCTGAACAAGAATAGGAGAAGGAGATCTAGAACGCTTGTAGTCCAGACTTTTCAAAGACAACAAGATGATATCCAGGCTTTGCTGCAATTAGGGTGGATAGATGCCCTGTAAGACATGGTAAGCTTGTCTTCAATGGCTCTCCTGAGAATCCATGGATCAATGAGACTTTGAGGCATTGATGGGAATTGAAAGCATTGATCGAGATGGTGACTTTAAAGAGCATGCTGAGAATCCCGTTATGTCTCTACGGTACCTCAGTGGGCCTATAGTAGCGTGCTACAGATAGCAGTAGTTATAAAGTTAAAAATGGTTTTCGCAAAGCAAAGAATCCATAAATTCAAGGAAAATGGTATTTTTTCTTTTTCTGTTCTACCCCAGGCAATATCGCCTGAAGCTCTTGGTGCCTGGGTGGCTGCGAAAACCTGCGCGAAGCTCATCGCATGTACTAAGATACTACTTCTTTGCAATGGCCAAATCTTTGAGAAGCAAGCTGAAGTTGAGGGCCAAGTCGGTCAAGCGGAAGGGTGAATTCACCGATTTCGTCAACGAAAGAACAGCCAGGCTTGCCGCCAGGGCCCAGGCTGCTCAGGAGAAGCAGAAACAAAAAAACGAGGATGCCATGGAGGACGAGGAGGAGAAGCCCGAGAAGCCCAAGGAGGACTTGAAGAAAATCAGCACCTCTGGTTTGAAGAACACCAGCAGAATCAGAAAGCGTGGTTTGAAGAAGCGTGGCCACACGAAGTTCTAATGTTTTGGTGCTAGTACGGTGGAAGCATAGGCAACACCGCCTAGATCAGAAATTCTCAGGGATTTGAGATGGTTATAAACACGGCTGGCTCATCGGGCATGAGCTGATGAGAGATGCCGAATACAGTCATACGGAAATGGATACGAAGGATGTAGATACGGAAGGTGGATGTGGTGAGAAGGTTGAACCCTGAGATGGTGCATCTGTGGAAGAGAAGCAAACTGTTTGACTGTCTAGACGATAGACTCTTTTCACCGACTAATTTGATGGCATTTCGGCTATAGCAACCTTGCAGTTTGGTGATGAGGACTGAAATTCAGCGACTCTCGATCTACATCGGTTGAGCAAGATCAGAGGTAGCCCTAGAGATAGTGAAGCCTCCGTTTAATATAGCTTTTACTTCCGAATGGCTCCTCTCTTAAAACTTCTGCAAGACTTATCAGAATAATGAAGCTAGCGTGCAGAAGTACTCTCCAGTGGGGTCATACCTACTTTACACCGAAGCTACCAATACACATTTTTATACAATCGCTTTTTGTCAATTAGAGACACTCCTAATTCCATCCATATCATTGTTCATTTCAAATCGTGTCTTAGTTCAGCCACCTAGCACTCCATTTATCACCTAACCTCTATCTAATTTCGCAGCCCATAATTCAGACCCCACAACTTATCCCCACCACATCCATTCCAACCAGCCAAAAGTAGAGAGTTTCATTTCTTTTCTCCTTATAATCACTATATCCACCAATTACATCATCATTTTACCCCTTTCACCACATTCTCTCCTAGATGGCCGTTTTCTGTCTATCGCTTATCGCCTGCACCGCTGACTCTGATCGCATCGCATCTTCAACTACACCTTCTTCATGGACAGCAAGACTATAGGCATTCTCGGCGGCGGCCAGTTGGGCCGTATGGTGGTGGAGGCCGCTCATAGGCTCAACATCAAAACTGTGGTACTTGACGCCGCAGGTTCGCCCGCCAAACAGATCAACGCTTTGGACTCCCATGTGGATGGCTCTTTCAAGGACGTCGAAGCCATCACTCAGTTGGCGAAGAAGTGTGACCTTTTAACAATTGAGATTGAGCACGTGGACGTGGAGGCGCTCAAGTCGGTGGAGAAGAAGTTGGGTGTTCCCATCTACCCTTTCCCTGAGACCATCAGATTGATCCAGGACAAGTACCTCCAGAAGACCCATTTGCAACAGCACGGCGTGGATGTGGTGGAGTCTGTGGCTGTTGAGGAGAACTCTGAAGAGGCGCTTGCTGCTATTGGCCAGAAGTTTGGTTTCCCTTTCATGTTGAAGTCGAGAACTATGGCCTACGATGGTAGAGGAAACTTTGTGGTGAAGACGAAGGAGTCTATTCCCGAGGCTCTTGAGTTCTTGGCCAACAGACCTTTGTACGCCGAAAAGTGGTGTCCCTTCACCAATGAATTGGCCGTCATGGTCGTCAGGCTGATTGAAGGCGAGGTCTTTGCTTACCCTACCGTGGAGACTCACCACAAGGACAACATCTGCCACCTTGTGTACGCCCCAGCCCGTATACTGGACACTTTGCAAAAGAAGGCTTCTATTTTGGCCCAGAATGCCGTCAAGTCGTTCCCTGGTTGCGGCATCTTCGGTGTGGAGATGTTCTTGTTGCCTAACCACGAGCTTTTGATCAACGAGATCGCACCTAGACCCCACAATTCTGGCCACTACACCATTGACGCCTGCGTTACCTCCCAGTTCGAGGCTCACGTCAGAGCCGTGGCTGGCTTGCCTTTGCCCAAGGGCTTCTCAAATTTTGCTACCACCAACACGAATGCCATTATGCTCAATGTGCTTGGTGACAAGAAGAAGAACGGCGAGTTGGCAGTCTGCCGCAGAGCTATCGAAACCCCCAACGCATCTGTGTATTTGTACGGCAAGGAGAGTAAGCCCCAGCGTAAGATGGGTCACATCAACGTCGTTGGTTCCTCTATGGCTGAAGCCGAGAACAAACTCAGGTTCATCATGGGCGAGTCTTCCTCCCTTCCTAAAGAGGCTGAGCCACAGGAGAAGCCCTTGGTGTCGATCATCATGGGCTCCGACTCGGACTTGCCTGTCATGTCTGTCGGGGCTAATATCTTGAAGAAGTTTGGCGTTCCCTTCGAGGTTACCATTGTTTCTGCCCACCGTACTCCGCACAGAATGTCCAAATTCGCCATTGAGGCAGCCGGCAGGGGTATCAAGGCGATTATTGCCGGTGCTGGTGGTGCTGCCCATTTGCCAGGTATGGTGGCTGCCATGACCCCATTGCCTGTGATTGGTGTTCCTGTTAAGGGCTCCACCCTTGACGGAGTGGACTCTTTGCACTCGATTGTGCAGATGCCCAGAGGCATCCCTGTGGCTACTGTGGCGATCAATAACAGTACCAATGCTGCATTGTTGGCGATCCGTATTTTGGGTGCTTACGATTACAAGTGGTTGGACGAGATGAGCCAGTACATGAACAACATGGAGGAGGAAGTTTTGGGCAAGGCCGAGCGTCTTGAAGACGTGGGTTACGAAAATTACTAGGCCTTGTGAATGGCTAGCTAGGAATATGGAGAAATGACATTGTTACAAGGAGGATAGTAGAATTAATGAGCAATTCTAATTTGTTTAGTCGTAAGTATTACAACACTTTCTAACAACTTTTATTTTATACGCTGATTGCCACGAAGATCTCTTACAATAATTAGGGCATTAAAATTCCTGAAATGAATTACGTAACGTGTCGCTGTAAACGAATGACTGACAGTGGGCCACAACCCACTAAATGAAAAGATCGCATAATTGATGCTTTACACGGATGGAACCGTCAAGCATGTTAAAGTCACCACCAAACAATGAAATAAAACACAATATAAATGAAGGAAACTCACTCTTCCCTCATGGGAACTCTGTAGAGGGCGGGAAATAACCGAGCGGGTCCTCACCAGGTAGGTTTCTCACCGATGCCAAATCCACATTTACCGAAGGATGGAAGCCATGGCCAGAAGGAGGCGGCGTGTGGAAATTTGTAGGCGTTTGTGGGAAATATGGAGCCTGGTAAAAACCGGTCATCGGGTCTTGGGGTTCCTGCTTGACAGGAGGTACCTGGTTTGGTGAAAATACGTACTCCTGCTTCACTGGGTTTGGAGGCTGAGTAACGGCATCGCTTAGGTCGATAGGCGTCTGAAGCGAGGGCGGAAGGAAGAGCCTGGATGTGGTGGAAACGGCTTCACCCCACGTTTTAACTTTTGAAAACTCCCAAAGCAAAACAGCCTTTATACGAGTTTTGGGCACTAGACTCGTGGAGCCGTCGTGACGCTCGTAGATGACCTGTTTGACGGTGATGCCCTTGAAGGCAGCGTCCAAGGATGTGGGCTGCTGCAACAACTGGTAGAAAAAGCACTTCCAGAATTTAAGTAGGAATGGCTGGTTGGTGTTGGGAAGGAAGTTGTCCTCGTTGACCTTGAGCACCTCAGTGCCGAAGGAATAGACCAGGGTGAAGCTGCAGAGTCCAGCTTGGGGCACGGTTGCAAATTCAAGCATGTAGTTTGTTTTGAGGTCTCTATCGACGGAAAAATCCATGGGCACGTTGGCCGGGTTGAGAAGACGGATCATGTTATGAAGAATGGGCACGTTTGTGCTGGCGAACTCCTCCAAACCGGGGAATCTCGATGCAAAGTTGGCGTCCTCCTTGAGCGTCAACAGCTTCACGGGCAGGTCGTCCTGGAACGTGAGAACGCTATTACTGCCTGGCATGCCGCTGTCTATGGAGAAGCTGATGTTTCTGATCGACACGAGCTCTGTATTGAGACGCTTTCTCTTGGGCGTAGAGGAAATGCCGGTGGAATGGCGCCTTTCGCCCTTACCGTCAGTGGGCACGACACCGAGGGACTTGTTCAAGTTGATTTTGGCAAAAATCTCCTCGAAACGCTTGTTGTTGAGCTCGGCCTCCTCGTCGGAGCCGAACTGCGGTCCGTCGTTGATCAAGGCTATAAGCTCCTTGCGCAGACCCATGTTCTTTATCACCTGGATATGACTGGACACCTGCTTTCTGGATCTGTACTTGCCTGTTTTGGCCATGATGTAATCCGAGATCAACTCGTTACGGCCACAGGAGCGGCCGCCGATTTTTATCTTGTTGAGGCCCTTTTTCGGCACGATAGCGAGCACCTCTTCAAACGCCTGCTGCACGTCAGAACACCAGATATCCTTCTCTTCGCCGTGGGTCAGAGAGGTGGCGCTGGTGGGCGTGGTGATGTAGGACATGTCAGCGGAGTCGCTTCGAGGCGGGCCGAAGGACGGCACCAGGGAGGTTTCTATGGCAGACGAGCTTGTGGAAACACGCATTCTGGGTTTGGCGTCCACGGCAGAGTCGGCAAACTGGGAGGAGGTGGGCATGCCGTTGCGGACGGACTTGGAGGTCTCGTGGACCTGGAACATTTTTTTGCCCGAGTTGTCGATGCCGATGTCGACAATCATGTGGAGTTTTTTAGTCATGGCGGATGCCAGAGAGGCCGACGGCGGGATGAGGAGGAGCCGGGAGGCTGGATGACGATGATTGGTGGCCGGTGGAATGTGGCCTGAGGATGCGGGAGGGAAGTAGACGGAGTGGGAAAAGAAGAGCGGATATATTTGGAGGATCAGGCTCAGAGAACCAGGTAATGCTGCATTGTTAGTAGGACGGGGGGAAAAAAGCACAGCAGCTTGGAGGCAGCAGGAGCGGAAAAACAGGCAGGTAGGCAGGCAGGCAGGCGGTGTCGACAAGGTCCCAGCTGGAGGGCAGGCGCGCAGTTCAGCGGCTAAAACCAGGCACCAGGCAGGCGGTGGAGGCACTTGACGAATGGCCTGCCAGTGAAGGAAGAGAAAGCAGGAACGGCGCGGGAGGACGCTTGAGCCGGGGGTGACTTGACGAAGCGAGTTGGTGTGCCACAAAGATCTTGTAAAACAGGCAAAAACAAAAAAAAAAAAAAAAAAAAAGGGCTCCCATTCCCGGATTGTACAATCGCATTGTCTCTGCCCTGGGATCCTGGGATCCGGGTCTCCACTGGTGGATCGCTGCCGAGATTGTTGCTGGCACTGCGCAGGGAGGTCGCGGTGCGACTGTGTGGGCCCGATGCCGGGCGCGATGGACTGCACTGGTTGGGTGTTCCTGGCGGTACCTGGCGCGGTGCGTGAGCCAAGACGGGCCCACAAAGACGAAAAGTGGCAGAAAGCGCTGGGAAAGGCCCGACAAGGGAAGGACAGGAAAGGCGGGCGCTTGAAAGAAGCAGCTGCCAAAAGCCGGAAAAACTGCACCCGGCGCTCTTCACATGGCCCGCCGCGAGTCCGCTGCGTCGCAGGTGCAGCTGCGCTCCGGCAAGAGTTATCTTTGCTCGGCGGGCGCCAGCACGCCTGCCGTGTGGCGAGGACATCTGCAAATGAACCTTGGTGCCCCCACCGCGCTCTTGGCGCCCCTAACGGTCTGCCAAAAAACGCCTCCGCGGAGAGCACCACAGGAGCACTTACCATCTGGAGCACTTACCATCTGGAGCAGTTTCCTTCTGGAGCACTTTCCTTCGGAGCACTTTCCTTCTGGAGCACCACTCACCCGGGCTCCAAAAAACACTTCCACCCAGCCTTGGCCTTCAGACAGCCACCCCAGAACCGCCACTCCGCAACCTCCAACATCTTCTGCTCAACAGGTGCCCTGGGTCACCTGGCCACAATACATACCTTTCCTGAGGATCCCACCCAGCGAAACCCTCCCTTTTAAGTCCCCCGTGCGATTTGCTCTTTGTTTACGTCAGAGGCTCACAATGCGCAGCCCGCATTGTGCCCGAGCGGCTACACTTAGCCCGCTGTCGCTCCAGCCTCGCTGCCTGCCTCTGCCCTACTGCCTGCGCCGTCGTTGTTCTCTGGATTTGCCTTGCCTCGGCACTGTCCGCGGCGCATAAGCCAGTGTGACGCTTCGACAAGGGTGGTTTTTCTGGCGGGTTGGCTGCGAAACACACCGCCTTGCGTGGTTCGCTTGCAGAGCCTCCCACGATAGCCGCCCGGCGGCAACCTCGCGGTCGTTGCCGCTGAAACTGGTTTTACACGGAAGCCTCTTGCCTGCAATCGTGCGTGTGCTTTGTGTAACTTGCGTGTGTGGTCTATCGCAGCACTAGCACCGCAGCACCGCAGCAGCAGCAGCATCGGCGTCGCTCGTTCCTTTCCTATCTCGACTCGCGCGGGCCTCTGCTCCCATTATCCACCCAAAGCTCAATGCTTTTTCTAAGAGACCCAGACTTGGGCTCCCTCCCTTGGGCTCCCTCCCTTGGGCTCCCTCCCTTGGGCTCCCTCTTGGCTTACCACCGCTTCAGATCGCGAGCGATCGGTCCGCATCGATCATCCAAACGTATAGCATACGTTGCACAGGTAGGCTGTTGGGCCTCTGTGGCTTGCCTTCTCCTCGCTGTGATTCCGCTTTTCTCTGTTTTCCTGGCTCCTCCTCCTCCACCGCTACGCTGCACCGGCTATACCTACTCGCGCAGAATCGTACACTTGCCTGCTTTGGGAAAACCCAACGGTGCACGCCAGCCGCTTCCCCACAGACCGTCCTGTCAACCTCTGCCGCGGTTTCTGCTTTTCGACATTTTCTACATTTCCCACGTTTTTTGCATCTTGTGCATTTTTTTATTTTTGGCAGCGAACTCGTTCTGCCTTCATAATCTCTTCCCCTGCGGCACCCTGATTTGCACCGCTGCAACCTCCCCACACCGTTCCACGCCTCTCCCATTCATCCCCCCATCCTCTCCTTTCCTCCCGTTGTTCCTTCCCTGCGTCCGCGGGCGCCTTGCTCGTTCTGCCCTGGAAGCCACCCTTCCTTCGCTTTTTTTACCAATTTCTTCCCTGCCTCCCCTTCCCTGCCTCCCCGATCTTCCTCCCGCACAAACCCTGAAGATCGCTGCCTGAGATCGCTCTGATCGCCTGCGTGCCCTGTCGCCCTCCGCCTGGCAACCTATTGTCCCCGGTGTACGCAGGCTGCCTGGCGCCCAATCCGGGTGGCCCACCGAAGCCTTAATTTGGACACACACCGACGAAAATGACAATTTGTCAAACGTTCCAATCTTCTTTCTTTCTCGCCACCTCCATGCTTCGCTCCTCAGCCTGGCGACCGCTGCATTGCTCTGCAAAACCGCCAATGCAGCGTCTCTGGGCCCTGAAGATCCGGGGACACATCCGGACGTAGCTAGTGCGTCTAAGATACACTTTGGTGCATTTGCACCCAACGCATACACTGGCATAACGATCGCATGCACTGGCTAAACAGGGTTTGGTGGAGGTTCGCTTACAGTCCTGGGCTCGGCACCACCGTCTGTTGCCACTTCTTGCCTCGGTGCTTTCTTGTCTTAACCCTTGCTTTGGCAATTGGCCAGTCGCGGGCCCTCCAGCACTATCTCAAAAATCTGCTTTCGCTTCCTATCAGATCTCGCCAGATCTCCATCTCGCGCCGGGCCTGGCCATTGCAAGTTCCGCATTCGGCTACCCTCCTCTACTCGACAATCGTCTTCCTCAGAAACACCGCCTCTACCACCGCCTCTACCACTGCAACGGCCGCCAGGGTGCGGTCGATCAAACACGGTCGTAAATGCACTCGCCTCGCTGGATACCTTCGCTGGTCCAAGCCCTGATTCATGATCCACAGCTACGTCCTGCTATCCTCACCTTGGCACCGTGGAAAAATTTCTCTTCTCTGCACCTGCCCCGCTGCCCAGAGAAGTCAAACATTCCCGCTCGGTTTGCAGCCAAGAGGGCTGAGGTGCTGCCGGGACACTTGATCACGGGCTCCTTGATTTAAGGTTTGTTTGAATGTGCTTTGTTACCTTTGCTGCCTCACATGTTCTTGTGTTATTTGCTTCGATCTGTTTTAAGCGTGCTCACTGGTGGTCCCGATAAAGCAGGGCCCTCTCGAAGATCTCGCGCTGCGTTGACTAATCCATGCTGCTCTAGATTGTCTGACTCGGGGTACGTCGGCTACCTGGAACTGCTTCCACAATTTATTTTTCACAGTATGGAAATATTTTCTCTCGCCAATGCACCCTGCCTAGGCTATCTTCGGTCGGCATATTAAGCTTTAAGGTTGGAAAGCCCACATTGCCGCAGTGCGTAGGAAGCTCCCGGGCTTATTGACTGAGACACAGGCTTATCGCTTTGCTGTAAACAGTAAGGAATACGAACCCTGCCATGGAACATTCCTAGAGAACCCTCCTGTCGCTGGGTGCCCCCCAGTGAAGCGATCGGTCATTGCAATTTGAAAAATTCCAGACGCTCAGATCACAATCTATGTGCGATCCCACAGCCCTCCAATTATGCTAATGATTTAGGCTTCTAGCCGCAGACTCGCTTCATACATGCTTGACGCCTAATCCCGTTTTTGGTCTATCGTGCTAAACCGTAGTCAGGCTTTCAAAAATGCCTTGAACGCTGTCTTGTTTGCCGGCTCCTCCGTGACGTCCTCAACCTCACTCAAGCCCTCTTCAGAAAGCACGGCGCCAGCGTCGTGCTCCTTCAATCGAAGTTCACCGCCCTTCACTTCAACAAACGGAATTTTACTCAAATCCACCGCCGCCGCAGCCTCAAATTCTCCACGGTGGCTCTGCCAGTATGCCAGCCATTTTGCCGCTGCTCTCCCCAACGCTCCTCCTGCTCTCACGTCCACCAACGCCGCTACGTCTGCCGAGATCTCCTCTACAGTAGTGTACTCGAATCGCCTTGTCTTGCGCAAGACATCGGCAAAGCTGGGCCCTTCGCGCGGCTTGTAATTAGTCAAGGCCCTCGTGGGATCAAGCTTTTCAGACATCAAGGCCAAGTGTTTCGCAGCCAATGTGCACAAAGGAAAGTAGGCGGCGTCGTACGCCGACAAGCCCAAAAGCAGACGTTCAAGTGCCAATTGTTGTCGGCGTTGTGTAAGCAGTGCCATTTCGGTAATCTTGGCCAAATCCCCTACCAAAGTGTGGCCAAACTCGATCTTCTCGTGTAGCGACGCAAGCGCCTCCTGGGCGGCTGCAGAGTCGTAAAGCTGTGCTGCCTGGGCTACAAGCATCAGCTTGTGTGCACTGGGACGAACCAAGGGTCCCCTCTTGGCCTCTCGCTTGAGGCACCAGTACTTACACAATTCTGCGCTAGCATGGTGCATGTCTGCAAGTACCTCCAGTCTGGGTACATCGTTTGCATTGCCGAGTCCTCGTAGAAGCGAGTTTTCAGGAATGTCCACCTTCAACGCTAGCAACAATTCATAGATCATTTGAGCAAAGCACTTGGGCGCTATGGGGGTATTGTGCTCCGTCTTCCAGCGAAGAGCACTGAGGCTGTTTTCGTGACGCCTGCGAGAAGCCAAGCGGTGCTTTTCTTCACTCGCGAGTAATCTATCGCGGTAAAACCGACGGGTCTTTGCAATACCGACCACCACTGCTTCAGCGCTCCATTCAGGCGGGCAATGGCGGTGGCAGTATGATGTAAGTGTGGCTTTCAGAGCAAGCGCTCCGTGAACGCCCTTTTCCATTGCCATGTATAGCCCTGCTCTTTTGGCGCAGGTGACATGGTACGCCTGGAAACACAGTCGGTTTGTGCATTGGATGCAAGCGCCCACTCTCTGTTTGCAAATGTAACACACCAATTTCCATCGCGTCTTTGGAACCGCTCCCACGCCCTCAATAGGCTCCATGTAGATTTGGTTGGCGAAATACACCTCTGGAATCCAAAGCGCACAGACAACATGGCTCCACAAGCCATTGTCCAATTGCTTGAAAGCACCCAGGCGAGAAGGACAGAAGCTGCAATCGCTGTGACCTCTGACGAGCATGCAGCGGCGACAGAACCACTGGCCCTCGGGAATAAACGCAATTCCGTAGCACTCTTGATGTACTGCGATGTTGCAACCGTCACAGAAGACGATGGCGTTGCCGTTGTGGCCCTCCAGGTCGTTACACACGGCACAACGCTGCTCCAGAATGGAAGCAGCCCCCGCAATGCCGTCGTCGTTGCCGTACTTGTCAAAACTTTCATCAAGCTCTGCCTCGTCTTCGTCAAGATCACCGCCCATGCCACCCATCCGCACTTCAAGGCGGTGCCATTCCTCTTCAAGCACCGTGATAGCAAGTTCTAGGGCCTCACGCGAGAGGTTAATGCGCGCCGTCAGGCGGCCGTTGCGCCAGTTGAGGAACTGCTCGTCCTGTTCGTCTAGATCGTAGCGAACCTGTCGGCGACTCAAGAACTTTTTGTCAAATTCAAAGGTATTCTTGGGAGGTTCCCTTGAGGCCGCTTTCTGCTTTCCGCTGTCTGCATCCTTCTTCTCTAAGGCCTCGCTGCTGTGATTGTCGCTGGGCCAGTTTTGTCTTAGATAATGGGACCTGACCGGACCAGCTCCACGGGAAGCTCGAAACCCATGCTCTATAAGCGCTTTTGACATTCGAGAAACCGGTGCCTTGCGTTCTCTTCTCACAAATACCGGTCTTGCAAGTGGAAGTGGTGCTGGAGGAGCTGTTTCTGCAGGAGGCTGTTCCACCACCACCACGCCAAGCCGCTGTGTTTCATCAAGATCGCCATATATTTCACGGTAGTCACGCTCTTCACGCGGTCGCGTGTCGTATGTCGCTGCCACCATGGCGTGGTTTGGAGTTTGGATGTAGATGTAGTTGTAGTTGTGGTGTTGATGTTGATGTATGCGCGCGGTATAGGTGAGTTCGATGAGGCTCCGATGGGTGGTCATAGGGTGTGAGGGTGTGGTCGTAGTTTCCTACGATGTTCAAGAAATCCAGTTTGGCGAATTTATGTCCCTCGTTATAAACTTTAACAATTGTTAAATTAAAACGAGACACTCCATAGTGGGTGCTTAAACTGGTGACTACATTATGTAGCGCTGCGACTGAGAGGTCTACAGAGTAGACAGGACCAAAAGTACAGTCTCTGAAAATTCAACTCCATGAAAGTATGCTCCCTGCCCATCCTAGGGCACGTTGACCGTCTTACTCATGGGCGCTTTGATTTGCAAACGCCATTGAGGGGAAGAACAATAGCGAAGTAAATCTTCTAGAACAAAGCACTCAGGGACCCTTTTGATAAATCCGATGAACTCACGAAGCTCGACTTTGATAGACAGCGCGGTCACAAAATGACTGGGCATCCAGTGGGTCGGAAAACCCCGAAAATCCCTCTTTCAACTAGCCCATCATTCTTCCGCCTGGTTTGTAGATCCACCCTTCACATTGCCGCCATTTTTCAAATCTCACGAACCCCCACCAAAATCACGATAATCGGATTTTCCATCAATGGGTATTATTGTGAGGCTCCACGATTTTCGCAGCCAGGCTAATCGTACAGTCGTGAGCCCAAGCTTTTCAACAATCGCAAAGATACGCACACTGACGCCCGCCACAATCAAAAACCCAAAAGCTAGAGATCTGCCTTCGCGTCATTTCTTTTTAGTCTTCAAGATCACCGTTTATTGTATTCCAAAAAAAAGCCGTTCTGTCGATCTCATTGGCCCCTCGGCGCCTCGGGCCTGCAGTACATGCCTCGATTCAGCACACAAAGCTGAGCGCTACTGGAGCACTAATCTTTCAGACATTCAAACTAGCCGGTTTCGGTAGCAGATCGTTGCTGCAGGGCATACCTGTACAATGGTAGTCATCAGAGTCATACAAAATTGACTCATTTCGGGCTGTGTTTAAACCTCCAACAACAAAGAGACAATATTGCATCCTGCTGAAGTTCTAAACCTGTTGCAGCCCGCCTCTCGGTGCTTAGCAGGGTCCTTGTCCATTTCCTGCATGCGCCCCAACATACCACATTGGGAGCCAACATTGAAAAACAAAAAAACAGCCAGCACGGAAATCCGTGCGGCTGCTTTGAACGTCTAAGGCCGATTCGGGCGTTTCATGCCTCAGGTAGTCAGGAACTGTGTACACTAGTAGAAGCTCTAAACCGGCTTCCCACCTCATATCCAGGGTGAACAAATGTACTGCAGGTAGTACCTGCCACTTCGGAGTCAGAGGGACAATCCCATTCTACGCTGGCGTTGCCTTATTTCAAGCAACTTTTTTGTCTTGGGCATTCATTTGATAGAGGAGCTCAGTGTGTTAACTATGTTGAGAGAAACCAGCAATCGAGCTCGTAGGGTCTGTTTTACGGCTCCTGCACAGACTAGCACATACCACTTCAGCCACAATTGCCCGGTCCGAGAGTGAATGATTCATTTATTACTTCGAAGGTTTTTCAGGTTGCTTAACTTTTGACAGTGTAAGATGTTACCCATAGCTATTTGGGAAAGTTGGTCGAACACTTAGACTCACCAGGAACACCTTTAAAAGTATGGTAGTGCTACTCAATTCACAGATGAAGAATACTCTATATATCCTGGCCGTCTATGACATCACAGTCTTGTTTGAAGTGGGATTTGGGCCTCCAGACACCGTCTACGGGTGGTTGGTGGGTCTATACTGCATACACTGTCCAAGTCTATCTTGTGTTCCAAGCATGATAGGTGGCAACGCCCTTCAAAATGTTACTTTGTCGGTCCGGCAGAACACATCCCAACACCTACGGTAGTACCAGCAGCTCGAATATAGGCCCAACAGTGGCATTATATCTTTCGTCCTGCACATAACACACCCACTGGCCCCACGATCGCAGTTGCTAAAAACCCTATCTATCTTGTCCAATACGTCTCACTAGAGTTTTGCCAGAAGAATGGGAAACAACACGTCGTCGACGCGTAAGTCCGCTGCAGCTGTGCGGAATAGCAGCGTACGCAAACTGTCCCAATCGCAGAACAATGCCCATCAAATTCTAGAGGAAGAGTTCAGCGATTTGATTCTTCACGAAGTCAAAAGACAGAAACAAGAACAGGCCTCGTCCAGTGGTCACCTGCACCTGGCCGACGACCTGGAGCCCAACAAGCACTTTACAAACGACTTGATCGAGGACGAGTTTAATGAGTTGAGTGATGGCCTTCTAGGCACTGATAATGGAGATGTCCAGCGAAACATCATTCCAACCAATGAGGGTTCGGACTCGGAGCTGGATGCACTGAACCGGCCCGGATGGCGTCCCAATGCTGTCCAGAACCAAAACCAGTACTACGTGAGGAAAGACCCTAGCGAGGTGAATAGTATAGCCAGCGGATATGAAGGTCTGGGTTACGAGGGACTGGGCAATGAAGGTCTGGTTTTCGAGGGCCTGGATGACGGCGAACGAATGGATGTTGATACTCTGGAGAAGTCTTCGAAAACAGGGGCCAGTGCTAGTGATTTGCTGAAAGTAGACTTCACGAAATTGGCTGCACCAGCTGCCGCACGCTATGGTTTCAGACCTCCACAGCGTCTTGGGGGTACGCAACTGCCTGCGTTCAGCCGTGCAGACTCCATGCAAAGTGTCACCCTGGGAAGGTCTCTGACAAGATCTCCTGCTCATGACCCTTTGGGCCACAACTTCGCTGGCGAATATGGCAACCTGTCCTCGGGTAAGCTTGTTCCTGTGGAGATCAAGTGGGTGAATGCTGCCCGCGAGAACATCAACAAGATCTCCATCATCGGGTCTTTCTCTAATTGGCGTGATGTCATCAAGCTCAAGCCGCTGGCGGCACAGCCCAACGAGTTCTCGGCCACCATCAGTTTGCCCTTGGGTGTGCACAAGTTGCTCTATATCGTCAACAGCGAGTACAGGGTATCTGAATCTTTGCCTACGGCCACGGATCAGGAAGGTATCTTGTTCAATTGGTTCGAAATTTTGGACCCTCAAAGGCTCTTTAATCACTCCCAGAAGAACCAGAGCCGTAATGCTCTGACACCTTATGACGCTAACATCATTCAGGTGGCTGGCCAGCATGACACTTTTGTGATTCAACAGAAGCTGAACCTGTTCCTAGCAAAGGTTTCCAAAGAGGCGAAGGATACGGCCAATTTTGAGCACGTTGAGCACATCGATGAGTCTGATAAATACGAGTCCTATAATGAGCGGCTCTCATTCTTAAACGACCATAGCCACACCGGTGCCTACGAGTACCTGAGCGATATTCCCGAAATGTTTGTCAACTACGATTACTTCAAAAACAAGGCACCCGACTACGAGTTGCCAGAGCCACCTCAGCTCCCAGCGCACCTCAACAATGTGCTTTTGAATAAGATGCTGTCAAATTTTCAGCAAAACCATGCTCATAATATTCCCCAAGTTGGGGTCTGGATCCATCAAACTCCAGTTCCAGCTCTAATCAAGTGGCAAAAAGACCTGCCTTACGTCGTGCCGATAGCTCTTACTATGCTTCCAACGCGGAGGCCTTGCACCAACTGATTCCCAACCACGTGATTCTCAACCATTTGATGACCACGTCCATTCGTAACGACGTGCTCACCGTGGCCTGTATTACTCGTTATTCGGGTAAATTTGTTACGCAAATCATGCACCTGCCCGCTGATACAGACAAGTCATAGAGGTTTCGCAGCCATGTCTCAGGTGTGTCTGAATGGTGATCGTACTGCACACATACGCAACACTCACCATGGGGTCTCCGGAAGCTAACCTTTCCGAGTACAAAACCCATCTTTTATCAATTTGCATCAACTCCACCTACGAAATGTCTTGGTCTGGCTTCAAGAAAGCCATCAATAGAGCAGGCAACCAAGTGTTGCTCAAAGCAGGCCAAATTGACGAAACTGTCGACTTGGAGTTTGACTATGAGGAGAAGCGCTACCGAGCAATGGAAAAGTCATCGGAGAAATTATACAAGGAACTTCGGCGTTATAAGGAAACGCTCGCTTCGTTGTCTACAGCCCAGCTGAATGTCAGTGACGTTCTTGCTGGCTTCTACGGTCAGGATAATGAAGCAGAAAGCATTGCTAAAGAGTACAATGAAGCCACTCGGTCCATTTCGGCGGAGACGCTCGAGGGTTTGGGCCAACCATTTTTGCAGACGGTGCTAAATCCAATTGATCGGTTTAATTCCTACTATGTGGACATGAATGAGGCCATCAAGAAGCGGGCCCACAAAAAATTAGACTACGACTCGCTTCGGAACAAAGTTCGGAAGCTCTCTGACAATCCTGACGCCGAGCCTGCGCTGGAGATCAAATTGAAAGATGCCACAGCTCAACTTGCTCTGGCAGAGGAAGTCTACGAGCGACTCAATGGTCAGTTGAAGTCTGAGCTTCCCAGGTTGATGGACCTCAGGATTTCATACCTCAATCCGCTGTTCGAAGCATTCGTGAAGTTGCAACTACGCTACTTCAGTGAAAACCACAGGCATTTGAATGAGGTACAAAAGCATGTGGACGCCAAGACCCGTGCAGACTTCAAAAGCGGGAAATTGGAAAAGCGGCTCGACGACATCCTTGGGAAGGTGAAGGAGCTCAACATCGCCAGCTAGGGCAGCGTCGCTAGCCACAATGAAACCGGGTACGGAATAATAGATTTCTCACATGACAAGGGGTAGTTTGGTAGGTCATTCCTAGGCTGTAGGAGGTGGAAAAAAGGAATCCGTCGGTGGAGATTGCGAAAGATGATATTCACTAACTATGTGGAGAGCTTCGTCACTCAAGAGATGGAGCATAGGTTGTTGCCATTCCTATTAATCCTACAGCAAATCTTCACATTGTTCCCAAGATTCGAATCTTAGGCATGATCCAATTCAACTCCTCGGCCAAAAAGCGGATTGGCGCTAATTTGATAACTAGCAAATCTAGCATCTACATCATAGTGAAGAGCTTGCGCATTCGCTTCTGAGACGACCATGGGCCAACTTCAAGCACTTTTATAGGTCGGCCCAAAAAAAAAACTCTAATTCCCAAATCTTAAAGAACGAATTACCTAAATCATCAACTCCCCTCTTCCCACCACCTCCTCTTCCCTGTCCCTCCCCGATCCTCACTGAGACACTTCGCGCCATCAACCTCAAGTTCCCCAGCGACCGCTTTCGACTCACTTTTCTTCCCCTTCCCCACACATTTTCATAGAATCATGTTCCGCAAAATACGGGCCCGCCAAGATGCCGGCCCGGTTGCGGTAGCGTTTCCAGAACTGTTTTGGCACTGGTACGCTGACTCCTTCACCCGACTATCAGAAACACCCAAGACGGATGCCTTGCCACATAACCCCAAGAACTACACTAGCAAGCTGCTGGCGGTGGTTCAGATAAAGGGCTACTTCGAATCGCCACCGTCTACACATCAGGTCGTGGCGCTTCTAAAGCTGCCGTTCACAAACGGTGATATTGCTCGTACCTATACGCTTCTCCGCTTTTTCCAACTCAGTGAAAGCGGATTCTTCATAACGAACGATGGCTTTGAGCGTCTGGGTGCTCGAATCGAGTTTGCTGGTGCCGAAAATTGGGAGAACGTCATGTGCTACATGGATGCTCTTTTGTTTCTGATGTTTGCCAACTTGGAGAGCTTTGAGCCTATCTTGTTTTTGCTGAACCAGCACGCCAATCCTATGGTGGACCAGCTCTCTGGTTTGCTCAGAGTCTACGTCAACTTGTTGCGCTCCGGCAACTTGATCACCACCGACATCTCCATGAGGATTTGTGAGTGTCTCATGAAACTCGGATACAATGAAGCCATGAGCCACAGACAGCAAGATGTCGCTCCACTTTTTGAGTTTTTGACAGAAACTCTTCTGATGCCATTGTTGACTTTCAAGGTCGAGATCAAGCACCTGGGCAAGCACGAAAATGATGATACCAAATACTCGAAAGAGCGTATTCTTTTTGTTTCGGTCCCTGACTCCGAGAAGACCGCTACTCCAATCAAACCGGAAGACAAATTCGTCGAAAACCAAACCGACAGCCTGGATGCCATCCTTTTGGAGGAATGCCTCGAGCATTACTTCAACAACTCCATCTCTGTTAAACGTGAGCTTGAACGTCGTGCCACGTTAGACAGCCTTCAAAGGCCTTCGGAAACATTTGAAAGAAAAGAAACACCCGAGAAAAAGGAAGTTCCTGATGCCGACATTGAATTGACGCAAGATCTTCCCACCAACATCTCATTCAGAGCTCGTCACAGCACCCAAGGCTCTTTGAGCAACCTGGTCAAAGCTCGAACTCGCTCGTCAACACTCTCCATATGGTCCATCACTTCTGTTGAATCGAAGCCTAAAGAAGTGATGCTCCCAGCGTGGATGTTATTGCGTCTTTTACCGTTTTACACGGACGACAACACCATAGACAATGCCAATGAGAGCGTTGCACGCAACTCTAAGGAGTTTGTGAACCGCAGGCCAGTACTCCCTATATGTTTGAAGCGATACTCGTTCGATGCCACTGAGCAGCTGGCTAACCGCTCTAACAAGCGTATCATTATACCCCCAGTCATCGAGTTGCCCTCCTTTGTGGCTGACGACGTCGACACAGACACAGGAGGATTCAAACTCATTCTAGAGAGTGCATTGTGCCACAGAGGCACCACCATTGCGTCTGGACATTTTGTATCTGCCGTCAGAAAGAACATCCACGTGAAGGAGGAGACACTAGAGGAGTCACTCAATGCCGAATGGTACTTATTTGACGATATGAAAAAGAAAAAAGTGGTGAAAAAGACATTCAGCGAAATATTCGATACCGAATGGCCTTACATGCTCTTTTACAGGTTGGCGTCATCCTCTGAAAAATCAAGCTCCGTGCTGTCTCTTCGTTCAGGAAGGGACACTGTCAGTCCTGTGGTAGCCCCAAAAGGATCCCGCCTGAAGTACTGGAGCGAGGATGCTTTGACGCCAATTCTTTCCAGAACTGAATCGAAGAGTGACCTAGAGTCAAAAAACGGCACGTCCTCGACGGTCCCCAATTCATTGGAAAGCGCCGTGAAGGCGTCGTTTGGAAGTGATACAAGTACTTCCAGCATACCTATTCCTGATACACTCCCGACTAGTCTGAAGTACACGGACATCCGTCAACGATACCTCTGGTATGTGACTGATGACGAAATGAACTATTACAAGGAGATTCCTCTGGTCTCGAAGACCGGTAGCAGAAATATGAGCATAAGCTTCACACCGCAATTTCGGAGAAACAGTCAATGGAGCGAGAACTCAAATATAAGCGGCCTCGCTTTGGCAGATCTGGCAGCCACCGAGAAGGTCGACATGGAGAAGGTTTACAAGAAACTTGAGAAGTTGAAACCTTCAGAGAATTTAACTGAGGACAGCGAGAACGAAGAGCGCAAGCATAAACACTTTGGTCATTTCCTCCATAGCGAAAAGAAGAGTGGAGCATCGCTCCAGAGAAAAGAACATAAACGCCGGTTGACAGAATACAAGAAAGAGAAATGTGTGATCACATGAGAGGATCTGTCTACTGGATTATATAGCATTAACGGCATTTAATGAGATTATTCGAAAGATAATGTTGATTCTAGAAGTCGCTCAGAATCCAGTCACAGCGTGAGATTATCTGGAGAAGACGACCTCTGCAATACCAGTGAACAATCAGGCTCTGGCTTACATGTAACACGATTGATACGAGAATACATATTATAAACCTATTAAGTATCAATTTTTTAAATCATCCCAACCTTTCTTCTTGGGTGCCCCACACTACTCTCGTCATCGGACTCTATAGTATAGGCATCGCATCGCACTCAGTTCTATATCAATTAAGACAAGATGAGCAAAAGAAAGAACGATGAGGACAGCGACATTGACGTCAGTTCTACTGATGAAAGCGACAATTCTGATGTTGAGGAGCAGCAGGATGAGGTTGTGAATGTTGATTTTGACTACTTTGACTTGAACCCAGACGTGGACTTCCATGCTACCAAAAACTTCCTTCGTCAGCTCTTCGGTGACGATGCCACCAATTTCGACATTTCCTCATTGGCTGATATGATTTTGACGAAAAATTCTGTTGGTACTACCATCAAAACAGAGGGACTCGAAGGAGACCCCTTTGCGCTTCTCTCGGTGATCAATTTGACTGACAACGTCGAAAAGCCTTGCATTAGGGCGGTTGTGGACTACATCCTCGAAAAAACGAAATCGGACAATGAATTCAATCTCATCTTGAGAAAATTGCTCCTTCCGGGAAAGTCGACTAAAGACCAAACCAAACAGCTTAAAGTGGGTTGGATCGTGAGTGAAAGATTGATCAATATGCCCGTCGAAGTTGTGCCTCCAATGTACAAGATGCTTCTGGAAGAGATGGAGAAGGCTGAGGATGCTCACGAGAAGTATGAGTTCGACTACTTCCTTGTTGTGTCGAAGATATATAAGATGGTTGGCTCGACAGCAGATGAGGAAGAGGCAGCGCCAAAGAAGAAGAAAAAGGCCTCCACTGAAGAGGAGTTTGACTACTTTCACTACGAAGACCTTGTTTTGGAGGAGAATGCCAAGTACCATAAACACTACAAGTACACGAATCATCTCCAAGAAACGGACTCTAGAAGGGTGTTTACTGAGTACGGTATTGATCCCCGTTTGAGTCTTCTTTTATTGGACAAGAAGGGTTTGGCTAAGTCAGTGCCTGAATTGGCAGAAAAATTTCCTCCATTTTAATAAATATATCAAAGTTATCGTGAACATGTGGATATTTACGTAAGTTTTGCAAACCTTCCAAAAAGTTAAGATGAGATGAGGTCAAAATAAATTAAAAAGGCTTCCTATAAACAGTCTCGTAGTACTTCGTGCTTTTGATTGGTTATTTTCTAGCATCCTAATGATATTTGGTTGATGTAGATGACATGGGGAAGTGTTTCATTGTCGATGCCTCATCCCGCCAAAGCCCGATTTACAGCCAAAAACCGAATGCACCACAACATTTTATTCTATCAATGTCCCAGTAATAAGAAGTCGTAAGTTTGCATTGAAAATGTTTAGGATAGTTTGAGTATACATTGAAAGTGTTATGAATAGTTTAAAAGGCGACCATTATTAAAGAAGTTCGACTATGGAGGCGTGCTCCCTTGAGACACTTGGTATTTTAAAAAGCGCACGAAACTTAAATATTTGAAATTCAACATATAGTCAGTTAAGACAGAATTTCGTGATCCAACAGGGGAGAGGTTGGGCCCTGAAGCACTAGCCAATGTGCGGCTGGTCCGTTTGCAGCCATTTCGCAACCACACAACTCAGCCTGCTAGCCAGTTGGAAGGACAGAATAAGATGAACCAGAAACGTCATAATCAAAAGAGAAACAGAATCAGTTGGAAATGCTCCTATACATGGGTCTGCCAGATCGTTCAGCTCCTGTGGCAACGCACTCAACCAATCATTTGACTAGTTTCAACCAGCCAGGCGAGCAAAAACACGCTTTGAAAGTCCGGATTAAATTACTTGAAGACAATCCTGTTCAGTAAATGGTTCGCCAATCTGAGCATTGATTGTTGACTTGTTGGTGGTCAGTCTCACATTGTCTACAGCATTCCACTGTGGTAGGCAATGGCATACCATATAACTTTTGCCCACAGAAAATGGATACACGGAACGAAAATCCTCTCAAAAAAATACTTTCGAAACAAATATAGCCATAATATATATTCATCCACCTTATTAACCTAACCACGGCTTCGTCGTCTGAAGTGCGGTCTGCACACGACTGGAAAATTTTAGCCTTCTCGATCTCTGATACTCCATCACAACCAGGCCATGCCACCAGCACACAAAAACCAGGCCTTGAGGCCAGAGAACGTGCTCAAAAGAGCCGAAGACCTTATTGGTGTCGGTCAGAAGGATGCAGCCCTCGAGGTTCTTTACGAGATGATCACCTCCAAGAGAACTAGATACTTGCCAGTGGAGGACTTGGAGCCCATTGGACTTTTGCTTATCGAGTTGGCTGTTCACTTCAGAAAGGGCAAGGTTGCCAAGGATGCCTTGCACCAGTACAAGAAGAACGTGCAGATGCTGGAGAACGGTTTGGAATCTGTTCAAGTCATTGTGAGAAAGTTCATTGAATTGGCTGAGGGTAAGTTGAACGAAGCCCAGGCCAAGGCAGACATCAAGATGGACCAGGAGGACGACGATGATTTGGAAACCTCGCAAACCCCAGAGTCCATTTTGTTGTCAGCTGTGCTGAACACCGATTCTGCTGATAGAACCGAGAGAGAGTTGGTGACCCCATGGTTGAGATTCTTGTGGGAGGCTTACCGTGCCGTTTTGGACATCTTGAGAAACAACTCCAAATTGGAGGTGACCTACTCTGCTATCGTGAACCAGGCGTTCCAGTTCTGCTTGCGTTTCAACAGAAAGGCTGAGTTCAGAAGACTCTGTGAGTTGTTGAGAGCCCACATGCAATGGGTGACTACCAATGCTCCAGGCAAGACTACCGGTACCAACGTGAACGCTGTGGATTTGTCTGACTCTGAGACCGTTCAGCGTTACTTGGAGCAGCGTTTCTCCCAGTTGAACATTTCCGTCAAATTGGAGTTGTGGCAGGAGTCTTTCAGATCCGTTGACGATGTTCACACTTTGATCACCGCTTCTAAGAAGACCCCAAAGCCAGTGATGATGGCTAACTACTACGAAAACTTGGCCAGAATCTTCGCCGTTTCTGACAACACTTTGTTCCACGCCGCTGCATGGAACAAGTTTTTCAACTTGTTCTCGCAGTCTCCTAATGCTACTGACAAAGAGTTGAGCTACTATGCTTCTGTCCTTGTGTTGTCGACCTTGTCGATTCCAACTAAGTCGTTGAACATCAACGAGACCGTTGTTGACGACCAGAAGGCCAAGCACGCAAAATTGACTTCTTTGTTGAACTTGAGTCAGGTGCCCACCAGAGACAGCTTGATCTCTGCCATCGAGAACAAAAACATCTTGAAATTCGTCGACCCTGCTGTCAAGGACTTGTTTGAGATCATGAGTGACACCGAGTTCCACCCATTGACCGCTAAGGACAAGGTTGCTGGCGTTTTCCAGATCATCAAGGACGACAAGGCATACAGCAAGTACATCCCCACTTTGACTGAGGTGGTGGCCATTCGTTCGTTCCAGCAGGTTTCTCAGATCTACGAGGCTGTCAAGTTGGACTTTTTGGTTTCTTTGGGTATCATCGAGGGTACCGACTACACCTTGTCTGAGTTGGAAGTTGAAGACATGATTGTTAACGCCGTGAAGAAGGGCCACTTGTTCTTGACCATTGACCACGAGTCTCAGGTCGTGACCTTCGAGTCCAACCCATTCGAGGACTCTTACACCGACTCCCTTTCGTCCAAATTGCAAGCCACCCCAGCCGAGTTGGTCAGAACTCAATTGTCCAAGTTGGCATCCGTGTTGGCCCAGTCTCGTGACGTTATTGACCCACACTACGAGGCCCGCCAGGAACAGAGACGTGAAGTTGCATTGAAGAACGCCATTTCCGACTTTGTCAGAGAGCAGGAGCTGATTGCCGACAGAGTGAAGGTGTTGGAGGAGCGCAAGAAGATTGCCGAGAAGCAAAGACGTGAGGACGAAGAGAGAGCCGCCAAGGCCAGACAGGAGAAGTTGATTGCCGACCAGAAGGCCGAACAGGAAAGATTGGCCCAGGAGCAGGAGAGAAAGAACTTGGAGCGCTTGGAAAGAGAGAAGAAGGCTATTGCCGACAGCAACAAGAGAAAGATTGCCGAGGAGATCAACGCCAAGGGTATCATCAAGATCGACTTGGACAACTTGGAGAACTTGGACACGGACAAGTTGCGTGCCATGCAGATCGAGCAGTTGAACAAGGACAGAAAGAACTTGGAGGAGAAGATGAAGGTCGTGTTCAAGAAGGCGGACCATCTCGAGAGAGCCTACAGAAAGCACGAGTTGAAGTTCTTGGCCGAGGAGGCTGCCACACAGAAGGAGAGAGACATCAAGGCTCACGAGGAGCTCACTCGCAGCAGAATCGAAAAGGCCCGCAAGGAGCACGAGAACGCCAAGGCATTGAAGGAGCGTTTGAACCGTGTGGTTCCCGACTACTCTACTTTCAAGAAGCAGATCGACGAGCAAAACGCTGCCAAGTTGGCTGAGTTGAGAGAGGAGGCCAAGGCCGCTTTCGAGCAGGCCAAGCGCGAGCGTATTGAGAACGTCAAGCAGCAGAGAATCGAGGAGTTGAGACTCAGAAGAGAACAAGAGCATCATGCCGCCGAGGAGGCCGCTCGTAAGCAGGCCAGAGAGGCCGAGATGGAGAAGTTCCGTGAGGAAATGAGAATTCAGAAGGAAAAGGATGCCGAGTTGGCCCAAAAGAGAGCCGCCATGGAGGCCGAGATGGCCCAACAGGCTCCTTCCGCTGCTCCAAAGACCTATGCTCCACCTCGCCAGGCCGCTGGTCAGCAAGCTTACACCCCACCTCTGCGCCAGGCAAACTACACACCTCCAGTTCGCCAAGCTTCTCCTGCTGCTCCACCTCCAGCAGAGGCTCCTGCTGCCGACAAGCCATTGACGTTTGCCCAGAGAATGAAGTTGAAGAGAGAGGGCAAGCTTGCCTGATAGAATTGTCATATAAGTCATGGAAGATGCATGTGGTGCCGGTGTGATGCATCATGTACCGAATAAAATATAGTTTTGAATGGCCACGTAAGCATTGGTTGGTAATGATACTAAACGGAATTTGTGTATTGGTTCGAAAACTTTGTATTTCCACTTTTTCAGACCGTTTGCAGCCATAGACAGCGGAATATCCACCTGCAAATCAGAGGCCTCGGACCCTCTCTCAAGTACTCCGAGCCACCGAGGAAAGGCTTGAAAAATGTGTATTTTTTTTTTTTTTTTTTTTTTGGTAATGTACCACCGTGACGTCGACTCCCAACTCCAATAGCCAAACTTCAAAAATTAAACCTTCTTCAATTAGTGCTCGCTAGGGTTCTCCAAAGTTCCTCGCATCTTGCCTAAACTAGCCCCATTGCGTGAGATCTAATCCACCTCACCTCATCTTTCTACTATCCAGTCGCACAGCAACTTCTTCTTTTCATGATTACCATCGTTGGCTCGCTCAATTACGACCTCGTCACTTATACGGACAAGGTGCCCGACGCTGGCGAGACGTTTCAGGCCAACACCTTCGAAAACCACCTCGGTGGAAAGGGTCTCAACGAGAGCTTAGCATGTGCGAGGCTTTCCAAGCTGGAAACTGTGAGAATGGTTGGGAATATTGGCGCCGATACTTTTGGCAAGGAATTGAGACAGGCGCTTGTGGACGCTGGTGTTGATACTAAACATGTTGCTGTTTTGGACGGCTTCTCGTCCGGTGTGGCGGTCATTTTGGTGGAGAGCTCTGGAGAGAACAGAATCTTGATCACCGCAGGAGCCAATGGAGAGTTGAAGCCCACGGAGGCAAACTACCAAGAGTATTTCAAGGACTCCAAGGACGGCGATTTTGTCGTTTTGCAAAACGAGTACCCGGACACAACCAAGACAATTGACTGGGTCAAGCAGCACAGACCCCAAATCAACATCGCCTACAACCCATCCCCATTCAAGGAGCTTCTGCCCGAGACTTTGGCCAAAATCGACCTACTCATTGTCAACGAGGGTGAGGCATTGGACGTTGGAGCTCAGGTTTTCACCGGAGCCGACTTGGACGATTTTAAGGCCACAATCGCATCAGACGAGGTCGACGGTTTTGGCCGTTTGGCCCGCAAGCTCCAGGGAATGATTGATCAGACAAACGTGTCTTCCGTGATCATTACTATGGGCAGCAAAGGTAGCATTTCAGCGTCCAAGACGGAAGAGCCTGCGTTCACAGCATCGAAGAAGGTTGAGAAAGTCATTGACACTACAGGCGCCGGAGACACGTTTTTTGGCGGTGTTGTTGTCAAGCTTAGCGAGGGCGCTAAATTGCAAGACGCTGTTGAGTTTGCTACAAGAGCCAGTGCTTTGGCAATCCAGAAGAAGGGTGCCGCTGAGGGTATTCCAGGTTACCAGGAGGTGGAGGCCCTGTTTTAGAGGCTGGACCGACACAAAACAATAAATAGCAATGGGTCCAGCTATCCGAGTAATCCCTCTGCTTTCGAAGGAGCGAGATTATACCAGAACCTTCCCTACTGGGGTATAGCAAATGAATCTAATTAAGAACTATTAGGCGGCAAGACCGCATGGTCTATATTGACTTTATTTTCTCTTGCGGAGAGTCTCTGGGGCAGGAGAGTCTCTGTCGGAGGTGGTAACGTACTCGTTGACCTGAGCAGCAACACCGCCAGAGACGGACTTGACTCTCTTGGATCTTCTGGAACCCTTCTTCTTGTAGACGTCGATGTAGAACGCAATGAACAAGACGAGGTAGGAGGACAAGATGGCACAGCCGCAGTAGGCAGCGCCCATGGAGCCGGCACAGTCAGAGCATCTGAACAAAAAGCCCTGCAACTGAGGAAAGTAGGTGAAAATAACCTTCTGGAAGGTGGCAAAGTAGACGAAGCCCAAGTCCAAGACGAACTGGATGATCTGGAAACGGGTGACCCACTCCTTCCACCAGACACGGATGCCTCTGGCGGCCAAGAAGTAGTACCAGTACATCACCACGTGGACGCCCAAGTTCAAAGAGATGGGCACCCAGGAAATAGGAGTCTCACCGATCAACTGGGTGTAGCACAACAAGGCGGTAGCACCATGGTGGTAGGTGTGCAAGAATGTCAATCTCTTCTGCTTGACCACCAAGAACACGGTATCGATGAACTCGGTGAACTTGGTCAAGTAGTTCAAGTAGTACAAGAGAACGAGCTCCTGAGTCCAAGCGTTAGGGCTGCAGATGGCGTAGAACAAGCCGTGGTTGTAGATGATGGGGATGAGCTGCTCAGCCATCAACACCAACAAGGTCAAGGACAAGAGCGTGAGGAACAAGTTGTGGACCTGGAACAAGCCGTTCAAGACAAGCGGCTTGATGCCGAACTTCTTGAAAATGAAGTTTCCGCCGAAAATAACAGTGTAGTACGTGGCGATGGCAGCAGCCACTGGAGGGAAGGTGCTCAAAGGTGTCTGACCAATGACAAAGGCGAACTCCGAAGGAACGAAGCGGCCGCCCAGGGCAGCAGTCACGGCTTTATCAAAGAGCGGCCACAAGGGCACGAGAAACGGCGTTTCGGGCGACAACATGGGAAAAACGGTTGTTGTTGGTGGTCAAAAAAAGTCAAGGTGAAGAGTGCTATGTGTGGAGGATGCAGGCAGCGAAGACAGAGAAGCGCAAGGCAACAACAAGAAACGCAGGAGGGGAGCTGGGAAAAAAAAAAAAAAAAATAAAGGGGAAACGCCAAAATGGGGAGACGAGAGAAAGAATGTAAGTGAACAAAATTTCTTTGACTAGGAAAGTTTAAAGTAAATAGGGGTAAGGTAAGCAACCACCTCGCGTGTTGGACCGAGGTAAACATGGTGCACGTCGCGGTGCGGTGGGGCATTACAAGACCATGATTTTGGAGCCAACGTGGAGATAAAAATTTCGTGTTTTTTGACTGAGGGGGCTCAAGCCACGATGCTGGTTGAACAAGAAAAGAAAAAAAATGAGATTGCTGGTTTCTCATAGGGGTTCGTTTTGTGTGCTTTAAATTTTTCAGTGGTACCTTGGCGATGGCCGTTTTGCACCCATTGTGTTCTGCGGAGCCAGCAGACGCCCTTGGCTTTGTGCTACTCGGGACATTTTGCCGACCGTGCCGAGCTAGGCATTTTTCAGATCACACCCATTTGCTTTGAGTGGAGGTTCAAAAATTGCGTTGATTTTCTTACCCCACCTTTTGCTCCCGTAAAATGTTTTTTCTGCTTTGTGTCTGCATTGCGTCCTGGTCTTCTGCGCCAGGGTCCTGAGCCTCACTGTTCTGAGGACCAGAGCACAGTTGAACTCATTTTTTCACGTCGTTCACTGTCAGGTTCCCTATATGTAACCAGCTTTTCATCAACTGACCCACTTTGTTCTTCTCATGCGATGAGGCTGCACCTCCGGCCATTGTTCACCCTGCGAGTCACCGACAGCCTATTCGTCATGGTGATTTTTCAAAGTAGTGCAGAGGCTGGTGTTCCAGACATCTGTTTGAACAATGAAGTCAACAGATCTGTACCTCTTTTTTTTTGGGTCACCGTGGCTCATGCTGGCTCGGAATCACGAGGTGACTCAGATGACTCAGCCCAATTGGGCAATGCAGCTCGAGGTTACATGTTGAGGTGTAAAGGGTGCTGGTTGGTTGTCAGTGCAGAGGAACTAGGGCCGCCACAGGCTATAGCGAGAACTCGGCTCTACGGCACCAGGAGATCAGTAAGGTAAAGTGTAAAGATTTATTGGCAGATGTGAAGAGTTACAAGGCTAGACGTCAATAAATGCCTAGTATTGGCCCAAATTCTTACAATCAACTTGAGACGACAACTGGGACTCCGGATAACCTCGTGGTAGCTGGACAGTGAACGTCGCTTTTTAAAGTGACGCTTCATTAAGCAAAGATATTAGGATTCGTATTGCGACCGTAAGAAAGTCAGAAGCACCACTTTCACTACAACCAGTCAGAAGTAGAGACCGAAGAAGCATGTGCCACCCTCCTTCAAACCCAATTCTCGGATTTGAATTTCTTCATCTTCAAATTTTCCTTGCCAATCGTGATTCCACCGACCTAGCTTGAATACCCACCAACTCATCTTCCTACATCCTACTCGCATATCAAGATCTCAACTACATGAAACTCGACACCGATCTAGGCCAAACCCTCGAGCCTTTCCTTCCCCCTATAAACCAGAAATCAACGTCAGCCAAAGAAACAGAAAGCGTTGATGCTGCTTCAGACGCGAACCTCCCGTTTATTACCCTTACCTGGGCTCAGAGTCTTGATGGTCGAATAGCTGCAGGCAGTGGGACACGAACTAGGATTTCTGGCCCAGAAACCAAAGTCATGACTCATTACCAACGATCTCGCCATGACGCTATTCTTGTGGGTGCAAACACAGCCGTGACCGACGACCCAAAGCTCAATTGTCGATTCCCTGAAACGGGAGTTAACATGATACGGCCTGTTATAGTGGATCCATCAGCACGTTGGACATATTCGTCATCCACAGCTAGAAAGATTTTGCTAGAAAAACAGGGCATTGCACCCTTTGTGTTGATAGGGAACGATACTGAGGTACCTAGTGGAGAAAAGGACTTACTCAATGGTGACGGAGGTCAGTTCATTCGTATAGACTTTACCAAAAGCCTGGAGGACAACTGGTTCCAGATCTTTGGAAAGCTTCGTTCGCTTGGGATCCGAAGCGTCATGGTAGAAGGTGGTGCGTTCGTCATCGAATCGCTTCTTGCTACGAACTTGCCTGATTCGGTAGTGGTTACCATCGGCACAGTCTTCTTGGGCAAAGAGGGAGTGTCAGTGAGTCCGAAAGCCGTCCAGACATTGAAGGACGTTGTCTGGTGGAGGGGTCAAGAGGACGCAGTCATGGCATCGAGACTTACGAGTAAATGAACTACACATCAGTCCTCCAAATCTTTATTATCGACTTTTATGCTATAATACATCACAAGCAGATTCTGTACGATGCGTACCGACCCGAGGTCTCGGACCGTCTGATGATCTTGACAACGTCTCCTCTTTTCAATCCCAAGTAACGGGCCACAGGATCTTCTCTCTGTATACGTGGCAACTGGGACTCCTTCAAACGATATCTGTCCAACAACTCCTTCTTCTCGAGCTTGGACAAACGGATGTGCTTTGGCACCAACTCATGGTGAGTGATGTTGACGATGAGATCGCTCTCCTGGAAAACCTCAATCGTGGCTGGTGCAACTGTAGGGATCAACTTGTTGGCACTGGGCGTTATCGAATTTTGGTAGATAAAAATACCTGTGCTGAAGTTCTTCTCGCTGATGTGAATACAGAAGTTTCTCATTGTCTTGATACCAACGGAGGCCTCATCACAAAACTCAACCCACAAAGAGCCCATCTCAGGGAATCTTTCCAAAGCCTCGGGCGTAGGTTGGGCCTGAAAACACATCAACTTTCTCTGGGGGTCGCCCATAGGACAGATTTTGCTTTTGAACTCATCCAAGGTCATGTTGATCTCCTCGTCCGTGATGAAGTAGCCCTTGTCTCTAACCATCTCCTTCACCGTCCTGAAACTTCTCCACAAACGGGAGATTGATCTTTCGACGTCATCCATGGCTAATCTATGTTTTGACCCGGATGTGCTCTGTCAGTGCGCTTCTTCGTACTTTCTCATCTCAAAAATTTCTTGTGCGCAGCACGCCCGCCATATAGAAGGCTGGCTCACGAATCGAACTTTCTCCGGAAGAAAAGCTCAATGTCGCTGCTGGACTTCCAAATTTTTGTTTTGATTGTTTGGAGTGTCATTGTAGGTTCGAGAATTTGGCCCCTACACTCGAGCTCAAGCCATTCAGCGGGGCGCTTCTTATCTTTCATTTCTGATGTTCTGGACTCGAACTTCTCGGTAACGTAAAGTAAGACCTTGTTCACACGAAGCATATTCTGGGAAGTAAGCTTCAAGGAGCTTTCGAGAGGTGGGAGTCTCTTGATTTTCTTCTGAGCCTTACCGCCGATCTTCTTATCTGCTGGATACTTCGAGTAGTCTGCCTCAAAGAGCTGGAAAGCCACTTTCGGCCATTCCTTCTGAGGAAACTTGTTGAATAAGATTGGGTTACCAATCCATTTGGGAAGTGTTTGTCTGAGTTGTTGAACGAGGTGGCACTTTGTGCTATTCAGTTGCACAGGGTAATTCAACTCTGTGATCTCGTCTAAGTGGAAGCTGCAAACATCTCTATAATTGCCCAAATCTTGTGAATTCTCGAAGACAATGATAAGCAACTTTCCTGGGAGCTTCTCGACAGGAATGAATGGACGATAAAGGGAACCCTCCTCTTTCCCATTCACGGCAATGTCATTGGAGTAGAGGCACATTTCGGAGGGCGCCACCCTCTTACTCCCATTTTGACCATAGAAGTCAATGTACTTCTGCCTGTTTTGCAGAATAAGCTTTAATATAGAATCTTCGGCAATGTTCTGGTCAGAAATGCTGGATGTCTCCGTTAATGTTAGAGGATCGTCAGCCAAATCACTGATAGCACTGCTGACAGAAGGAGCTGGGCTGAATGCTGGCTTGGCCGAGAGCTGGGAAATATTCGCTTTTGATGATTTTCTTGAGAACAACCTCTTTTTCTTTGTCTCTTCCACAGTACTGGAAACTGAGCTCAGGTCTACCTCAGAACCAGTCCCGCTGGTTTTGAATTTTGTGGCACTAATTCTGAGCTCCTCTCGTGCCTTTTCATCGCTCTTGAGTTCATAGAGAGCGTATTGGTGGAAAATTGAATTAAGAAAGATGAGGGCTAAAGGATAACGCTCATCGTCGCTCACTCTGGCCATATGCTCCTTTGCCGGTTCATTCTTATCTAGCGCCATGAAAGGGTACAGTTTCACCATCTCATCGTAATAAATCTCGACATTTGGAGAAGAAGTTTCCACAAATGAGACAAGTAGCTTTCCGGATCTTATCTCCACCTCGCACCAATTGCTGAACGTATCCAAAGTTTGGTTCTCTTGAGCAATTTGGTCCATCACTCGAGCACGATCTTTAAGCTCATCATCTGAGAGGCGCTTGTCGCTTCCGGTCTTGCTTGGGAATGACTTTATCACCTGGCAAATGAATACATCCCAAATACAAATGTCTCCGTTGTGGTAAAGAACAACCATCCAGCGCTTGTTATTGAGCATTCTCTTCGCAACAATGGACTTTGGGCTCAACGGAAACCGCTCTATAGCCTCTGAGTTGAAAGCAATGGATATCACTTGACTCGAAGGAATCGGGTTGAGGAGAATTTCCACAGGAGTTTGGTCCACAGTCAGATTCTCTGGGGGCTTCAAGCCTTTAAGCTCTTCCTTGTATGCGTTCACGAACTCGGTGGAAGGACCACCGTTTATGCACAAGAACATAGAGTTATACTCGGCGTTTTCGTCAACATCGCCTTCTGCGTTTGTCACAGACATCGGGTAGTTGGAGAAGGATGATTGAATGTCAAGATTGTTTGTGTCCATTGATAAGTGGCTGACAATGTCGTAAAACTCCGAATTGAGGTCTGACTGGTCAGTAGTTGTTCCCTCAAGAACGCCCTGGTGGTCATCGTCGACCTGTGAATCAAGGTTAATGCAATAGTCCACGCACGTCCTGTAATACTGGTATTTAGCCATTTGGCGTGTATCAGGAACATAGTACCGATTGAGAGCATTGTAAGTTGAAGCAAAGATGGATGTGTCCTTCTCCACACAAAGCGAAACGATGGGAGAGCAAGCCTTGGCTACCAAGGTACAGAGACCAAGCTTCTCATCCACCACTGTCAAATCGGAAGTGCTGAAGGTTGGCTCCACCATTTCTTCCTCTGGCACGTACAGCGAAAGGTAGTTAAGATCCGTCTTCACCACATTTCCTGCCTTGTCACCAGAGTAGAACACCGAGAAGTCGGCATTTCCGTCCAGAAGCCCCGGAGCCAGTGCATACGGAGTTGTAAGACTCCAGACCGGGTCATCGTGCATCTCAAAATTTTTGTAGACTTTGAAATTGCGCATATCCCAGAGTTTGACGGTGGAGTCGGAGCTACCACTGAGGATGTAGTCGGAATTCATCAATAAACAGCGCACATTGTCCTGGTGTCCAACCAAGCGTTTGATGAGGTTTGCGCCACCATCACGACTGATTCTGCGATCATAAACGGTGATGGTATTGCTGGGTCCACCTGCCGAAATCAAGTTACTCTGGTTGTTAGCCAAGGCGTACACTGAAGACGGAAGATGGGGTTTGCCAGACTGGTTTTGGAAATGCAGAATGGGCTTTAGCGTCTTGAGGTCCCAGATTGCAATTGTGCCGTCAAGGGCTCCGCTGACCACCAAATTCTGCAGTGAAATCAGCGAAAGTTTCTTCACATAGTCTGTATGGACGTTTTGAAACTTGTGAACGTCATTATCGTGGTTTGTGTCCAAGCGAATGAGCTTCAACGAAAGATCCGCCAGCGCCGTCACCAACAGCCGGTCTTTGTCCACGAGCTTGATGTCATTGATCCAATCAAAGTGAGTGTTCCTGCTCAGCACTGCCAGCGAATCGTATCGACACTTTAGACTCTTGTGTTGCAACAGAGTCAGCAGAATCGCCGTTTCTAACTTCAATAGCTGCTCGTTGACATCCTGGCAATGTTCCTCTGGCAATGGGCTTTCTTCGGCTCCGGGCTGTCTATCCAGACTCCACACCTTCACAACTCCATCTCTGCCTCCTGTGAACAAATGACCAGTATGGGCCAGAAGCTGCATGGCATTGATGGGAAGTATGTGATTTTCATGGTTGCCGGTATCTCCTAGCACGTATGAGAGGCCTTTTCGGACTCGAGCCATGAAGAAGAGTTATGGTTGTATGTAGGTGATAGGAGTCCGAGACTACATGCCTCATTGTGGGGTGAGGCCGGCATCGACACCAATTGCATTTTATCCTCAATTGGAGTAATACCAGAGAAACTATATTATTGTTTCAAGTCTACGTTTTCCTTTTTTTTTTTTTTTCCTTTCTCATAAAATCATTCGCTGTGTGAGATGCTGTGGTACTGCGCGTTCTTCTGTGGGCCTTTGCTGGAGAGACTATGGTGGGTGGGCCTCATTAAGAAGGTGTATATCATTACCGATTGATCATGTCCACAAACAAATACCTGTGCACGGGATTTATCAGGGTATAGCCAAGAACGACTTGAAAGTTGGCCTGATTGCGACTGGTGCTAGGTACTGCTAGGTACGGCTTGTCCCAAGATGAGGGCCATAGTTTTAAACGTGAGCCATGCGTTGCTGATTCTTCAAATGATCGCAGATATTCCAACGATGACTGAAAACGGATGCTTTCCGTGATGGGGCGTCCAGCAACGGCCAGTAGTCCTCTTTGGTTCTCGGACATTCCCAGCAACATACTTTCTGACGCAGAAGTGCAACTTTTTAGCGGATTTGAACTCACTGGTTTCGATAGGCCCATTATAATTGCATCTTTAGCTCTTATCGTTCCTAGACTTCTCGTACTCCTTCAAGGCGTTCGTGAGTGTGTCGTTCTTCCGGGTCACCATATACATGTCCGAGGAATTGATCACATTACGACCGGCGTGGTCCGCAAACAACTCCAAGTCTGTTCCTAAAGAAACGATTTGATTGTACACAATTTCCACTAGCGATGCGATGAAGGAAGGGCTGGCCGATACAGACAATTCGCCAGTTTGTTCCTCCACCATCTTTGCCACACTAAGATAAACCGAGGCTTTAAGCTGTGCTTCTAGGTCCTCCATTATAGCTGGTACTGGAAGAATATGATGATGGATGTTCCAGGCGTTAGTCTGCTCTTGATCACTTTGGGGTTTTTTCGTTATGAACCTTCTGGAGGTATTCAGCGCCCTTGTTGAGCTCCAGGATTTCAACCAATAGTGTGTTTATGAAAATACGTCAACAGCCTTTGTTGTCTGGCCTTTATTGCAATCTCGACTAGAACTTCAGAGTTACTCACTGTATCATCAAAAGTCTATATCCACTCTCTTGAGATGCGTTGGTGCGGCGGGATATGTGTCGTTTTTCGCGTCTGCGTGCCTTAGACTTCTTTTCCAGTGCGACTCAATTATATCCATTGGGGGTAAACACGACATTTTTGGACTATTTAAATAGTCAGTGCCGTCCAGTGTTTGGTATTTGAACTTGGCTTTTTTCACTGAATCGTTCAGTCTTCAAGCTACCCCCAGGTGTCTGCTGATTCACGGTCTGCGGTACGCGCATCATTAGTATTCCGGAATAGGCCAGACGCGGTGAGATCCAGCTTACTACTTTCCTTTTCACCTTCATTCGTTTTTTATCTTGTTTCCATTCTTTCATTAAAATTTGCATCATGAAGAGATCTGCTCAGTGTGCCGAGATGTCGTCAAAGAGGAGGGCGCTTCAGCCGGTTTCCAATAACCAATTAACCACTCCTCCTACCACTCCAGATAAGAGCAGGGTAGTCGACATTGGAGTGTCTTTGACTAAGGAGGGAAGAAAGAGGCTCAATTTTCTGGAGTCAGTCTACTCGAAAGCGAAGGCTGTGTTCCAGCGAGGTGCCAGCAACGACAGCCAAGACTTTCTTGTTGGAAGAGAGAAAGAAGCTCATCAGTTTAGTGAGTTTCTCAGAGAGAGCATACTGGAGAAAAAGTGTAACAGCTTGTACATATCTGGTCCTCCAGGAACGGGCAAAACTGCTCAGGTCAATCTCTCGCTAGATAAGTTGACGACACTGGCCAAGCACGTCTATGACCTCTATTCCAGAAAGGTTCAGGTGATGAGAATCAATTGCATGACTGTTGGCAAGCCTGATAGCGTGTTTCATGAGATATACTGCCATGTAACGGGTCAAAATCATGGCAGAAAGAAGTCGTTCGATGATCTATATGCCTACTTGACCAGCAACCAAAATGTGGATTCATTGGTGGTGGTACTTGACGAGATGGACTACCTCATCACGAAGGACCAGCAAGTCTTGTTTCAACTCTTCCAATGCGCTTCAACGCTCAAGAGCCTGGTGTTCTCGACGAAGTTGGTGCTCATTGGTATCTCCAACGCCTTGGACCTCACAGACAAGTTTCTTCCAAGACTCAGGTCCAACGGCTACACTCCCGAAGCATTGCAATTCTTACCTTACACGGGTGAGCAGGTAAAGGATGTCATCACAGAAAAGCTCAAATCATTGATCGACAAGGAGAACGCTGGATCTGCTCAAGTGCCAATGATGCACCCAGTGGCTATCCAGCTTTGCTGCAAAAAATGTGCTGCAGTGACAGGAGATCTCAGAAAAGCCTTTGATATTTGTTACAAGAGTATAGAGATGGTGGAGAGGCAAACTAAAGAAAAGATGCCCTTGGATGGGTTGACATTTGAAACTGCTCCAAAGGTACTTATTGGTCATGTTGCTCAGGTGTGCTCGGCCACATTTGGCGACACATCTCTTTCGAAGATTAAAGCTCTCAACCTCCTTCAAAAGGCAGTCGTTTGTTGCCTTTTCAAAATTGATAGAGATGCTTCTCTGGCACTCACAGTCAATCGACTCTTCGATTTCTACACGAAGCATACGGCACAGGTGGCCGAAAATATGTTAGGCACATTGAAGAAAGGCGAGTTCTTGGAGATCATTTCTGCTTTGGAATCAAGCTCAGTGATTCTCCTCGCTTCAGCCTCAAAATCATGCACAGGTTTAATCGATGTCGGCAGCAAGAGCATCCGCCCCAACGTTCTGCTTGAAGACTTCAGTAAAGCCATTCAGGATGTGGGTCTCCTTAGAAGACTCTTCCATTAATACAGCATATAGAATAGTCATGGGCACTTTAACGATACGTCTGTAGTCAAGAAATTACTTTGGAGACAAATAACACATTGTTTTTGAGGTATTGAAAGGTCACTAAAGCCCTGTTTCGGCTGCAAATTTGTCGCAAAGACCTTACTCGGATCCCATTATTGAAAAGATGTCTTAATCTTTTAAAAACTTTGTGTTGTACTTCAATTTTAATTTTTCATTAAGTAAAAAGGCAATTTTGTTATCTCAGAAACTAAATAGGTCCCCCACATCCCTGTGAGACACTAGTACTGAGTGCGAAAATGCCAGAGTTAAACATACGTTTGTGCTAACAGATTTAGTTCGAATTTTCCAACATATCCGTATTTTCAATAGAATCAGCTAATAGATGAATACATGCCAAAGAAAATAGCGGAGGTTCTAAAGCGCACGTGACTAGCCAGCAGTTGTAGGTGAAGTATCACGGTGTACAGGTGTAAATTCATGCTAAAGTCTAGTCAACTAAAAAAACCTCTTCAAACCCCCTTCACTATATCTAGCCCCTGGCGAATCTTCAGACTATTTTTTGTTCTGCATTATAACCAGAACCTACAGAAATACCTACATTCCTGTCTATATCCTTATACGACTCATTGCCAGTGAGCATCTATTCAAGAACCATACATCCAGCAAGTTGCCTTATAATCATCTAACTACTTCAGCTTGAACATGTCCTCGGGCCCCTCTAGAGGCGGTCCTCCTTTAGGCCGAGATCGTGATAGAGACCTGCGGTATGGAAGTAGCAATGATGACTACGGAAAACGAAGAAAGAACTTTTATAGTGGGTCGACTAGAAGAGACTTCAAATCAACCAACTCTCCCCCTGGTACGGACAGTACAGCTTCACAAGGACTGTATCCATCCAGGAGTGATAAACCGCCTTCAAGTGATTATGGCAGGCCCCGTTATAGAGGTTCGAGCCTTTCAAACAGTGGGCCTCTGTACGGAAGTTCTAGGCTGAGCCTATACGGGAAAGAGCCTAGGTACAGCGGCTCTAAGCCCAGCTATGGCTACAACTCAAAGTATTATAATGAAAGGAGCAGTGGTGGAGCTTTCGGCTCTTACAATGCCAGCAAAAGGGAACCCTCAGGTGAGTACTACGGATACCCAAGTTCAGGTAGGGATTACAGGGAGCGGGATACCAGAGATCTAAGAGACCCACGGGACCATCGTGAAACGTGGGACTATAAAGATTCTACTTCCAGAGATGTGACCAATAATTCCAACATACCGAGAGATTCGGCTAGAGATCTGTGGAGGTCTGATAGACCTAAAGCATCCCTTTCCTCATCAGGCCCCTCAAGCAGAGCCTACTCCTCTCGTTTTAGCTCCAATAATGCCCCTCCGGCTAGTCGAGGTTCTGGGTTAGGCAGTGGAAGTCTATCGAATTCGGGACCAGATTATAAGAGAGAGAGATATGATTACGATAACGAGGACTCGTACGGAAGTCGATGGAAATCATATCCTAGAGATCCCAGAGATAAACCAAGATCTCTCTCAGGCTCTAGGCCGTATAGCAGCAAGGAGAAGAGGAGCTCAGGCCTCACCAATAGTTTGGGGAACAAGAGAGGAGATTCCTATTATCCTTCTAAAAGCTCATATCCTAGCAACGCCAACAGATATCAGGACCGTTACACAGATAGGTATGATCGCCGCAATGATACAGAGGACGGCAGGTCCGAATATAATGGCAGCGTTGAGGATTATAATGACGCTGACGAAGGTGGACCTTACTATGGTGAAAATCGATACTACCGAGAGGAGCTGCGAGAACCAGAAGAATCATACCATGGTGAGGACAGAGAAGACGTGAACATGAAGGAAGGCGAAGATGAAAGCGATAAGGAAACTGAAACCGAAACGAAAACAACCGATGAAACTGACAAAGCTGATGCCGAACTCGAAGCTAAAAAAATCTCCGAATCTGTGGTTCATGATTTGAAGACCATGGAGGCCTCGCATGAACATCATGCCAAGCACCTCGAGGGCATTCCTCTACAAGATCCCAGCAGTGAAACTCCCCTCAAAACTACGAATGAAGTAGGAACGGAGGCCGCAAAACCCATTATCAAGGATGAAGAATTACCTTCCAGTGTTCCATATTCGGCTCCTAAGACGGTGGATATAAAACCTGCGGTTGATTACAGTACCCTCCGGTCAATTGAGAAGCTCAAGCTGGTAAAGGTATCTCCAGAAGACCTCAACACTATGGATTACCCTAAGGGATGCTACAGACCACTCACCGAACTCGACCATAAGCTTGAAGTTTTGAAGAATGAATTCAATCATGCCAAAGAGCATGATGAGGATGAGTCTTTCCTTAGATTCAGTCTCGCAAAACCCCTCGCAAACTTACTGGACTACCCCTTCTTCTATCAAAATCTTCAACAGTTTGCCTCAAAATTCAAAAGAATCAGGGCCTTGTATGACCGCAGAGAGCACAATGTGAAGAAAAAGCGCCTTCTGTTATGGATAAAGTACAACACCCTAGACAAAGAAAATGAGAAAAGGTGTGAGAAAATGGAAGAGCAAATCAAAATCATCCACCCTCCAGATGATGATTCGAGGCGTGAACTTGAGCTGATCGATATCAGGGCAAAAACTAATGACGCTGCTCCTGATGCACAATCGCCAACAGAGCCGCAGGCTCCGTCAGGTAGAAGAGGCCGTCGTCATGGTGACTTGGTCACAACAGAAGCAGAATTCCAAGAGATTTTGAAAAGTTTGGAGAACGAGCAGAATGAAGACCCGTTAGGCAAGGCACAGCGTGTTTCTGCCAAAATTCCAGACCTCATTCTTGACCCAGTTGAGCGACAAAGTTTCATTTTCATGGACTCGAATAACATAGTTCATGATAAAGAGAATTGGGCTAGCAGAATCAAATCAGACTTTATGGATAACTTCACCGAACAAGAACATGACGCATTTTGTGAGGCATTCTGCCGTGCTCCAAAACGTTTTGGTGAAATCTCGAGACTAATTGGTGGTTTGAGATCTGCAGAAGAATGTGTTGTGCATTATTACATGACAAAGAAAGCTGTCAATTACAAGTATTTGGTCTCACAATTCAAGAAACGTTCAGCCCGGAAGCCCTCGAGGAGGAAGTCAAAATTCAAAGACCAGGATGTTTCATCTTCTGCGACGACAGATGCCGCCCCTGTGGAAGCAACAGATAGTGGAAAGGACACTGAAGCTGCAATGACACCAGAGATTGGAGTTCCTCCTATAGAACCGGTTGATGAGGTCAAGCGTAAGCGAATTGCTGATGGCCAAGTGGCGCCAGATTCTGGGGTTGAGCTCCCACCGAAGAAGAAATCAAGGAGACGTAAAGATGAGGAAATGCCACCTTCGAGTGCGGCGGTCGATCAGTCAAAGGATCTCCATGATCAAGTTTTGGCTCCAATCGAACTGACTGCCCCGCAAGCCAACGTGTTGACAAGCCCCTCAGTGGACCGTCTGAATGGTTCTGTTTTGGAAGATAAAAGAAAGGCTATCACCAGCTATTGGAGTATCACCGAAGTCAATGATTTCCCTCGTTTGCTTGCTGAGTTTGGCTCCAAATGGTCAATCATAGCTAAGAAACTCAGCACCAAGACTGCTACGATGGTCAGGAATTACTACCAGAGAAACGCTGAAAAATATGGTTGGCAATCGCTTGTATTGGAAGCCGATGGAAGATCTGCCCAAGGTGCTGGCGATCCTCACTCCCAAATTTCTAATATCGATGCAACCATTGTGGTGAAGCCTCAGAGGAGACCAGAGGAGTATACCCCTGGACGCAGACCAGAAGAATACAACGGAACTTATGAAAGTGTGGCGCAGCCACCCAAGTTTTCGGATGTGCCCGTTGGTATGTTTCAGCATCCATTCCAGGCATCACCTCCGAAACGTGCCTCTGTTGGTTCTCTCCTTTCCGGTCCACCTCCTGTGATGTACGAACAAGCGTCAAATGTGTCGCAGGTCCCTCAGGTGTCTCTGTCCTCCTTGCCGCCGGCAGTATCGCTTCCTCCTGTTCTTCCAGCTCCTATCCTGCCACCAGCGAAACATGGCGGCGTGAAGCCTTCCATTATGAGTCTTCTCAATTCCGACTCATCTTCACTGCCCCTGTCATCGCTGATTTCGCAGCCTGCAACATCTGCCCCAGCGCCTGCGCCGGCGCCGGCGCCCCCAAGCCAGGAAATCTTGCATCATTACTCAACTCGTCTTCATCACCTGTGCGTCCGCCAGATCCACCAAGCAAGCCCGACATTCCGTCAGAGGCGCCTCGCAAGAATAGCATCAAGTCACTCTTACATGACCTGTGATGCCCTGTACCATAGCCAGCCTACAAGGCCCTGTATTATAATATGTAATAGGAACATAGCTCTACGCTTGCATTAGGTATGTAATGGAGACTTTCAACGTAGAAATTCTTACCATTTCCCACCTCTAGCTGAACGTGGTCATAGCTGTGCTTTTTTCACCAATTCATTCAAGTATGTGGTCCTTATATAAGAAAAGATATGGCCCCATAATTTTTCGCAGCCATTTCAGCTTTCCACTCATGCGCCCAACCACCTTTATTGGTCAAAATCGAAGCTACCTTCGTACAACTTGTATATTCAGTCTCCTCCATCAATCAAGAAAGAAAAAAAAAATTCGGAGAATGTAAAAAGCGTAATCGATGTTCAATTTCCATCTCCTACTTCACGACTTGCATCGTTATGAATTGCGCACGCACCGAAAAAACTTCTAAGAATCTACGACTGAAGCACTCTAATCAGCCATGTCGTTGCTAAAGCCGAGCAGCTGCGTCCAGGGATGCCGTTCTCTCAGGAGGCTCTTCAGCTCGACCGTTGTCAGGTCTCAGGAGACTCTTGAGGAGAGACCGTTGGTTCCTCAGAAAGTCAGACCAGCCACTCACACAATCAGCAGAAGCTTGCCATACACTCAGATCAGCAACGCTGAGATGGAAAGACTAAGGGTGGTACCTGCGTTGAAGACATTCTTTGGTGGTAACCCTTATCACGACCTGGTCATGAGCAGATTGAACCGTCTTTTGGAAAAGCACCATAGACTTCCAAGACGAGTTCTCGATGAAAGAGAAGCCAAGGAGATCCTGTTCATTTCTTCCGCTGAGTACAAGTCCAGGGCAAACTCGGGCAGCAGAATCAGACCAGTCCACTACAAAGAGTTTGTGCAAGCGTTGCAGAAACTCAGAAGCATAGAACCTGAACTCATGCCCCATGACGTGATTCAGACCTTGGATGAGTTCACGAAAAAAACCAGTGACGAGAAAAAGGTCGCTCAGCTGTTCGTCAAGACCTTGGACGAATTTGGTAGAGCCAACACCGTCGGTAAAAGAAAGGACGCTGTGGCCAATATCAGCATGGTCAGAGGTGAGGGTTTGATCTTGGTCAACGGTAAGAAAATGACCGAGTACTTCACCAGAACTCTCGATACAGGCAAGCTTGTGTACCCCTTTCAGGTTGTGGCCCAAGAGTCCGAATACAACGTTTTCATAACGTGCAGTGGAGGTGGTGTCAGTGGTCAGGCTGAGGCTTGTATGTATGGAATTGCCAAGGCATTGGTAGTATTCAACCCCTTGCTCAAACCACGCTTGAGAAAGGCCGGCTTGATGACTAGGGACAACAGAATTGTCGAGAGAAAGAAGCCTGGCAAGCTCAAGGCCAGAAAATCGCCTACCTGGGTCAAACGTTAATCTTGTATATATTCACCGGTTACTATTGCAGCTGTAGAAATTCTAAAACTTTTTCTACCTCGCCTTTTTCATACTTGGTAACCTTCCCTTGGAAACTGGCTCCTTTGCCTCCTCCCTTAATATTTTGGATGAAGCCTTTGATATGTGCCAGAAGTTCTTCTGCACGGGGGCCCATTATCTTCACCATTCCGCCGTTTCCACCTTTATACTCGCCGTTGATGAATACGACGGTGTTGGCGTCGGTTAAGTTGACTCCGCTGTCCTTGTTTCCATTGATGAGCGTAAGGAGCTCCTTTTGACAAGCAGTCAAATACTCTGGCGAGCTGTCTGCTCTATAAATAAATGCCACGCTTTTCTCTTTTAGCTCTTCAAAAACAGCTGCAGCCTTAAGGCCAGCCAATTCTTTGAGGAGAGAAGCTTCTCTCGAAAGTACCTTCCTATAGTTGACATTGAGTTCAGCCACTTTTGTTCCCACCTCCTCGATCTGACATGAAAGCTGGCTGCCAGATACATCTTTCAAAATCAGATGGTTTTTCTCTAAAAGTCGTGATACACGTGAACCACAGGCAAAGTGCAAGCGGGAGTTACCACCTCTTATGTTAGTCTGATGTAACAAAGCTACCGCTTGAACCTGGCCGGTGGACTTCAAGTGAGTACCACAACAAGGATTGGTATCCATGTCACCTATTGACACAATTCTAACGACACCTTGGGACTTGTCATAATCGTCTGGGATGTGAGACACATCGATCTCATGACCATGTTCGTCTGGGGTAGCAACACTGATGGGTATGTTCTCAACAATCTTCTCGTTTATTGTTCTGGAAGCCTCGGCAATAATGGCATCGTCAACTCTCTTGGGTAATTCAATGTAATTGATAGACTCTCCCATAGACCAGCTGAGGGTTTCCAAGTCATACGAGTCAAAAACAGCCGATACCAAGTGCTGACCCGTGTGTTGTTGCATTATATCGAGTCGTCTTTCCCAATCGAGACTTAAGTTGACCACTGTACCCTCCTTGACCTCCTGGGGCACGACATGAACAGCTGCAAGTTCCTTTCTCAACACCTTTATGACATCCACTGTGGTATTATCCGGAAGGGTGAGTTTACCTGTGTCAAATGGCTGACCTCCACCTTCGGGAAACAAGATAGTGTCCTCAAGCTCCACTGAAAACAATGCCTCGTCCTTCTTGTCATCTTTCACCTTGTTCTTGTTCTGTTTATCTCTTGCAGACAAGATTGGCTCATATGGCTTGCACGAGACAACTTTAGTTTCAAATGACTTTAAGAAGGAATTTCTCTGACATGCCAAAGCTCCAACCACGGTAGATGTCGCGATAGGCATTTTGAGTCTAAAAAATTGTAGCACGTTGGATCTAGTTGATAAGCTAATGCGCACAAATTCCGTAATAACTCCACATTATGACTCGGTTCCTTGTCACCAAGGAGCTAAGAACCCTCGTCGAGAGCTCCACACTAAAAGACTCTGAAAAGGACAAATTCAAATTGCATGAGAATTTGGAACATGAGGATTTGGTGAACTTCTACCGTACTGCCAAACCTTGTTCATCGCTTCTTGAGCTTCTCAGAAGTTCCAAATTGGTGATCCCAAACAAGAATACCAAAAATGAGGACACGCCGAAGACCAAGGAGTTTCTTCAAGCTATGGAGAAGCTTCGAATTCAAGCCCAGGAAGATGAATACCAGCGACTCGTCCAGAAGACAGAAGCAGATCCATTCAAGCTCTATGAGCAGAAGATCGATGAAAATTATAACCCAGCCAAAGCAAGCAAGGAGGTCAGAAGCCACATCACCACTATCTTTAATATCTTTATCAGTGTGGTAAGTGTGGTGTATGCAATTTGGTACTGGACCAATAGCTCTGCTTATATGAGAGACAGCTACCGTGTGTTGCTCTGCGTTTTTGCAGGACTCTTCATTCTAGTGGCAGAGGTTGTTGTTTACATGGGATACTTGAATAAGATTGGGGAAGCCCGGATCAGGGAGCGAAACAAGAAAGAGGTTAAGAAGGTGGTCCAGACATTCAAGCTAGACTGAAATCCCAATTAAGATGAAACAGACATTGAGGCATATGAACTGATGAGGCAAGACTAATTACCAGTCACCGTTGCGAAAGGGGGTGGAGCTGGAAGTGAAGTTATATCAACAACCTTGTCGGGAGGAGTGTTGTTGACTCTCTGGTTCATGATATCCTTCTTGTGGTAGTAAGACCACTTCAACAAGATGCTGTACAAGGCTATAAATTTGAAGTCGGGCCACAAGGTCGAGACAAACTCGATCTTACAATTATGGGTGCATTGCCAAAGCATGAAGTCACTCAAACGAGTATGACCCGATGTTCTGACAAGAAGGTCAAGTTGGGGGGAGTCCGGCCCCATGTACATATTTCTGTAGAGCTCCGCGACATCGATGTTGGCTTTTGAGGTGCCATTCTCGCAAACCCCTTGAATAGAATGAACAATATCATCCCTCGAGGTGTAAGGGAAACAAACATTCAAAGTACGCAGCAGCAGTTCCAAGTTGGTGATTCGCTCTACCTGCTCCAAGTCTTCCAAGATATCATCTGGAATCATGGAGCGATTTCCAATGATCCGAACCCTAACCTGGTTCTGACGTGCGTAAGAGTCGTCGTAAAGTGATAAGTACTTGAGCTTGTCTCTGAGCAAAGCCAAGAGGGTATCAACCTCCTCCTTTGACCGATTGAAGTTTTCAATCAGAAAGGCATACACGGTTATGTCTGAGACTCCTACGCGGTAGCAAGTCTCCAAAACCTAAGATTAGTATTAGCGTCGCTAGGGACTCAGGGTGGACCATACAGATATAAGAGATAAAGCACCTGCGGCATGGCCGTCTTTCAAGGGCAAGGCCTTCTTCTTAGCAAATCTTCTATTGCCATCCATAATGAAGCCAACGTGTTTGGGAGCGGGCCCGGTGGTGAGGATTGCAATGAGTATATCCTTGAGGAAATCGAATAGGATCCAGGAGAATGGAATAAAGTGAAGCGCATCGGCTATTTTCTGCAAAAGCGTAAGATCAATCATATTGAGTTGTGTCGTATAAAATTCGGCGGATCGGGCTCCTTTTATACCTCTACGCCGCACGAGTGGCTGCAAAAACCTGGAACGGAAGGGGTCGCTCAAGCACCAGGCAAAAATTGGGAATTCTCAAAATGAGCTCGCTACGGTTTTATGCTATAAGAAATGAGACGAAAACTCTATACGAAAAGTTTTCTATTAGTATTTATTTGCAGAAAGTCTGGCAATGTGTCCTGAAACAGACTCGAATCTGCCAGTCTTTACGCAAACCCCACTTCAATTCGGGTACGGGAACACATTTACAATTCCTTCAATATGATTTTCATTTATATGAATTTCAGTTCTCGAACCTTACTTCACCGACCTGCTGGCTGGCATGATAGAGAGCTCGTAATACACGAAAATGATTGTACCACTTTCCAAGGGAGGCAGGAACGGACTCTGACTTTGTACTTGATTTTCTTTGATTAATTATTGAAGCTCATGGAAGGATTTCCAGAAAAATGATTATAAAAAGCTTCTGTGTTTTTGTTTTTTTTTTTTTTTTTTGTTTTTACATCTTGATCGATACCCTGATTCGCAAAATAGTTGGTGTGCAGCCATATTCTACTAAATATCAAAAACCAACGAGCACGCTAAAAAATCATATAGCCATAAAAGCAAGCTTTCTTCATCAATATACGCCGAAATAGCTTCCAAACATTCACAAAAGGTCATCCGGTCTCAAATTGGAGTACTAGAACTAGGATATCTCGACAAGTGATGGGATTGATTGCGCTGATCCACAGTCAAACAGCTCTAGCTCCTAAAAACCACACAAACATTCCTAGCTGATATAAAAGAAGCGATCGATGAGACGTCCGAAGTATCGAACCGTGTAGCCATGGAAGCTAACGATATGCTAGGACACACCCATTTCGAGCCTTCGAATGAAGCTATATATTTCAATCGGGGGCTTTTGACACAAGAAGCAACTATTCACCTAAATAAAAGGAAAGCTCCCGGCAGTACTTGAATTGGCGCATCCTCAATGCCACCTCGGATCCGATCAATGGAGTCCTTGTGCGAATGGTTGCAAAATCATGCTCCTCCCATCACCACCACCAACGCATTGTTAGTGAAGCTAAGAAAATTAAAGTCAATCCCTTTCGAGAAACACCAAAAAAGGCATATTCGCTATCTTCGATTATTTACCCCTCCACAATTGCACCCTTCCCTTTTGAGCCCGGTCCATCTCTGTGTTTACCTTTATGCGCACACATCAACAAACTCCAACTACTTTATCACCCATGTCTTTTCGACGCCCCCAGCCAGACCTGCGCAAAAGACAGTCCAAAAAGGACGAGGCAATCAGGCGCAAAATTGAGCATGAACTCTCGAAGAAAAGAGGCCTGGGGCTGCGGATCAGCCGGCTGAAAAAGGGTGCTCCGGGTACCGTCTGGTCCTTGAATCCGTCTGATCCGATCGTGTGCAAGGCGTCGGCCTCGGTATACGAAGCTGCACAGCTCATGCTGGCCAAAAGAGAAAACTGCATTCTTGTTGTGGATGATGCTGGCGGACTCATTGGTATCTTTACCGCCAAAGACTTGGCCTTTAGAGTGGTGGGGTCAGGATTGAACGCCAACAGCACCCCAATTGAGAAGATTATGACGCTCAATCCGATTTGCACGCAAGCGCTGTCTCCAGCTCTGGAAGCCCTCACACTTATGGTCGAGAAAGGGTTCAGACACTTGCCCGTGCTAGACGACGAGAACCATATTGTTGGTGTGTTAGACATCACCAAGTCTTATGCTCAGCAGATGGAGAAGCTCGAGCGCTTACACGCCTCTTCCAAGAAACTCTACGATGCCTTGGACCTGGTACACACTGAAATGGGTATGGCCGACCAACCAAGACAGGTGTTTGAGTATTTCCAAGACTTGAAGCTGAAGATGGACGGTCCCACCTTGGCGCTGGTGTTAGACCCCACAACACAAACCGTCTACACCACAGTGAGGCTGACGGTGTATGAAGCGACCATCTTGATGCGTGAAAATAGAACGACAGCCGTTTTGGTCAAGGATACGAACGACAGTGTCAGCGGTATCATCACGTCGAAAGATGTCGTTTTGAGGGTAATTGCTGCCGGCCATGATCCAAAGAAGTGCTCTGTGGTGCGTGTAATGACCTCTCAGCCTGACTTTGCCAACTCTAGCCTATCCATCCAGCAGGCCTTGAGGCAAATGTTCGAGGGTCACTATCTCAATTTGCCCGTCGTAGACGACGAAGACGAAATTGTGGGTATCGTGGACGTGTTGCGCCTTACGTACGCCACGCTCAACCAAATCAAACGGATCGAGAACCAGGAAAATCAAGGCAAGGAGGAGCCGGGTGAAGGCCCAGCGTGGAATAAGTTCTGGACATCGCTTGATAACGATTCTGAGTCTGTGCACCTGGACTCTGCCGCTAGTGCCCCTGATGTGACGCCCTCTGAGTTCCAATCTTTCAACATCGATGTGAATCCGTCGGACTCAATCTCGGCAGTCGAGGAAGGCTCTAGGCAAATGAGTAAGACCGCATCGAGCACTAAGAGAGACGGTCTCTTCGTCTTCAAGTTCCGTTCTCCAGCGCTTGCCAGCAGAGTCCATAGAGTCACCATACGCCCAGAACAAAGTCTCCAGGAGTTGAAGGATGTGGTGGACTCGAAGCTCCACAGCAAGGACCTCGAGGCTTTGAAGCTAGGCGAAGGTGAGGCCTACGCCATTAGCTACGTCGATGACGAAGGCGATATCGTTTCTATTACTTCCGACCACGATTTAAGGGACTGTGTCGAGGTACACGAGAAGTTGAATATCTTCAAGGCAGACATCTACCTCCACCATCCTCACGACGAGGCTCCAGTTGGCAAGATCAAACCACTTAGGGGAGTGCTGACCGAAGACTTGATTCCAGGCATTTCAAACCAGACCCTTATCCCTGGTGTGCTTGCAGCAGCCACAGCGATTGCAGCCATTTTCTATGTAACGAGGAAATAAGTCAGTTAGCTGGGTGGAAATCTATACCCACGATCCGCATCAAGGCATTACACACATTAAGTATGAATATGAAATACCCCCAGATAGGCTACAATTCAAAACCTCTACATGTCTTTTCCGTAACGAATGCTATATTTACAAGATACCTTCCTGCTTCCTCACCTCCTCCAACTTTTCTTCATAAAGCTTCTTTTGCTCAGCTTCCAGAAGCTCCTCGTTCAAATAAACGTTGGGCACACCCTTAAAGTCCTCAGGCCTCAACACAATGGCGTTAGGGTTCCTCTCGCTAGACCATCTGTGGGCCACCACCTTATTGAGCTCCACTTGCAAATCTTCTAAACTGTGTGATCTGCTGATGATGTAGTCGGAAATGTCAAAACCCAACCTCAGTTGCAATGCCTTGAAGTAACGGAATCTGAATTGGAGGTCGTGCAAAAGCGCAGTGGAGAGATCATCTGGGCTCAGGCCTTGAAGCTCTTGGTATGTATCCCTCATGATCTGAACAACCAGCTCTGGAGTGTAGGAAGCCTCAATGTCCTGCTTTCTGACAACATTTTGCTTCCACTGAGCAACCTTGAAGCCAGGCATATCACGCTCGGCGTTGAAAGGCTGGAAGTTGGGGGAGTTCTTCTCATCTAAGATGGTGATTTTGGACTTTGGATCTGTCTTGAAATCGTCTTGCTTCTCGATGATTTTGGGATCGACTTTACGGGAGAAGCCGAAAAACAGCCTTGTTGCCGTCGTCGACAACAGCCGGATCCTCACTGGAAGACTGGACCGTAACATGCTGGAGAAGACTGGTGGTGAGAAAATTTCCATAGAGGTGTAGGCGCACATGCAGGGTGGAGCTAGTCTTCATGAAGCTGGAGTAGTGAACCGAACGTGGAAGTTAGATTTATACGGAGACAATTGTTTTGATCTTTGGAAGAAAATTCTTTGATTTCAATTTACCAAAACTTGGTCTCGCTGGATCTTTGTTTTCTACCTATGAGTTGGGGGATATTTCGCAGCCAGATGAAGTTCACCGTACAGTAAGTAAGTCACATTTGCAACTGCAGTGCCGTTAGATCAATACTGGGACGGACAAGCTTTAGAGACTACTATGAATAATTTAGCTTGATGAGTTCGGGGCAATCAAGCCCTGAAAATGTCGGTCTTACAAGTGTACGCTTTGCAAGTGCGACTATATATATTTGCATTTATAAAAGAAGCGGACGACTTGGGTAGCCTACAGTTTGTCCGGCGTACCGTTCTAGTGTATTGGGTCATAAAGATCGTGAAGGTTATGCTTTGCGAGGGCGGCGGCGAAGATACTGGAATGTGAGCATCGCCATCACAGCCACAAGGGTGATGTCAGTCAACATCGAGGAAGTGACAGCCGGTGCTTGAGTCAGATTGCTGCCGAAAGTATCCAGCAATTCAACATGGAACCGCTTTGCGTTTGTGGGAAGTTCTGTGGGGATGACGACGTCACGTTTTTGGGTATTGCGAGCTTCGGTAGTTGGTACTGTCTGACCAGGCGAGGTGATGGTAACGAGTGAGTATGACTGCGCTGGCGCTGAAGACGTGGGGGAGGCCAGAGTTGGGTTTCCGGAGCTATCAACATTTTCCACGCTCACCTCGCCCTGTTCACACCAACCGTTGACGGGAATGCAGTTAATATATTTGCACCAGGTGCATGTCTTCTTGCCTTGCTTCATCTCGTCCGAATATAGATTTTGGAACAAGAGTGCAAAATAGAGGATGGCCAAAACGAGGCAGACAACCCTAACGGCAGCCCAGGTAAGCACCTTCCATTTTATTTTGTCGCCGTACTTGTCCATGGGATTCCACAGGTTGAGCATAAGCTGTGCGGTGGAGGTGTCAGCATAGTAGGTGTAGATACCGTCGATGTAAACGAATGAGGGGTCTGGAAGAAAGAGGATCAGCAATAAGAGCCCCATGCAAAAGCCACCAATGTGACTGAAGTTGTCCATGCCAGGAAGAAGGCCCAAGACAAAGGCCACAATCACCTCGAGCACCATGATGAAGATGAATAATTTGTAGTGTTTGGTACCGTAAGGATTGGTATTCTTGCGTCCGCAGTAGATAAATAAAAGGAAGTTGGTGGCAATAACGCCAAAAAGGGCGCCTGAAGCACCCGTGGAAGCGATTCCGTTGGGTGAGAAGTTTGCACCCAAAAGGAAGCCCGATATACCCAGAGCCAAATAGATGATGGCGTATTTCAAGACTCCAATGGCACGCTCAACAGAGGCCCCATCGTCACTTGAAGAAGGAGGTTGAAGCCGATGTGGAGGAAGCCCGCATGGAGAAAGATTGGTGTGATGACTCTGTACCATTGGTCCGGGTGGTAGCCGCTGGAATCCAAGGAAATCCCGCTCAAGCCGCAAAGCTCCGCTAGGCTGCATACGTTCGTGTCTGCAGACGTGGAATTTGGACATGGGAACTGGATCAGAGGGTCGGAGGTGATGCCCTCTAGTTTGTGCATACAAGGAACGTATCGGGCCCCCATGTTGATAAAAAGATACGTGGAAGGTCCCAACATGGGGTTGAAGTAAGGAGACGTCTGGAAGGCCAGGCCCGTGAGCTGGGCCATCTTGGCCAATTCCACGATGAAGACGATCACCTGGATCAAGGTGACCAAGATGGTGAAGTAGGGAAGCTTTGTGTAATGGAACCGAGGCAACCTGTTCTCGAGCTTGCGGCGGGCCCTGTCGTTTCTCTTGAACTTCTCGTCCACGCTGCTGGCCTTATCTGTGAAGGGGTCCTTGATATCGTCGTCGAATGGGTTCCTGCTGGGGAACCTGTCCATCTCGTGCTGTTCCAGCCCCAGGCTGTTTTGGTGAAGATTGTTTTGGCTCGTCTCTTCGAAACCACCGCTTTCGTAGTAGCGGTACCCGTAGGGCTCCAGGCGGCCGTAAGGGTTATTCACCTTCAAGGTGGAGTCATTCAAGGGCAGGAAGGGTGAGACCTTTGTGGGTTCCGGATGGGCCTCAAACGAAAAGGACAGAGCCAGGTGGTCCTTTTCAGGCACCGGTGGCCGTGGATCCAGGGCGTTTTGCATGAACTGGTCTCTGAACAGCATGGTCCCTGGAGATGGTACACTTGAGGTTTGTGTAGGAGCGAGGCAGTACACTCATATGTAGAAGACGAGTTCGTGCACAGGCGAGTTTGGGCGGTCAGGGAAGCAGAGAACGGAAAGTCTGGGTTTTAGGTGGGCTTTAAATTTTAATATTTTAGCAAATCTACGCGTGCCGGGCTGGATACCCAGTTTATGGAAGTGAGCTTCCTGGCCCACCGAGTCCCCATTATCCACCGTGCACCAGTTAGACGAAAAGACAATTATTACGCGTACAAGGAAGCGGTTTCCCCTGTTTTGACAAGTTTGTTTCACATTATCCCAAATCGCCCCTGTTTCCGCCTGAAATCGCTCATTTGCGCTGTGCCTGGTGCCTGATGAGGCGGTGGTTGCAACCATGGCTGCGAAATACCGCCATAGTGGATCCTTCAAGGGCTCTCCAATCAGGAACATGCAAAATACGGCCAAACCCCTGAGAATGAGAGAAACAAATGTCTGTAGAATTGTTAATTATCAGATGTTGGGAGTTTCGAGGATCGGCACGAAAACAGCCCTTGTCTCAACGGGGAATGTGAAGCGGTCACCCCTGGCATGACGGTGTAGTACCATTTTCAGCGCACAATGGTCCGCTTGTTTCCCAGCATTTTCCCTGTATGAGAAGAAGACAATTATTGTGTTTTTCAGGTACCACGTTCATGGAAGTGTGTTTTGGGTAATGTAGGGTGTTTATGAGCTAGGGTACTGGGGACTTGGAAAGTGAGGCTGAAGACACTGCCCCATGAATCCGGAAAAACGTTCTGACAAGACTTTCTTTTTCATCGCGTGATGATGTCATCTAGCGTTGGCAAGGACTACCATTTACTGACCTAGTGAACTCAAAACCGTTCTTGTATATGCTATTTGTCTATGCTCTGAATATCCAGCAGCTTCCAGTCTCGTAGATTACCCACTCTAAGACAATTCAAACCCCGTATCTGCCTGTAAGGACAACCGTTTTTTATGAGAGCACGAGACCGACTGTTGAGCCTAGTTAAACCATCCAACACCTCTCAAGCTGTTTGAACAATTAATCAATGTGTCTGCACCTGATGTGAAAGCCAGACTATTATCTGGCGGGAAGAATTATCCAGTCACTACTCCATTTTCTCCAATCACTTGAAAAGAGACTCGTTGGACAAAGGATCAGCCTTCAAGGCCATCTCTCTGCGCTTGACCTTTCTGTCTAAAGCGGCAGTAGCCCTCGATCTGGCCTGCTCAGCGGCTTGCTGCTTCAATTGAGCTCTCACAGCGTTAGGAGACACATACTGCTTATTCTCGTAGATCTTGGGGCCACCAAAAGAGCCCTCCAAAATGGTGATGAGGGTCATCACAAAACGTGGACCAATCTCAACCAAAGAAAGCGAATCGGCATCCACCTCACCCCTGGCAATGTCGCTCTCCTTGAGCTCCTCGGTTTCACTGATCTGGTAGTTTCTCACCCAGATCTTATTGTCGACAATGGAAAAGGTCATAACGTGGTCCACGAATGGCTTGGACTTACGGGCTTTGGGAGGCACACCGAATGTGTGGATGAACATTTCCTTGATCAAGTCGTAGTGGGGCAGCGAGCTGAACGATTTGTCAAAACTCAAGATTGGTCTGGAGCCCTTCAAGCAGTTACCAGTGAAGTTCAACTCGTCCAACGTGTGCATGTTCTGGATGAAGAACTTCATGGTGGGCCCGTTAGGAGGCTTCAGGATCCACAAGTAGAGGTCCTGGTGTTTTCTGGCCTCAAAGAAGAAAATGTTGTTACAGTTGTAGAGCTCGGCAACTTCGTTAAGCTGGTGCAAGTTCTTCTTGGAGTCGAACTTTGGCTCTTTTCTGGCGTGAGGCATCAAGAAGGTCAAGTCCTGGATCAAATGTCTGTGTCTGTAAGTGACACCACGCGAGGAGATGACAAGCACACGCTGACGGTTGATATGCTTGGTCTGCTCCGAAGACTCCTTGGTCAGTTTCAGCTGCAAGGCTTTGTATATGGCTGACATTAGGGATGTGCTAGTTGAGGCGATGAGATGCGATGGCTTGATTTTCAGCTAGAGTGGGACCAATGCACCCGTACACCAGCTTACCTCAGGTCAACAAGCCCTCCGTCAAAATGGGCTAAATATTCGAATTGTGGTACTTGGTGGATTCGGCCATGTTGTTTGAGGTGTGGTGATGCACCAGGCCGAGTAGGACCGTAAAATACTGTCATGTCGTCGATCTACGTAGGTATCTACAGATCCGCCCGGCGGCAGTTCCTGGAAACGTGAATTTATATTTATATCGGTCTAGTGCTTCTCAGCAGGCTTCTCGAGGTGTTTGGCCAAGAAGTCCTGGACGAACTTCTCCTCCTCCTTGGAAGAAGCGTTGATAGCTGGAGTGGCGGGCTTGGCTGGACCCCAAGGCTTGGGGACGGCAATAAAGACAACAGCACCCAAAGTGGCGAGCGACAAGACGTGGGGCTGGACGGATTTTCCGAAAAGTTGGTAAGCGGCACCCATTGTTGAAGATAAGTAGATGTGGTTGTTGAAGGTTTATCTCGCGGGCACTTTTTCATTGGTCGTGGGTGCATGCAGGAGAAACCATGGTACCCCAGAACGAAGCCTTGAAGAGTCAGTTAGAGCTTGAGAGGCGGAGGGCTTGGTTGGGTCGAGCTTGAAGGTTTCAATCGTGGGCTGTATGAGGCCCTGGGATGTGGATATAGTCGGGGTGGTCCGGTGGATGTAGCACACCCGTACCTCCTGGATATATGGAGCGAGTCGGTTCGGTGCAACCTTAGCTTCAAGGTCGTTATAAGTATGCTATTCAAAAAGACGGAGGGAGTCGAAAAGATGAGAATAAAGTTCAATGGATGGTTAATTATGCTGAAAACGCGTAGAATTGGGCAAAATGAAGGAGAACTTTCATGCCACCATCTTCAAGGCGGTACACTTTCCAGAGAGGATCCTATTCGACTAACATCAACGTCCTCTCTTTGAAAAACGCCGGTTTAGTGCATCTCAATAGGCATCCTTGCAGGATCAGAATTATACACCCTCACCACAATTCCACTTTCATCAACATCACAAGTCCTCCTCTCCAATTACAACAATTCATAAAAAGCAAAACCACGTCAAAAACATTCTTGTCTCGTCGATTGCGGGGCCTGGTGGCTTGGACGATGTATTGTTGTGTTGTCCGAACAAATTCCGAATTCGCAGCCAAATGTACCGTGAAAGTTTAAGACATCAGACTCAGCAAGTTTCATATACAAGCGGTTAAACATGCTCCGCCTCTCAAAATAAAGTTTGATCAGTAAGAGCCATTTTTGTTTCACCTATGCCAGCCGCAAGGAGCCCAAGATCAGCTGACGGTGCCTGTGAGCCGATAAACGGCCTTGATTTTCGAGATTTTCAGACGACGATCTAACATGTGTGGGGTACAATATGGTGAAGATCAAGGAGGGGAGTGGAAAATAGACTTCAGCGCTCCCATGGATCAAAGCCTCAGGGCTTTCAAAGGAGGTTGGATTTGCAATCGCCAATCGTAGTAGAAAAATGAAAGATTCCACTCCACCTCAGTCTCCTAACGGTGACGTATGCACATGAATGTTGGAGGTTCGCTTCCTAGTATGATCTGCCATTCTCAGCCCATGCCAAGTGGCCTGTCAAACCAGGACCCAAACTCTAAATTATTCGACTCTGTCTAAAAGATGAAGATGTTGTCTTGCTCTTAAAGGTGCTAAATCTCGTTCTCAGTATCATCTGCGACACTGGCACAACCAACCAAAGCAACCCCAGTACTTTTCACCATCCACTCAAACAATTCTTTTCGGAAACCCTTCATTCCCTTCTTTTGATACACATCCAGTTCCAAATCGCTTCTCCTTTCGAGAAATCCGCGTGTTTGCAAAAAGTCGTAGTTCCGAGATTTCGCCAACAACTTTGCCCACCTAGCCCAGACAAAATCCAGTCTCTATCGTGAATTGATAAGGCTAATTCAAGTCAAATAATCGTCAAAAGACTTGCTTACTTCCCTGTTTCATCTTCACCGGGCTTTCTCCGAAGTCGTGCCCCTCCACATATACCCAATCTGACCTCCATACTCAAGCCTCCACACTTCAATCTTCTTCCACTTTATCACCCACAAAGCGGCCACAGAGCCATCCATTCAAGAATCTTGCCTTTAGATCAATAAGTCGGTTATTGCATCCTAGCACTTCCAGGGATATGGCCTCCAGCGACCTCAAGAGCGAGTTGATTCGTTCTTTGAGCTCCCGTTTGGAGAACATCCTCCCAAACCGTTCGGGGTACAATATTGCCGAGGTCGAGCTCAATGCACAGTTTATCTTGACCACCAACTTGTTCCTTGCCAACTCCAAGCCGCTGAAAGAAAATGGCAATCTGGATTTCATGCCCGATATCATCGAGCACTTCTCGGCTATTCTAGAGAAGCTCAACATCGACCCTACAACAAGGAAAGTCAAGGATCGCGAGGAGAAGTCGTTGACGTCGACGGTGGTGGTTATGAAGTTGCTTGCCACGATTATTCGTTTCTCGTGGGACAAGAATGCCTCAATAGGTAAAAACTCCAATATCACCGCTAACGAGGGGTCAACTTCAACTTTGACCTTGGATATCACAGCGAAAACTACATGATTTACTCCTTCCAGCCATCCGAGCTCCTCAACACAGACATCCATCATAGCTTGGAGGTTCTTTTCTGCCTTCTCTCCGAGGAAGTGAACCGAGAAGCTCTCGCGAGCATCAAGCGGATCCGGAATGACAAGTACAAGCCAATTGACTACACCCTTGCCAGTGATACATCGTTGACACACGATGAAATACGAGCGTACGTGAAAGAGATCGACGAAAACATCCTGTTGGTACTCCGCTACCTTGCCGCAGCCAATCCAAACGATTACTATTCCTTCCTCAATAGAAAGCTCTTTGCATGGGCCGAGAGAGGAGAATACATCCCTAATGCTGCTTTGCAGAAATACTCATGCCTGCTCAAGTTTCTATACTACACAAAGGATGTCGCCGATCAATACGCCAAGCAAGTCTACAGCATGATGCCTTATATCCGCTCGAATAGTTGGAAGCAGGTGTGCCTATATTTCAACTCCCTCAACATCAAATACCAATGTCTTCACCGCCCTAACTTCTACGCGGAGCAAGTGATTCCTGGCCAGCCCAGTGAGCAAAATTTCAAGACTTTGTTTGACTACGTTTCAACGGCTTTTGAGGATCAGGAAATGGTAGGCATTGCACCATCTTTGCACTCGTGGTTTGTCATGCTTTGCCCCTCAGACTTTGACGAGCTTCTTCAAAAGCCAAACAAGCTCAAACAAGCATTCAACAAACGCCTCAAGTTCCTTACTTCCATACTCAAGGATGCAAGCTCTGGTCTGAATTTGGAGTGCTTCGAGAGCTTGATCAACATCTTCTCTCTAGGAGCCAGAATTCCTGAGTTGAAGGGTGATGTGCGTGAGTTCAGCGTCAAATACATCGACGAAACATTCGAGAATTTGAAAAAAATGGGACCCACCATAATTTACGATGTGTCCAAAATCCACTATCGCAAGCTCTCTATAGACCTATACGTGGCTGCCATCGCAATAAATCCCGACAAATACATCCCCATCCTTGTGGATTACTTCATCTCGGCTCTTCCGAAGTCAGAGGATGGATGCAAAGACGAATGTCTCTGTCCGGAGATTGAGATTTGTATGAGTGTTATTAAGGGCCTCGCCCATGTCGAGACCTACAAAGTCCCCCTTCAATCTGTCATGAAAAGACTACGAGAACCTTTGAAGAGTCTCTTGTTCACAACTTACAGGAAACTAAGCCTGTATGATTCTTACCGTCCAGATTCAAGCTCTTCAACCCTACTATCGCAAACTTCGGACAGACTACCGGAAATGGATAAAAACATGGCCAACTCAAACCCACTCTTGTCGTCGCTCAAGAAAAACAATCTTGATTACGGTCTAGGGTCTGTTCTGGACAAGAACATAAACTCCCCAGTGGAAACAGCCGACTCGAGTTCCAACAAGTCTACTCAACAAGACAGCGTTGAGGCTCCTTTCAATGCGAAATGCATAGGACAATGTGAGCGCATAATGACACAGCTATTTGAGATCTTCGCTGCATCCCCAGATGCCTATATTGGCTACTTGTCGGAGAAGGTTACTCAACCTGAAGGCGAGAATCAGAAGGCTGTCCTCAAGGATTTGATTACGTTTGCCCATGAAATGGCCCTTCCAATCAAACAGGCCATTCACTTCAAATCTGTTAACGGTAATTCTGAGTTGTTTGAGTCTGCATGTACCCTTGCCATGACTATGGTTCGGAGCAAGAGCCATTCCTTGAGAGACACAGAAGTGAAGGAGTGTCTGAGTTTTCTCTTCTCCAATCTCGTCATCAAAGCTATAGCAGAAGCATGTACTGTGTTCTCGTTGACAGATCCAAATTTTAAACTTTGTTTCATCTTCTTGAACAAGTTTCTACAAGAAAGAGATATCTCGTACAAAGATGTCACCAACAACAAGCTTTTGCAGCACGAATGCTCACACTCCGCCTGCGGAACTGTCTGCGAAGCGGTCGAGATTATCCTTCTTTTGGCCCTATGTACCCACGACGTTCAGTTTTTTGGCATGGCCAAGCTCACGATGAAGTGGCATATACTTGAAATCGAGAACGGAAAACACCCTTACAACTGTTTTGACAACCATTTGGCACATGTCTTCAAGCGAATCCTCGACGATGATTCCGTGTTCACAGGATTTGTTTCTCTTCACAAGAAGTTCAGAAACATTCTCATGGAAGCCCCTCCCACAAGTTCAATCTACCATGTTTGGCTTTTGATTTACCAAAGGTGGTTGGATATTGTTGATAGCTCTTCGACCCTCACAGATGCAAGTCTTGTCTTCCGGCATTATACGGGCTTCCTAGTATCCACTTCAGGATGCTTCTTGAATAAAGACTTTCTGGAAAATGATCCGAAGGAAAAGGAGAGAGCG